ACTTGAGCTCCTTTCTCTTTGCCTTGCGGTTGCTCGTCACATGTAGCGCGTTGGGCTTCTCATCCGCCGGTGGCACTGGCACTGTCCAGCTGCCGTGCTGGATACCAGCAGTGATGTTGCCAGGCAGCGCATACTTGTTGGTGTCCTCCAAATCGAGGTCATAGGCACGCGCCCGAGAGTCGAAGTCGAAGAAAGGATGCATACTCTGAACTTCACCAGCATAGGCATCCATTCTCCGAGCGGTTTCACGCGACTTGATATAGCCCCACACCATCGGCACCATGTCGCGTTCGTCATTCATGAACCCAGCATCAAAGTCGGGCACTTCGTACGGGTCAGCCGACCTGATGTGTGTCGAACCGCGCGAGAAGGGATACTCCAGGAAGTGAAACATCGTGAAGAAGTTGCCAGGAGGCCTGTGGGACAGCTACATGTCAGCAATGGAGATCCCAGCATGGGGCCGTTGGCCAAAGGTGCTTCTCACATGAGCATATGGTCACCGAACCAGCCGGCGATCACAGAGTAGTGCATCACGGGTTTGTCCGGCTTGTTCTTGAAGTACGTCTCCCAGCCTGACTTGAAATGCGGAGTCGGCCACTTCTCGAACTCCTTCAGTTCTTTCTCAGTTGGCCGAATCTTCACGCCAGCCTCGATACCGTTGGTTGCCAGTGGCCCAGTGCCTTTGATGTTCCACTCGTCGAAAACGCCTGGACAAGTCAGCAGACACTCGATAACCCTACGTGTGCTCGAACAGTTCGTGCTTACGCTGTTGCACCTCAGGGTCACCACGGGCAAAGTCATCAAACGTCTCTGTGCCCGGCTTCGCTCGGTACACGCTGAAGGTCAAATAATGATCCTGAAAGTTCAGACCGACGCCAGGAAGATCGACAATTGGTTTGACCCCAGCCTGCCGCAGCTTTTCAGGGTTACCTGCTCTTTGTTAGCTCGAGCTCTTCTAGTCAATCTTCAGCATTACTTACCAATGCCAGAGCGCTGGAGGATCAAAGGGGAGGACATCGTTCCACCGGAGACGACGATCTGCTTGCGAGCTCGGAAAATGCGTACTCCGCGATCCTAGTAAGTTTGTCCAAGTGAGTAAGGGCCATTCATTCCCTGGATTCACACTAACTTACGTCGCCCATAGGCTTCGTTGGACTGTCCGTGTGTTAGTTGACGACCTGACATACGAGAGCGCACATCTCTGACTTACACAGTCTGTACAGCAACTGCTCGACCATTCTCAATGATCACCTTATCGACCTTGGTGTTGCAAGCCAGGTACAAGTTCGAGTAAACAGCCCGAGTGGCGTGAATATAGGCATGAGCACTGTCACTCCGGCGGCCAGTCTAAGTCCGTCTGTTAGTTTGGCACCAACCATTGGAGTGAGGGACGCTTGCATCACGATTGATCCACTTCAACCACTGCTCAGCACCGTGTGCAGTTTTCAGATCTTGTAGGTCGTCCACTACGGGAATGCCTTGAGATTCAGCCGCCCTCAGGAAGTCATCCTTGATGGGATACGCACTATCACCTGTCAGTCTCAAGATCGCGATCATTTCTTCATGGAACCTACTAGTTCCCAAAAGACACCTTGATTGGGCCTTCAAAGCCGTGGATATCCCGATTGTGAGATGCACGCTGGTACGTTTCGTGCTTCTTCATGAGGGGAAGCAGTTCCTTGGTTGTCCATCCTTTGGCTTGGAAGTCGTCATAGTCTGACGCGGAAGCTCGAGTGTACATCTGGGTTTCGTTAGGCTTGACTTTCTGAAAGCAGGGATTTCACCACCACGCATACCATGAAGTTGATGGAAGATCCTCCACCGAGCACATGAGCTGCGGGCACAATGGCACCTCTACCACCGAGCCACTTCGATGGCTTGGACTCATAGAATGTTGCAGTCTTCGAGTCCAATTTCATATTCCGAGGAAAGATACCCGGTCGGAATACCCAAGGATTGTTGAGATTGCTCTCGCCAGCCTCAATGAGAAGCACCTTGAGGTTATGGTCGAGATTCGCCAACCTGTCGAGATGTTCATGAGCTTCAATGGACGACAAGTGCGGCCTTGAAGCCATGCAACTCACCTGCCAGCAACCACACACCCACAACTTCCTCCTCCGCACACAATAATATCGAACTCCTCCGGTAGGGGAGACATCGTGATATGAGCCCGCGTGTTATCCAAATCAGAATTTCTTTTGGCCTTTCCAAGCTTTGTTGCAAGTAACACTTCGACTCATCCACAACTGGCAGTCTACACTTTTTATACACGGCCGATTCAAATCACTCTCATCTACCGAATGGCCCCCGCATTCACCTTCCCTTCCCCTTTTAACCTACAAGAGTTTGAAGCCGACAATCCCTCAGGCAGCCGGAATCCCTAACATCGGTCCTCGCATTGCTTTGATGACGATTCTGGCCAATCTTCGAGGTTGCCCACCACACCGAACTAGTCCTCAAGCCCTTCGGTATCCCTTTCCCACGAGTCCTAACCAATACGAAGACCACTTGATCCTCAAGGGCTGCAATGCATCTTTGGGAACCCCTCTTCAACTTACCCAGACGAGAAATACATCCCATAGCTGGGCTGTGCCAAGGCGGCTCGACTTTAGCCAGGGTACGGATTGGCTGCGGGAAGAACACCACTTGCTGAGCTATTCATACCCGTGTTATACCCACCAGTAATCATGATCCTTGGACGTTGAGTTCATTTGTTTCTTCAGGAAGAAGATGGATGGATGCTCGACGTCGTCAGTCAGTCAATTGGGAGGGATTCTGTCACACTCTCAACGAACGGCCTCGTCATCTCTGTTACCGATGGGCAACTTCATGACTTTGCTGCGCCTACAGCCTCTCAATACGAAGTGACAGAAGACATCTCATGTCGGATGTCATACTTGCCCGATGTTCTCAAAAACCAAAATTCAGGATCCTACTAAGCAAGGTAGGAAATAACCTACTCGTTTCAACAAAAGCCGTAGGAAGACCGAAAAAACTCAACCCAACAGTACCGGTACTCGGGCCCAGATATTGTCCCTCAAACCACACACTATAGGAATGAAAGATGCACTTCACCCCTCGTTCTCGCCCAAAGGAAGGAAGGAATGCCACAACATCGCCCAGTCTCAGTCTCTTTCCCCTCTTCCAACTTCCCATCTTGGATCTTGGATCTTGGCATCCATGGCAACCAGAGCTTCTCCAAGCTCCCCAAGCTCTCTGGGCCAGAGAGTGAGTGAGGAGCTGCTGCTCTGAATTGACCAATCCCGTCCGTCCGTGATCTTTGTACTCCCTACTTACTCCCAAACCTCGGGCAACTCTCAACTCTCAACTCTCAAGTCCCAACTCCCAACTCCCAAATCCCAACTCCAAGTCCAAGTTGTCGACAAGATGTGACGGGAATGGCCATTTTTCTTCTCCTCTTCTTTCTGTCTGGCCTGGCGTTGAAACCCCTTTGACATTAACATAGACAATTAACAACTGAGCCCATGAGAGGTAGGTGACTGGAGTGAGCTAGCTAGTCCCAGTGATCTGTGATAATCTGTGAAACTAATACAACTAGGCTTGGTACGTATGCTGGTCCTTGACTAGGTAGTTGAGAGAAGAGAATGTGTGTAAAGTAGATTTCCGAACTTGCTTGCTTGGTCCAAAATCATTACATCAGATGTGGTGTGTTCCGGAGCTGTATCAGAAGACGATAGCGACGACGCAGGAGTTTGATCGAGAGGGGATATCACGGCTGTGGCTTCCTAGTATGTATATGTCAGGCGTGTGCGTATATATGTATATATGTATGTATGTATGTATGTATGTATGTATGTATGTATGTATGTATGTATGTATGTATGTATGTATGTATGTATGTATGGATATCTTAGATTTGATTTGGTTGATTGGTAGCTTTCGATAACTGGTTTCGCGTATGGATGGCATCACGAGCAGCTTTTATCTTTGTAACCTAATTTGAAGCGTCAACTATCGTATGGAGGATGGGGTAATTTGTTTACCTACCTTGTCTCGGTCGGTTTGCTATTTGTAGGTATCGCTGTGTCGCGGAAACCACTACTCAGTGTCGGGATGCCAAAAAGTCATGACGGATAATAACCAACATGAAGAGCGTTCGTTGGTTTAACACTTGAAGAAGAATAATCGTTGAATGAACTGAGCGAGAAGGCTCGTGGCACTGGTATAGTGAAGTGTTTGTTCCAACAAGTACAAGTAAGTGTGAGCTGTAGAGGCCAAAGCCGTGGTTTCGATACCATAGTCAGAAGGGCAGAAAAAGGGTTTTGGCCAGCAATGTTGCCACCCCCTTTTCCGCTCTTATCAAAGGTAAACAAATCAGTTGATGGCCAACCGTCAGACACTCAATCGAGCCGAGGCATAGAAGGTACACGTATGAACTTGGGGAGCTACTGTTAGCCTGATCTTCAAGGGTATGATACATGATAGATAGGTATTGGTTGTTGACGAGACAGCTGTTCAACCTGGTCGGACGTAGTTCGGGATACTACCTACTGATACATGGTTAACAGGATCAGGAAGATCACCTTTCCCTGAAGGTTTAAGGGTCAAGACGGCCGGCATACAAGAAATGCACGATGTGAATAGTGTAGGCTCGCGTACCTGGTGATCATCCCGCCCAAGCCCGTTGTCGTGTAACGTAGCGATGCAGTCGGCAGCGAGAAGGAAAGAAAGCATGAAGGAAGAAAAGGAACAAAAATGAGGTTTATCTGCTAGTACCTAAAAACGCCAATTACCAAAAAGTGACAAATGTTCATCATCCCACCAAGTGACCGAGTCGTCCAGAGAAGCGACGGCAGCACTGCTCGTGAGAGCCGAGAATGAGAAACCGAGACCCCGATCATATACAGTTTGCTGCCAAAATCCAACATTTCAGAGGTGACCTGTTGTTCCCTCGGAAAACACCATCCGCCCCCAATAATCCCATCCCATTCATGTCCTTCGTCATCTGAAAGAACTCAAGAGCCACGAGAAGAAGGCTCTCTGAGTTGTTCTTCGTAGTGGTCTTTTGCGTCATCATGCCCGTTGTACGTAGTCGTACATATCTCTTCGTCGACCCGGCATGCGTTTTCGAAATCGAACCATCCCGGCTTCACCGCCCTTTGGAGCCTCCGCCGAGTAGCCGATCCCACCTCGCCCCACGTATCCCGACAGCGGGACGACCCACCTAAACCGCCTCTCCCGATTCATCCAACCTCTCCAGTTCTTCTCTTTTCTTCGCTCTTTCTTCTCCCGAAAAAGCTAAGAAAAAGAAAAACGGCCCGAGAGTTTCAGTGCTTGACCCCGGCTTAAGCCCGCAAAGCCCGCAAACGCTGTTGCAAAGCATCTTCCTCTTCCGGAGTCGGCTCGGCCGTCTGGCTCACCGCCTGCTGGGCAGCAGCGTTCGGATCAACCTTGCTGGCGCTGGCCTTATTCAGTTCCTGCCCCAGCTCCAGTCCGGCGTCGTCTGCTAGTTTGCCGAGCAGTTCGTGCACGGCATCGTCGCTCACCTGCACGCTGGTGCTCTGCGTCATGGCGTCCGTGTAGATGCCGTTGCTCATGGCGTACTCCTCGTTCTGCTGCTTGTACTGCTCCAGCGTCAGGAGCGTCTTCTCGGGGTTCACGCTGCGCTGGGCCCGCGACATGGTCTTGGATGACTGGGCCATCATGTACGTCATGCGGTTCATGGCGTTGTTGGCCTGTATCTGGGCGACGCTGAGCTCGGCCATGTCAGCGGCTTGGTCCATTTGTTGGGCGATGGCTTGTTTGGCGAGCAGCATGCGGGCTTTTTGGGCGGCTTGCGCGGTTTCGCCCTTTTTAAGAAGCTAGAGAAGGACAACCATGGCTTGTTAGTTTGGACGTTTCCTGTAAATGCGGTGACACGATAGCATGGGGGTGTTCGATATGATAGATGTGAAATATGTCATGGAAAGCCGATGCTGGCCAGTATCGATGGTAGACAGATTACGAATGCGCATCCATCTGGGTAAGAGGGACAACGCGAGGCTAGGGAAATATTGTGGGACACCAGCCAGCAGACACCGAAGGGCGAAGAAGGGAATGGACAGGATAACGAACATTCTGGATCTGCTTCTTCAACTCATTGTCTTGTTTGGAAGCCTTCTGTGATTCACGTCGTGCTTGCTTGGCGTTGAACTGCCAATCCGGGATAGTCATTAGCAACTGATCGATGTTTTCTCATGTTGTTCTGTGATTGTTCCATGCCATCTATGGAAGATCGCAAGCAGGGTAGGCGACGCTGCAAGGGATGGTCCACGGACGCAAGGAACAACCAAGGCTCAGTGGCGGAACGATGGTGGAACATACGCGGGCTTGAAACTCGACTTGCATGTCTCTAGCAAGTTGTCGGTTCGCCATCGTGGTTTCGCGGTGTGGTGGTCTGCTGTCGGCGATGGGCTAATGGAGGGAGGTGGGGGGTTTAGGGTCGGGGTGACGGTCGGTGACTACGCAGGACTCGGCGGGGACAACGAATGAAGTCAAGCGGTGGGCTTGGGCTCTGGGGAGGGAGCAGGATCCGATTGTAGGATATCGCGGGTACGGTTGTCGTGACGGATGATGGCCGGCGATTGGAATACTATCGGGTCGAGTAGGTGTATGGATGGCGTGTCGACAATGGAATACCTGATCGATATCTTGAGGAGTTGAATGCTGCTAGTTAGTGCTACGTAAGTCACTGCTAGCCTTTTAGTAAGTGCCTGCTGTGCTGTTGCGTGCTGGGCGGCTGCTGTGGACGGCGACGTACAGAATGGAGCACGGGAAACTGGAGCCTGGCGAGCGTGACACACCACGACAGGGTTCAAAATGACGGGAAGACGTTCAGGTTGGGAAGATCCGGGAGGTCCGTTGGTCGGCGGGCCTGTCAGCGCGAGGTAATCGCTCGAAACACGGGGCCGTGATTGGCCCGGATTGGAGGCCTGGCGTAGCATGTGGGGCCTCTGCATTGCCACCCCGCCCTGCCCGCGCTTCCACGGATTCCACGCTATGACGCAGTCCTGTGGCTGGTGCCCCCCCTAGTGTGTGTGCCAAACTGCCAGTGTGCCGCAACTCTCAAGAGGGTCCCGCTTGGCACCGTGAGTTGGCCAATTGAGCGGTAAACAGCGAGCCTCATTCGTTGCTGGGCGGTCTGCACTGTTGGCCCGCATTGGTGTCTTTCGACAAACGGAACCGGCGATTTGATCTTCTAACGGTCTCGGCAGTTGCGGTGGAGAGAAACGGGAGCGTTTTTTTAGCCCTTTTGAGCCAGAAGATGAACAGCAAAAGGAGCGGACAGGGAGAGCCAACTGGCTCGGCCTCGCGGGTGGTCCGAATGAGGACAGGCATCAAGCCACACAGTACCTCTAGCTTACGGTGCACGGGCAGCAAAGTCCCGCCAATTCGCAACGGACTACGGAAGGAAACTGAGTGTTCGCTGGGCTCAGACTGGCTACAGAGGCCTTTCCGATAACTTTTTTATCAGCGACCCCCAGTGGCTCCTGCGGGCTGGCTGTTCGTGGCTCGCGCGCCCCCGAGCATATGAGTGAAGGGTTTTTCGTTTTCTGGACAAAACTTAGAGCAGAACCATAGACCACGGATTCCAGACTTTCCGGCTTGACTCGCTCCTCTTCTTCTCCATTTCATCTTTTGTGTCTTGGGCAATTTCCTTTTTTTTTTCCAACGACAACTCTTAGACTCTAGACTTGGTATCCATATTCCTTTTTCTCTTGGGGCCTCCCACTCAGCTAGGAACCACACTCCACCTCAGCTCGGCTCGGAACACGACCCAACATCATGTCCATTCGCAAGCTCAACGTGCAGACCTTCCCGCGCCCCCCGCTGGTCGAGAGGGCGCCCCGTCACATTCAGATCAAGTGGCATGGTCAGCTCATCGCCGACGTCCCTCCTGGTGAGGCGTACTGGGTTCTGGAGACCCATCATCCACCCAGTTAGTCCACCCCGTTCTTCCCGCAGTCCCCGTTCCCACGTCGGATTCCTCCAGCGTTACACCCCGTCCCGACATCCACGGCAGAACCCAGCACGCCCAGGTCCAGATGTCCGTGTGATGTCCGTTGGTGGTGGATGTCCTGTTGCTCAATCTGGAGTCACCTCAGCTCAACTCGTGGTGACGCTGCAATGACTGCTTGTTGTTTGAACCGTCCACTAACTCTCATGCACCCCCGTCTGCAGCTTACTACATTCCCCCCTCGCTCGTGCGCCTCCCTCTTGCGACTACTCCCAGGTCGACTTTCTGCGAGTGGAAGGGAACCGCCACATACTACTCCATCATGAGCCCCATTTCGGCCGCCGAGACCATTTCCAACAGAATCTGGGCCTACAATGAGCCCGCAAAGGGCTACGAGGCCATCAAGGGCTACCTTGCCTTCTATGCCTCCCCTTGGGAGTGCTATGTCGACGGCGAGCGCGCCCAGCCCCAGCCCGGTGACTTCTATGGCGGTTGGGTGACGAGCGATGTCGAGGGTGTCGTCAAGGGCCAGTGGGGAACCTGGGACCCTGTCCTCTAAGGAGTTCCAGATCGGGTAGAAAACACAAAGAAACAATTTCAAGGTCAGGGAATTTGGGGGGAGCTTCTCTTGGTGTGTTGAGGGGTTTTTCTGGAGTTGGGCCGGAAGGGTTATAGAAACGCATACACATGGCTGGTTATTAAAACGGTGCATATGGGATCGGAAAGCGCATTTTGTTGGGAAGACAACAACAGAAGAAAATTTCATATCATCATCCTTTAGAAGGCGCTGCAACACCTAGAAGAGGCATTCGATGCAAATCGACCATGGCATGTTGGATTCTCTTGCTTGAGCGGGATCACAGAATTGGTGCGTGTTGGCGTGATGGTGTGACAGGTTTGGAAGTGTAAAGGCTGTCAGATGCGGAACGGGAACCGGAACGACGTCGTGGTATCAGGCCCTTGGATGTGATGTTGAGCAGGTGGTCGAAACCGGAGCGCCGAGATTCCCAGCATCCACCGGAACCTGCGATCGCCCGTGAGGCATCGGAGAACGAACCGGTTGCTGGGCTAAGCCGAACATGTGTCCACTTCGGGAGCCCGATGCACTGATGCAGGAGGCCGCTTGGCAACTGTACAGTATGACCCAAACATCTGTAGGTATATGTAATGAAGGTGACGCCGACACGACTGGAGAAAGGTAGTGTAGGTCGATCTGGGTTCGGTTAGCTGCACTGGCTCCTGACACGGCTCCATAGAATGGGGGTGTGTATATGTTCGAGAAGAAGGAGTGTGGAAGTCACAAAAGAACAATGGAACAAAACCAGATGAAGAAGACTCGGGGGCAAGGGATGGCTAGTCTTTTCCTAGCAAGCGTCGTCAGTTGATCCCCGTTGGGAACTCCACAGGTAGTGGAGGATATCGTGGGTAAAGCTGGAGAGGAAATGGCGTTAAAAGTGGAAAGTTACTAAGTTTAGTATGAAGAATGGAGGTGTGAGATTGGGGGTCACAAAGTGGGAAAGCCGAAAGCGTTTCCTATCCACCATCGGATGTGAAAAGCGGGAAGTTAACATCAAAGTCTAGAAGGTGGCTCCATCAAGTGTTGCCATGTGGGAAGCAAGCAAGACAAGAAAAGATGTGGAAAAAGGGCTAGTACCTAGATGACAGATGGAGACACGGGGAGATGAGGTTGTAGTTCTAAACCAACTAGCCGCGGGAGGCTCTGCACGCGTCCCGTCTTTAGGTTCACAAGCAATGGAATTCTATGCGGGGGAAGCCGAACACCACTCTTGCTTCGATTCGCTCTTGCTTTCTTTCTTTTCTTCTTCCATCGCGAGACATTCCGAGCTTCCCAAGTGGTCAAAAGGCCCAGAGCCAAGCAATGGTTGACTGGCTCCGACGGCGTCACACCTTACACTGTATCATAGTGTAAGCGAACGCCACCACCATCCACACTGGCACTCCATCTTCATCCACCTTTGCTTAACTGCATCGGGATGGTATTTGCAACCACAAATTGAAAATGTCAGGGGAGAGACATGACAAGCCGTGAGACGTTGGGTTTCGGTAACACGACTCCGCGGAAGTCTCGCCGCCGTTGGACCTTTGAACTCCACAATCACAAATTCGCACATTCAAGACATGAGTGAGCTACTATGTATGCGATGTATCGTCAAAATGCAGCAGCGTTGCAACTTCCCGGGCCTGTTCCACGCTTTTCTTCCGCACGGAAGCACGAGACATTCCCTGCTGGGTAAATCCGCCAGGTCTGCCAACGGTTGTGTATTTGCCGCCTGGAAGAAATATCACATTTACGAAAATGGACGGTATGGTCTTTGTGCTTTCTTCAGGTCGATTACAAGCCGGGGCGCCTCATGCTTGGACAGTCCTCTATACATACTCGCTCGTCTCCAATGCTGAACACACACAAGAACCGCGGTACGTGCGCTGAGAACAGACCGCGAACTGAACCCATCACTTTGCCATCCTGGAATGACCATCCATCGGGCATCGACCATGCGGGGGCAGAAGACGCGGATGACCAGACAGAGAGAAAACCGCAAAGAGACAGAAGAAAGAAAAAGATTGATAAGAGACGAAGAGTCCAAACCGAGGATACTGTTGACTCGCACAGGTAGACTAGTATGTAACTGAGAAAATGATGGCCAAACCCCTTCTTCTCACAACAATTATCACAAGGACGAAATGAAATACTACCACTTCGACTTCTCCGGTCCAGCTCCCGGGTTTTCCGACTGCGCACTTTGAGATAGTAAGTAGGGATCGAAGGGATTGGAGGGAGTGAAGGGAAACTTGATTGATCGCCGGCCGCGCCAATCCATTCTTGGGCAGCCGTTTGGAATTTGGCAAGGGAGGAGGGGGGAGAAGAAGATGGCACTGAAAAAAAACAACGAACATGACGAAACGATTGAAAGGGACACCAAAACCTATCGGATCTGGATCAGAATGCCGACAACTAAGCGATGGAGAGTCAGTCAGAAGAGACCAGGGAAACAGAGACAGAAACAGAAAAGAAAAAAAAGCCACGAGGTCTTGGCGTTTCTTTCCCAGTCCTCCCAACCCATTTTTTCAGCCCTTGGACTTTGGAGTCAGTCAGTTCACGCTGCTTTCTGAATGGCTGGCAGATCCGGATCGGATCACCGCCCGATCAGCAACGGAGCGAAGCCACGTTCGGAGGTGCCAAAAAAAATGAACCTAAATAAGGGTTCAACTTTATTGACTTCCTTTTGCGGAGGAAGATCGGCAATCATCAGCAATTGACTAGACCTTTTTCCACATCATCACCTTGAGCATCCTATGGGCTGTGGGCTTCTCGGAGACTTTTTTCCTTCTCACCATCCTCTCATCCAAGGATCTATCTACTACGTGTATAAGTCTTCCTTTGAGGAGAGAGAGACCTTAATCAGCACTTCACTTCAGCACGGCAGGAGCCTTGGTGGCGCAGGTCCTTCCTGCCTTTGTGTTGTGACCACGGAGATACCGTACCTAGAAACTCGGGAAAATCGGATTTAAGGGTCTGCAGCAAATTTCCTTTCTGGGCTCACATATCTGTCGTGTCCAAGCGACTACATAGTCACACGCTGAATGGGGGATTTCTTGAAGAATCGTACAGTCTGGCTGTTGCGTTTCTACCTGAAGCATCATCAGGTATGTAGCCGACCGGAGTTAAGGGAATTTTCTGCAGACCCCAAATTCGATTTTCCCGGGCCTCTAACGGTACCACAGTACTCAGCTGTAAGCTGAAGCACGGCGTGTAAGCAACGTATCTGCACATCTGACAGCCACATCATCAACGTTTCTGTGTAATGCTAGGTAGAAAGGGTTCCCGGGCATGTAGGAAAATAATTCGGCAAAGGTTCTACATACAGGTGTAGGCTCACGGGTACGGGTACGACGGAGTAATCGGAGATTTCGAGAAGGTGTGAGGAAACGGTTCCGTGAATCCACGATGCTAACTCGAATTGTCAAACAGCGGGGTTCAAGATTGTCGACTGCACGAGTGTACCATTGCGGGTTTGCGGGCGCGCGGAGCGTTCCGACCTGCCCTCTTTTACCCAAACGGCCAAACCCCTTTGTGGGGCAATTGATAATGCGATGAAGGTGGTGGGGGGACTGACTGAGGGAGAGGGAAAGGTAATCCAAAATCTGCTCAGACGAAGATGATGAGCTTGATAAACAGGAAGGCGGTCTCTAGAATGAACTCATTCAGCTTCGTCATATGAGCTGTGCCAGTTTAATCTGCTGTTATGGATGCGAGCAATTCAAAACTCGAAAAGCAAAGCCGATGGCAGCGTCGAGAATCCGCTTTGTGGCGATGGGATCATATGCTTTTCATTCAACTTCCCCTCTTTGTTTCATTGAATGAAGGAGAGGGAGATCCACTTGAGCTCTCCCCGCCTTTTTTTCATTGAGGGCTCCACCCCGGCGACGGGTCTCGACTCCATCATTTCCTGCGGCCTCCGCCCCGGCGTGGGTTCCATTGCCATCAAGGTGGTTCCGTTCGTGTACGTAAGACGACTCCGCAGACTCACCGCAAATAGCATCCTTGGTTTTCCGCACGTTCGGTCGCCGGGCCCGGTTTGAGCTGCCTCCGAACTGACGTGGTGGGTGAGGGGTTGGCCGCCGTAGGAATGCAAGCGGCATCGGGTGATGGCCGAGCCCGGCTCGGTGAAATTGGTTGTTTTGTGTCTGTTGCTGGATTAATTAATCGAGCGGCAACTGATCAATGAAATGAGCGTCCGAGGACGGTCGGATTGAAAGAAAAGGGGAAAGGGGTTCCGATGTACTCCGCATTTCGGGAGTCACCATCCGTTACTTTGTTTCACTGGACTTCCATCCGGGGGAATCAAGGTGCCATTTCTGTGACAGGAGGGGCCGGCTAATCTTTTGAACCATCCAGAACCGATGGATGGCTTCTCAATTCGCTTCAAAGAAGAGCGCTGATCATTGAGTGACCCGAGAGAAACAAAGGATGGGAATAGTCTCGTCAGCCGCGTGGCCAACCTTGGGAACCCACACTCTAATTTGTGGTTTGCAGCGATATGGCAGCTTTGGGAGATATTGAACGCAATGAAGTCTGGAGCCTCACGGAAGCTGCGGCGTTCTGGACGAGTACGAGATTCAAAGTCGTTCTTTTGGCTTTGTCCCTTGGCATGGCCGAATTGAGTCTTCAACAGGGATGAATACACGCAATCGCCAGAACATTCCAATTCCCAAAGGTCTGAAGTGTTAAAAGAAGAGGTCGGGCGATCAGATGGCGACAATCTGCACTATTTGATGCATTGCTAGCTGGTTCCTATCAACACCCAGCAATGACATGCATGCGAGTTTTGTCGGTGTGATTGTTGAACTGGTGATGTTCAGTATCTGGTGATGAGTAACAGCGGTTCGTCAAAGAGGTGCCTATCGGGTCCGCTCTTGCAGCTGGCTCCATCGTGGCTTGTCCCTTCCGTGGGCCTTGCGAAGATACCGTATCTCACTCAGCGCACCCACCGTCGGACGATCATGCCTCGTATGCTTGAGGTGAGAGGGACGACAATTCGAGCTCCTTACGATGTCCGTCCCGGCAATTGCGCGTCCCGTCTTCCGACAATGAGGCACCGGGCATGATCAACAGCAGAACCGGAGGGGTGCTTGTGTCAAAATCCCAAGGGCCGGCGCTAGGTTCAGAGGGGTTTGAGGGGTTCAGGAGTTCAGGGGCCCAGGGGTGCCCGGAGGGGAAGCGGCCTCGAAGAATGGAACTTCGGCCCTGCTCTGCGCGTTCCTACCCCTGACTGCGCATTGCCAGCACTGACTGGCATGAGCCGCCCCACTAGTAGCGTGCTTCTCGGCGATTCCCTGTTTTGGTAAGAGAGGCGCCGCAATGTTTCGTCAATCTGGGCGGCGGTATGGCCAATCAGACGAAGGAAGGGTCCGGGTGCCGGTTGCGTGCTGCCTTGGACGAATAAGCACGAATAAGGGCTGTGCTGCCTGAGGCATGAGCCCCCTTTTCTGGAAACCGTGTCCAGAAGATAAAAGCAGCCTGGCCTCCCACCCCTCGCCCAGACTCGACATCGTCCCCCCCAGTTTGTTCAAACAAGACACCTGTCCTTTTCACCACGCAACCAACCAGCTTCCATCCTCGACCCTTTCGCTAGGCTCCCCTTTGGCGTCCTGGACTATCCTGGTGCCTATTACTGACTCACGCGTGGATGGAGTCGACCTTACCCGCGATGCATCAAGCCTAACAAATACTCCATTCTCTGACGTATTAGTATTGGGGAATTAGGACGGCACCTCACTCTTTACTGTCAGCGAAAACATACCGGCGCTTGTTTGCAATCAACATCAACACCAGCACCAACACCAGTGACTGCAACAGCTTTCAATCAGCAAACATCAACACACACACATCAAAGTCCTCCTACCGTGGCGCAGATACCCATCATGGATTCCTGGGCTGCCCACTCTCCCTCGCCGGCCAACCTCAAGTTCGAGAACCCGGCCGAGTCTCTCCTGGCCACTCCTGGCGAGATCTTCCCCGAAGTCTTCGGCTCCGACCGCGCGACATCAGCAACCCCATCACTCGACATCATGTCACCGGTTTCCTTGGCAGACGACGTCCATACCGACCTCACGGCTCTTGCTACTCTCACAGTTCCTCAGATTCCGCCACGCTCGACGCCCGCTTCGACACCGGCGCCAGAGACTGAGAAGAAGCCTACCAAGAAGAGGAAGTCGTGGGGTCAAGTCCTTCCAGAGCCCAAGACCAACCTCCCACCAAGGTACGTTACATACACCTTCAAACCCCTGTCTACTCTTTCCTAACCTCTCAACAGGAAACGTGCCAAGACCGAGGACGAGAAGGAACAACGTCGCGTCGAACGTGTTCTCCGCAACCGCAGAGCCGCCCAGTCTTCACGAGAGCGCAAGAGACTCGAGGTCGAGGGTTTGGAACGACGCAACAAGGAGCTTGAGACCCTCCTCATGCAGGCCCAACAGATCAACCAGACTCTCCTCCAGGCACTCCGTGAAAACGGTGTTGCTCCTACGATTGCCACACGACCGGCATCCTTCGATGGCCTCAACCCCACCCCAGTCACCTTCTCACAAGAGCTCTTCAGCTCACAAGATGGCCACAACTTGCCTAAGCACGACTCCTCTCTCGAGCAACTGTTCCCTACAATCAAGACCGAAGAGACCGTCAACCCAGCATCTCTCTCTCCAGCATTGACCGCTATCCCCGAGATGGAGGAGGATGGCGAGAACGAGCAATCGACGGCTGCCCAACCTGTTGCGGATGCTACCTCCACTGCGACTGTGAACATTTCCCCCGATGCGACACAACATCCTGCTGTGGTGTTGTGTGATGACCTGCAGTGTCGGTCGGCGGAAGTGCCACGCTCCAAGTGCCTGGCAGTGTCCCAGCAGTCTCAGCCCCCGTCGCTGGATCCTCTCTCTCTGCTGCTCCTCTCGGCATCAGCCATTTCATGGATGATCTCGTTCTCTCAAAGACCTTTGATGCTGATCGCTTCATCTATGAAACGGAATTTCTCTCTTCCCCCAGCCCCAGCAATTTTGATGAGTATAGTATGGCTGGTGACGACACCGAAACCCTCCACTTCCCGGCAAACCCCGAGAACTTCTTCGACGAATTCATCAACCCCGACGTCTCAAATGCCGCAAACAGCAACGAGCAGCAGCCGCAGCAACAAACCGAATTCTGCGCAACCGCGAACGCGTCACTCCACAACCTTACGTATCCGAACGCTTCGGAAGATCCTTACCAGCAGCCCCATACTGGCGCGTCCCTTAATGGATGCGACGATGGAGGTATTGCGGTGGGTGGCATCTGAAGGGCGCACGGTACCCCAGGTTTCGGGAGAGGACGGTTCGGCGGCGGCGACAGCTGACGGAAAGGAGCAGCGAGCGCAGCCACGTACTGGATTGCTGGCATTCTGGCCCAAGGGCGCCATGTTGCCATCGAAGGAAGTTCTACTCACCTTGATGTGGGTTCTGAGGGTGGAAGAGCGGAAGATGAGAGTCCGCGCAGAACTCAGGGGCTCCTCCTCGAAACTCTGTGGGTCAACCGGTGTCCCGTCAATGATGACACACACACCAACCACAACTGATAATAACAAACTTCAACAACAATACAAGTTGAAGGTAATACCAAGACGGAAGTTGAAGGCTGGGCCTTGTGGCTTTCCCAAAACTCACCTCGACACAGAGCGTCGGAGGATGTCTTGATTGATGACTTTTTCCTTTTTTCAAACTCAATCTTGTATGACATTTATATCTTTTACTACTATTACCCTGGGGCATTTGGCAAAAACCGGAAGGGGCCAAAATGGGATTTACGGGGCTTGGGCTGTTGGCGTTTATGCGTGTTAGCGAGTGGTTACCAGTGGCTTCAGCGAAACAAATTGAACACGAACGTTCCACTCTGTTTCAAACCATGTTCTTAATCGGTTCCCAATGTGTGATTATTGTGTAAATGCAATTGCTCCAATTATAAGAGGGCTGAAGGATGTCTCGGAGCGGTCTTTGATAATGCCTTGATGGACGTAGACAACAATTTGCTGGAGAGTGGTATGATGAACAGACGGTAGGTTGGTGTTGATGATACCTTGATAGGAGCGGGAAAGGGAGTGGCAACAATAACATGGCCAAAATCCCCTTTCCGCCCTTCCTGACTATCGAAACAGCGGCTTTGGCGTCTACAGCCTGACGCTTGTTGGCACAGAACACTATATCATAGTGCGTCAAGACGAGCTTTTCTCGTTCATCCAAACTTTTTTTCTTTTCTTCCAAGGTCACAATGTTTCCATGTGCAAAACCATCGCTCTCTGTATTCAGGCTATCATCTATCAAGACTTTTTGCATTCCACGAACACCGAGTGATATCCGCAACATAGACACATACATACAGCAAAACCGAGAGACAAGCAAGGTAAATAAACACCCCATACCATCATGATATTTGACGCTCAAACTAGCCCGGAAATACAAAAACAAAACACAAGACGCTTGTGATGCCATCCATCCATACGCACACGCAACGCAACCCGTTTTTCAAGAGTTACCAACGAACCAACCAACTAACCACCCAAAACCAAACAACTAAACCCCTACATACATACATAACTCCTCAATCACATGTACAAACTAGCCACAGCCGTGATATCCCTCTTGATCAACTCCTGCGTCGTCGCCATCTTCTGATACAGCTCCGGATCGCCAATGATCCTCGCCGCATTCTTCACCTCCCTACACGTCTCATCCAGACGCGAAATCGTCCTGACAATCGTGCCCTCCAGCACGTCCGTCAGATTCGTGATATTCTTGAAGCTCATGCCTCTTGCCCACTCGTACACGACCTCCATCAGCCCAAAGCGGGGCTTGCTCGCAAAGTCGGACCCTTCGTCCGACGACAGGATCACCTGGTGCAGCGTCTGCACGGCGTTGACCTTTTCCGAGAGCTCGATGATGGTCTTTTGCCCGCGCTCGAGGTTGGAGGTCAGGTTGGGCACCATGTCGGTCTTTTCCTGGAAGACGAATGCCGACAAGAGCGCCGCGATCTCAGCGGGCTCGTAATCGGCGAGCACGTTTTCGAGGATTAACTCGGTGAGAACCAACTCGTCGCCCGAGTGGATCTCGCAGGCGACTTTGCCCTTGAGCTGGATGCGGCTGGCGTCGTCGATGAAGGAGAGGTCCTTGAGGACCCGGATGCGCTGCTCGTAGTCCGGAAGGAGCTGCAGGTTCTGGTTGGAGAGGGACTGGCGCAGCTCCTCGATCTTGGTCTTGATCAGCCACTGGTCGTGGCACATGGCGTAGTGCTTGAGGAAGAGGTCGCAGTCGACGGCGGGTGATTTTGTGCACTTGATTTCGGCTTCGCGCCGGCGAGTGATGATCTCGTGGATGGAGAGGGATTTGATGCGACTGAGGTCCATTTCGTCCCAGATGGGCGCGGTCCAGGATTTGCAAATTTGGTGGAGCGCTTCCTTGGCCTTGGTGTAACCGTCGCCACCTCCAAAGAGTTCGGGAACAATGTTTTTGGTGATATGCTTAGTGAGACAAACGACGTCGCTGAGAGGGATGTGAACGGTCTTGGTGTAGATGTTCTTCTTGTGTGGCGGCAAGGGAGTGAACCATTTGGCCAGAGTCGGCGTGAATGGGAGGAGGTCGGTATCGTTGCGAAGGTCCCTGCCAGTCTTAATCTCAAGAACATGCAGTGTTGGGTTAGCAGCGGTGCCCGCCTTGCTAGGCCCCTCAGCAAGCAGGATTCCGGGGGTTCTAACGCCCTCCTTCATATAAACGATAAGTCGACCAGGTATGAACATCTTGCGTCCGACGGGGATGGCCAGCAGGGCGCGGTAGAGTTCTTCCGTGGCTACCTTGAAATCCTCTCCTGCTTGATGACACTCATCCATGTGAACGTCGCAGATGGGGCATGAGTCCCTCTTGATCTTGGCCAGATCGGCCTCGGAAAGCTTGACTGCCTTTTCGTGCTCTGGGAGAAGTTGCTGAGTAGCATGCTCTGAGAAGGAACGCTTAATCATCTCCTCTATCTTTAATGCTTCAACCCGGAGAAGGTTAAGGATCATGTTGTAAGTCAAACGGAACTGCGAGCGAAGCTTGCTCGGCTCGCCAAGGATCATCTGCCTGAGATCAGTAACCGGAGGGGCCTCGTCTCCGCCAGGCGGTACAATGATGACATAGCCAACGGTATCAAGACCACGTCTTCCAGCGCGACCGGCCATCTGAGTGTACTCGCCAGGTAGGAGATTGCGGAACTGATGGCCATCATGCTTTCTATAGCCGGAAAAGACCACCGTCCTGGTCGGTAGGTTCAAGCCCATGGCGAAGGTCTCGGTGGCAAAGAGAACCTTGACCAGAGTCTCCGCAAACAAGATCTCGACCATCTCCTTCACGATGGGTAGCAAGCCACCGTGATGAACAGCGATACCTCTTGACAGAAGCTCGCGCAGCCGGATGATCTGCGGCAACACCCGGTCTTCGGGCTTCAACCGAGCAATCGACCTTTCAATGATCATATGAATGTGACTCTTCTCCTGCGCGGTGCAGAAGTCTTGGTTGCTGAGTGCATCGGCGTTCTCTTCACATCTCTTTTTGGAGAAGACGAAGATGCAAGCCGGCAGCAGGTTGTCCTTCTTCAAGAACTGAACAAGATGAACCCACAGGTTCTTGTCCTGGGCAGCAGACGTGAAGCCTCCTTGCCGGCCAGTCCGGCCCATGTGTCCAGGAGCGTGGCTTGCACGCGGTGGCCCACCCCTACCACGTTGCTGGCCACCACCTCTCGCACCTCCTCGTTGTTGATTCGCACCCCTTTGCGCACCTCCACGACCCCTTTGGTTACCACCACCGCGCGCTGGTCCTGTTGGAGCCTCGATGGCTTTGGGCGGCTTGTCCTTGCCTTGTATGGCAAGATTGGCTTCCTTCCAGCCGTTCTCGATGAACTTCTTCTCGGAGTCCACAATCTTGTGGATCTTTTTGCCAGCCCAGAGGTAGTGTTCCAAGGGAACAGGTCTCTTGGGCGTCGAGATGACATAAATATCCTTTTGCTTTGTCCGACCCACCCAAGAGGCGAACTCGTAGGTATTGGGGACCGTTGCAGACAGTAAGATGAGCGAAACGTGCTCAGGCAGCATGATAATGACCTCTTCCCAAACGACTCCACGTTCGTAGTCGTTTACGTAGTGTACCTCGTCGAAGATGACAAATTCTACATCACGAATGAGATCCGCTCCGCGATAGAGCATACTCCGAAGGATTTCCGTCGTCATAATGAGGCAACTGGCTTCGGGGTTGATCTGCACATCGCCGGTCAAAATACCAACCTCGTCGAAGGTTTGCCTGAAGTCTCTGAACTTTTGGTTACTCAGTGCCTTAATAGGGGACGTGTAGATAGCCTTGGTCATGTGCTTGGCTGCGAGTGCAATAGCGTATTCGGCGACCACCGTCTTTCCGGCCGATGTATGTGCCGCAACAAATACCGAATCGCCATTTTCGAGGTGATAAACAGCCTCCTTCTGGAACGTGTCCAGCTCGAAAGGCCACTCCCTTGCCATGTCAGGCACCAACTCCCTAAAGTTGGGTATTTCCCGCCTAATGTCGACCATGTGTGCCCACTCCCGACCAGCTTTTCTAGCGCTGGACGCCGCCAGTGTGCCGCGAGGTTCGAGGGCAGGAAATTCGACAGGCAATATGGCGTCGATATCTTCCAAGTCGTCTTCGTTATCCTCACTCTCTTCTCTCTTGACACCGTTGACCTCGTCCTTCTCGCCTTCGCCGCCGGGAGCGTCCTCGGGCTCTTGGCCAAGAACATCTTCTACTTCCTTGGCCTGTTTCTCACTTTCGGCGTCTGCGGTCTTCTTTCTCTTGCTCATGTCGATACCTCGTGACAATCCTGGTGCGACTTCAAGAAGACCACCCTCAGCGAGAGTGATGACCCTCTCCAGCTTCTTCTTGCTCTCTCCCTCGTCAGCTGCGGCGTCCTTTCTTAGTTGATCCTCCAATGCTGCAGCAGATTCGATACCGTCCAGACCACCTGGGGCAAAGGGAAAGAAGCCAGCCCCACCGCGCACGAACTCGGACTTGCTGGCTGGCTTTCGCATCATGGATGTACTCGTCTTGGCAGTGGCATGCGAGGCTGGCACGGTGACGTTGCGATATCCGGTAACGCGACCCTCGAGGCCATGACGCTGGAAGCGAGTGACGGTACGTGTTTGTGTGGGGGCGATGCGGAAGAGGAGGGAGTGGTCGACGGGCGTGTCCCAGCGTTGCTGGAGGTGGTTCAGCCATTCTGTCGAGAAAGTCGTGGATGGCGTCAAGTATTTCTTCTCAAGCTCGGCGCGATGCGCTTCAGGGTCGGTAGCTTCGCCGTGTCGCGACTCGCTCGGTGGGATCCGATCGAAGAGGATGTCGTCGATGGGGTCAAAGGAGGGAGTGCCATCGCCATTCTCGGCATCGTCGTCGAAATGCAGCTTCGCCATGGCTTCGCCGAGGTCGGACGCCATGTTGGGCGAGCCGGGTGCGCCAGATGTGAGTGTTCGAAATTCGGCTGAAAAGGGAAGAACTTCAAGGTTGGGAGGCACGGCAATGGTGGCACCTTATGTGCCGTTTGTATTCTGAATGGCACCTGGCACTTGGATGTTGTGTTCAGTTGAAGTGGAGGACGAACAGAAGAATGGATGATGATGCTATGGATGCTCTGTCGCTAACTCGCCCCACCAAAATCACATTGTGGGGTAAAAACCAAGCTACGCTGACGCCAAACCTGCAACTGCCCTGCTCTGTTTTCAGAACCTCAGGGGTTGTGTTTACATTGTGTTTCTATAGTACGCGGGTTAGGGTTAAACTAGCCTGCCAAATCATACTGCTAAGTCGCAATATGAGCAGAACAATGAATATGTGAAAAGCCCATACAGTCAGCGTACTAGAACTACTGCGCTGGGCTGTCATCACGTCATTACATCAGGTACGATCTTACGACCATTATAGAGGTCCTTGTCAGGCCTGAAAGGACAGGGCTACTTTAGATTCTCATCAGAACCCATCCATCTCGGCCATCGCATCCTCTGCTTCCAAGTCTTCATCCATGTCCTTAGGTTGAGCAGCCTGTGTCCTCGTAGTCTTGGTATATGCTTCAGCTTCAGCCATCAAGGCATCCAGATCATCCTCATCTTCTGATGCACCTTCCCCTCTACCCTGCTTGCCGGGTTGTTCCTTGCTCGCCGACTCCCTTTCTCTCGTCTTTGTAGCATTAGTCGCGTGCATCTCTGCTTCGGCCATCAGGGCATCTAGGTCGTCATCCTCCTCTTGTGGTGGTGGGACCGTGGCTGGCTTATCTTTACCACCTCCAAAAATGCTACCGTTTCCAAAGATGCTGCCGTGGTTAGTGGTGGACGGTCGATATGACTCAGCTTCCGCCATCAGCGCATCCAGATCATCGTCATCTGGCACTTCGGATGGCTGTGGGGGCTTCTTGACAGCCCCACCGCCAAATATACTCCCAGAAACAGCCCCATTGTTTGTTGTTTTGTTCGCGCTAGGAGCGGTCCCAGACTCAGCTTCGGCCATCAGTGCGTCCAGATCGTCATCATCGGGTACGTCTCCAGATGCCGCTGTCGGCTGATTTCGCCTAGGTGTCGCATTGTAGATGTCGTCATCCCCGAACAGATCATCATCGGCTGTTGGCGTCTTGGCCCTAGCCCCCGCCGCCTTCTCAAATATGGGCGCCATCCTGGTGGGTTGTGTAGGAGCAGATGGCTGTTCTTCGCGGTCTCCGTCCTTCTCCTCATCAGCTGCTGTTGATCTAGGCTTCCCTTCAGCAATCCACTTTAGTCGTGCGTTTCGCAAGGTAGTTTTGTGTCCAGCCTTTTCACACATCGCAAGGGCGTCTACGAAAGTAGCTTTCGGGAACAGGTCGTCGAGCCATTCTTGGTAGAAGGAGAGCAGTCGGGCGGCATCCGAGAACTAAGGTGGAATATGTTAGCATGGCGACGACCATTGAGGTGTGATTGGGCTTACCTCATGGCCTTTCCCTTTCAATTTCAACTTTGGTGCGGTCTTTCGTAGCTTTGGAATGCCTTTGTCGGATAGTAACCGAGCATCATCCAGCTTCACACGAGGGACCCTGGCCTTTTTGGTGACATCAATCTCCTTGTCGATACCGAGGGTATCTGGCTCTTTTCGCTTCTTGCTGTTTGCCTTGTTCTTGTCGGCCGCCTCTGGGCTTGGGGAGCGAAAGGGGTCGTCATCATCCCAGCCAGCGAGGAATTCGGTGACGAAAGCGCTGGTGTTATTTTCGTTGGTTTGGTCTGGCATGGTGGGCTTGAATGTTCTATTTCGCTTAAAATTGGTAAGTGAAGTGATGTTAATCTTGAAAAGTGTCTGCTCGCTGAATAAAGTGGTGGGAGACGTGAGACGCGCTTCGCAGCTTCCATGTCGCGTCAAGCACTGCACCCCACTGCAAGTGTAAGTGGTTGCGGCTTGGCAACACTTGGTGTGTGGCGCCCTTGCAGGGGACCTCAAGCACATGTGGCTCAGCTTTCACGCTCCTCATCAAGGACCTCGAAGCTGGCAAATTTTGGCCTCAGGCATCAATACGGTTTACGGTACGAGCTCCAACCCTGTGGGCATCCCGCTGAACGACTCCATCGACGACGACGGGACCTGAGTCGTGAGCTGCTCCATACGTTCGCGATACCCCATCGACGACGCAATCGTCGGCCGCCGTCACAATGTCCAGCACTTCATCTCCGACGTATACGATCAGCAAGACACTGAATACTCAGTATCCGGTGGGTTTCGCCAATTGCATCACCACATCTTGACATCGCATTGCGCTTTGCAGCATAGCAAAACCTCCAAAACAACGTCCAGCTTGCTGACCTCGGATCCCTCCCTTATCTAGCTTATCGACAATGACCCGTACGCTTCTCCTCCCTGTGGACACGGTCCAACAACATTTCCCACGACATCCTTCCCACCTCGAGATGCGCAATTCTAACCTAAATAACCACGACACAGGCACTTCCGGCGAGTAATCGGTTATGCCCGCCCGTCCGATTATGTCTACGGCACTGTCGCGGGGGCTGCTGGCCCCGGCCTTCTATATCTGATGGAGAAGATGGCACCATCAGGTGTCGGAAAGGGTGGCTTTCCCAAGGCGATGCGACTTGCGACCGCCGTTGGTTTCTTCGGCGGCTTCCTCTACTTTTACCAACGATCCATCCGTATGTGGTTCTCGTTTCCTTCAACATGCAATCGGCACCCGCAAGTTCACCACACAGTCCAACAGGGCGGTTGCAGGGATATCCCGGTGAACAAGCGGTTCTGTTCCTGACAATGCGCTAACATGGTAACAGTCCGTTTCTATGGCATGAGCGAGAACGCCCGCGAGATACAGATGGATATGCGTGAGATGGTCGACAGGGTCAAGGCTGGCCAGCCACTTTACGGCGTCAGCACCCTGCCTGTTGATGTACAAGGCATGGCCGCTCGTCAGTCGAGATACTCGGCCCTTTTCTTCGCTGTCCTCCCTTGGTTCAACTTTGTGAACCACAACCAGCACGGTGTCGACACAGCCAAGTACTACCAGCAGGCCGAGAGGGAGTTGGAGGCTGAGCGTTTGGGCAAGGGAAGCTCGTCGTAAGAGACGAGCGTGGCGGGAGTTAAATGTGAAGGCCGGGAGTGGTAGTCCGCCAGAGGGTGAGAACAGAACCTCGTTAGGCGAGAGGGCTGACCCATCGGATGCTGGTGTACATATGGAGCTTTAAACGACTGGACCAACAGAACAGAACGCAAGTTAACGACCATCCCCTACCCTGACTTTTACGCAATGTTCCAGGAGGTGCGTTGACTGGATGGGTTGTTAGAGGTGTTCACCACCAATAGAGGAACTGTGGACAAGAGGGTGCGCTTTGTGTTGCGTTGATATCACGGCGGCCACTCAGATTTCGGGACCTGCCTGATGCCGCAGCCTCACTAACCTATCACTTGACAACCTCCCGATAGATTGAAGATTGGGTCTGGTCTACTCGTCAGGTCTACAATTCCGACATTGACAAGATGAGCCATCTGCAATCCATGCATTTCTCTCTGCTCTTTTACTTTGTCTCACCACATCACCTAATAAATTTACTCAAGACTCGGACGACATAATCACTAGGAGTCGGTACGTCAGGAATTCTCCTATTCCCCTCGAAACGTGTCTATGTGAATGCACCTACATCCACGAGTCTTGAAGTCCTTCGTCAGAGTTTCTGGGTTATATTTTCAGCAAGTGATTAACCGGAATATGTTGACGAAGGCTATGTAGTCTTAGCCGCGTACATAGCCGTCCCGGGTCGGCGCCAAGGTGTGTCTTGCACATCAATGTCCCGGTCGATCACCACACTTGCTCGGAAAATGATGTCATTTGTCTTATCGCTAAACCCAACTTCTGCCTCAACACTCGCGATGATAGCGGCCTGCAAGATATCTGGCTGACGTGAGTTGCCGTTGAGAATCGGGTAGGAGTCTAATAGTCTGTTTGAACCAAACTATCGAATTTCAAATGAAGTGGTTGGCATACTTGGGAAGTTTCAACTCGTTTGTAGTGGAAACCAGAACCATCACATGCCTTTGTAACTGTTGTTCTTACCATCAACAACTGCAAGTGGTTTCAAAATTCTTGCGTATGCACTCAACCAGCATGTGCAGTTCAAGATCGACGCAAGTACAAAACGAGCGACATTCCGCGTACTTAGCTTCACTTCAATCCATCCACAATGAGGATCAGAACCCGGCACCTCGTCCATCGTTCCCCAACCCCAGTCTTCAAGAATCCTCCAAGATCCATCCTCTCCCCCCGAAGACCCTACACAACAAACAAACCACCACCTCCAAAGCAAACCCCAACAACCACCACCATAAATATGGGTTCCACAACAATAAACCTCCCCACCATCCACCTCGACACCACCCTAACGGACCTCTACAATCTCGCCGACCCCTCCACCGCGCACCTCCGCCTAGGCCTGGTCCTCTGCGGCGTCAACTCCGCCATCGCCCTGACCCCTTCCTTCCCGCGCAACAAGAAGTATCTCTACCAGGATAGTCCCTTCAACAACATCCCGCCGGCCGAGCTCAAAGCCGTCGCCGCCGATGCCGCCTCGTCGTCATCAAACCCATCCAGGTCCCAAAAAACATCAGACCTCCAACGCTCCCTAGCCCTAAAATACCTCTCCCTCATCCCCCAACGCGACGCCTTCATCGCCGGCGGCGGCCCTTCCACCCCAACCATCTTCTTCAACGTCTCACCCGGCAGCGCCTCGCAAGAGGCGCACGATCGGCACGAGGCCGAGACGACGATTGCCGTGCTGGCGCCCGAGCAGAGGCCCAAGTTGGTGTTTTGTTCTGGACCGAGCAGTATTCCGGTCAAAGAGCTGGGGATTGATAGGCTGGCGGTCAAGATCATGCTTGATGACCTTGAGAGGCAGGGGTATCCGTTGGTGGTGGACCAGGAGACGCAGTGGTTTTTGAATAGCAAGGCGGGGTTGGCGGGGAGCGGGTTGCCGACGCCGAGGGCGGAGGTGGTGGTTGTTGAGGGGTATGTGCCGGTTTCTGATCCCGAAAAATGCTGTGAGGTTTGTCGGGATGAGGATTTAGGAAAGGGAGGAGGGATGCGGTTCGTGCCTGCTGGGTGTAAAGGCGTGAGGGGACGATGGGTAGGGGAGCAGATGAAGAGGATCGTGGAGAAAGTGGAAGCCAGGCAGGCGCCGTTTGTGTTCAAGACGCAGCAGACGTTTGGCGGGGCGGGGACGTGGGTGGTTAGTAGCGAGGAGAAGAAGCGGGAGCTGGTGAAGGAGTTGACGGATGATGAGACCGGAGTGTTGCGGAAGTTGCTGTCGCAGGTGACGGCTAGAAACCAACAGATGAAGCCCGGGTCGGTGGTCCTGAGCGAGATGGTGCGTGATCCGGTAGGGGACTATGGCGTGACGTTTTTGGTTGGCAAGGGAGGGGAGGCGACGTTTTTGGCGGCGTCGGAGCAGATGATTAATGAGGATAACGCGTGGATTGGGAGTACGATTAACTATGCGCGCCAGGAGAGGCTGAAGGAGAAGTTTGAGGGGATCATGAGGCAGACGGCTGAGTGGGTGGGGAAGCATGGGTACATTGGACCCGTGGGGATTGATATTTTGGAGACGAAGGATATACCGAAGGATGGAGAACAGCTACAGCAGAATGGCACCTCGTCGGTGGATGGCGAGAAGACGGCGCACTACGTTGTGGATTTGAACGTGAGGACGTCGGGCTCGCTGGCGTTACCGTTGCTCAAGGGTCACTTTACGAGCAGGGGCATGACTTGTGCGAGCAGTTTTTCTACTACGGCGAAGGGATCGAGGAAGGAGTTCATGGAGACGTGGAGGGAGGAGTTTGAAACTGGGCGGATGCTGATCATGGCTTGGTACGAGGATAATACGAGCAATGGGGAAAAGGAGGTGAAGAGCATTGGCGATGTGGTGGTGGGCGGGAAGGATGAGAAGGACTTGCAGGATTTGATGAAAAGGGTGAGGGAGAGCACTGAGGAGGTGACGTTCTGATTGTTTTGCTAGATGGCATGTGTTAGGACGGATCAGGGTTCAAGATTCGCGGGTTGAAACTAATCTGTCCCTCGACTAATACCTTGCCATTTTGCAGTCTTTAGGTCGGATTCGCAACCAAGCCATGATCGTAACTCGGCTCGTCCACCATGGTGACCACCATGGTGGCTATGAATACCATATAACTTTCCAAAAACTGATGGTGGCTGACGGGACAGCCAGCCGCTTTTGTACCACAATGTTCGATTCAGCTTCCCCGCACACTGGGCCAACTTGCTCGATGCATGTCAGCCTTGAGACCTGCCGGCAGATATCACGACCACATGGTGGAAGCAGCTGCGAATGTAAGTAGGTGGTAGGATATTGGTTCGTTTGGCAGGAACAGATATTAAGGCGAGGACTCACTCCCAGCTGCTGCCCACCACAAGCGCACCCAGCGCGGGAACCAACGCCGGGTTCAGGTCATCCAACGTGCGGCACATATTACTCCTAGCAAATAGTTGCTGAGCTGTTCTCTGGCACTATACTATCATGGCAAGTCACAGCGAAAAGTCCAGCCAGCTTTGGTAAACATCTTATGCTTACAAGTATGATAGGTTAGAGTGATGGTATCGAATGGATGGGCAGTTGGATGCCAGTTAGCAGAGAGAAACGGTATGTAAGGCGGCCGATACCAATACTTGATACCTAAGAGCAATTGAAAACGGCCTAGCTTGGGATGCTTGAGTACCAGATCAGAGCTGGCTATTGGGTAACCAGACAGTCAATGTGATATTGATCCAGCCATGGTACTGGCGAGGTTGAGTTCCAGAATGCAGAGTGATGCAGTCTGGAGGCGATGACCTGGTTCACATAAGAGACCATCTATTTTCCCCTAGTTTCGGGGCTTTTGGAGTTCCCTTTATGTCCACAGAAAGTACCTGAAAGAAACTGGCATAGTTAGCAAGAAGAGAGTTCACCATGGAAACAACAGAGTCAATCTCAGGCCACAACGGGATGAGCCATCCACGATGAGGAAAAGGGTCACCTCCACATGTCACCTCCACATGTCACCTCCACATGTCAACCACCGGCGTGACCATGTCGCCAGAGCTCTTTGAGAAACTCTATCTTACGCCCAAAGTTCCTCATGTCGGCGATTATAACAGGCGATTTGCCAACCCGACTGCGCTCGGGTTTGTTGGGTACGTGCGGCATCGACTCTCCTCTTCGCCATGGTCTTCGAATGGATCATGGGCAACTTCTTCCCCATGATGGTCATGGGTCTCTTCGTCGTCTTCTGGTTGTCGTTTGGGCTGCTGCTTGTCGTGGCTCTTCTTGGATGGTACATGTGTTTCATCATCATGGCTGGCGAGATGCGAATCACTTTGAACCTCCCCGTGGGCGACTTGAGCCACTTTTGGCCCAGGACTGATGTTGAACTGGCGGCGGCGGAGCATCGCGACTGATGTGATGGCGAGCGTGTGGGATTTGGTCTCAAGAGAAGGGATCTCTGGGGATGATGAAGATTGGAGAGAAATAATCCATTTGTACTGGCCTACAGTCTGACAACTCCATCAGACTTGCATTGCACTTTCCATACGTCCCCTATGTACCCAGGATCATGCACATCAATTTGGCGTGATATGAGCAAATGGAGAGGGCGACCTTTTGAATGGACCCTTGTACCTACCTCTAGTGTTTTGAGAACGGTTGATGATCGGTGTGTGCCTGAAATTAGGCGCTCTTTTCCTCCTTACCTCAGCTGCTGAAGCATATAAATATGAAGATCATCTATATAAGGTATTTTTCCATTTCTTGCATCACTTTCACCCTGGTTCCCCAGTGTTGAACTCTTCATGTCGTCGCTGCCACCCTGTCCATTGAGGTCCGCAGTGGGGTTGACGTGACAGGCCGTACTAAAAGAGGGGGGGTCCGGCCAATGGTTGCTCAATCATTGATTTTTTAAAACGTTTGCACCTACCTCGACGGCCATTCAACAGTAGATTAACCATTTAATCTGTTCTAATGTTTGATATTTCCAAACGTTTGAATTTTACTAATGGTTAATGAATAGTTGAATGACGGTAATTACACAGTTTTAAGCTGCTATATGTCTGGAGAGAATGAACGTTGGGGTCTGTTAAACGTGGGTACAAATTCACGGATTGAGCAACCGTTGGAATTTCTAGCAACGGTAACATTACTGTTGCTTCAGCGTTTGCCAGACACCCCCTCCTTCCGTACGGGGCGGGGTTGCTTCCCTGCCACTTGACGCTGATTCGCCAATTCGCACCAAATTCGATGAAAAGGGAAGGCGCAACCAGCATGGATTTCGTCAGTGTTGCAGGGGGCTCAAATCGATTTCGTCATGACTTCCATTTCATTGCGCTTCTTCAATAAGTTGGGATGATCTCGATGCGTTGTTGACTTCCATGTTTGAATGCTCGCATTCAGAAGTGCGTCAACATATAAACAAGCTCCCTCTCCCAAAATTCCCCTTTTCCCCTTTCCTCTCCGGACTTCGTACAATGATCCAATCTCTACCTACACGCTTCATCAGACCCTGTACCAGGACACTTCATTCCACAACCAAAACAAGAGCACTCAACACCACTGCACGAACCACTTTAGCGACTCCAACAACGCTTTATCAACCAACCACAAGTTCATCCAAACTTCCAAGAACCAGTCTCCCACTCCCTCTCTACCAACAATCTCACAAAATGTCGACCGGAACCAAGTCCGCAGCCGCCGCCAGCCACGCTGAGCTCCACCGCAACTCCCTCTTCAACCTCGCGGGCCGCGTCGCCCTCGTCACCGGCGGCGGCACTGGCATCGGGCTGATGGCCACGCAGACCCTCGCAGTCAACGGCGCCAAGGTGTACATCGTCGGCCGCAACAAGGAGAAGCTGGACAAGGTAGTGGAGATTTACAACAAGGACATCGAGGGCGAGATCATTGCCCTGCAAGCGGACGTGACCAAGAAGGAGGACATTGCCGCTTTGGTCAAGGAGATCGAGTCGCGCGAGAAGTGTCTCTGCATCCTGGTCAACAACGCGGGCGTTTCCTCTTCAAGCGTGACAACCGAAGCCAGCGACGCCAAGGAGCTCAAGCACAACTTGTTTGAGAATAAGGACGCTACTTTCGACGACTGGACAGACACGTACCGCACCAACGTGGCTAGCATTTACTTCATGACCTCGGCTTTCCTTCCCCTCTTGCAGGCTAGCACCGAGCGCCACCCCGGCTGGTCCGGCACAGTGGTCAACATCAGCAGCATTAGCGGGCAAGTCAAGTCGGCCCAGCACCACTTCAGCTACAACGCCAGCAAGGCGGCGGCTATTCATCTGAACCGCATGCTGGCAGCCGAGATCGCCAACGCCGGGCTCAAGATCCGCGTCAACAGCATCGCGCCCGGTCCCTTCCCCAGCGAGATGACGGCCGAGGAGAGCGATGAGTTCCAGAAGAGTCATATCCCCAAGGAGAAGTACGAGGCCAAGTACCCGGGTGCTCGTCCGGGTCGCGATATCGATATGGCGCAGGCGGTGCTGGCGTTGGTGTCGAACCAGTTTATCAATGGCGAGACGTTGGCTGTTGATGGTGGGTACAAGTTGGCTGCTGGACTCTAAACGAAAAGGGGGATGATGATGTTGACGGAGGAAGGGATATCTGTTTAATGATATGATTGCATGTATGATAGCGTGTTATCCTGTTCTTGTGAGGTAGCGTGCCCCAGGGACAGGACAGGACATCCGGCTTCAAGGTTGGATGGGGTCTACGTGACCCAGCCTTGCAAATGCAAGGTGTAATGAATTATGACATCTTATTTTTTTTCACACCAATCACCATGCCATGACATTGCATTGTGAGAACTTCACCGCTTGATTTTGTTCTGTTCTGGCTTGGTTGGCTCTGTCTATTCCACATTACAAATTGTCCCTTTTTGCCCCTTCACCAGCCAGGATGTGTTGGGTTGTAAGCGATACAACTGAGCGAGATGGACCCGGAAGGATAACTCCTAGAAATCAACCCTAACTGTGTGGCAAGTGACGTATAGAACTATTATCCACCTAGTCGAAAGAGGTCGTAAAAAGACAAACCGAACAGTCAATTGTATGTGAATGGCAGTTCATGGTCACAACCCCTTCACTAGGGTTCAAGTCCAACCGAATCAATGTAAGCCAAAGTGAAAGCAAATGTTCATAATCTCACGGTTTTGTGACGAGGCAAATTGCGTCTGTAATTTATCTGATCTCATTCCATCGTAAGACGCCGTTCAGTCCTTTAGCTAGGTACTTGCCGCGCTGCAATATCGCGCTGTCCATCCATCCATCCATCCATCATCAAACGTACGAGCCGTTCCTTTATGGAAAGTGCCGACTGCATAGATCTAACCCATTTGACAGGCCGAGTAGTAGCAAATCATGTGAAAAAAAGAAAAAGGGGGTATAATGTCGTTAAAAACGTTAGCAGTCTCTCCTCTCCTCCTATCCCTCCTCCATGTGTGTTATGTTGTGCCTCCCGGCAGAAATGCAAAGAGTAAGTAAGGAAACCCCTTCATCCATTCCCTCCGTAGCCAATCCATGACTGACAAGAATGTGCGAAAGGAGAAGATGAGTGGACCAAACAAAGCAAAGAAATGGTGTGATATGAGTGAGCCAGGGAGCAAGGAAAAAAAACCAAAGCCAACCAACTGATCAACCGACCCAACCGACAATGACCGTTAAGTACCAGCCGTGAAAATGCAAAGTGTTCGTTATGTGATCCAAAGCAATAACAAAAACATGAAAGCAATAAATAGTGCAAAAAGTAGAGTGATTCCACAAGCCAAACTCCGGGGGTATATCCAGGGCCATGAAAAGGGGGTAAAATCCCGAACCAAGTCATCAATCTAGCTAGCCATTTCATCAACCAAGCCGAACCAGTGAGTGGGGTGTACCATGCGCCATAAAAACGCCAAAATGAGCAGCCATGACAAAGCCAAGTTATGACAAAGAAACCTGGTTGGACGAAACCATCCCATCCAAGACTGGAGGCTCTCAGGTATACAGGAACCTCTCAATGTGCTTAGGGTCAAGCCAGCCAACCCGTTCGTACGCCGTCCACAGTTTCGATGCCTTGTTGACGTCGATCTTGCACGCCTGCTGAGCATCCGTCTTCCGGAACTCCTTGCCAATCTTGGCGCACTCAATGCGTCTCATGAAGATGCGCCTCTTGCTGGTCAGGTAGGTCGCGCAATCCAGGCGAAGGGCAGCAGCAAGGCTGAGCTCCTCATCATGAAGGAGCGCCCTGTTGGGATCCTTGCTCAAGTCGAGCGGGTTGCCCTTCCAGTCAACCTTGAGACAGCCGGGTGTGTTGGGCAGCGTCAAAATGCTGGGCGTGTAGTCGGGAAGAGAGTCGAAATCCTTGTCCTCCCTGTTTGGTGCCACTGTTCGCACCCTGGGTTCAGGAGTGGCGCTAACACGTGCCGTCTGCCGAGAGTGCGTAGGAGTTGCCCGAATCGGTCGAGGGTTTTGGGCCGGTGCCTTGGTGACTCGGGGCTTCTGGATGCGGCCAGTGCTGCTGGTTCTCGCCACCTGGGCTCTCGGAGCCGGAGTCGGAGGTTGAGCGGCAGGCAAGATCGTTGGAAGCTTGTTAACTACGGGCCGTGCTTTTGTGTGGTTCTTCTTATCAGCTTGCAGATACTGGCGCTCCTTGCGCAGCCAGTCCCGAGGATCCTTCTGCCACATCTTGAGGCACTCCGACTTGAAGAAGAGAACAAGCTCGTACTCCTCCGGCTTCGGGGGCGATGTGGCGCGTACAATGCTTTGGGGTCGAGAAGCAATGTGATGGTTGACCAGGTCATCGAGTGGCTCGGCTGCGGGAACCGAAGGAACGAAGAGCGGCTCGGAAGGAGGGCTGGCAGCGGTTTCGGGGGCAGGATACAGAATCGGGTCGTTGTCCGAAATGGAGAGGCGAGGGTCCATTGTGATGGAGTTTCTCGCCCTGGTGTAGGGGGAGATGGGAGGAGATATGGGCGGGTTCGGTCCCAGCTGCCTGCTTGCAGCGGACATTGGCTTTGAGGCTGGCATTGCGGCGTCACGGTGATTGAATGTCTCGTAAGGAGCTGGGCCAGGAGGAGACATGAGATTGCTGATGTCGAACGGCCTCTTGGGCTTGGAAGAAGTCGAAGTGGATGACATTGGCATCGTAGTGTAATCCATTGGGAACAAGGCTGGCTGTAAGACTTTGTCGTTCTTGCCAGACATTGTGGCGAGGCTTGCTGCCGTTTGCTGGATGCTGGGGGATGAAATGTTCGTCCTGCTGGTTTGGAGACGGAGTGTAGTATTTGAAGTGTCCGAGACGGATATCGACGGTTGATGGGATGTGTAAGAGGACCGGTTCGTGAACTTGTGTGGTGGTGTTCTTCGGATGGGTGGCGAACGATGGGTTGATAGCGTCAATGGGTGACGAAGATCAGGGATCGATAGGGATTAAGTCGAGCCGGTGCCTGGCATGAGCTTCAATGGCAGTGACTGGTTGACTGGGAAGATCCTTGACGGTTCCAATCGATCGCAAAGATGATAGAAAAAGTTGGAGAAGAGGAAGAAGCCGACGGTGTTCCTGATGATCAAGAGGCGTTTAAGAACAGTCGGGCAACGTCAGGCAGCCAGTGCTTTGTGCGATTGTTGTTTGGGCAATTATTGTTCGTTATGCGTTTGAATAACGCTGAATGGCCGGATAAGGCCTGCGGTTTTGCTGTCAATTCAACGAGTGCTACACAATTACATGATGCAGCGTCTGGGTATTGTGCGATGTCTTCCTTATTGTTCGAGATGCTTGCCACCATTCGTTGCCATTCGGGTCGGCGGGGGGTGGTTGAGGGTATTGAACAATAGGAACGTCTCTATTCTAGCAAGTGTGGAGTAGCGGTTTTGGTCTGGTGCTGAGATGACAGTTGAGGTCCAGTCCAGTCAAAGTTCGGGCTGCGCTGCGTTTTAACGGTGCACCGTGCAGCCCCAGTTTAGTGCCCCGCTGCTGGGGGTTGGTAGGGGCACTTTGTATTAGTAACGGGATGGAAGGTGACTTTGAGAGTCCCGTCCGTCAATAGAATCGAAGCAGCTGGAACCCGAGAGGGGAAGACTTGCGTCGGCGGAGCAGGCAGTGCTTCCCAATTGAAACCTGAATAATAACCAATTGACAAGTCAACTAGTCAATGGGAAGGAACAATAGCATAAGAATTGGAATGGCGGCGGGAGGAGGGCGAGAGGGTGGAAGAGAAAGAAAGAGTGGAGGGGAGAGTTTGCAAAGAGGTAGAAGAGCAAACAGAAGTAGGAAACCGAAGAGAGGCAAAGGGCTCCAATATTCTAGGGCGACAGGGCATACGGGCATGTAAAAAGGATGCAGTGCCGCCGGTGCGGGCATCTAAGGTAAATGGGCAAATGCGGCACTGCAGCCAGAAGGAGCGGGCCACCCCCCTCCCACCTGCCATGCCTCCCTCTCCGCCTGCTTCCGCTCACCTTCCTCGCCGACAGGTGCACCAAAAGTTCCATGTCGAACTGTGTCGGTACCTGCCACGCGGGGGTAACCAAGCCAGCAAGAGGTACCTGGACTGTAGCTGAAATACCAACCTAACAGTCCGTCGGTAATCCGACCAGGATGCGTGCTTGAAATGCGATGCGATACAGGTCACACACCGTCGGACCCAAAGGTAAAGAAGGTCTGTGACCTTTCCCATCACTGTTCAGGGCAGCTGAGACTTGCCAGGTTGATATTCTTTTGAGGCCCGTCAATTGGAACCATGGATCCTGACCTCACCAAGTCATCATCTTCCAATGCAAATTCCGGCTGTTGCTCTCGCCTTCGATGCCAGGCTTCAAACGACTGACGCGGCCATCTCAGAACCTCATCTGGGGGCACGGAAACCCAAACAGTGGGGCAGATGGCATGGGGCGCTTACACTTGATTGAGCTGAGCATGCTGAGGTACCTGAGCAAGAGGCCAAGTGCAACATATGGATCCCTTCATCACTCACCATGTTCGCCCTCTTTCGCAGGGGGACTCTTGTGCCTGTTCGCTGTGTTTCCCGGTTCCCATCCCCTTCACGTCTTCTTGCTGCTGCCTCGCTCTTCCAATTGATGCACTTTATAGAGGTTGGATTGCGAAAGAGTCATTCGCTGACCTTTGGAGTCACCCCTCCCTTCTCAGGGTTGCCACGCCCCTGTCCGTAAGCCATTGAAGCCCGCTTCAAAGCAAGCCGTGACTGGGACGCAGCCAATCCGATGAATCACCTGCACGCACTGTAACTACATCCCTGTCAGTAAGGCAAGACAGGAATATGGCTTGGCGGGCCTGGCGTAAAGTCAAGTCAAGTACCTAATTGAACCCAGTTTGAGGGTACTTGGTGGTAGTGTACTGTATTCACAAACCGTGCAGTCTATCATCAATCGGTGCCATTGGAGCCTCAAACCCTGGTGTAGATCAAGCCGACCAAAGGGGAGCATGCCATTTTGTTCCATTGGCTCCATGATTTCCAAGCTTTGCGTGTTGTCAGCTGTCACTTGTCTCTGCCGACAGTTGGGCTCGAACACTTCCAGCTAACATTTGCTCCGTCCATTGCAATGCGTAGGAATACGAATGGACGGACTTGCTGCAATGTCGTACAGATAGTTAGATACACCATCGATCGCCTTGATTGATTCAGAGAGAGTTTTGTTTCCGATCGTTAGAAATCGGCTAGACGGGAAGGGAGTTTATTGGAGGCGGTTGAACGAGCCTCAACGTAACAGCGATTTGGTGTCGGCTGTGGCGGGGAACCATGCTGAAAACGACATGGTCTGCGAGTTCGATTGATGATATGATTACCGGTTTGTCGAGATCAAGCTGCTTAACTCACTTCGTCGTCCAAGCATGTCTCCTTTTTCGAGGTAATACCTGAAGGCAACTCTTGCTGTCGTAATGAGCGTTGCTTTTGGCGAGCATAACTGAAAACAGTTGCTTCCCTAACCCTGACATGTCAGTAAACCGCCAGCCAAGATCATCGCTCCTCTAGTTAGCGTTATCAATTGGGCAGATATTCCAATTGCATCGGGCATCCAGCGTGTCGCGGAGGCGGGGATTACAGTAGGCGCAAACGGTTGTTCGGAGACTGGCATACGCAGAACTGTCCAAGAGCCCCGCTGGTGCATTTTTACGGGCATGAATTGAAAGCACAGCTGAAAAAGAGACGGACAGCTCATCGCGCGCGGGCAGCGTATCCGGACTGTCCTCGCCGGTGTTTTGCCACATGGGACCGCGAGATTTGAGATGGATGGAGATTTGAGATGGCGGAAAAGCGATTGGCCAATCAGAGGTCGGCCACGGACAAAGGAATTAAGGATGCAAAGGCCGCTGCGTACCTGTATGACAAATTGCGAATTCATAAAAAGTGGAAGCGAAAGAAAATCGGTAAAAGACGGCAAGGCGAGTCAGCGATTGACCTTGTCGCCTTCCGCCACAGACCGAAGGGCCCGAAATGGATTAACAACCAAGTTTGCTTGTTGGTGAGGATGCCGTGGTGGGAGTTTTGGAGTTTTGCGGTTCCGTCGGAGAAATGCAATCAAGCCAGTGCAGGTCAGTGTGCTAAAAAAAATACTGTGCACGCTAACTTACCCCGCTATCAGCTGCGTTATCGATAACTGACCGAGAAATGAAAGTCGCAGTCAGGTCCCTTGGAGTCCCGCAAAGTACTCCTTCCACATCGACGACGGCAGCTACAAAACAGACTACCGAGCGTGTCTCTATCATTCCTCTCACTCCCCTCAATCCATCTCAAGCGATCCATTCCCCGACACTGTTCTCTCCCGCATTCAAGCCTGATGAGATACCGTGCCGTCGAGAGCAGCATTCAGCAGCCTCAATGGCCCATTATGTGGCAGCACGACAGAAAGGCTCCCCGTCTTGGATACCACAGAAACCTCTGATGGTGCCTGTCCAGGATGCCACGTACCCTTATCGTCAGCCTGCTCATCGCATTCCCCTCCTCACTGCATGAAGGCAGGCGATCAAGGGACTGGTATCCGAAGCTGAACAACCAAGACTCTATCAAAAGAAAACACACCGCGGGGTCGACCAGCCTCCAGATGGGCCTCCTCTCCCCGCAGTACCCGCCTCTGCGTGACGGCGGGGCCGGACACGCGAGCATCCACTCGGCCGGCTCCCGTCCCGGTGGACTTGTGGGCCTCCCGTCGACCTTGACCGGACCCCGCTTTCAACCCCTGATCATCTCAACTCAATCCCTCGCGGCCCTCCCCTCATCATTGACCTCCCTGGCCACTTGACTGACAAGACTGACAATGGCGGTGACAGGCTCCAAATGCATTGAACGTTGGCATATGAGAGCAATTGGCCAATCACCAAAGAGGCAAGCAATCTCTTCAGCGCTTCGGACCCTGGCGTGCCTGGGCTTTTGAGCTCCAATGTTCTTTGATCTTCGCCGCCCTGGACCACAACAGACAAAGAACGGAAAGGGAGCTTAGCGTAACCGCGAAGAGGGTACGTTGGTGCAAAAGTCATTGTTATTGCCAAGTTTAGGACGATCGACGAGACAAACTCATTATCAGGTGTCTTCCAACAGCGACATAAAAAAGCAAACGAGTCCAAAACCAGAACCAACGACAAGATCATAATATGACATCAAAGCAAGGGAAGAATGTTTACCTCCCAACAATGATGGACACGGCATGAAACTCAATTCCCATTTCTAAGTCATTCTGGGAATTTGGACTTGCATTCAGGGTTCATGCATCGTTGGTATAAGCAATAATTGCTACCTCGAACGGGCGCATTGGACACGGTTGGTTGGTCAACCGGAATTCTCTCCAGCTAACAGGCAGATCACAACCCCGGCTGGTCTGGTTCCCCTTGCAGATACAGGGTTCTTGATGGCGGCTGACGCACTCAGGGCACTGCACCCCAGAACGACCAGGCACCAAATTCCCCATGGGCTCTGTTCATCAGCAGTCTTCATTGTGTCTGGTATTCAGCATACCAAAGAGTCTCGTGAAGGAGGACAAGCCTCTTCGAATCTCGCGGCACATTACGCGATGCATGGTCAGATTTGACAAACATTCAACTTCCTACAACAATTTGTCGCACTCGACACCTCTTCGGAGCTGTATCTGATATCGGAGACCGACTGGTCAAGGCACGCCTCTCTCTATCCCACTATAGACGCACTCTTTTAATCACTTCAGAGAAACCGCGCAGTAAGGCGTGGGTCTATCCATCTATCCACCATAGTGTGCCACCACCCATAGTATTTTCACATATTATACGTCCGCGCATCCGAAAGAAGGTCTCAACAGCTCGCAGCCGACACCCCATGAATCCGTCACCTGACTTGACAAGCGGACCTTGTGAATCTTGGCTACCCCTCGTCATGGGGTTGACCTTGGTCCCGTCACTTGTCTCACTCCCACTCACCAAATATCACCACCACCACACCCTCTTTCTTCCACAATCGCCCCTTATCCGCTATGGGTGGTGTAGTGAAGACAACCATGAGGACGGCATTGGACTCAGAAGACTCGACCACGAGGACCATCCCGCTCCGCTAGACTCCCGAAAGAGGGTGTAATGACAATGGGAACTGCGACGAATTCAAGGCATGAGGCCCTCCCATGCTTCGGCAAGCACGGTATTAATTGCTTTACTGTGTACTAGTGTTGACTTCCGACACAAAAAGTCAGTCATGAGCTCGGTTGACTAATCGTAGCTCATGATTGACAGTGACGAGATGTTTCATCGACGACAAGGCAGCCAATTGAGGCCATGTCGGCCCTGACATTGCTTCGTGCTGTAGTCATTGGTCACTGGCCCGCTCGCCATGTTTCCTTTATCGCCTCTCGGGCGTATCCTAGGGCTGATTGAGCGGGTGCGTCGACCATTCATGGTGCCTGTGTGAAGGGTTCTCGCTACCCCAAGAGGTCCTACGCCCACCCTCCTCCACCATCAACCTCTTTGCCGTACACGGTACGTACCGCGAGTACCTCATGTGCATAACACCTGTTTCTCATGTGGTGACTGTGACTTGTTGACCCTTATGTATCAATCAGTATGGCAAATTCACAAACGGGAAGCAGATGAGGAATCGCAACAGCCCAGCCATGGACTCTTGTGGCCTATGGCTGCTCGAGCAGGTTCCCAAGAGCCTCAATGCTCCGGCTCGCGCAACATTAATAACGACGTGTTTGGGCTAGATTCGCTCCCCTCGGTCCCTTACAACGTCGTCGTTGGTTTCATGACAGGATGCCCCATCAACCACTTGGAATTGCACAATGAATGGTAAAAAGCCTGTCATTGAATACATACGACATGGCTACCTGAAATACTTCCATGGAACTTGGATAGGGATGAACATGTCTCAACCGGAATCACCTCGCCATGACCGGGATGGGGACACATGGTCTCGATCGTCAATTGACATTTCAGCATACCGCCCAGTGCGCGTGAATCGATCGGAATAAAACATGGAACGAAAGATATACTACTCTTCGATCAAACAAGCCAAGTCCTTCCTTCCACCAACGGTCTGACCTGTCATGACAACATATCCCTCCAGATACTAACTAATCCCAATCCCGTTGCTTTCTTTGTTCGTTCCATTTCATCCCAGTTGCGAAGCAACAATCCAACAATCCAACTAACATCCCGCGAACCAACAACATTATCCAATCACGCTACCCAATTCCCAGGCTCCTATTTTATGTGCTGTGTGCCTGATACTTCCCGCTCTATCTACGCATTTCTTTCATTGTTCACATTCTTTGTTACCGCCGTGCCCTTACCAACCTACCCCTTACACACTGTGGTTGTTCGTTGGTACAGTACAAATAGATACTGAGGAAGACGATAGCGCCATAGGTCACGCACACACAAAACATTCTATGTATACAAGATCGTTATCCCCACACCCTGTCACCCACCCCCACCCCCGGGCCATGACACTCAACACGCAGACAAGCAGCAACCAGCGGCCGATGGACCGCCAACATATTCAGAACAGGAGGGGATCCAAGCCAACAGTCATTCATCACAATGTCCCGTCTCTAACAACATAGGTAGCTACCAACGGTAATAATACCAAGCAACGGTAAGATCCGGATGCAATTCAGCAAACTATATTGTCCATCGTAATGGTGATCACGAAAGCCGTTGATCGGCCAAGCGTACGTAGTGTGCCTGCCCTACTTGACTGATTATATACACACTATGCGCAAGTGACAAGTTTAAATTCGCGGAATGAGTCACACTGATGCTCGCTGCCAGGGACATGATGACTATTAATGCTGAGAGCGCGGAGTTTTGGTACAACTGTGAAGCTCACAAAACGTACTGTGTAGATACTTGTGCGGTATAGATATGGGATTGGGTCGGACGCGAGAAAACTGGAAAATATAGTATGTACGCTACTCTAAATACCCACCCACGTATAGATTGAACAAAGGAGCATTAGTTGTTGTAGCGCGGAAAAAAAGACCTACTGGGTATTTAGCTAGTACTTAGAAATGTCCAACAAGATTAAATACAGCGCGATTGAAACATGGGGAAAATAAGATAAGAAAAAGTCACAAGCGGGAGGGACACTGAAAAGAGAAAGCAAAAAAAAAAAAAAAAAAAAAAAAAAAGAAAGTTAAATTCTCACTGCGCCAGCCGCGAATCGAACGCGGGGCCCATCGATGGCAACGATGGATTTTACCACTAAACCACTGGCGCTATTTGAACTGATTGAATCATTGAAATTTTTGGTGGGCCCAAGGGTCTATGTATCTATCCACTTCTTATCCTGGGTCGTGGATACTGAAATGCCCAGTGACAGTCATCTTTCACCCACCTAGCCTATGAATAATCAATCCTTCTCCGAGCTCTCTCTCCTCTTTTTCGTACACGTTTCGTTCGTTCATAAGTTATTTAAGGAAAGAAGCACGCACGGACTAGATAGAATATTCCGTGGTTTTTTTCTCTTGTGGCTGAGGATATTGGAAAGTTGTCTGTACGTAGATAGGTACATAACATATGCCATGCCCATTATTACCTACTACAGCCAAAGTGAAAACAAATGAACTTCAAAAACCCCGGCCCTGGGAAATAATTACAACGCATCGCCTCGCCTCGCCTCGCATCGCATCGCATCGCGACCGGATCGCGACCGCACAGCTTTTGCCTACCTACCTACCTACCTACCTACCTACCTACCTACCTACTAAGCAGGCAAGTTGACAACATAGTTATGCAAATGTGTGCATATTGAAATGCGTGACTACCTACCTAGGCTGCGCCGGCCGGCGGAGGAGGTATGTACATACGTAGGCTGTAGGTAAGGTAGCCGGGTACATAGATAGTCAGCCAGGCACGCACGCAGTAGACTCTATACCGTAGAAACTCGCGAATATCGGATTTCACCAGGTCTGCAAAGAATTCACTAACCTAACTCCGCGCAGCCGGTCGTGTGAAAAAGTAAATGCAATGCTCACACAGGCCCGAATCATCACTGAGTCCGTTGCATTCATTTTATTTTTATTTTTTTTTACACACCCTGCTCTGCTCCGCTACATACATACATACATGATGCTTCATGTCAGTACAGTCAATGAAACAGACTGACTGACTGTGTGAGTCTCTAGGAAATTCCCAATTTTGAGGCCACAGGCACGCTGCTCGCTCTGACTGCTTGAACGTCACAGATATGTGTGGCCGGTTTAGGAAAGATTCTCGGACCTGACATCCGATGTTCCAGAATTTTTTTTTTCGGTGGGTATGATATGGATGGCCCGGGTGAGTGTCCTCATCGATGTTGTGGGACATTGGCGATGACTATGACTCCCTTAGCAGGCTAGGCATTCTAAGATGCATGCCTACGCCCATCTAGACTAGACTCTATGTGTGGGAGTAAAGCCAGAGAATGGTTGTGTTGTACCTCTCTTTAATACACTGGTATCTTGTACCCTCGTGTGTGAGAGGCCGAGGTATATCATCTCTTTCCAAGTCCCTCAAAGTATAAGCTTGTCCTCCACATACATACTAGGCAGCCATCGGCCTGCTAGCTCATTGACCAAGCTCGGTCAGGTTGGAGGCGATGTCGGTCATCTTTGGACCTTCGCAAGAGGCCTTGTTACCGCTTTCTACCGCCGCCCAAAAAAGCTAACTGGTCAACCTCTTTTACACAAAATGATATTGACCGCTCCGGGTCGTTGTTCTCCGCGCGGTTCACCGAAAACCTCGGGGACGGGGGCTGTGGTACAGAAGTGTGTGACTAACTAAACCGGTCGACCAGAGAGTGACACGCGGGATGGGATAGGCTCGAACCAACGAATTTGAATCGACCCGTGTGTAATAGAAGACTCCGGAAACCACGGTGAAGGGGGACTGGGATGCACTGGGAGAGATAAGGTGAGGGCCGCGCGTCTGGTTCTTGCCACTTCCCTGGAGCCTGGAAGGCCTCCCGGGGCCATCTCATTCACCCACGTTTAGGTTGCCGACAGCCAACCTAGATTGGCATACGTGAGGCATTGATGTGTAAACCGTCTTGGCCTTATTCATCCTAAACGATGGAGGTTGTCATGGCATTCAAGGCTTATTCAGAGGAGGTGGCAGCGTTGAACGTTCTAAACAGTTCCTTTTGTTGCTTGTGTTGGTTAGACTGCGGGCGGTGTAATGACCTTCAAGATCAAGGGCTCTAATATCCATGATCCAGCTTGTCAAGTATGCCGGACCATGACGCATGCATTGAGTGAAACGCTAGATAGGACGTCAGAGGCACGAGGTACCCCATACGCCTGCCTGTTCCTGGGTAAGGCAGCCTATTTTGCCTCTTGCGATGTGTAGCACAGGGGAAAGCAGGGCGTCGTGTACGCCACGAATAAGCCCACTCCTGCGAAACGTGCGGGATGCTGTATGTATGATCGGCGCCTTCAGTCGGGGTTGTACTGGACAATGGCCCTGTTTGACATGAGGCTGTGTCCAGTGGGCCGAGTGCGATGGGCCAGACTCGTTGCTTGGTGTTTGAGTGCGATTAAAGGTCGACCAGAGTTTCCCGTAGGTTCACCACCGGCCGGAAAGTGAAGCCCTTTAACCCCCCATCAGCTATGAAGTGACCTTCAGAGAATGACAATTGTTAGGCAAGAAGTATGTCGGCGTTCATGTCGAACACGGTCGTTATCAACTCAAGTAAAGTCATAAACCATCAGACTCTCGCCCCCACCCCTCTTCTCCTTCAGCACGATGACCATCTCATCGTCGAATCCAACCCAGTTCCTCCGTTCATCCCAATCGTATTCCAAATCTTGGTTGTCTACTGCAAGGCGGTTAGTGGGGACGAAACCGCTTTTATTTGAGGCCTGACCCGGTTTGATCTCTATGCTCCGACTGCCAACCCCATTCGACCGCCCTTCAAGCTCCCACACACGCATCTCTTCGCCTCGCGAGCTGACGCTGACGGCCTTCCCCCGCGCCGTTATCTCGGCGTTGCTGATTCCCGACGTGTGGCCCCATAGCCGGATGCCGCGAGAGATGGACAGCGAGGAGGCGGTAGATGTGCACATATGCAGCACGAGCGTGTTGTCAGGTAGAGTAGCTAGGAGATAGGGGTGGGTGTAGCAGAGCGTCGTAGGCCCGACCGTGTCTGGACGGGATCGTGAGGATGGGCTGTCTTGTTCCCGAGACCTGGCAACTATTTCGTGTAGAGGTGTTGCTGGTGTTGCCTGCAGCCCACTGCCTGTGTCTAACGGCATTGTGTATGCTGTTTTTGTGGTAGTGATTTCGGGGGCGGACTTGACACCTGTAGTTGGGGCCCGAATGTGCATGTCCTGAAGACCGATGGACCAGCCCCGTCGGGTGGAAAAGGTGTAAGCTATTGAAGCGACGGTTGTTAAGGCCATTTTTCGTATGGATAGTGCAAGAGGAGGTCTCGATGAGTAGGAGTTGAGGGATGTGAGTAAATATGGCGCTGGCAGAGTATCGGTGTCGTTCTCAGAGGTACTCGACTTCTCTTCCACTGAGCCACTCGCTTTCGCCGTCGTTTTCGTCTCGCTGTCCGTCCTCGAAACCTCAGTCGGTTGCTCTGCCGGTAGTTGCTCTGGTACCTCGAAAGTGTAAAGCGATACCAGCACCGCTGCCGTGGCCGTCAACAGGTATGGATACGACAACGCCATCGCAACGATTTCCCCATTGCTCGACTTTTCGTGTTTGTACCGCCTTACGAGACGGTTCTCGCCACCACCGAATAGCCTCCAAACCCCAAAACTCCCATCTACGAACCCTACCCCCACATCCAATATCCCGTGGTCCAACTCGCTGTCGTCAACCGCAATACAGCTCGGCGTAGAATCCAGTCCATCCTCGCAGAGACTCACTTGGGCCAACAGATGTCTGCTCTTCAGATCCCATGCGCGCAAACCCGACACCTTATCCGCGGTAATTGCGATTCCCTCCACCACTTTGACGAGCACCTTGCGCTCTTGCTGTTGTTGATTTCCCTCTTGCGTGTCCCCCGTACCTCCTATCCTGAGCTCTTCAACCGCGCATTTGCCCCTCGACCAGTTGTATCGGATCTTGTATTGCCTCTTCCAGTTGACCGGCTCCCATTTCCGCTCTTGTAACCGTCCGTCGACTTGTATGCCTCGCCCGCTGTTGTCGAAAATACTTTGCTCGTCTCTCCTCCTCTTGATTCCAGCCTTATTGCCCCCCTCCTTTTTTTCCTGGACAACGCCACCCCGTCGCCCATCAGCCCACAGCGTCCGTCTGCCCGAGTAATGCAGCTTGTGACCGGCACCGCCTCCGCCGGCCGCGGCGTCTCGAAACCCCGGTATCCTCATGGCGCGCGGCAGCACGAAGCGCGCGTAGTATAGAGCCTTCCATAGCTGTGAATCTCCGGCGAGTTGGTAGAAGCGGCGCGACACTGGGGCGACGGCGAGGAGGTGTTGGAGAGAGAGGAACGATAGGATGCGAATGAGGAGCTCGTCTGAGAGAGAGGAGAGGAGATCGCGGGCGGTACTATGTCTGGGGTCGGGATCGGGCTGCTGAGCGCGTGTTGGTCGCGTGGCCGGCAGGGAATTGTTGTTGTCAACAGCGCGGGGGTTCAGCCGTCGGCGCTTCGCACGCGGGAGGAAGTCGGTATCGCTGCCGTGGTCGTTTTCGTCATGATGGTCCGAGTCATCGTCGTAGGCAACCAGAGGCTGTGTTCTTTTGCTGGCCATTTTGCACGATTCGCCGCCGTTGTATTGCGCAGCCAAGTAACGCTACTCGTTCGCGAGCAGGCTTCAAGCTGAAGAGCGGATGTGGTTGATTTGAAGCTTGCGGGCGAAGTTGCAAGAGGAAGAAACAAAGACCAGGATGTTCGTCGTGGAGATTCCAGTTTCTGGGGAAGTGGCAATGCCAAGCCTTTTAGGTCTGGGGTTAGGGTTAGGTACTAACAAACACTAACACTCTCTCGTCCAGGACAAATTAACGTAGACTGCAGCCGGGCCAGACCACCAAAACCATGACATCGCCGTAAACACCACGACGGTTTTCATTCCTCTCATGACTTTTATTCCTTTCATTCGTCCTCATGGTCATTCATAGTCCCCAATAGCTGTTTACAGCCCTACAATATCGTTGGTGTCTTGTCAATTTGCCGTTGACATCGTGCTCTGGAGTCCACGTTTATTTGTCCTGGACGAGACACTATAACATCATCCCCTCAATAAAGCTGACCAGGGAACGCCCCCTCGGCCTTCAACGTGGCAAAGAACAGCTGGGTTTCCGCCAGGATGACCATCCGACCCTTTCCAGCAAACTGGAAGTTGGCGACCGTGCTTCCGATCCAGATCTTGCCGAGCAGCTTTCCGGACGGGTTGAACACATGCACGCCGTCGCCGCAGCCCGCGTACAGGTTGCCCTTGGTGTCGACGTGGACGCCATCCGGCACGCCGGTCGCGATGAAGGCGAAAGTCTTGCGGTTGGAGAAGGTGCCGTCCTCTTCGACATCATAGCGGTAACTTTGTGTGAAATGCCATGTTAGAGCGGTTGTGGACTGGTGGCTGGACGAGAAATCGGAGGAACTTACATGCTCGATGGGAAGGACGAGTTACGCCCGAAGAAGCCCTGGATGACGCCGGTATCGGTCACGTAGGCGTGATGGCCGTCGGGTGAGAAAGTGATGCCTGGTGCCTGGTTAGTTACCTCTCTCTTCAAAAACTAACACTACTTACCATTAGGCATGTTGAACCCATCAGCCACAACGGCCACAGCCCCCGAGCTCTCGTTGAACATCCAAACCTGCTTCTGAATCACAGTCTCGGGCCGAAAATCCTGAACATAGCCGTAGGTGGTATCGGTAAAGTAAATGTCTCCGGTGCGCGGGTTGATGGCAACGTCATTGATCGAGTTAAACTGACGGCCAAAGTAGTTATCCAGGATGACTGTGGCGTTATAAGGAGCATTATGAGACATGACATAAAGCGCCGGAGCAACTCTGCTGCCCTGTCCCTCGCCGGCGAAGAGGATTCTGTTCTTATAGTTCGTTCCGCCTAATGAACCGGTTAGTTGACCCGATCCCTTCAATCTTCAACTTTTCACTTGGGTATATGACATACCATTAGGGTTGATAATAGCAGGAGTCGCTGCCACCAAGTGAACATCGACCTTGCCAGTGGCATTTCTTTGAGCCGATACCTCAGCTGTCACCTTGGAAAGCGAGATCTTCTGAATGACGGCCGACTTGTTGAGCCCAGTGCCAGCGGCGGGATCACCCGCGTTTTGCACGAAGAAGAAGTCATCCGTGGACGGGACCCTATATTTGAACCATCAGTTTCCTGTCACCGGCCATCTTGCCTAATACCCCCTAAGACGGGTGGGCGGACCACACATACCAGACAGCAGCTTCATGGAACCTGGGGTTCGTTCCTGATGAGTTGAGGAGCGTAAGAGTCGGGTTGGTCCCAATAATGTCCAGGAACTCTTCATCGTAGATGTGGAACGGCTTCTCAAAAAGGGACTCCTTTGTCGTTCCAGGCGGGATGAAGAGCTGCTCGCGCGCACAACGTGTAACAGGTTAGCGGCCACACGTCAGAACATGGAGATTCTCACTCTGGCAGACATACAGTAGTAGAATTCGCTACAGTAGGAGGCGGCACATCCCCAAGAACGTTGAAGCTCTTCTGGTCAATGACCTGTGCCTGAGCCGGAACATCGACGGCTTTGGCAGTTGTTGCCAGGAGCAACGTGAGGAGGGGCGCGAGAGGCGGACGACGAGCGTGGACCATGATGATGACTTTGGGGTGGTATATATGTGATGGAACGACAAGATCGATCAGGTCTACAGCCAGTCTTGACGGTGTGTGGTCACACCAAGTATTTATGGAAGAAGTCGTCGTTGGTTTTGACTTTTCCCGATCAGGTTCGGTCAAGTTTAAGCTTCACCGCCGATACCGTCATCGCCAACCCCCATGCCGATTCTATGGAATTTGGTCCCTTGCCAAGTTGTGGAACCATCTCACGATGATCACAAACTTGTTTGGCTTTGTTCGTCGTCATAGTTCTCAGCTAAATGCAACTGTGAATAAAGGTAGTTTAGCGCGCCCCCATTTTGACCCCCCACGTAGAACTATCCTTCCAACTTGGGCATTGTTCGAACTCAACAGATCAGGCTTTTCCCCGCACTGGACCAGTGGACTTTCTGACTCCTCACCCTATACGACGGGACTGGACTTTGATACGTGAAGTAGGACAAAAGTGAGGTTATACCGACCGGCAGTTTAGCGATTGGCTGGCCAATTTGTGGTCGGAGCAAACCCCAGACCTTAACCCCCCAAGAACTCCGCTCAAGGTTGCAGTCACCTCCATTCCCCCGGACCCCACGTTTAATCGCTCCGGTCACAAATCCGGGGTAAGGGTGGAGTGTACAGTCCAGTACTGGTTTGTTTGTTAGCTCGAGACCTCTGGTCAACTTTCCTAGGCGTTTACAATATCTAATTGATCCGTTTCGTTCCATAACCAAAGCGTGATCTTACCTTGCATATGCTATTTTGGAAATTTGATATGCCATATTGAATCTTGTTGATGCCTTTCCGACCCGTACCTAGCCATTCATTTTATCTTTGTAAAGTTTGGGACAATTCGGGATAGATCTCGTCCAGTATATAAGGAGTACCAAGCTAATAAACAAACCAGCATTAGATTGTAGGTGGTTGCAGGTGGAATTATATCTTTCAGATGCTTGCTTACTTTTAGGATGGAATAGCTGGAATCTGCTAGCAAGGTAACGTTATGAACAGCGATAATGGAATTGACGGTTGGTTTCGGGGTCAAAAGCCAAAACTGCAGCTAATCATAAATCAAATCAATCGCAACAGGACTCGCAGCCAACTGAGCAGGTAGTCACGAACGTTTCATATGTGACACTGTGACATGAGGTACAAAGGTTTTGTTTTCTTTCTCACCGTGACCCTCTGCCAGCCCAAAGTGCTAACCAGTTCAGCCATCCCAGATCTGAAGCGCCGGAAGATTCCAGATAAACTCACCAACTTCAAACGGCCCGAAGAAAAAGTTTCGTGCTTTCCTCGCCTTCCAACCATCCACCTCAACTCCCCCAAGTTCATCTCTTAGGTAGCCTTGTAGGCACCGGATACCCACCATCGTTGTTATTACAACTGCACAGAACTGGCATCGTTGCCGCAGCGGGAATATAAGGAGCGCAACAGGCCTTGTTGCATATCTTGGGCTATTATATACAACAAGCCCTATTGAATCTACAAGCCTTGTTGGCTGAGGGAGGCCTCTGATTGGTCGGATTTAGGTGTAAAATAGTAAAAGCCAAAGACTCCTATAAGGACCTTCTAGAAGGCCACTATAGGAGTCTTTAGTTAGTGGTAGTCTTAGTAGGGTAGAGGTAGTTGTAGTAGTCTTTGTGGTGGTCTGATTTTGGCTTCAAAGTCCGGATAAAGGCATTCACACTTCCGCGCGAAACTTTTCGCGCGACGGAAAAAAAGCTGACACCAGTTGGAATCGAACTGGCAATCACAAGAAGGAGAGCGACGGCGAGAACCATTGAACCACTAGCCCAATTAATTGAAGGCGGGCTTCGTTCTTTCCTTTGATATAGGGTGGTTGAGTTTTTGGGGGGAGATGAACTTTGGGAAAGAAGTATCGTCACTTCAGAGTAGGCCCTCTCGAAGGCACTAAAGCATAGATGTCTCCCTCGCGCAAGAAGGCCTGTAGATTCAACAGGGCTTGTTAGAATTACAAGTCTTGAAAGCCGTAGTAAGCCTAAGAAGGCTTGTTCCTCTGCCCATTTTCCCGCTACGGTGCTTCTACAGAGGTAGAACTCAGCTGCTTAGGATCAAGATCCACAATAAACCCGAGTCCAGTTCCCAGAGAAGATAAAAGGGACAACATGAAGTTTTCCGAGCCCGGCGTCGTCTCACCACAGCCCACTTGTAGCAGCTTGCTGTATCCTACATAAGATCGAACATCGCCGACTTTCCTTCTTCCATAGAGGTAAGGTACCCATGCCATTTCCCCTTCCATTGCTTTCATAGGACAGACCCATCAACACGGCTCGGCACATACATACAAGCCACTCACTCACTCGGACACATCGGACGAACTTTCTCCACATAAGGTACACGAGCCCCCATCTACGACATACGACACCTAAACAGCGAGACGGAGCAAGACTGTCATTCTCTCCCCGGATCATATGTTGCCCATATACTGCTATGCTATGCTGCTCTGTTGCCAAATGGTACCTCTACTAAAACACGCGGCATCAAACCGCCGGTTAAATGAGACGGGACAGTTATTAAACCACTTAACACTTTTTGCCAGGCCGGTTGTGGGAGGACCAATCCCGTTGTACCGCACAAGTGATGAATTTACTGGTCTAGTGATCCTGTGGGCTTTATACAGTAGAGTGTCGTCGTGTCTTCCAAACCTGGATTGGCGGTAGATTGTTTCCCGGTAGGTAGATGCGGATGCTGTCACACACACAGAATCTGGGGGCCCCGGACGCCATACTTTCTTTCCAATCTTTCTTTGCTCGAAAGGGGGTGACGGATATCAAATCCCATCGGAAGTAACACCGAGGCATCCATACCTATCCACGCGGACGTTGAAGCGCACGAATGCCAATGCGACTTGTAATAAGTCTTTTTGTGGGGACATGGATATGGGTTCTTGCTTGGTTACTATGAGGTGAAATGGTATTCGTGACCAGAGTACCTCTCAAGATATGAGAAGCAGTTCGGGGTGCCATAGAGGTGCCTAGGCAATAAAGACGTCGTTCGGTCTCTCTCTCCTTGTGTGGTAGGCTCTGTGGCTCGTCTTTATATCCGCGTCCGCCTACATTTCACACCTCCTCCTGCTTCACGCTATCTACCTGGTTTTCCCCTCTCGTCACCACTGCAGTCAAGTCATTTTCTAAACCATCCTCCATCCATCAATCAACTATGAAGTCCTCACTGCTGCTAGCCGTCCTAACCGCCGCCCTAGCTGCCAGGGAAGTAACCGGCCACGCCATCTTCCAACAGCTCTGGGTAGACGGCACCGACTACGGCTCAACCTGCAATCGTCTCCCAACCTCCAACTCCCCCGTCACCAACGTGGGAAGCCGGGATTTCGTGTGCAACGCCGGTACCAGAGGAGTCAGTGGGAAATGCCCGGTCAAGGCAGGCGGCACCGTGACGGTTGAGATGCACCAGGTGAGTTTTCTTTCCCGTGAACCAAACCATTCAAACAAAACCAAAACGTCCTTCCCTTCCAAGTGCCCACCACCCAACCACACATCTATCTCCATTCCAACTTTCTCCATAACTAACCCAAATATCTCACCCCCAAAAAGCAACCAGGCGACCGCTCCTGCAAATCCGAAGCCATAGGCGGTGCCCACTGGGGTCCGGTGCAAATCTACCTCTCCAAAGTCTCCGACGCCTCGACCGCCGACGGTTCTTCGGGCGGTTGGTTCAAGATCTTCTCCGACGCTTGGTCCAAGAAATCCGGGGGCCGCGTAGGCGACGACGACAACTGGGGCACGCGCGACCTGAACGCGTGCTGCGGGCGAATGGACGTGCCCATCCCCAAGGATTTACCTAGTGGCGATTACTTGTTGAGGGCCGAGGCGCTGGCGTTGCATACGGCTGGCCAAAGTGGCGGGGCGCAGTTTTATATTTCTTGTTATCAGATTACCGTGACTGGTGGCAGTGGGGGAAGTGTGAGTTATGCGACGGTCAAGTTTCCGGGGGCGTATAAGGCCAGTGATCCGGGCATTCAGATCAATATCCATGCGGCGGTGAGTAATTATGTGGCGCCTGGGCCGGCGGTGGTGGCGGGGGGAGTGACGAAGCAGGCGGGGAGCGGATGTACAGGGTGTGAGTCGACTTGTAAGGTGGGGAGCTCGCCGTCGGCGGTGGCGCCGGGGGGGAAACCGGCGAGCGGAGGGTCGGATGGGAATGCCCCCGAGGTGGGCGAGCCAAGTACCGGTGGTGGGGATAGTCCGAGTGCGCCGGGCGCTTGTGCGGTGGCTGCGTACGGACAGTGTGGTGGGAACGGGTACACCGGGTGCATCCAGTGTGCGGTAAGTGAACTTCTCGTTTTCCGTGAGGGCGTGGATGAACTTGAGCTGACAATGGTGAAAACCAACAGAGCGGATACACCTGCAAGGCTGTCTCGCCCCCTTATTACTCGCAGTGCGCACCGGCCTCGTGAAGGTTGTAACCGAGACTGATGGCGGAAAGCGCGAGCTGGTTGGGTGACTTGCTCATAAGAGACTTGGTTTTGCAAACACTACCGAGTCCGTGAGATAGATCATCAGGTGTAGGTAGTGAGCACTTGTTGTGTTCGCAGGCAAAATCCCGTATGGACCAACTTCCTATTCAAAATCCCCTTCAACCCTCCACTGATCTTGCAACTTCAGTTGCGTCTTCTCTGCAATGTCACACCCTTGATGACCCCATTTCTCGCTGTAGATACGCCTTCCAGCCTCTGTCAGTAGTTGAAAAGCACGGGCGAAACCTTCCGGATCGTAGTGGTACGGCTCTCCCAGACCACCTTGCTGGCTTTTCTGCCACCTGTTGCGCTGGCGGTCACCATCGCGGTACTTGTAGGCGCCCATGTCGATTCCAACCTGGTTGAGGATGCGGAAATACGCTTTCGGGTCCGTGGGCATGGTCGTCGTGTTCGAATCGCCGGAAACCTTCTTCACCTTCCACTTGCCCCTCTCCTTGATACTCTCCTCCTGATCCGGCGGCAACGGATTCGGATCCACAAACCCCGGAACAACAGCCGGGTTCCGATAGAGCGCCTCCAAATCCGTCATGACGCTAGACACATCATTAACAATACCTGCCCGTCGATGCTTCATCGTCCAACCATCCATGGCCAACTTCCCATTCATGTCGCAATCAGTCGCATAATACGGGATCATCGAGTCCCACCCGCCCACCGCCTCCAGCGCCGCCCGGTTCACCAGCGTCAAGTGATCATACTGAAACCAGCGGAACCCCCACCTCTCCCCCCTAGCCACAGTCGTGTTAATCTCCCTTAGGCAATTCTCATAAATAGTCATGTACCCCTCCTCGCCCGCAGCCGGCGGGTTCGTAACCGTTGCCTTCTTATCCTCCTCATCATAGACTTCCCACTCCCTATCGCCCGGCCTGCGCTCCTGATCCGGCCCGTCCTCGAACGAAAACACCAGCACGTCCTGGTGGCTGTAAAAGTAATACTTGTGATCCTCCTGGTAGGCGACGTCCAGGAAAAAGTTCTGCATCTGCGCAAAGTTGAGCAGCACGGGCGTCTGGATGACGTTCACGCCCAGTCGTTTGAGTGTGGTGTGGTTGAGAAAGAACGGGTTTTGTAGGGAGAGCAGGCCGGCCCGGTTGGAGTTGTGCACGCCTGTATTCTCGACGACGTAGATGCCGGAGGCGGGCCAGCCGGCGGTGATGTACGAGACTACGGCTTGCAGGAGCATGGGCCATTGACGCGTGAAACCGATGAAGAGCGGGGGAGGGCGGGAGAGGCCGTAGTGGAGATGGAGGTCAGGGTGGGGGATGTTGTATGCGGGGATCGGGGGAGGAAGGACGTCCTTGGAAGTGGTGGCGAGCAAAGGGAAGGGGTCGGTGATGGGCGGGGGAGGGTTCTTTGGAGGGGGTTTGTATTTGGGCGGCTGAGACCCGGGAAGTGGAGGTTTGTTGTCGTCCGCGGGTTGATTACTGGAGGGGCTGTTGTTGTCATTAATGATCGGAATCGTCTTGAGTAGTCGGGTGGCTGTTGGGCTGTCTCTGTAGGCATAGAGCAGGCCAAAGGTGAGGCCGAGAAGGCAGAAGACAACAATCGAGAGGCGCGCAACGCGCGGGTTAATAGTCGCAATCATGGTGGCAGATAGATCGAAATGACAGCGCGCTGCATCCTATGGCGGTTAATATCGCGTGATATTTCGCTTTGTTACTGTTGCAGGAGTCGAGAATTTAATGTTGGCTCAATGTGCGATGGAAGGTGGAGAGAAGAAGACCTTCGACGGGACTAGCCGAGGTTTGAGTTTGTCGTCGAGAGAAAGTTTAGTTGAAAGAGCTCGGATGCAAGGGGATTTTGTCACCGCCCGTCTACCGGCGGCTGGTTCTGACACGATTCAGGGTCGCCATTCCCGTCTTGGAGTTTTGATGGTACAAACAGTTAGTCTCGACGGATGTTTGCTACCGAAGGGCTCGATGTAACGCGTTAGTAAGTAAGAAGCGGAAGGTGGCATCAATGCTGACAGTAATTTTACTATGCAGTAGGCCGGGTGTATTGGCAGTGGCTGGTAGGCAGCTAGCGTCTCGTATCAAAAAGAGTAGTGAATAGGCTTCCGATTCATGTTGTCCAATGTCCATTCTCCGTTCCGAGGTCAATCGGGGTTTACCTATAACGCTGTCAAGACCCTTGAACTGACTCGGATGATGATGTTTTGCATTTGTGGAATGGAAAACTCGTGGGGCCTCGAGACAGTGGGCCTAGACCAGCCCTCCAGCCCTATAAGGTGAGACGTCAGTGCCCTGAAAGCTGAAAGGAAGTGGAAGCACACGGCGCGCTGGGGAGCCCCTCCGGTCTCTTTTTCATTCAAAATGCGGGGAAATCAGACAAAGAACGTTTCCCCAAAGAGGACCTTGAGACTAGAGCTAGATATTCTTATGTCGTGCTTCGTGGATGGACCCTTCATGCGGTGCTCGGCGGTGGAAGCTGACTTCGAGAACAGGGAACGCCAAGACGCAACGTTGCCAAGCACGTGCAGGTGGGGCATCACGACAATGCGCTCCCGTCCCCACAATCACCCGCCCCGACCTTCTCCACTTATGACATCTCTCCATCCTTCATCCTTCCATCCTTTGTCAATTGAGATAACTCTTGTCACACCCGGTACTGGCACCATGCGCTGCTTATTTCAACGACGATAACCGTTTAGCGTGAGGCTCTTCGACAAGCATACCTAAAGATATACTCCCAACGAACTCATTGAACCGCACTGACAAAACGGTCAGGCCGGCCGATTCCTTCGTGGACCAGGACAGGACCCGATGGCCACCGACAGCGTTTTTCTTCTTTCCACACGATGCGATATAGACCGGATTGTTCGTACCGAAAGACAAAGTAACGCAAGGTTAACCAATGGGTGCTTTTAAACCGGCATTCATAGCAGTTCGGAGTCCATCAGGCCCCCAATTCACCCTGCCAGACAGCCAATACCAGTGTGGTGCTGTCGATGGAACCATATCGCGTGGTTACATCTCACCCAGAGGAGAGCTCCAACTGATAACGGCTCTAAAGCGATCAACAACAGATAGACCCTGAGACTACCGTAGTGTAACATCACTTGCCGCTAGCTCCCTGGTATCTTGCTAGGCCCTCTTCCAGTTATAATGGCACCTCGCCCTCCAGTAATCGCCCCTACGGGCAACCGAAGCTCCTCTTATCATGATGAACGGTCACCTTTACTTCCACCTCTCGCCAACCACAGTGACGAAGACGACGGCTTTACCTCCCCAGCGGAACCCATTCAAGGACATCCGGATCGCGGTTGTAACCGGAAGCTCCAAATGGCCAAACCCCACAAAGCGGACGCCACCACCACCAAGGCCACAGCCCTCGTCCAACAACATGACAGTGCCCTGGACGAAGCCATCAACTTCGAACGCTCCCTCTCCTTCCTCCAAGCCTGCACCCTCTACCCCTCCGCCATCTTCTGGTCCGCCTTCGTCTCCATGGGGGTAATCATGCTCGCCTTCGACCCCCAGCTCCTCGGCAACCTGTACGCCATGCCGCAATTCCGCAAAGACTTCGGCTATCTGTACCAAGGAGACTTGTACATCATCAGCGCCCCCTGGCAAACCGGTCTGTCAATGGGCAACCCCGTCGGACAAGTCGTCGGCGCCTTGATCGCTGGCTATCCCATGGAACGGTTCGGGAGGAAGTGGACTTTTGGGACGTGCGTCGCGCTGACGGGTTGTCTTATTTTTATTCAGTTCTTTGCCCGCAGTCTGCAGGTGTTGCTGGTTGGTGAACTTTTGGGAGGGCTGGTGTTGGGGTGCTATGCTGTTATTGCGCCTGCGTATTCGAGCGAGGTTTGTCCGATGGCTATTAGGGGGGTGTTGACGAGTTATGTCAATTTGTGCTTTGTTATTGGGCAGTTGTTGGGGAATAGCGTGTGTGCGGGCACGAGCAAGTTGAGTGATCATTGGGCTTATTCGATCCCGTTTGCGCTGCAGTGGTTTTGGTGTTTGGTTATTCTGCCGGGGCTGGTGTGGGTGCCGGAGAGTCCGTGGTGGTTGGTGAGGAAGGGGAGACTGGATGAGGCGGAGATGGTCTTGCGGAGGCTGGCGTCGGAGAAGGTTGATGTGGTAAAGACGTTGGCGGTGATTGTGGAGACGGATCGGTTGGAGCAGGAGTTGGAGATGGGGAGTACTTATTGGGATTGTTTTAGGGGCGTGAATCTCCGCAGGACGGAGATTTCGATGGGTGTTTACTGTACGCAAGTGTTGAGCGGGATTTACTTGATCAATTATGGGACATATTTCTTTCAGCTTGCTGGTTTGGACACAGATGAAGCATTCAACATGGGGATTGGGTTTTTAGGTAAGTCAACGGATTGCTATTACCTCTTTATTAACTCACTCTAACAAGAACGTCTTTACAAAGCCGTCGGCTTCCTAGGCACCATCCTCTCCTGGCCCCTATTAATCCGCTACGGCCGACGCAAAATCTACAACACCGGCCTCCTAACCCTCGTCATCCTCCAGATCATCATCGGCATCCTCGACTGCATCCCCGGCCGCCCCAATGGTGTTATCTGGGCTGAATCCTCTCTGATGCTAGTGTGGAACTTCTTCTACGACATATCCATCGGTCCCGTCTGCTTCGTCATCCTGTCCGAAGCCAGCGCCACCAGGGTGCGATCGAAGAGCATTGCCCTTGCTACTGCCGCTCAGGGCGCTCTCGGCTGCGTGATGACGGTTGCGATTCCTTACATGATCAACCCCGATCAGGCGAACATGCAGGGCAAGTTGGGCTTCTTCTTTGGGGGGCTTGCTGCGTTGTGCTTGGTTTGGTCGTATTTGAGAGTTCCGGAGACGAGGGGGAGGACGTATGAGGAGCTGGATATTCTGTTTGAGAGGAAGGTTGGGGCAAGGCAGTTTGAGGGGTACGTTATTGAGAGTGAGGGTGTTGACTGATGTGAGGGCTTCTCTTCGGTGCGTGTTATAGGAGAGGCAAGGGCTTCAAAATTTACGTGCTGGAGCATCCATGACTGTGCATGCGGAAGGAGCCATATAAGGAAGGAGTCAGTCGTACTTTCCTAACACTTGAGGGACTGTGGTCGAGCGGTGTGGTGCGCTGGTCTGGCCAGCCAGTGGTGTACACGTTCCGCGCGTCCCGTTGCGCACAGGGAGATTGATAGCTGGGGAGTGCCCTGTAGTATCTTGTCAAGCCCTATGCTACAGTGGCTGTAGCTGGTTCCTGCCCGCTGGAACCGCTACCGACCCCTAGAAAGCTCAGACCCAGCCGCGTAATGGCCGGAAAGGTCCCCGGTTCGAATCCGGGCTCGGCCAGTTCCTTCCTTCTTTTTGCATCTCTTTTGCATCTCTTTTGCATCTTCTTTGTGTTCGATGCACGTGCTGGAAGGTGCGAAGGGGAAGGGGAAGGAAGCATAGCCAAAGTCATATGGAAAGGGCAGCTGGAATGGTGACAGTCTTAAGCCGTCTTCTATCTCATTTTGTGAATTCCGACTCTTCAAGTGCCGCGGTTTCTCACCAACAACCCGTCAAATCACAAACAGCTTTGTTCGCACCCCTATCCACTCGCCTGTAGGATGGTCACCAGAGAGGAGCATATACTATATGGGAATGATGATTTCTCTTATGCGCTATCTGTTATGTCTATGGAATACCTGTGGCTTTGGCATTTTCACGTGCCAGTCCGGTCTCTGCTCCGTGTGCCTCCCGTGTGCTAGACAAACTGTACGTGACCTTGCATCTGCAATATCTCGCTAGTTTCTCGGCTCCACCCCGCAAAAAGTACGAAGGCCTCCCCAATAAAAGTGTTACCCTAGAGCACAAGCCCATCCATATCAAAGAAAAGAAAAGAAAAAAAAAAGACAAGAGGCATGAGAACTGACAAGCCGTTGAAGTTGTTCAAGCTCTCTATTTGCTATCGGTCCAGCTCGTGGCAGACACACTTCGGCTTTTGGCCCTCTTTCTCCTGCCACCCTGCTCCTCACTCGTTTCGATATGAATCTTGGGATGCAGTCGTAGGGGTAAGCTGTTTGTTCTCTTCGCACCATCTCCTGGAGTGTCTTTCGCGACACACAACACCTGCACAATCTCCTCCGGCTGTTCATTTCCCGGAATATCTTCCAAGAGAGACAGAGACTCCTTCAAGATCTCCTGCTTCAAGATCTGCTTCTTCAAGATCTCCAGCTTCAGGATCTCCTCCTTCAAGATTTCCTGCTTCAGAATCTCATCCTTCCAGATCTTCTGCTTCAGGATCTCCTCCTTCAAGATCTCCTCCGGCTGCTTATCTCCTCGCTTGTCCTCAGCCTGTATCCACATCTGCTCGTACTCTCTGCGCCTCCTGGTCCAAATATCCTCACCATCCATCTCCCCCGCTCTCCTCTTCTTTACCAGCGCTCTGATCACACCCTCCTTCAAAACCATCCTCAAAAACTGACCCTCAATGGCCTTGTCATTCACCTCCAAGGCCTCATCACTCTCCACAAACCCGTACGAGGCATAAAACTTCTTATCGGCGTCGTCGTCCTTGGCCATAACCACAACTGTCGGCTCCCGCTCCCGTTCCCAACCGCTCTTGCTCTCCCCTGGACGCTGCGCCTCATGCAGTGAAATGACATCCAGTAAGTACCGGAGAATCACATCCATCAGCCCTTTGCCCCCATGTTTCGGATCGACATGCAACTCGGCGATCTCGTAGCACTAGGAACAGTCCCAGATGATGCGACCGAAGGCTACGGGGGCGGGTTCGTAGTCGATTATGGGTTCGTACTCGATTACTGTCATGGTAGGCGAAGCTTGGGTGGGGTGCACGTTGATGTTTGTTTCTCTTTCCTTGCCCTTGCGGTATGATCCCGAGACGAAGGAAGACACGTCGACGGCTGCCTTTGGGCTTGTAATGGTGCTGTCGGCGTTGGCCTTAAGGGGAACACTGTCGGCCTTGCTAGGGCTGGGCTGAAGAGCTGCGGTATCTGAGCCATGATCGATCTCTTTGATGGAAGAGACGTCGACGATTGCCATTGGGTTGACAATGGTACTGTCGGTGTTAACCATATGGGGAACACTGCCAAAACAGCTGTTATTGGGCTTGACAACTGGGAATAAATCCCAGGAAAGGATGCTGCTGCAGGGTGTGAAAGTTATCGTGCAACAGTAGACAAGCCCAGGTTCGGTGGAAGGTTTGGCGCCAAACCTCAACGTGTCCTGTGGCAGACCGGCGCGGACACGGAGGATGCGGTACGCATGGGGGCGGGGTGTGTGGTGGACGCGAAAGTTGTAGGTGCCTTCTGATGAGCCTGGGAGCTGTGCTTGGTACTTGAACTGCAACCTATCGACGAGGAACGGCACAGTGTCTCCTGGGCATTCCGCCTCCTCATATGTCTTGACCATGGTGTCGATGGGTGACTGCTGACTGAAGAAATAATGGAATGGCAATGATCGATAGAAAATGTGGGAATGAGCCAAATTGGGTTCTTCAACTCTGTTGACGGGTTTTTCTGTAATGTATGATAATGGCCTGGCTGGTTCAGCAAAGAAAAGTCGTTGACTAATGTGGCCGGGGGTTGGTGTTGGGGGAAAAAGCGAGAAACGTCCAAGAAGACTCCCCACAGTTATTTGAACCTTGAAGCAATCCAACGGCTTGCGTTCGGTGGCAGGTGCATGAAACAGGGTGCACCTTCGAAGGAACACACTTGCTTGTTAGGTAGTGCAAGTGCAATGAAGGTAAAAGTGGAATCACCCATGGAGTTTGTCAGGCACGCCTTCCACGGATATAGCAGGTGCACTGCACAGGCTCCCGTCTGCACAGGGTAGCTACCTACGATGCCTACACCCCTCCTGTATATAAAGCCGGCCCACCAAGCCTAGGGACCCTGGGGAAATCTCCCTCTTGATCACTTCAATACAATCCACATACCCAGCCATACAGGTTGCATTGCCTTACATTCGCCTGACAGAGTTGACGTTGAGTGGGCGGTTCGGCAACTTGCTAGGCATGTTTGGTGCATACTGTGTAAGGCTGGTGCTTTCCCGATTCGGCCTGCGAGGGCGGATGATTGGCCACCAATGTGGGTCACGACCGTTTTAGCGCCGCTAAACGGTAACGGTGGGTCGCTGTTGCCCGCTGAAACATGCAGTGTAATGGTATTTTACAATACGTACGTATCTTTTCATTGCCAAGGGGGTTTGGTGACGCGCTCTGTCGTCATGGAGAGAGGAGGAAAGCGTTTGTCTAGCTGAAAGAGATTTCAGATGCGCTGGCGACGATTGATGCTTCCATATCATCAAGATGTACGGCAGTAAGAAGTGATAAAAAGATTGCGTGGAAGGGCAGCGCCAGGAATCGAGGTCGTCTACCTCGTTGGGACTTTGGGCCACCTACTAAGATGCCGCATCAATCAAGATCGCTCATATCATCGGTCCTGGTGCACCACACCACTCGACCAGGGTGCCATTGATTATTGTTGGAAACAAGTACATCACCCCCAGCCTATGTACCATTAAGCACATGCCTTACAGCACCCACTGAACAACATCATGCATACGTGTTAGTGTGGCTGAATCCAGGCAGTTCCATCTCTGCCGGAGCAAGCCGAAACTGTTTATCCCCCAGAATCCTTCAAATGAAGAAAGCCTCCGGCTTCCGGAATTTCTCGCCCGCATATGACCACGGCTTCCAGCTCTCCTTCAGCTCTGCCTCGATATCCATCAACCGATTATACTTGGCCACCCGCTCGCCCCGACACGGCGCTCCGGACTTAATATGACCTGTGCCGAGTCCGACGGTCAAGTCGGCAATGAAATCGTCGGTTGTTTCGCCCGATCGATGGGACACGAAGACGCCCCAGTCTAAGCTCTTGGCTAGTTTCGCCCTTTACCACAGATCTCAGTCAGCAAGACCAACACTTATCCAACCCAAGACAAGGAAACGGGAAACAAAAAGAGAAAAAAAAAAAAAAAAAAAAAAAAAAAAACACTCACGCAGCAATAGCCTCCGTCACCGTCCCAATCTGATTAACCTTCAACAGCATCGCATTACACGCCATCCTGCTCTCGGCAATCCTGACCCTCTCCACATTCGTCACCAGCAAAGCATCCCCCACCAGCTCCTCAAAATACCAGTCCTTGCAAGACTTGCTCCACGATTCCCAATCGTCCTCGGCGAAGGGATCTTCGAGCAGCGGGATCGGATATCTCCTGATGAGGGAATTGTACAGGTCCATCATCTCACTCGGGGTCCTGACATCGTCCGAATGTGATTCGCCCTCTTTTATTCTCTTGAAACCGAGGTCGTAAGTCCCATATTTCGAGTTGAAGAACTCGGACGAAGCCGGGTCGATACCGAACTTGATCTTATCTGTGTACCCAGCTTTGGCCACAGCCTCGGTGAGCAAGTCGAGGGCTTCTTCGGGTTGGGTGATAGGAGGGGCAAAACCGCCTTCGTCGCCCATGCCTGTGTCTGTTTTGCAGCTTATCAATTCCCACATCACCAGAAGATCCAATTTGTTGGTTCAGGACAGGACTTACAAATGGCCCCAAACCTATCAGCAATAATCTGCTCCAGCACATGATACGTCTCAGACGCCATGCGAATCCCCTCCTCAATTGTCTTCGCGCCGGTCGGAGCAATCATGAATTCCTGGAACGCCATGCCGTTTCCGGAGCGTTTGCCTCCGTTCAAGAAGTTGAAGAACGGGACGGGCATCATGTAGGGGGATTCCTGACCGCTTTCGCGACGGAGGAACTCGTAGAGCGGGATGTTCTAGTTTTCGGGGTTCACTCTTCTTGTCAACCAAACCAACCTGGGGGGGCACGGAACAAAACGATAGGGGAACCAAGGGAAGAAAATTACCGCAGCAGCAGCCCCAGCCCTAGCACAAGCCATGCTCACTCCCAAAATGGCGTTCGCACCCAGCTTGGCTTTGTTCGGAGTCCCGTCCAGTTCAATCATGAAGCCGTCGATCTGCTTCAGGTCGCGACGGGGACCGTAGCCCTCTTTGACCAGGGCCGGGCCGATGATCTCGTTGACATTGTTGACGGCGGTAAGGACCCCCTTTCCCCCGTACTTGCGTTGGTCATTGTCGCGGAGTTCGACGGCTTCGTGGACTCCGGTTGAAGCACCGGAAGGGACGAGGGCGCGGAAAGTTCCTGGAGGGACAGTGGTCAGGTCCGCTGGTTCATAGATAGGGCTTTTCGGGAAGTTAATAGAGGTTAGAGACGTACCATGGGCGGTCCTGACCTCCACTTGGACGGTTGGGTTTCCCCGAGAGTCGAGGCGTTGAGCTGCCTTCACGTCGAGAAGCATGATGATCGGTTGTGTATTGATAGTTTTGTGGACAACAGTGAGAACAGATGAGGGACAGAATGAACTGTTGGAGTGAGGTTCGTCTCTTGTACGTGTTTTACTAATCGGAGTCAGTGCGGCTCGTCATCGATGCAACATTCATGACGTGCGTTGATGCATGCCGTATGGGGAAAGTACGGGAACTAGGCACATCCCGTTGAGCGGGGAGGACGTGCTTCTGCATTCCGTATTTCAACGACACTCCTTCTCTCCAGTCATCAATCTGAATATCTCCTCTGCTCAAAGACGACACTTCAATACTCAATAACCCAAGTCAACATGAAATACATCCATACTACCTCTTGGCAAAGTCCGTCTTACCACTCTACGCTTGCCAAGAGTATCTCCAACCCCCTCCGCCTCTCACCCTCTTCACATCCCGCTTCTTCCTCCCACTCCCACCCCTTTCCAAAACCACTCCCACCCCTTTCCAAAACCACTCCCATATCCCTCCTCCTCTTATTCTCCACCAACGTCCCATTCAACCCGCACCCCGGCGTAACACAAGTCGACAACGTATGTATATACCTAATCTTCCCCCTTTCCACCCTAAACAAATGACTATCCGGCACCGCCACCTCCGGCGCCGACCTATCCAGTCCCGGGAACCCCACAAAGATGGCCACGGCCCCCATCGTCTCGTCCACCACATACCTCCTATTCCTCACCCTCACATTGCTAGGCAACCCCAAATCACACGTCTGCTTGTACGAGAGATGCGTATCCGTGTACGCCCCGCCCCCCTCTAAACGCGCGCAGGGCGTGCCAAACGGCACCGAGACGTTAACATCAGCAAACCGATCAAAGTAAGCGTCGCCCGCGGCTTTGATCACAGCTCTTGAGTCCCGCTTCAGCCTCTCGGAATCGAAATCGGTTGAACTTTCGGTTGGGGGGATGGGATCCCACGATTCCTGCGCGTCCCAGTGTGCGTAACCCGTGGCGTTGAAAAGCCAGTCACCGGGTTTGGTGGCGAGGGTCTCGATCAAAGTGGCTTTGGTGTCGTTGTTGTTGTTGTTGTTGTGGTGGACGTTGCCGAAGACGATGCGGGTGCCGATGACGTAGGGATGCACAGGGTCGGTGCTGATGACTTGGGTGAAGGTGGAGCAGTCGACTGTGTCGTGGATTGAGAGGCGGCGGGTGATTTTGATGCCGGGTTTGGACAAGATGCCGGTGCGGATGTCGAGGGGCTGGTCGGACTCTGTGTAGTAGGTCGTGTTGGGGCTGACGTAGGCGGTGGTGAAAAAGGAGGGGTTTCCGGCGCTGAGGGCGAAGGTGTAAGAGCTTGCGGCGTCGACGAGGAAGGAGTATTTGCAGTGGCACGAGGCGGAGGTGATGAGGGAGCTGAAGATGGTGAGGAGGATTGAGGATCTCATGATGGCGGATTATATCGCTGACACTTCTGCGGTTGGTTGAGAGCATCGAGGTGGGTTTGTCGAAGAGATCAGCTGCATGGTAAGAAAAGGGAAGACGGGTGTCTCGTTGGCATTTTATCTTTTGACGACCTGTGCACTACCACACGGTCGAAAAGCGGGAGGGTTTATCATGGGATGGATGCATGTGGCAGAACTGCCGCGCAAGAATGTCGATCAGTCAGAGATGAGCTATGGCTGAACTATATCCAAGGCCACAGTTGCGAACCGGGTTTCTTCTGCAAATATCCATCGCGATCTGGCATTGACTGGAGATACCACATCACTTAAATGGAACAGGATGAACAATCTCGGAAAATTGGTCGGCATGGATTGCGATTTCGACGCGGGTTCAGGTTATTCTCGACTCCACCGCAAATCAAGCGCGGGAGGGAAGGAGGAATGGAGATGCATTGCAAAAAGGCCGCCGCTGCCTAGTGGATACAACCGCCTGTATTCTGTCCAACCATGTACAGAAATACCTCTCCTTCCATGTTCTTTTTGTTCCTTGGAGCACAACTAGAAACAAGTGTCATTCTTCTCATTGTCATGAAAGTGGTGCATGTGTTAGCGGAGGCAAGAGATTGAGGGCTTGCCGCGGTACATCAGGTTCCTGGTGCAGTTTTATCCGGATCGGCTACATTTAATTTGCTCAGAGTGAGGTGCTACCACTGGCTATTTACCGGTGTTGCTTGATTTTTGTGCCGCTTCTATGGCGAATCGACGGTGACACTCCCTTTCCATTTCACCAGATCTTGTCAGACTCTCGAATACTTGAACTCTTCTTCAAAACTCACGGTATGCTCAACTGAACACGATTTATTTTGTGTACCTTCTGTCCTTGGCCGAGTAAAATTCTATCATGTTCACAGCAACAATGCAACCTAGTGAGCTTTCGTAACGACTCTTCCAGCCATTGATCACGAACACTCCTCGTAAATCCCAGACCATGACATCATATCAATAAAAACCAGCGCGATCGAGTTCAGATTCCTCGTACTCCCCTCAGCAGAAACCACTCCCTTATTGTCTTCTCGCATTCGGACAAATCAAGCCCCAACAGCCTTCCCAGCAACCAACGCATCAAACGCACTCTGCGGCACCCTCGCCAAGCTCAAGTCATGCGACCACACAGCCTTGCCATCATGACTGCTGAACGAGCTAGAATTGCTCGCCGGGTTAGCGACCGCCTTGGTAGCCTTGGCCCAAGCAAAAGCGTTCGCCCCGTTCGGGTTCAGCGAGCCGTTAGCCCACTTGCTGCACCCTTGGCAGAGCACGTCCAGCTGCCAGTGCGTGGCGTTGGCGGTGGTTGAGGGAAGGACGGTGTAGGTTGCGCCGGAGTAGGCGCCGGGGGCGCTGTGGTCGCTGTTGTGGTTTGAGTTGGTTAGCATGGGTTACTGTGAGCTGGGTGGTAGGTGGAAGTTGTTATAGGAGAGGAATGAAGGGAGAAGGAAGGAAGAGAAGGAGGAAGAAGAACAAGAAGACTAACCTCGTAAACCTCGAACTAACAACCGACCCATTCCCGCCGTTCGGCAACGCCCACCCAATCGTCAACGGATTATTACTCATCTTGCCTCCCCACGCAATTCCCGCCCATCCAGCCGTGGCCTTGAAAGCAATGATCTGCAGATAAATGTCGAAGGGGGCCGCTGCGACTTCGGGGATGGCGATGCGGTAGGTAATCTTTTGGGCCGCTACGGTGAACTCGGAGAAGCAAGCCGCTCCTGGTGTCGACGAGGGGCAGTACTTTTGCATGAGACTTTGACGTTTGTCGAGGGCATCATCGTGCTGGATGCTCCTGAGGTTGAAAAGGCTTCTAGCTGATACGGTGGGGGTGATGCTCTCTATGGCGCAAAGCGCAACAAGGGCGAGTCGCTTGAGTCCTAGCATTGTTGTTCGGAGGTGTAGTTGATGTCTTGAAACGGATGGGGGTGGTCGAGACGCTGCTGCTGGACGTTGGCTGGGGTCTGGTCAAGCTTTATAGAGGTCTTGGTATCGAGAACTCCAGAAAAAAAAAGTGATTTTCACCCCACAGAGAATTTTCCGCGTAGAGGCCCGGATAGTCTTGGGAAGGAGCGTAGGAGGTGATTGGGGGAGTCCGAGGAAGGATCTGCAGGGGCATTGCCTTCAAGAGTCGCTGCTGTGCGGGTAGATTTTGGGAAAGGTGCAATCTGGGTAAAGGCGGCTCGGTGATGAAGCACTCAGCTTAGGAAGCGGCAAGTCGGCAAACGCTTATTGAGCCGCGAATAGTCCTCCCGCAATCTCATCTCAAGATATGATCCACCAATGGTTCCAGATATATTGGTCAGGACGGCGTTTGATGAATGAAAGAGAGGCAAACGTAATATATGCCTGACTGACTGTTATGAGTTAAGAGTTCATTGCCTCTAACACATATCACGGAGATCAGATAGCATTGTAAACAGGGGCTCAAAGATGCCCCTTAAACGCTGCGCTGAATTTTGAGTGAGGAGTGATTTTGTAATCAAGCAATTCTAACCTAAACCACCTGGGTCGCACTCTCGCAATATCCTTCCAAAAAATGAAGCAAAAGCCACTATCCCGCTGGTATCTCCTGAAGAAAGCAATCGCTCCCAACCCATGTCTACTCCAACCCGTGCGCCGGTAATATGCAACTGAAGTTCCTCTTCTACACCAAGATTTTTTCCCCCCGCTTCTTACAATCCCGCCCAAAACCGCTCCTAATTCCACACACATATACCAAACGGACCACCACCACGGCTTATCAAAAGCATCTCCAATCCTTCGCGATATCCTTCCAAGAAATGAATCAAAAGTCGCTAAATGCCCGCTGGTATCTCCTGAAGAAAGCAATCGCTCCAACCCAAGTTTTCCCCAACCTGTGCGCCGGTAATATGCAACTGAAGCTCCTCTTCTATACCAAGATTCTTTCCCGCTTCCTACGTCCGCCCAGGTGCTAGTAAAAATGGGTTGTGCAGACTGCCTAGCACTACTCGTCAGGACTAGAATCGTCACTTCCTCTATTGGCCAAGAGGCTGAGGCGCTTCTAATCCAGGCAAGTAACAATACACTCAAGTGCACATCACATCTCCACTGGCACCTGAACCGTTCCTAGCCGTTCCACACACATGGACCGGACGGACCACCACTACGGCTGATCAAACACATCTCCAATCCTTCCATTCTTGATCTTAGCGCACTGTTCTCCGTCTCCAAACCACGATTCCTCCTCTCAAGCTGGTTGATATACTCCGTCGCCTTGCTGAGGATGGTAGCCTTGTTGAGCTTGGGAGCCGGAATCAGACCGCTCAAATCCCCTTCCTCGCCCTCGCACTCATCATCGTAATTGCCGCTCTCCATGCGCATGGCTGCAATGCGAAGAGATGGGACAGAATCGCGAAGCGCGGCGATCTTGTCGTTGAGGTTGGTGCGATACCTCTTCTCGATCATGTTGTGGGCCGTCTTCTTGGGTGCTGTCACGGAAGGGGGGGAGATACTATTTTCCTTGTTGGTCGTCGGTGGGCTGCGGGAGCTGCTGCGCGGCGGGGATGGCGAGATGCGCTTAGCCGGGCGATGTTCCTCCTCATCGGAAGACGAAGAGCAGGAAGACTTACGCTTGAGGTTGCTCCGCGAGGGGTAACGCTTCACATCCTCAGCAAGTTCGATAGGCTGCTGTTGTTGTTGTTGCTCAATAAGGGCAACTGGTGCGGGGTGTTGCGAGGGGAGTGTTACACCCATGACTTGGGACTGGAACAGTGGCGAGTTGGTGTTTATGTCTTCAAAGTTGAAGTTAAGGTCTTGTGTTGTCGTGGGCACCTGTAGCGAGAGCTCAACGGGGTTGATGGAGGGGCTTGCGGTAATAGGCCGGGGTGGGAGGTTCGAGATGATGGGTCCGTCGTAGGGCTTAGGCTTGAAGCAGTCTTTGGACTCTGGGAAACACTCAAAGTTCTCACGCTCAAACTTTGCCCATCTAAACCATTCATCACCAGGTGGGGAATAATTGACACTTGGCACAGAGGAGATGGGCGATACAGGGGATCCCGCAGAGTCAGAATTGAAGTCGGTGCTGTTGAAGTCCTCGTAAAGGGGAACTGGCGAGAAGTCCGTAAAAGATTCAGGGCAGGTTTGCTGTAACAAGTGTGGTAACAAGTGTTAGTCGCCTGCATTTGTACCATGCACAAGTCTGTGAGCGGATGTTATCATGTTAACTTACAAGTTGGACAGTGCTGTAGGGCGCTGTGGTGAAGGACATGGGTTGGTTCATGGTTGTGCTGATGTTCATCGGGTGACGGCTGACAGCATCAGGTGTGTTTGTTTTGGAGTGTGGTGTGTTTGATGTTTTGCAGTTCAAGTTGTGGGGGTGGCGATCCGAGCGTTGATGTGTTGTCTGTTGCGTCGGATGGCTTGTCTGGTGATGATCAAGTGTCTGGATTGTGGTGTTTTGCGTTTTCTGGATGATCCTGGTGATGCAATGACAACCACCATATGCCATCGGGAGAGAACAATGGGCTATTTGAGATCGAACAAACACCATGGTCAATGAGTCGGAATGATTCGGTGACACGCGCTCGTTCAGCAGCTACCGCATGGGGCATTTGGGACGCATGCAGCAGCAGACATACATCCACAAGATAACGGGCGATTTGTTAATCAAGTCATACGATTTACCAGAAACCATGGCAAAACCTGAAGGTTTGGCAGGGTGCATAGGTAGTTTCCAAAGTCGCTAAAGCCCCACTACAGCAATTCAACCCACCTGGCTGAAAGACCTCGGAGCTCTCCGGACAAGGCCGCGGCATTAACGACCCCCGTCCCGTCCCAATTGGCCCCTGCCAAAACGTGACATCGAGGACCTTTGGTACCCCTAGGGTCCGGGTCGGGTACGTTCTGGCTTGGAGTGCCCGGCGCCGGTTGACACGGCGACCGCCATGGGCTTTCAAAGCTTTGCCATGCAGTCATCAACAAGTCGCATATGGACTAAGGTTGAGACTTTTTCGTATAGGATTTGGCTATGCCGAGCATGTCTGGGACGGCTATTTTTGTCGCGCAACGTGGTGAAATATGCGGATCATCTTTATTTCTCACATGTCAGAGAGGTACTACACAGTGACGGCGGTGGATATTTGACTTCAACTCATCGAGATCCTTCTCCCAGTCATTGCCGTGCTCGGTCATGAGGATGGAAGTGGTCGCGGTTGACCGGCGCTCCGAGCTCATGGGTCAAGCGGATACGAATCGAGGTAGGCGAAAGGTGCCAAAAGGTGCCATGGCCGATTGGGGAGTGACCGTTGAGAGCCGCCGCGACGGCGTCAATCGCGGAGAAACATTTGTACGTTGACTCGATTGGGTGCTTGGCGAACCCTCTTCAGTTCGTTTGCCGTGGGTTCGGGCCTGGAGAGGGTGGGAACAGCATCTCTTTTGGGTTGGGTGTGTTTTCGTCGAGCGAGGTCAAGCGAACGAGAACGGCTTGGAATCTGCTGTGTTTTGGGAAAATGGTTCGATTTCGATCCAGAACTGACCCAGCCTAGAACTGACCCACCTCTGTGGCCCGCAAAACGTGTGACCGGAAATGGCCGTGAAATGAATTGTTAGACTTAGTGCTAAGGTATTGCCCCAGCCACTTCCACTGCTCATGTACTAACGGACCATCCCGAGAAATTATCGTACAAAACTCACCCGATTTTTCCTCGTCTCCCCCGTGTCCTCCATGGTCACCGGGCCCGAGTCAAATGGACGATGAAGATGACTGTTGAAAATTTCACTCATTGGGGCCATTACCACCACTTATGAGCCCATTGACGGCCATATAACATTCTACCGGAGAGGCTTGGTGAAGCATGGGCAATCTTGGGAGTTGAAGAGTCATTCACTCAAGACCACCGCGATGACGCTGCTCGGTGGACCGATTCGGGACTTAAGCCAGACACATGCGATCCGGATAATCCGACTGTGTAGGGCCATACAACGTCGGAGGTCAGCCATACCAAGACCACCAGAACTCCCAAGCTTAGCATCGACTTTGCGCGCGCGCAATCACCACTAAACCATCGACTACAACGGTACTAAATAAACTTCTTTTCGAACACGGATTTCTCATTCACACGCGGGGCCTCTCGCCGGCCCCCTACACCCCCGGGAACTAACCCTAACACATAACTTTAACCGCTAACCTTAACACTAATCTTGAGGTCAAAGGTAACTTGCATACCTTGGCCCCGCACAGTCGGATTGGAATCGAACACAGTCGGATTATCTGCCTCGGACACATGTGAAAGACCCGCCCGAACTGCCCCACAAAGTACCGCCGCACCGGAGCGACGAACCGGATCTACGCCCCACCCGGCCGGACTGCCGATCGATCGTTAGCTTCCGACGCACCTTCGGCCGACTTCACAAGCTCGGTGCCGCTGACCGATCGCAACCCCGAGCGTCAAGGCTCAAGTAGTATAAAGATCAATCTTCACCCATGACAAAACTGTCCCCACACCATCACGTTGACATCAGCATCACGAAAACGGCTATCGCACAGCAAAGCGAGCGCTGCATACCCCTATTTCTAAGCAACCGTTCTAGCGCAGATCCCTTGCGTAGCAGCTCAGGTACCTACCAAGGATCCTCACGTCCCATGGCTTCGTTTTTTTCGCCACCCGCTTCATCTTCATATGCCTCACAATGTCTTCATGTGCCTCACAATATTTTCATGTGACTCGCAATACCTCGCTCGGTACGAGTCTTCAACCTCTCTTGCACCCCTCTTCTTCTCGCGGTCACTTCTTACAGGAGCTGCAGTCTTGTTTTTGCCACATATCTTCTGCGTGTCTGCACAGATTCAAAAGCACCTACCTTACTAATCCCAGTCCTGCCCGAACACGTACCAACCGAGGCATCTTTCGGGCCCATAGTTTCAGGACCGTCTATGGGGTCGTCGGGATTCTCACACCGTTGATCAGTCAAACGTTCCTGTGTTTTCTTCCCGTGTTCCCTTTCCTCCGCAGCTCCCTTCATGCTCCCAGTCGAGAATCAAACCATGGAGATATGAGGATAGAATGCCGTCATCTGCTAGAAGGCAATGCAGACTCAAAGGAAAGGTGCAGAAAGGTCTAGAAGTCGGGGACTTATATGCGTGTCCTACTTTATCATGGTTGAACAACATAAAGATGCACAGGAGCACATATCGTAGAGTACCGTAGAAACTCGGTCAACTGGCAAGCCTCTAATGCCCCAGAAAGAGGTTTTTAGAGCATAGTGCACGCAGATCTGTAGCGCTCAAGTCCGAGCCTGTGCATTGAAACGCAAGCAAGATAGTCGTGGGCAATATTGTAGAGCTTTCACTAACAGACCGGACATACGTACAGACGTATACTGCTTCCTGTGCTTACTGTCGGGCGCTCAAAGAGGGTTAGAGCCCCAGGTTTGCCAGTTGACCGAGTTTCCATTCTACGGTAATCCTACCCGCACCCACCCCAAATCCTACACGCACCTTCCCCCTTCTAGACACTTGACAATAACTTTCCAACAACGCAAACGGATTTCTTGGAAGTTGGTGAGGTAAAAGGGTACTCCCTAAATTCACTACTAGCGTCTTTTCGTTAGATAAAAAGGGCCTCTAACGGACCACTGACCGATCATTTGCATTCGCAGCGACTGATTTTTGCAACGTACTTTGTATAGGTGTAGAGGGTTCTGAAAGAATATAAAAGATAATGCTATATAGGCTTTTGGGCAGAAAGGGCCATGCTTGGAGTTATCTTGGCATATACTTGGGAAAGAGGGTGCGCGTAGGTTTGGAGCAGGTGCGGGTAGGATTACTCATATCGCATCACTGGACCATGGTTCGAATGACTACAATCAACAGCACAGTGTCAATCTTCATCAACAAAAGCCTGTTATACCATTTACCCATACGCCTCCTGCCAAAGCTTGAGATGACAGGACTGGATAAGACGAAATGTGGTATCCCGGGTCGTTCATGTTCCATTCTCAGGACCGCATCATAGGACCAAAGTTGCAATCGCTTCAAAGCACATCTCAAGGGACACTCCGCGCGCCGAAGGCCTTTCAGAAGCAAACAAACAAGCAAAATGGGTAAGACGGTGTCTTCTGCTTTTGTCCTTTTGAAACTTTGAACGTTGTGGTATAGCTAACATGCAGGCACAGATGAATCACCTCGAAATGGCACAATATTTTACGCAGTCGATAGTCCAGTTCGAGACCTCTTCATGTTAATCACCACTCCCGCAATGCCTACACTGGTCGAAACCAGAAAAAGCCACGCGCCCGTGATGTTCCCGCTTTGTTCCCGCTTTCCACTTCGGGATTTGCGGCTCTTGGAGGCTATAATAGGGTATAATGTTAATATCTGCCGCCATTTAACCTCCGAGCCTGGCCTCTGATATGTCGCAGTCACCTTCAACCTCAATCTGCGGATAAAGTCAATTGGCACCCCAGATCGTCACCCTCTCCACCACTCGCCGCCTCCGCATTGGCGATTCACCAACGTCTCAATGATATGTCGTCTGCATCAGCGCCCAGCATGCGATCTTTTGGTTTTGGTGGTTTACCTGGAAGGAGCATCTCGAGGAGGAAACGTGTCCGTGGTTCTTTAAATTAAGAGTGACGAAAAAGCATGGCGTCACGCGGTTCACCCGTCCATAGACACATATGCTATACCCCCTCGGCTCGACACATTTGCCTCCGAAATCCCGGTCAAAGTATCACCGCGACAGGGAAACGACTCGACGATAACAGGCCGTTCGCTATATTTAACTATCATGGCAGGAATAACACGTCAACTCATAGAATCAGAAGCGCATACTTAAGAGCAAAACTTCCCGTCTTTCTTTCCTTCAGCTCAGTGACTGCTCTCTGGATTTCGACCAGGGAATCTCTATCACAGCCATCCGGTCGGCGCGCACAGCAAGAAGGTTGACACTCTCTCGGCGCTGAGATCTTTCCCCGAGGGCGTAACTCGTGTATACAGTAGCAATGTTCTGGAGCCTACTTTTCGCGGTCTTCGCGACCTTACTGCGCAGCGGTAGGCCTTCTACCCTCTTCCCTGAAAAACTTTGAAGTCACTGACAACCACCAGTATCCGCCGCCGAGTCCGTTGCCGTCTACGACTCCGAAACCGGTCTGACATACTCCCAAAACTTTGCGCTGTACAAGGCCGACGGTCGCGGGATAACCTTCCGAATCGCCATCTCGAGCGACGTCTCCAGCAACTCCGCCTACGACGCCGTGGTCCAGGTGATCGTTCCCAACGACGTCGGCTGGGCCGGGCTCGCCTGGGGCGGTACCATGACCAAGAACCCCCTAATGGTTTTCTGGCGTGGGGGGTCAAACAATCAACCGGTGTTGTCGTCCAGATGGGCCAGGTGAGTAGTCGTTGCACATGTACAAATGCACATGCACATATTTCCCGTATTGTTTGCAGAAAAGAAATTACCTTACTTCCCATCATCCGTCCGGATACACATACACATGCACATGCAAATCCCATGCACAAACTCACTGCCTTCCTCTGAGGTGCATAATGATTTGATTGTTCAGACCATCCGAAATCAAAACCGCAACCTCCAGTCACCTACTAACCTCCCCCCCTTTTTTTTTTCTCAAGCGCCCACGCGACCCCCCAACCCTACACCACCGCCTCCTACACTTTATTCAAAACCGGCACAAAGTCCAACTCGACCCACTGGCAATTCACTGCCCTCTGTACGGGCTGCACCTCGTGGGCCGCCGACGGCGGCGCGGTCCGCTACGTCCAGCCCAACGGCGGCAACAGGCTTGCGTTTGCTTATAGCCCTACTAAGCCGTCGAACCCGTCCAGCCCGACGAGCGCAATCACGGTGCACGATGTGCATGCGTACTGGAATCATGACTTTAATACGGCGAGGAATACGGGCTTTGAAGCGGCGGTGCAGAGGTTGTTGGGGAGTAAGAAGTTTAGGGCTTAGATGCCCCTCGAGTGGGGTGGAAGGGGGGGAGGAAATTTGGGGGTGAAGGGGTGAGGGAGTTTCAAATTATGGGGAGTGCCCTAGGTCTTTGTAGAAGCCAAAGGACAGAGTAGGTAGTGCTGTGTGCATGTGGGAAGTAAATTGTAAGGGTGATGGAGTCTACAGTGTAATGTATGTATAGATTAATGATGAAGTAGCCTAAGTCTGGGTCAAGCCTATAGCCGACTCGAAATATATATACTCTCCCAATACCTTATCTATTAGGTACTTCCTTCGGAGTTTGGCTTGTACTAAGCCTAGTCTGGTTTGGCCTGCTTAGTAAGTATATATATAGCCTCGTACCCTAATAGTTTACCCCCCGTCGAAAGTAATACGTTTTTGCGAGTAGTTTAAAGTAAATATATAGTCTAAAATACTTCGTCCTCCTATTTATTACTATTTATTCCGTCCTATTTATTTTATTTTTATTTCTTCATTTTCTTCCGTAATTATACTTCCAAAACTTCTAATTTCACCTCTTTTAGTGTAACTTAGTAATCAAATTCTCTCCCTATCTTGTTATACTTAATTAAGCATTTAACAATACTTAACTTCTTTATCTTTTCCCCCGTAATTAACGTTAGTATATCGATTCCTCTAATAAGTGTTAAGGTAGGTAGTTATCTACCATATAGAATAAATTTTCTAGATTCGAAGTAATCTAAATTTATTATTAGGTGGATTTTTTAATAATTGGGGAAATTTAATTTGTACGCTAACCTACTGACTTTTTCCATTACCTTAAATAGTCCTGCGTAATAGGGTCTTAATTTTATACTTAGAATTATCTTTTATAGAATCGAATAACCTTTATAAAAGCGTAGATAGATTTGGTTACCGATCTTAAATATTTTTAGAATATATCGTTAATCGAAGTAGTATTTTATTATTATTATGGCTACTGCTAGTAAGTCGTATACTTTAATTCTTATTGTTAATAAGTTTACCTTTTAAATTAATTATTGTTTTTAGCCCCCGTCGGCAATAATATTTATTATATTAGCTAGTTAGAAACTTTTAATAATTTCGTTTAGTAAAGTTCTTGTTATTCCTATTTTTGCGTTATTATATTTAAATTATAGCTTTAATATAATTTCTAATTAGTATTGAAGGTCGTTAAAGCTTTAAATATAATAACGTAAGGCCGATTTAATAATTTGAATTAAGCGTTCTAATTAGCCGTTGGTAGATAGTTTATATATAGTTAAATATAATAACTTTATACTTAAATATTCCCAAATACCTTTCTATATTGTAGAAACGAATTTGGGGTCCCTATTTATTAGGATTTAACGTAGTATCCCCCAATTTCGGGATAATAAAACTATTATTAAAGCCTTCTCCTATTATTATACTATCTATGTTAATTTCCCGGGGATAATAATAATCTCCTTACTAAATTTACAAATTACTATAAAGTATATATTAAAATTTCCGTCTTTTAACGTTGGCAAGCGCAATATAATGTCTATTATAATAAAAGAATAAGGATAGGGCGGACCTAATCACGGCTATAAATTACCGTATAACTTATATTTAGTTATATTATTTATTCGATATTTCGGATATATTCTAAAAAAGTCTTTTAGCTTCTTCGAACCTTTGTTAATATAGAAATTGAATAAATAAAGTGCAATTTCATCGTATCCTTAATAGTTTTAACTGTATAGAATTTCAAAGAGGTTGTATAAAGTATTACGAAAAATAATGAACCTCTATAAATCTTCGTATACTTTCTAAAGGAATTCGTTTTTAATTTGAAACGGTAATTCTGTAACCTCTTTACTAAATCTAGCGTTCGCTACTGCGGTTTAATATATTGGGCGCTATTTTGGATCCTTATAGTAACCTTATATTAACTATCTTTTAAATCCGAACTCGATTACAATGATTACTGCGCTTATTAACATCTTTAATTTATAAAAAGGCTTATCCTATATAAAGTCGTCGAAGACTTGGATCCTTAGGAGCGGTTCGGCCAATATTACTTAATATTCGTCGTAATCGTTAGGAAGTACGTTAAGTCCGCTTAGCTTTCGAGGGTCGGTAATATTATTTTTTAAATCTAACTTTAATAAAGCGTCTAGGACGATATAGTAAATATTTAATTTATATAAAATCTAAACGTTAAAGAAATTAATAAATTCTATAGCCCGGACGAATTTTTTATTTAAAATATTCGCGGCGGTAGAATTAGTTATATTAATTTATTTAATTACATTGAAGATTACTAAGTGGTTCGTAAAATAATAAATGCCTGCTTTTATTATATTAATTTCATACTTAGCCTTTAATAGTATTTAAACCAATTTAAATACTTCTATTTCTATTGCCTAACATCGTTTTTCAGTTTAAAATAGAGTACGTAATAAGAAAGTAATTGGCTATATTATTATGTAAGGTAGGTATTTTAAGACTTCACTATTTTTTATAATATTCTTTAATACTTTTTCTTCGATATAGTATATTTTAATTCCTATCCCTTTAGCGGATATATTATAATCGAAGTATAGGAAACAATTTAAGTTAAAATAGTAGAATTTAATTAGGTTTAATAAAATCTATTTAACTACTTCGAAGGATATAATTTCTTTTCAAGTAGGGAGGGCGAATAAGACGGCTACTACTTATATTTTATAACTATACTGGCTTTTCGGTAATAGTTTTACTAATTTTCAATCTACTATAGTTTAACTTCTAGGGTTTAGGGCTAGCTCTCTAATTTAATTTATAGAGTCTAGGGCTAATTTACGTCGATAAATTTTTAGTAAATTTATTTTCTACTATTAGAAGGGGTCGATAATAAAACTATAATTAGGAATGTAATACCTTTAATATCCAATTTATCCGATAAAGATTTTTAAGTCTCTTAAAGTTTTAGGAAATTTAAATTTGGCGATAGCTTCTAACTTCTCTTTTAAAGTAGTTAAGCTAAAGGAATCGATTATACGGCCTAATATAATTATTAATGGGAAAGCGTAAAACGATTTTAATGGGCTAATAGAAATATTGCGTTAATAGAATCGTTATAATACCTATTCTAAGTAATACTCGTATTCTACTAAAATTTTTAATACTATTATAATATCGTCGCAATAACTAATACCAATTATATTTTTAAGAAGGATATTTATTTACCGTTAAATGTAAGTGTTTAAAATTTTAAAGCCTATAACGATAACGTTATAAGTATATTAGCTTTCTAAAATAGAAATAGTAAAGGCCTAGCGGTTTTAAAGGTGGATTTATTATTAATAATAGAAAGCCATAGTATTAAGGACGGTAATAAAAGTTGTATTTTAAACGTAAGTAAAAATTTCTTTTTAGGACTTTATTGGGTATAAAGTTAGTAAAACGTTCCTATTTAAATTTTTAATATCGATTACTATCTTTCCTTTCTTATTATTCTTTGTTTATTACTAGATTACGAAGATTAGAAACGAAAAAGGTACTAAGTATTTATTTCTAGTAATTTTGCTTAATTCGCGCATTTTTTAAAGTATGTAGCGGAATACCTTACGGTCATTGGACTTTAATAGGAATATTTTATAATATTTAGAAATATTTTTATACTAATTTAATTTTATTTCGATCCTTATTTATTCGTCTTCCGACAAATTTACGAATCCTTTACTTTAAAAAACGTTCTAATATTTATTGAAAATTATATTAATTTTGGTTGTAATTTGTAGTCTTCTATTATAAATTTTAATACCCGTTAAATATTTGATAGTATTATTTTAAGGTTCGAATATAAGGATTTTAAATAAATTGCCATTCGCCGCCAATTATGTAGCCTCTATTACTTTATTTTCTTCGAATTAGTAAATATAAGTATTTTGGTTGATTGAGGATAAATACCCGATTTTAGCGCCTTTATAAATCTATATAGGGCTATTTATATTGTTCCTAATTATAATGTACTAATAAGTACCGTCTATTATTTATATAAAGGTCGTTAACTTTCGTTAATAAATCGGTATAAATAATGGGTCCTACTCTTTGGAATTCTTATTATAATTAATTGTTATCTAATTCGTCGAACGAAAGGGAATATTAATATAATAAGTCGAAATTACTTTTTAAATAAAATTTCTACCTATAGTTTTTAATATTAATTAGAATTTTAATCCTATAATAGGATTCGATAGAGGCGTATCCCTAATTTAAATATATATCGAATTTTTCGGGCACTAAATAGTCTATTCCTAATAGTATATTAGCTTTAAAATTATTAACTATGGTTACTTTGCGGACAAAACTTGCGAACGCTTAAATTTAAATTACTAAATCTCGAATTAATAAATTACTTTGTAGGAAGATAGGTAGAATAATATATTTTGACGTTACGTACTTCCCCTAACCGATCCTTCGGACCGTTACTAGTATAGTACGTTTCCGGATTTCGATGTAGTGAAAATATCGTTCTGAAACTTTATAGTTAATAAGAGTCGAAGTATAATTTATATTTCTGTATATATTTATTTCTTCTTATAGTTTTTACAGATTTAGAGTAATTTATAGCCGTATATATAAATAAAAACGAAAATTGAAATTTATACCGATAAACGAACGGTTATTTACCGACGAATTAATAATAAATACCGGTTTTACTTTTTAAGTAAGGCCAGTAAAGTTAATACCTACTCGTCGTTTATTAAAATTTAATTTTAGGATTTCCGCTAGTTTAGTATTATCGGATTTTTATTTTTTAAATCGTTTATAATATTTAAAATCTTTATATTATAAAAGGTATCGATAATGGGATCTTTAATATTCTTATGTCGATTAGGCTATTAACGCTTTAAATATATTAAGTAGATATGTTATATTAATTTATTATAATTTTCGAAAGTTTTTAAATAAGTTTAATAACGTTCTGTTTGAATTGGGGCCGTAAATTCTATGAAGGATTTATTTTAAGGCTAATTTTAATTATTTTATCAATAGTCCGGTATTAAGGTGAAATATAATGAATTAACGGGCTACTTAGTATCTGGGTAGGGATTAATATATTTATAACTTTTAATAATAATATTATAGGTAGAAAATTCGTAATTAATTATATTTTTGACCGAAGGGGATTAGTAGGATAGATCGGGCTTACTTAATTTAAAGTTGCTATAGTATACCGTTTATTACCTTATAGCTTTTAGTACGGTAAGTAGTATTAGTAAGCGGCGTTTTTCTGGGATAAAGTTAGTTTAAGGACGATTATTTAAATAATTATTTTAGTTTTAATGTTGATTATTATATTAGCCCTAAATTTAATTTAATAAATAAATTTAATTTTGATTATACGAGCCTTAACTTTAAATCGGGGTTTAGTATTTTTAATTCTAATAACTTTAATTCTAATATTTTCGATTTCAGTTTTCCGTATTTCGATTTTAATTATAGGAGTTTAATTTATTTTTTTAGTATCCAAATTGTCTTTAATTTTAATTTAGTTATTAGGAAGTCGAAGCTAAAGTCCTATTATAATACCTCTAAAAAGCCAATCCTCAAATTATACTCTCCCTTTCCCGAAGTTTATTTATTAATATATCGATAGTTAATGATAAATTTAATTTAATTAAATTTATTTAAATTTCAAGGTTGAAAGCTTCGAAGACGGCGATTAATTGGCCGAAGAAATCGAAATTATAACCTTTAATTCTACGAATAATAGTTTAAACGAAGGTTAATATATTTTTACCCTAATATATATCTTAAAGTATAAACTTAGCCCTTTTAATTTTGGTTAACGTAATTGAATAGTCGGGTTTGAATTTATTTTTTAGTTTTGTATAAATAGCGTTAATAAAGCTTATTTCGAGTAATAAATAGTCGGTTTTAAATAGTACGTAACTATACTAAATTAGGGCGGGGCTTATAAAATATTAGGTTTAAATTCGACGAACCTAAACTTCGCTATTGTCGTTAAAATTTCTAATTTAATATTTAAGTTTATTGATAAAGGTATAAACGTCTATATATTTATTAACCTTCCCGTTAAAAACGATGCCGTCGACGGACGATAAAAATAAGTCGAAATAGTTAATATTCCTTACTTTAATAGTATAATTAGAATTAGAATTGGATATTAGTAGAGGGGTTTTAATATTTATTCTAATTATCGTTTCGGCGACCGTTTTTACTACGAGGGAGACGATCTCTACTTATATTAAATTTCTAATTATCCTAATATTTCCGTCTTTATCGATTTTTTAATTTTAGAATTCTTTAAGTTCGGTTTAATGACGAAGTTCGGCTTAGTAGCAAATATCTTCGAATTCAGCCTATTAATATTATTCTTTAAATCAAATTTAGCAATTATATTCGGCTTATTATAAATCTAATTTAAATTAAATTTAACAATCGGCCTCGAATTTAATTTAATACTCGGCCTTAAATTTCATTTAACGGCGTTAATCCTTTTAAAATTAGGTTTCATATTTAACTTCTTAGAATTATTAAATTTTAAATTTTTAATACTTAATTATTAAGTATATAATATATTTAATAATTTCGTTTTATTATTTTTTATACTACTATTTTGGAAGTCGTTAAATCTATTTAATAATTATTTTAATATTCTTTTAGCCAGTAAATAGGGAATAAATAAGGTTTTAAAGGTTAGGAGTTTTAATCGAATTTGTTTTAAGTTTAAGTATCCAGCGAATTTAGGGAATTTGGGGAATTTGGGGAGTTTCGGTAAGAAGGAATTAAAATTCAATTTAAATTTAGAAATTTAGGAGAGAAGGGGAATATTTATATCCGATTTAATTAGTATAGAACTTAAAATAGTAGAATATAGGAGGGTTAATAGGTCATTATTATAATTATTCTTATTAATATTAATCTTTCATAGGTTTAGTAGGTTAATATACTAAGGTAGCTTATATTTCAGGCTCTTGTAGGGTTTATAATTAATTCTTTTAAGGAATTTTGTTTCTTTTCTAACGTTTTTAATAAGTAAAAAATCCGGTTAGGGAAGCCTTATTACTTACCCACGTCGGGGGGTATTTCTTTTTTCCAATAGGGAATTAATCTTTGAATTTAAAAGTTAATTTGAGTAAAAGAGCGAAATCGATATCTTCGTCCGTAATTTGGGCGGCGTAAACGTAACTTTTAATGTAGAAACGAAGTAGTTATTGGGCTTTTAAAAACCTATTGGTTATTTAGCGGGGATTAATATATATAAATATAATTTTAATACGAGGTATAGGTAGAGATTTAGGGATCTTTGGTAGGGTAAGTCAATTTCGGGGTCCGAAATTTTAATATAACATAATAATATAAATTTAAAAATCGGTACTAAAATGCGTTGAAATTTAATATAAGCTAACCAAAAGTTGAATTTAAATACTTTTTAATTATTCCGGTAAGTAAAGCAATTAGCTTTGATAAAATTAAGGATCCTAATTTTAAGTTTAATAGTTGAAAGTTCAATTAGTACTATCGTCGTTAGATGAATAGATTAGTCAAAGGTATTGTCGTTAAGCGATTGGAAAAATTTTTTTTTTTTTGATTAATCCTAGTCGATACCTTCGATTTTTCGATAATTTACATATTTGATTCGCAATAGCGTACTACTTTATAAGGGTAATAGAGTCTATAGTGCAATGTATATATAGATTAATAATAAAGTAGCATAAGTTTGGGTTAGGCCTATAGCCGACTCGAAATATATGTACTCTCCCAGTACTTTATCCACTAGGTACCTCCTTCGGAGTCTAGCTTATACCAAGCCTAGTCTGGCTTGGCCTGCTTGGCAGGTGCATGCATGGCCCCGTGCCCTAACATAAATGCAATGCTCACAAGGTCAAAAACCAGTGCACTAAACCCGTTGCATTTACTTTTCACACACAGCCTGCATAGGTGGTAAAGGTGTTACATGTAGTGAAGTGTTGATCATGGAGATAGGGGGCAAATAGAGCGTGGCATGGAGGCTGTGTGGGAACTAAATGCAACGCTCACAGGTCACAAGACCAGTGCACTAAAAGAAATTGAAAGCTTCGTAAAAGAGCTAGACCCAAGCTTATATGCTGGAGTTATCTATCCAAAGGTGCATTTATCAACTGTTCGGACATTTCGTGGCCAAGTGTCTTGAAGGGGTGTACTTGAGGGCGTGCATGGGGAGTTTTTGGGTGTGCGCCAAGTGTACTAAGCTTTTAATGTTCTCTTGGTAGACACTTGTCATTTCTGGTACCTGGACGTGTTGTTTCACTCGAAAGAGATATCCGATGGCTCCAGTCTTGTCCGGAATACCTTACTCAGCACTGGGAGTTAAGTGACAGCATACCTGAGAATGACAGTTGGCCTGCGCGTATTTAATATCGCCCGCCATTATTATGAAGATCTCGAGATATCCGTTTCTGTTGGTCCCATCACCGTCATGCATCATGTGTTCAAACTGTTTCTATTATTCATCCCATTGCGAGACTGTCTAACTGAGCCATAAGGAATCAAGAATGATTCTTAGTAGTGATTTTAAAACAAGTAGGAGGTTATCATTTCGAACTCAATGGTCTTTTTTTGAGAAGTGTCTTGACTGGTCATTTCCGGCATATGAGTCAAACAAGGGGTTTTCTCCCATGATGACCTTGATATTATACCAACCCGATAAGAATAAACGCCTCCCCCTTTTGCGAACTAAACTACCCCAAAGCAAACTTCCTCCACTATGGAATCTCAACCTTTCGGACAGAGGGATGTTTCCTCTTCCTCCTCCTCAGGTTCTTCAAAACAGTCTTTCTACACACAAGTTCCAGATTCACCAATCTCAGTCGCCTATTCTACCTTTCTCAACAATGACCAAGATAACAACGACCCAAGCCCTGAAACGAGCGAGTTTGAAACAGAGACAGGGGTGTACACATCGTCACAACAGCTCTCATCACCACCATCACCATTCTCATCAGCGACATCACCCCACAGATGGCATCCCACTACTGACCCAGGTGTGTCAAACAACTTTTTAAACCAACCCACTTCCTCTCAACGAGGAGGAAGTGAAAACAACTTCTCCCCTTACGCCAACGATAACGAGGAGGCCAGTTGCCCCTGTCTTCCTCCCACTCTGGTCAGACCAATATTGGGCCTAGCAAACGGAATCGTAGAGAAAGCAGGTAGACTCTTAGAAACACTCAGAACCGGTGCGGATTGGGTACCGCCAATTCCACCGGAGTCCGAGTCCGAGTCCGAGTTTGAGAGAGGCTTGGAACAGCGGAGGGGACGGGGAAGAGGGCAAAAGGGGAAGGGGCCTCCTCTGCCTATTTTTGTGCCGATGGGTGTTTTTCCTTTGTTTCGACACCAACCGACCCAGGAAGATGAAGTTTGGGGGCGGGAGCGGGGACGAGAAGAGGAAGTGCCACTGCGGCGGTTGGGGGACGGGATAGAGGCTATTGGGAAAAGGGGGGCTGATACAAACAGGGGAGTGGATCATGGGGGAAGGAACGATGATGCTGTGGATGGTGATGGAAGGAGCGGCAAAAGGTGGAAGGGGAAGGGGAAGGCAGTTGATGTGGAAGGAAGTTCGAAACCTGGAAAGTTTTTGGGAAGTGGCCGGGGAGATCCAGGAAAGCTGCGGAGAGGAGCGTATGTCCCGGTGCAACCTGATAGGAGGGGGACGACGTGGGTGCCTAGAGGTGTTCATGCCGGCTTGGGTGAGGAGCAGGGTTGATATCATCCAATGTGAGATACGAGAGAGGAATAGTGAACCACAACTGAAGATGATTTTGCAACCATTAGAGGGGAACGGATACTTCCGTGATGTCGATCATTACTGTAGGCTACCATCCAGACTGTTGTGAAGGGAAAGGGAAGGAGTTGGCGGTGCCAATCCCTGAGGAGGGTTGTGAGCAGCTAGGACCAGGGGCAGACAGAGACATGGGCTCTGGTTTCCTAAATAGAATCATTGAGCAGAGTACCTTCCCCAAGTGTGGAGGGACAAGCGTTGTATGGCAGGAACGAAGCTGCAAAGTGTTGCAATCACAAAATGAAAATTCTTTAATGTCCTTTGATAAGCTCGTTGCAGTGCTTCATTTCTCTTTTGTCTTGCTTCTGGTTGTGAGGATTTTTTGAGAGCCGGAGCTTTCAACACGTTTATGCTTCTTTCGATTTGCAAGGACCATTATGAGCTTCAATGGTCGTCTGGCACGATCTCCTGCCCACAAAACCCCAGTCTTCCGATGACCACCAAGAGTTTTCCTCCCCATGCGTGTCTGACGAGGCAAGACCAAACACCGCCATTGGGCTCCGGACAGCATCGTGACAGTCGTCTGGGAAGATGAATGGACGTGCAAGTTTGGAAACTGGCGGCGGCGACGACGATGCCCCAAACACCTCCAGTGTAGCCCGCCGACATCCTCATCCTTCCATCTGAACTTCAAACCTGAGTGCCCCTCCCCCTCTTCTGGCGCTCTCCGCGCCTTCCCTTGGCACTTGGGTGGTTGAGGAAGGAGCGCAGCCCCCTAACATGCCCTGCCAGCTGCCACAAGCACCCTGACAGGCACCTGCATACCGCCCGGTACCACCGACACAGCCTGCAGGCCCAATATAAGGTCGGGTACCAGACCGCAATACCACAACGGGCCCTGTGGTCTTATGGCGCAGTGGTTCCCGTTGATGAAAACATTGCTGGGCACGCGGTGTCCAAGGTACAGTTTTCGTAGGGTGCAGCTGGAGCATTGTGGTTCGTTCCACAAGCTTACCTGGGCGCCTGAGCTTTTTGCCATTTTTGTCGCCATTACTTTTTGCTGAAGACAGTGTCAATGTGATCCCTGAATTTTTCTCCTTCTTTTCCAATTGTGAACGAAGCCCCCATCGCACTTTTGGGTCGGGGCGAAAGGGGTCTGTCTGGTATGCACCCTTCGATGCGCTGCGAAAGAGATGAAGCTATTCCCATCGCATAATCAAATTTTTCAAGGGCCAATTTACACTGGTCGTTGTCTTCCATTCAACATCCCTTCACGTCGATGATGAATAGCCATGATGATAAAGGGGTAATTTCTGCCACGTAGACACAGTTGCACGCATCGCTTCGATGACCCAAGGCATTTGATTTAGGCCTACTATGTCCAGCACAATGTAGAAAGCATCCGCACACACGTGTCTGTCTATCTTCCCAGCACCGGTGCCGCCCATGCTGCTTTATCATTGGATTTTGATTGTTGTGACCCCCGAACTCAAGTCGGTCACTCGTTTATGAATCGCTGGATTCTGGTTAAAGTCAGAAACTCTCACATTCAAAGCTTGCCCGGGATGTCGGGGATTAATATGTAGGTAGTCTGATACTCACCGTAGATATGTTTGTTTACTTTCGGGGAAAAGTGAGGGCATTCAGAAGCGCCTACAGAACCGATAAGCCATGCTATGACGTAAGGCAACAACTTTATCTTATCTGCATCTTATCTGAATCTTATCTCCATGATAAGCATGCGCGAAGGCACGCCCCACTATAAACGTGATACCCCTCATCGCAACCACTTCCAACGTCACTTCGTTCCCGATCACAGTTTTCTAGTTTTGCATCTTTCAGTAGCAATTTATCATCAACACACCGATTCTCTTTTATTCCTAACTTTGTTCCAACGACTGAAAACCCAAATGTGCAACGCTCATCGCAAACGGCCAACATTCCTCAATAACATGATCTTCCTTCGTCGCGACACGATCTTCCCACAGCGCTCGACTCCCCCAATCCGGTCCAATTAATAGTCTCCTACACATTCCTTCACATCAAAGCATCACATGTCACAAGCACACAACTTCTCTCGGCGAGCGATAACGGCATTCACGACATCAAGCCCTCACCAGTACCCGCGGTACCGACTTGACCCTGTCCGCTGAAAATAATCTGACCACCCACCTGCAGAGCGGCGAGAAGCTGTCGACCCTGGCGATCGAACCGGATAATCTCTCGTGTAAGTGGTAAACCGACCATAGCCTGTTCCTCCGCGGTGGTGACGGATTATAGCCTCTCCAGGTTCTAGAGCTTCTGCCTCCGAAGCTGTCATCATCTCTGAACGACCGACGGCCGATTGGATTGTTCTGTTGGCGCGGGGGAGGCGATGGTCTCCAACTCCTGCGGACAGGAGACGGCGGCCTAAACACTCGAACCGACCGATTCCATCCTCGATCCCGATCCGGACTACTCCAGAACGACCTTTGCATTCGAGTTGGTGAAGGCGAATACCCCCTACGGACCGGACTGCGCCCGCGGCGGGCATATCTCACGTCGCCGCTGTAATCGGAACCGCTTTCTGAGCCGCGAGCCCCCGAGTTGTCGTACGTGAAGGATTGTGGAGCAGTTTGGATCCTGGAACGGCCGTACAGATTCGAGCCTCGCAGTCTTGCGTTGAAGCCATAACCACCGAATCGCGCAGGACCCCTTGCGGCGCTGCCGCTCCACTGGTCGGAATAGTCGGCGTCGTAATCCGAGTCGTCGATTCTCCTTGGGGCGCGCGATCCTGTAGGACTTTCGATGAAGGATGATCGGCCATACGTTCCATAAGCAGGACGTCTCGGCTGCGGAGAATAAAAGGCACTCGGGGATTGGCGGTAGCCCACTGTCGGCCGGCTGGGGCTATACAGGGACTCGGTCCTGGTGTTTCTGTACGGATCGGGAGAGGAACGGTACTCATCCCAGTCACGGTTACGAGTGGGTATCGTGAACCCTGAATATCCGTAACGTCTCGCCATTGATACCGGGCTGTTGGATTCAAAAAAAACTCAAATGGGCTTTCGTTGTTCTGCGGTCAACGGCCTACAGATACGCCGAAGTTCTAAGTTATCGGTGCTGTCCAGGCATAACCAGCCATTCTCTGACATATATACACCTATTGTTATATTTTGTAAGAGGAGGGCAATGACTCGATGGCCATTATCTCGAAACTGACTGTTCACGCTTCTATCGGAAGGCGTTGCATTCATCGTAGTGTTTGCGTGCGGCTTCACATCTTGGACGAGTGTCCATTCCTCCCAGTCACGTATGACCTTCACCATTTCGTATTTCCCGCTATGGCTCATAGCACTATGGAACTCGTCGATATCATCATGGTCAGAGACAGAAGGGTAGACCTTGGTCGAGGAGTTCTGTCCAAAAGGTTTGACTATCCACTGAACCTCCGCATCTTGCAGTGACGCTCGGCATAGTGGCGAAAGGCACAAGCCGGATGGAAGTCATATTGCTATGCAATTCTTGCCTTCGACATGGCAAGATTCTAGAAGCCAACCTTCCTGAAATTCACGGTTGACCTCTGATTCCAACGATTCTACAATTGGGGTATTCCAACGATTCTACAATTGGGGTATTCCAACGATTCTACAATTGGGGTATTGCGTTCACGAAGTTTCAAACCCCAATGGTTTTCCATTAATTTCCCATCTTCAGTTGATAGCAGCGAACCAGCGCTTACAAATATTCATTACTTGTTTCCACGACCACCTTAACGGCTCCAAGATGGCCGTAATACAGAAACCGTCATCCAACCTCCCCTCGCGTATGCAATACTCCATGACCGCAACAACCCACTCTTCGTCATCGTGCCAACTGTGCTTTGACTATCCAACTCCTCGACGCAATTTCATGTCCGCTTGATGGGTACATTGAAGGATTGCCTAGTCCTCTATGCGTTGATGGGTCCTGTATCCTCCTGCCTTGTACACATGCTTCTGCTGACGGCGGCGATCTTGTTCTGCCTGTTTCAACATCTCTTTACGTCTTTCCTCACGCTCTTCTCGCCTCTCATTAGCGAATCTTGTGCCGTCTTCAATTTCTTTATCCCTTGCAAACTGTTTAAAGCTGCTTTCCCCAGAATTCGTTCCATAATCCCGGTGACGCTTTGTGACTGATTGATCAAATTTCACTGCGGTCCGGCGATAACTTTCTTTATCCGCGCTCTGCGAAGTCAGTTCTTCAAGGTCACCCGCAGAAATATATTCGACTAGTGTATTGTCCGGCCTAGCATGACCACGGTTCGGAGTCTGCTGATGAAAAGCATTGCTTCCGTAGCTGTCAAGTGAATCTGACCAAGTTCTCCCATGGTTGTTGCTGCCCCCTCGTCTGGGGCTGGGACTGCGTCGTCGGTCTGGGCTTTCGCGATCATATGAATGTGATCGTGATCTCGATGACCCTCTTTCGTAACTGAAGTGTAAGATGAGAGTTGTTAGTCAAAGACCCGGCAATCCTTCAGGCACAGCATAAACATACCATGGGATCCTCGCCCTGTCTTTGCCTCTACTAGAGTAGGCGCGTCCGCTTCTTGGGTCTGCCATTGAAGTTGACTTTGGAGCCTATAGGTCGTGCGTTTGTTGAACTTCTTTCTGGTATGTTGGCGTTGCTTCCACGGAAGTTCGTGGGATGTGGCGCACAAGGATTAACTTCTCGGGTGGTTGTGGATGGATGTAAGTGCTTGATCGACACAAAATGGTCAAGGCTCGATGGTTGAGAGTTTTTATACTTATCCTGGGAGATACCCGCCAAGTTCTATCTACTGAATAACTTTATTATTTTCGATCAATTATATCTCCCATCGTGTGTACTTCTCAGGCCGGTGAAATGCTGAACGAAAACACAAAGGATTTGGCTGTTGGTGTCTTCGAGTTGATTTGGCCGTCCAAGAACAGCCGCGCGGCTCCAATGGCGCTGCACTTGATGTTCTCATCGTCTTAATTATGACTTGGCGCCTGTTATCTCGTCATTCATCGCCGCGTTATGTGTTGGTTCCTCAAAGAACGGCATGCCGAGGCCGCGATGACGGAATGTCGCCCAAATGCAGCGTTGGAGTTACCCCACTAACTAGGGCCAACCAAGATGTGCGACAAGCTAGTTAACGCCCTATCTTATTCCAGAAGCTCCTCCCCCGGGCCAACCAACCGTTCTCCCTTCGAACCAAAATGCGGCAAAGCAGCAGTTGACAAACAAGCACGAGTGTCGGGTTACCAGTGTTCCCGACTTTATTTCTTCGTCAATGATACGGATCAATTCCTTCGTGTTCATCTTGCCCCGACGTTTCGAGCTAGACCCAACGCTCCTTGCTCTCCGGGTGCTGAAGATCTTCCTTTCTTTGGGCCATTCACGCCATCACAACCCTCAACATCATTCCTCCTCGGCTCCTTTCCCCACCTCCAGCTAAGGTACTGATAGTATCCCATAGAGCCGACTACTTTCAATGCCCTTCCCGCCAGCCCTATCAAGTTCCACGGAACCATGTCTTCCCTCGGCCAGTTCGACGCATATCCCAGGCCCGCACCGAACACCACTTCACCAAGGCCGTCCGATGAGCGCGGAGCACTTGACACTCCAAATACAGTCATTCTACGTCCTTCAACTGCAGTTCATTAAGTCACAATCCTAGAAACGATCAGATTATCGCCCATTCTCAGCTAATAGCACAAACCAGCCCATAGAAACATCCGGCAACAGTTTCCATAATGTCCCTACCGACTGCCGCGTAAGACAAATACCAAACCCACCCTGTCCGATGTCCTCCTAAATTCCCGAATGTTCTCTCCTGATCAAAATCCGTCTTCCGTAATACTACCACCAATGCTTTCAGCGGAATATTCCCCCAGCCGATCCAAGCCCACTCGATGGGTGAAGTGAGGATATCCTGGACTTTCTGCGTTGATGGCTATAGTACCCTCCCATTATTGTCATTACAAATATAATCATGCATAGCTGCTTCCTCGCTTTCCGTGAAGTCATCCCAATTGTCCCATAGACGCTTGTCTTCCATATCAACGACTGTGCTTATCGCAAGAATTTCTCCTGCAAGTGCCGAGACATATAGCTAGAGCCGCCTGATGTCGCTTTACCGTGGTTTCTGGATCTCAAGTTCTTGTTAGCAAGCAGTGGTATAAGAGTTGAGATAGCCAGGTCATACCTTGGCCCATTGTGAGATCCGTAGGTGTTTCCTGAAAGAGGTCCTCCCCGCAACCGATTTCTGTCGACTCCTTCAACATAGGCAACGGTCTGACTTGGAATGGCTGGGGGTCGGGTACGAGGTCCGGAATCGCCGCTGCGCTTAATCCTAGATGGGTGCCCATCGTACAACAGTATGCTGGGGACAGCTTTTGAAAAACCATCTCCATTTTTTACCGTTACGTCTGTGTCTGCAGCACTCTCTGCATATACACTCTGCTGTGCTGTCGCTGTGTGAGAAGAGGCTCGATCCCATCTGTACAGTTCAGTTATTGGTCAGCTTCTTCTTTACAAGCTTGGATATCGCACGCTGTGTACCTAAGATTCGCCTCTTGTTCCGCTTCCCACTCCAGGTATGCCTTCTCCTTCTTGATCTTTTGATCATGAGTCTCTTGATCATCGGGCTGGTGATACCGTCCTCTCGGCGTCGTGATATTTCTGGACACTGACGTCAGAGCGTCGTCGTCACGTGAATATCTGGATAAGAACGCCGTAGATCTTGTGTCATTATTGAAATTATGTGTGGATTGGGGTTGGGAAGGTCTTAACCGGTCCATTGGTAATAATAGCTGTGAGGTGGATTGGCGAGACAGCCGAAAACGAATCTGATGGCGGTGAAGGAACGTAAATAACGACGTTTCTGAGGTGTTTGGTACTATAAGCGTGGTCAATGTCCCGTCAGACAGCTGTCAGTCTGAGAAGTCGCTGTTCTTATACTTTCGTGAGGACCTTGAGGTCTGAGAAGCCGCAATGGTTGGACATCGTCACGAGACACTCCTTCAACATCTCGCTACAGCAAGGAAAAATGATCAGAAGAACCATCCATCACTTTCACAAAGGCTCAATTAGCGCCATAAATTAACGTTGTGTTTTGTGTCATGCTGTATAAAAACTGAAGCTTCTCGAAATGGGAAAGGTGTGCTATAACTCGTACAAAACTTACGGAACCCTGTGATCTTCCAGCGAATCGCTCCTCTGATCTATGAACCGAAAGTCGTCATACGTGGCTGACGCTATTGTTCAGTGATCGAATTTGCATTTGATACAATCTCGGACACGTGGAAGAGGGCTGGCGGCAAGCTACCTGGCTAGTCCCCCCAATGCTTTCATTGAGAGCATCGCAGTATTCGACCGAGCGCCAACCGCCGTGGGGTGTGTTCGTAGAAACGGCCCGTCAAACGCTGAACGAAAGACAAAGGACTTGACTTTTGGTTCCATATGCAAGCATGACCATCTAACAACAACAACCGCGCGGTCCCGATATTGTGGCCTACGACGCTCTCGTCTGTTTCTCAGCATCTGGCGCATGTTATCTCTGGACTTACCGGAGTGTTAGTTTCGGGACCTGGAAGAATGAAATACCAAGGCCGCGTCAACGGAAGGTTGCCGAGAACTGTGCGGAGAGTTAGCGCCCTATCTTAGACCACCCAAGTTTTGCAGTGAGTCAGTTAATTCTTTATCTCATTGCAGAGCTTCTCTTGCCAGGTCAGACTCCCCCTTCACTGGAAAAAAAACGAAAAAAAAAAAAGACTGTCAAGGCAGGAACCCATCACCAAGCATCAGTGCATAATGTAGATGTGGGCAACTTTGCCCCTTCCTATCCCCATTCTTGATTCCCATCCATTCTATTTCAGCGCTTCCGCGACCGCCACTCCTCGTTACCCAGCTATCGAAAGAACGCTCCTTCCTTCATGCCATCCATGGCACCCAATTCACCTCCTCACCACTTCAAAAGCCTCTCCAGGCCGTCCAACAATCGCGAAGCCCGGCTTCTCCTCCGACCACCTCCATGGTCAGAAGACCGATCCCGACGGCCCCTCTCATACTCCTCCTCCCTTCTCCGTCTTTCCCGCAAAGCTTCTCTCCTACCCATTTCCCTTTCCCTATCCCTTTCCCTCTCTATCTCCCTCTCCATCTCCCTATTCATCACTCTGTTCCCACGATAATGGTTATTATGATGATGGGATCTAACATCATCGTTCGTTGCGGCTCTTGACCCTTGGCTTCGGTACGCTCTCGAAGTCGGAGCTGGCGACGGCGACGGTTGTCTTCTTCGCTCACTAGAGCCGGAAGGACCGTAACGATCAAAGTCGTATTCGAGTGGTTGGGAGCGGATGGGACGGTATCTTGTATCTGTGTCCCTTTCGGGGGAGCGGCGTCGGGGGTCTTGCCGTGGGCGGTAGAGGTCGGGTTCTTCAGTCCAGGGGCGGGGGCGCTCTTGCCTACGTGGATTTCAGGTTAGAGGGAACTTGTAGACGGGAGGTTTGGGGTGGTTTTGGTGGGATTGGGGGGTGAGGGACTGGACGTACTGTCCTGGTAAGTTGCTGAACGGCAGGGGAGACCGACGAAGCATCTCCTGGTCTGGGTTGGGCCAGCGAGGATCGAACTCCTCCTGCCAGTATGGGTCGGGGGACGGGGGTCTGCGTGAGCCCATGGTTGATATGATGTGTTCTCGCGATAATGTCGGATATATCGTATGTGGGTGCTTGTGCTGATGGTGAACTTCGCTCCGTCAGTTGCTGGAATGGGCTGGTAATGGGGAGTTCTTGGATCTTGAATTCATATAGATTTCGCGACAAAATCAAGGACCCCTTCACACGGTTGGTCACCTGGCGAGTGACCAACATGGCTATCCATTGCCTCCTCTGCCGAAGTCGGGCCTCATGATTTGTTTGTAGTCCGATAGCCTTCACGGTCCACCTGACGTGCTCCTTCATCCATTCATGCATCGTGCCACGTGAAGAGAAGATCCAGGGAGTCATCCTGTATGCGATCCCTCGGGTGTCCGATAATATGGGGATATGGTGAAGGATATCACCGAACCAGTTACCAGGCTAGCAAGCGCTCCATGAAGCCCCTTCACGTAAGTGGTGATACCGACAGAAGAATGACAACGACAACAGTCACGATGGATTCCCTTCACCAGCTCCTAGAAATTCGTGAAAATTCGCCAGTGGCGAGTATAAGAAGCAGCTCAATCTCAAACCCTCCCCCTCAGAAAAACTTTCCAAAACAGACCCCATCCACCAGACGTACAGAACCAAGCAAGATCCTCACAACAAGAACAAGATCGCACGTCAAAATGTCCTACTCAGGCTCCCGCTACCGCCCCTCCGGGCGCCAGGTAGCCGCACCCGATGACTCCAGGTCTAGACGTAAGCCTTCCCACCCTTTCCACGCTTACCACCCTTACCACCCTTACCACTTCCATTTCCCAAAACCTCTACAAATAACCCACTAGGTAACCCCAACTAACTTTCTCTCCAGACCCAGCCTCATCGCACCACAACGCACCCAGCAGAACCTCCCAGCCCAGCGGCGGCCGCGGTCACGACGACCGCGCCCGTTCCTTCCCAGCAGATGCCTACCTCGGGTACAGCTCCGACGGCGACGACGACGACGACAACTACTACTGCAGCTCATCCGGCAGAGCCCCTGGCGGTAGCAGCAGCAGTCATCGTGACCCCGGCCATGGCCGTAGCCGCAGCTACGGAGGCTACGATGACTACGACGCTGATGAGTCCGACCGCGGCTACGGTCGTGGTCCTAGTACCCAGTCCCGCGTTCCTCAAAATGATCATCACGGAGGAGGACGCAACCACCCCTCTTCTTCGTCTTCCCACCGCGACCAAGCCCGGGACCACCGAGACGACGAGCGCTACTACGCCCCTAGCGGCTCAAGCAGCTCTGGCCGACACCATGACCGTGACAGTGGCTATGGCCGTGACTATGGCCGTGATTCAGGACCGGGTGGTCCCTCGTCACGCCACGGCGGCGAGGATATGCGCGGAGGAGATCCGAGAGCGTCGGAGAGTCGCCGCGAGATACCGTTTCGGTATGTGAGCCCGTTTGATCTGGGTTTTGGCGGCGGATCGAGAGAGCGTGGCGGTGGTGGTGGCAGGAGTGATCCTTTTGCTGAGGATTGGGACTTTCCGTCGCGTTCCTCTGGTCATCGACGCTCGAGTGGGAGGGATGATGGATGGTTTTCTGATGGGGAGTCGGATTGGAGTGATGGGTTCTGGTGAGGAGACGGGAAAGATGGGTGAAATATGTGGCATGGCTAGAGGTATCTGCCTCTAGGTAAGGAAGGAAAACTTGGGAAGATGAAAAGGAAGGAAGTGCAGAGGAGGCAAAGAGGGAATAATGGGAGTGGACACATTCTAGAACGAGAATAGAGTTGTTGACAGAGATTGACGCTTGTGCTCCCATTTTCGAAAAGGGGAACCATTACTGCTTTTTATATTATCCAGTGACACTACTGATTACTATTCAATGATCTTACCATCGACTATTTGATGGTGATATGCTGTACCGCGGTAAGCCACTTTTGCTCGTCCGTCCTGTGAGAACAGGTTGTTAGTATCATGACGGGGGATCGACAAGAAACGGAAGCAACTTACTTGTCAAAATTCAACAACTTGCCCAATACTGGCACCAGCTGTGCCCGCAACCTGTTATCCTTCTGCTCCAGGAATTGCAGCAAGATGGTCTTCAGGTACATAGCATCGGGCGTAGCGTTCGCAGACCCGATCGAGTTTGACCTCGCCGAGTCCACGGAGCCCCTGCTTCCACTGCCTGCCAGACTGGCCATGCTTGCCAGCTTGGTCTGTACCGTCTTCAGCTCCTTCTGCACCTTGTCGTATCTGAGCCGGTAATCATCCACGGCTCTTCTGAGCTCGGCGTTCTTCTTCTCCGTTTCCCGGACGAGGAGTTCGCTAGCGTCGAGGGTACTCCTAAGGTTCGACACCGTTTGCCGCATCTCCTCGACTTCAGCATTGGATCTCTCTTCAACGCTCTCCAGCTCATCCCTCCTCTTCTTCCACTCCTTCTCCCTGTGCTCGAGTTCGTCCTTCTCACTTGCCAAGCCCTTGACCTCTCTCTCAAGATCACGTACCTTTTGCTTGAGCTCCTCCGTCTCTCGAGACTTGCGGCGAGCGAGCGCGCTGGTCTCCTCTTCGATGCGATCCCTCTCTTCTACCGCCGCCTCCATCTTGGCGCGCATGTCACGGACCTTGCTGTCCGCACGCTCGTCCACATCCTGAAGAAGACGACGCATCGTTTCGGCTTCGCGGGTGCGTTCGCTGAGCATCTTCCTCGTCTCGGCAAGTTCCTCGTCCAAGCTTTCGCATTGACCCTGTGCCTCCTTCAACTGGATGCTCAACTCGGCTGTCTGGTCGCGCATGCTGCCGAGCAGATTCTGGGCACTTGTGTATTGGCTGCTCTTGAGCTGGACTTCCTCCCGCATCATGTCACCCTCCTTCCGAAGACGGTTAACCTCTTCCTCCAGCTCGCGGATGCGCGGACGGAGCTTGTTGGCTTCCTCTTGCACGCGCTGCAGCTCCCGAGCGGTCTTCTCTTCACGGGCGGCAATTTCAATCTTCTCTGCCTCAGACCTGCGAAGGTCCCTACCAAGAACCCGCTTCTCATCCTCAAGCTTGAGGCGCGCGTTTGTCTCTTGACCGACCTTGTCGTGAAGAGCCTTGATCTCACCATCACGGTCAGCGGCGAGACGCTGGGCACGGACGAGATCAGCCTTCAGGTCTTTCTCGCGCTTCTCAAGGTTGCGAAGGTCCGCGTTCCGCGCAGCAAGCTCCTCGCGCACCGTCTTGAGGGTGGCCGCCTCCTGCCGAAGCGACTTGAGCTCGGGTTGAGCCTTTTGCAGAATCTCGCGCAGGTCAGTGAGATCCTTGTACCTGCTTTGGGCGAGCTGCTGTGCGGCGGCGAGGTCCGACTGGAGAGTCTGCGACTTTTGTTTGAGATCGTCAAACTCTTGACGGAGGGATTCGTGCTCTGACTGAAGCTTGGTATTGGTCTGAGAGGCTGAAGCAGCTGCCTCTACCTCCTTTTCAAGCTCATCGATTCGGGCCTTCAGCTCCTTCTTCTCCTGCTCGAGTTCCTTCAGACGTTGCTTGGTCTCGACATGCTCGAAACCGATTTCCTTGAGACTATCTTGCAAGTTCTCAATCTCCTCACGGAGGTCCTCTTCAGTCTTGCGTTGCTTGGCAAGACGCTCGATGCGCTGGTCCTTGTCAGCGAGCTCTTCTTGCAAGCGGGCAAGCTCGTCCTTCAAGCGCGCGTGCTCGGCTTGGAGCTCCGCCGTGAGCTCTGCCGTGGCAGTGCCTTCAGTGGATTCCGCGGGTGCTTGATCCTCAGTGGCGGCAGGCTCAGAAGATGTAGCCGCTGGTGTCGCTGGAGCACCACCCTTCTTCTTCTTTTTGTTGTTCTTCTTCTTGTTTCCGGGTGCGGGTTGCGTAGGGGTAGAAGGCGTGGGGGGTGCTGTAGTGACGGCGGCAGCAGGGGCAGCAGAGGGCGCAGGGGTGGACTTGATCTTCTTCTCAAGCTCGTCAATCTTGGCCTCGTCTTCAGCCTTGGCCTTCTTGAGGGTCTCAATCTCCGAAGTCAAGCCTTCAATCTTTGCGTCTAGAGTGGACTTGGCTTCGGTGACCTTTGTAAGTTCAGACTGAAGCTCTTCGTTCTTGGACTCCGAAGCAGCAAGCTTGGCAACCTTCTCCTTTAGTCCCGTAGCGGTTTCTTCCTTCTCCTTCTGCAATTGGGTCTCAACCTCTTTGAGTTGCGACTGCGTCTTTGTCAGACGCTCCGTCAACGATTCGATCTCGGCCTTCCTGGCTTCAAGCTGCGTCTCGATCGAAGTCTTGACTGCGGCAGCATCTCTCGCTTCACTCAGTTCGCTACTGGCCTTTTCAAGGCTCTCGACGAGACCGGCGCTGTGGTCCTTGGCGGTCACCAGCTCTTCCTTCAGTGTGTCGACCTCGGCCTGCAACTTTTCCACCTCCTCGGTCTTGGTCTTTAGCTCAACTTGTAGCTCCTGGATTTCCTTGTCATTGCCGCCCTTGGCTTCTGGTGTCTCTTGCTTGTCGTCGGTCTTGTCACCCGGGGTCTTCTCGGCACTAGTCTCTGCATCCTTGGCGTCCTTCGCTGCGGCAGCTTCGGCTTGCGCGGCCTTGAGAGCAGCAATCTCCTCCCTCAGCGCAGCAGCCTCCTTGTCGGCTTCCTCTGCCTTCTTCTTGTAGCTGTCTTTCTCGCCGGATACACGTTTGAACTCATCCATAACCATGTCGCCCTTTAGGTTCAGCTGATTTAGGTACTCGATCAAAGCTTCGGGATCCTTAATCGAAGTCAATGGAGTATTCTCTCTGAGTGCCTTTTCGAACGGTTCGATGGAAGTCGCACGGCCGTGGGCAATCCGGTAAGATCGTAGAAGCTCTGTCATGCTGGTTAGCGCACACGTCCTACACTGCTGCAGTACCAAAGGAGCACGAACCTGGGTATGTCTTTTCTAGCTTATCCAACTTTCTCAACCTTACCCGGATCTCTGGCGAGAGCTCAGCGGTGGTAGAAGGTGTGGTTGTCCCCGATCTTGCTGTCTGCCCTGCGGCAGACCTGTTGACGCTTGACCTATCTCCATTCTGTAGCGGGTCGGTACCTTCTTTGACGGGTTCGGTATTGCTGGCCGGCGTTGCGGGATCCTTGCCCTTTCCTTCCTTATCTGTCGAGACAGGTGTGCCGACACGGGACGGGGTGTTGGTCTCGTCTGTATCGTCGATCACGAAGGCGGCCTCGAAGACGGCAGGGTCGGAAGTGGCGGCGGTTCCATCGGCGGACATATCTTGGCTTGGTCGAGGTCTTCTGGAGGCTTGTGTCCCAACAGCACTCGTGGTTCGCGATAACGAGCTCGAATTTCGTACGTGAGAACTACCAGGGGCACCGCCTTCGAGGGCTGCTTTCGCCCTGGCCTGTTCTTCCGCAATGGTGCGGTCGATGGCACCCTTGATTCTCTGTGAAAACCACGACATGTTAGAGCTTGTCTGGGCCATACCGGTGGGGTAGATAGTCGAGAAGGGAGGTGGCATGCGTACCTGCAACATGATGTCTTTATTCTATCCAAGATCGCAAAGCCACGGGGCTAGGCGCAGCTACCGTAGGTAACGTTCCGCGTTATGTTTTAAGTCGGAGCTCTAGGTAAGGAGGCGCGAAGGCGCACTGACACGTTGACGGCGATCAATCTTCGCGGGTGTCTGCTTGGTGGCAGGTCAAAGGGTGAGGTAGGATATGGAAGACTTCAGGAGCTGCCAATGTACGCGCAAACAACGGCAAGTTAAATGTACAGTACAGACACAGGTAGAGGTACCTAAGGGCAAACTGTTGGGGCAGGTATTAGGATGCGCCAGAGAGCATGGGGCTAGAACGCAGTGTGTAACAGCAACAAGTGAGATAATAAGGGGTCAAGTATAATAACAATGTGCTCTCAGGTCGACATGTTAGTACCTGGACTGTATCATGATGTTCCGGAACAAAGTCCAAGTCGTTCTGTTTCAAAGACAAGAAGAGGTCGAAATGGACTTTGGGCATGGCCTGTGATGCCACTGTAGCGGGAAGTGTGTTGCGCAACCCCCCGGTTAGGCGATTGCCAAGCCGTCCCTCCCCTCCAGTCAGGGGCAGCACAGGGCAGCGGCAGGCAAGTGCTCTTGGGCAGGGGCAGTCTACTGCGTAATCATCAGGAGCTCGGGCCATTCAAGTGCAAGTCTTGGCAGCTGGATCAGCTTCATTTCAGGCCAAGTTGCAATGACTTGCATCTATCGAGCCTCACATTGGATATGAAGAGATGGCGTTATTCGACGACAACACTGGCCGTTGAATTTGATCCTGTTGTCCACAAATGGCCATCCTTCATACCCGACGGAGAGTCGAAAGGCTGTTAAGAGACTTTCCTGTTTGGGTGTTGAATGTAGAAACCAAACAAGAGGGATCGATCGCACGTGCCACGCCTCCAACGGTTCATTCATCTTTGGATGGAGGTCACTGGGCAAAACTTGAACATCAGTCAGGATCCCATATATATAACCAAAGAAAGCAACTTGTGCTTACTTTTATCGCCCAAGAGCCCAACACCAACCATATGATTTGAGATGCATGATTTGTGCCCAAAGTCAAGTACCGAACGTTTCAAGATGTCGCAGTACAAGTGCGCACTCCACTAACAGAATACGACAACCCAAGCAGCGATCGCTACGTATCTAGCCAGCACTACCGTTGTAAGTGTGTCCGCAAACCGCAGACGTCACCGTGCACGCGACCCTCCACCCTAGGCCCTACGTAGCTCTGGCCAAGTCTTTCATCTCCAGCTGTCCACGGCGGGCAGTGTTCGACGTCTCCGTGTTGCTGCCGTCCACGATCCACGATTGTCCACATCGACCACCATCTTGATGACGGCGGCTCTGGGACGCTGCTATTCAACAGGCCCCTGAGGCCACATACAAACCACCTCTTCCATTCTCAACCCTCTTTTTCGTCCCTTTGACTTTCACCATCTTTTGCCCTTCGCCATCCCTGGCCAATCTTCATTCGGGGAGCTACCCGTAATTACAACTGCAGTAAACTCCGAGCCTCCGTCAAACAACCCTACAAGCGATCCTTTTTTGCGACAGATTTGAACCCTTCCTTATCTTGACGACCGCCCCTCCTCTTCCTGAAAACAACGACACTCCGCGACAACAGACGGATACCTGAACACTTCGTCAAAAGCATCGTCCCTCAGCAAGCAAGCAACATGGTCTCCCTATGGCCATGGAAGGTATGCGCCCAACTCACCGAGAGGGGTAAAGGTTCATACCCAGACTCAGCTGACACCAACGTGAACAGAAGGAGGACTCATCTCCGGCCAAGTTCGAAAAGGCCCTTTCGGCGCTCTCGGGAAGAATCACAGTCACGCAGACAAGACTCGATAATGTCCGATCGACCGCGCGGCGAGTGAAGGTCCTTGCGACCCTCTATCTCGGTTTCGCCTACCTCGTCTACGCCATCGTAGCGCTTCTCGTCATCGGCTGGAACAACATGGGTCCACAGGAATGGACAGGAATGGCCGGCGGTCCCGTTATCATCTACCTCGTTCGCACTCTATCGACCATGTTCTTCGACTACCGGATCAACGGCCTCAATGCGAAACTTGAGTTTCTTCAGACTGAGCGAACCAAGACCATTCAGAAACTTAAGGAAGCGACCCGTTACGACTCCACCCTTGAATTGCTCGAGAAGTACGGCGGACCGGAGAACAAGATCATGAGGCGTGCCAGTAAGAAGGGCGGTGATGACGATAACGACGAGGATGGCGCCCAAAGGTCAAAGAAATCCCAGGGCAGACAAGCAGGACGCACCCACATCGCGCCGCCTCCCACTGCCAACATTCAGCGCCCTCCTCGCCCCGGCGCTGTCGGCCCCAACATGCCGCAACCCGGTACTCCTGGTGGGCAGCAACTAGCTCCCTCTCCTATGCCTCCCCAAGGCCCGGAGCCGTCCGCCGAGTTCGCCCCGAACGCTTTCGAAACCAACCCTCGCGCCTCCCCCTCTCACCCGCACGTCCAATACCCACCCGCCGCGGCCGCCATGGCGGCGCCCACGGAATCGCACTGGTACGACCGCATTCTCGACACGCTTATCGGTGAAGACGAGACCGCGGCCAAGAACAGGATCGTCCTCATCTGCAAGAAGTGCCGGCTGGTCAACGGACAGGCCCCTCCCGGGACGAAGCGCCTGTCCGAGATCGGCAAGTGGAAGTGCATGTCGTGCGGGGCTGCCAACGGCGAGATGGACGAGGGAAGGAGGATCGTTAGGGAGGTTATTGGTGGCGGTAAAAGTGAAGAATCTCTTGTCCTTTCCCACTCCGGTGACGATGCGACTAGCTTGGACAGTTTCGGAGAGGAGTTGGTGGATCGTAGCGAGGCTGCGGAGAGCGACAAGGTGCAGGAGCGTCCGGAAAAGAGGCTAAAGATGGACAGCGGCAGGTGAAGATTACCTATTATGTAGGAGGACTGCACGCTGCAACTATTGCTTTGTGTCATTTTCGGTTCCGTTCATCCATCGCTGGGCGGATGGTTGGTTGTAAGCTTAGTTCTTTTCGGGAGGTCTTGTGTTGGTACCGCGCTATCTGGTATTCGTTCCATAAAAGCATCTGGGACTGGAGTCTAGCGGAGAATCGAAACTGCTTTAGAGTGACCATGAGTTCTTGGGCTTGCCTTCCTGCTCTTTCTCGTTCATGAACTCTATTCTTGGGACCAGAAGAACATTCGAGCCTTTGAAAGTCCGAAGTTCAAGTGACGCCTTTGCCTTCATCTGCACAATGTTCTCAAGTTTACCGTGCATAGAACTACTAATACCACGAAGACAATGGAAGCAACTCGCTTCCTAGTTTATGAACAGTTCTGACGCGATACTTGTCACATATGAGTTGGTTGCGACCAAAGATCTTTTGGTCATAATGGACTTGATTGATACGCAGCCACATCCAGCCTGTTCTTTGCGCACTTATTGTCAGTGGAGAATTTCATTCATGAGGATTCTGGTTGTTGCCTCGTCTATCCTGGGCCATTCCTCAGATCAAAAAGGTTTCCATATGGAACAATAGAACACTCACCTGTCACCTAAGACACAGGAGACACGAAGAGCCATGGCTTTTACATACCCCCAATCGTTTACCTATTTAAAGGGCCACACTGTCGCAACCCACTTGTTGATATTCCAGCACATTGATCTTCTCTATCCACAGAAGCCTCGTCGGCAAAGCGAGGCGGCACTTCTCTTAACCTAACCTCTCTTCAACCTCTCTTCAACCTCTCTTCAACCTCTCTTCAACCTTTCTGCAACCTCTCTTCAGCCTCTCTTCAGCCTCTCTTCAACCTCACACTAATACTTACTTACTATCTCACACTTATGCAAAAAGTCACCGCCCAACAAGCAACACCGCAACCATGACACCCTTCCCCCAAGATATCACAAACCCTTACTCACCCACCACCTTCACCCTCCCCTTGCGTCCCCGTCCTGATGGGGGTAGTGCCAGTAGTGGTGGTGGGCATTACCAAACCCTCATCCAACAAGTCTCCAGCCTCACAATCGACGACTACCAAACTCCCCAAGGAGACCGCCATGTCGAGACTCGGCGTCATACAGAGCAGCGGCTTATCCAAACCACCACCACAACGACAACGACGAGAACAACGACGACATCGAGAACGACAGCCACGGAGCCCCTGTCTCTGTCTAGGGAGAAACTTCTCAATCCCGCTTCTTCTTCTTCTTCTTCTTCTTCTTCTTCTACTACCATAGGCCCGCGATCCTCTATTCATAACTGCAGTTCCAGTTTCTGTTCAGACTTTTCCAATGCCGCGGCTAGGACGGCGACGGCGACGAGGGCGAGCCTTCGTCATTCGAAGCCGTCGTCGCCGATTAGTAGTTTATCAGAAGTGTCGTCCTCCGAGCCTGGAACTGGAACTGGAGGAGCTTCTCCGAGTGTGAACAAGTATTTGAGAACAAGAAGGGGCGCGATGTCGGGGCCCAGTTGCCCTGGTCCTGGTCCTGGTTCTTTGAGTTCGGCTCCGGCTATGGGTTCAAGTTCGTCATGGTGTTCGAGTAGTTCTAGGCCTAGTGGTTCCAGAGCGCATGGTGGGGAGCGGCTGTTGTTGCCTTCTGCACCGTCTTCAATGGCTTCGGGTTCTCGTGCTTCAGGTTCCGGCTCAATGATGAAGAGCAGCGGTCTTACCAGGAGTAGAGCTGGCAGCATTACTACTACAGCTGATTCAACTAACCGGTTGAACCAAGCTAGACTCCTCCCTTCCCCTTCCAGGGGCTGGCCAGAGCAAGACCGCAACCGCAACCGCACCCGCAACGGTTCCCAGATCGCCACCGATCCCGCCGCCATTTCCATCTCATCATCTTTCTCCGACGCGAGCAGCAGCAGCAGCAGCAGCAGGAGTACCGTACGTCCAACAGACTTGTACAAACCGTCAGAATCCTCACGAGTTAGCAACAATCGGCGATCGTATCAACCCCGGCTCGGGACCGGAGAGATCACGCCAGAGGATTCCATCTCTCAGATTGGAATTGGAACATCTGCCTCTGCCTCTGCCTCGGCCTCAGCGGTACGGAGACATGGAGGACAACGGTCCTCGTTAAGCCTTCCCATCCGGAGCTTACCTCTAAGCGGTGTCCGATACGTTTCTGCCTCTGAGGTTGGAAGGGCTCCTCCTCCACAGGAGGACCGTTGGATTTTACCGTCGAGTACACCGGGGAGGTTTGGACCTCCTCCGCCTTCTGTATTTGGAGATGGGTCGTCGAGGGTTTCCTCCCGGAGAGATTGTTACTAGGTCCTCCGGAGTAGGTTATGATCGCTCAAGTATGTAGTGGGTGCATGGTCGCTGGTGGTGATTGAGGTAAGTCGTGCATAGTTGAGGAAAGGGAACAAGGCATTTTGTGGAATACCGGTAACATACTTCTAGCTGTTAACTCTTTGAGTTGTGTTGGCTTTGGGGCTCTTGCGGCTGTTCCGTAATGATTCTTGACCTTGGTATTTTGAGAGACAGTAACAGACGCTAGTACTTGGCAATTGCAAATTCGTGATTATGGAACTCTCCGTGGATGTGGTCAGGTGAATAAGCGGATGACAGGCCTTCTTTCGTGAGATGAGGCGTTATCGTAACATCCGTTGTTGATGGTGAGAGGGGACCACGAAGCGCGAGGTACTATCAATCACTAACATGGATGGCTCTTTGTACCCTGCGAATGTGTTAAGGTTCGATATGGCCCTGTTTGGAAAGGTGCAGCTGCACGAAACCCCCCACACTAAACTCTTTCCAAACGTTGCTGCGACTGTGCGAGACGCCGAGAGGTCATCATCACGTTGGTTGACGAGCCTCCTCCTCTTGGACGGAACGAGTTAGCCAAGGTGGTAAGAGGGGTTTCTGAAAGTGGGGAGTGATGATGCCTCATGACCTTTGGGTCTTGGATTGACTTTTGGATTCTTCAAAGTCTCGACAATCGCGGCAAGTTGCCCCCCTCGCTCGATTTGTCGGATGATGGATGACCCCAATCCAACCGACGACAGTGTTCGGGCCGCAAAGCATCGCTGCTCTGCTCTGCTTGGACGTTCGATCAAGATCGTCAACCCTGGACCAGCACATGCACTGTACCGCGACTCGGCATGCCGTGTTCCTTTGCAGCTCTGCTCTCTGGTACAGACTGGCCCTATCTTTCAATGGAAGGTTATCTTTGGACTTCAGAGAGAAAGAAGAAGAGAAGGACCCGATCCGATCCATGTAGAAACAAGTACCGTGCACGGCACCTCCGAACAGTTACTTGCAGTTGAAAAGGAGGGAGGGCGCTTTGTTTACATTGGATGTTTTGGTTGGAGGAGGGGGCACGGAGGGGTCGCGCTTGTGAGCTGGAAAGCGGGAGAAGCTGACCTGTCGCAAACTCCCGCTCTGTCATTACCTGAAACCAGGCCGTAACTTTGACCACTTTGTGAGGACCTCACTGGGCCTGTATCGTTTCACCACGTCAACTTCCCTCCCGATTCCTTCCCAACTGCGACTTCAACGGCGGGTACCGCAGTACTTGCTAGCCTGCATGCCGAAGGAAAGCGCCGAATCAGAAGCGTCCCCTCCATTCCTTCCAACATGGAGCAGGTCTCCGTCCTGACTGGCACCTGCCATCTGCATTCCCAACTCGAGATCATCACAGGGAAGGAGGAGCCGTGGACAGTACCCAAAGTTGGAAGCTACCCCTGCCTCTTCTTACCTTCCACCATTTGCCTCAGGCTCCCCGAGCTTCTTATCTTTCTTCTTCAAGTTCCTTCCAGCTTGTCCTCTCTCTTGTCGTCGTCAAGATCACTCCCTCTTCACAACCGAGACTTGTGCAACACAACCTTGAGGCTCCTGCTCCTCTTCCAACACTCTCTTCAAGTTGTAAGGCTTCCTTGCCAGTCCATCTTCAGTCTTCAGCTGTGTTCTCGTTGGCATTGTTGCACAAACATCGTCCCAGATCCCTTGTCCCTCCTCCCGTTCCTCGCTAGATCATCTTCACTTTGAGCTGTTACCAGCTACTCGGCGCCATGATGTCCACAGCTATCTGACTGATTGCCACTCAGGCGTCAACAGCATACAGCTAAACAACTCGTACGACAAATTTCAGCACTCACGACTTACATCAACCCGAATCCTTGTTCACTACCTCCAGTATGTCTACCACAGGCTCTGCTCTTATTAGATAACCCTCGAACATTCAGCTCATTCGTTACCAGGAGCCGTAACCACATAGAAGGTCAAAATGGACAGATACGCAGAGACCACCGTCACTACCGAATACGACTCTGCGGATAGCGATGCCAGCTATCCCACCGATGATCTTGAGGGGTACTACGAGCATGACCATCATGGTAGCCGTAGAAGGCGTCCCGAGGTAGCGAGAAGTGGAAGGAAGTCTTTCAAGGAGCCAAGTCCCCACAGAAGGAGGTCACCAAGGAGTAAGCTCCGTGGTAGAATGCATTGTGGCTGCGGTGCTGAAGCCGTGGTGGAACTGTCTGTCGACGACACTCTGGATTCTGAAAACGACAACGGCACAGTGTCTGACCACGAGGATAAGCGTTCACGCTCTTACACATGTCATCACACGCGGCAAGCTTCCATGACCACGGAAAGGCCCAGAAGATCAATCTCAAGAGAGGTCGAACCAAAAGTCAACAAAAAGGATAAAGCCCCCAGGAGGACAGTGGATCCGTACATCGAAGAGTACCCGGATGAGCCAAACCAGCCTGTGACGCCTGTACGGGATTACAAGGCCCGTGATCGACGATTCTCAACATCTGACTCCAAGAGGTCTTCTCGCAGCATGGAAGAGCCATCATCGACAATCTCGACTCGTTCGCGGGCTGGAACCATTACCTCTGACTCAAAGAGACTGTCACGAGAAATGGAGGAACCTGTGGTACCTGTTTCAGCTCGTTACCATCGTGGCCCTTCAATTTCTGATACAAGAAGACTCTCCCGGGATGTGGAAGGACGCATGCGTTCCAATTCGAGGCGCCCTCAGCGCGGAACCTCAAGATCGGACACTAAAAGGTTATCACGGGAACTGGAAGACCGTGGCGGCTCAACCGTGTCCAGTCGCTCCCGAGGCGGCTCTTTGACCTCTGATACAACGAGGTTTTCTCGAGATATCGAAGATCGTGTGTCATCTGTCTCGGGTCGCTACCAAAGAGGTACCCCTGTCACCGAGAAACGCCGATCAGAAGGCGGTTCATCCGTGTCATCCAGACTATCGAGACAAACTGCGACGTCAACTGCCTCGCCTCAAGATCACCCGAGAAGGTACTCTGAGCTTGCTGAGCCACGTCGCTTTGTTGGTAAGCCGGAACAGTTCAGAAATCGGTGTCTTTTATGGCCGGGCTAACCAACTCATGATATAGATCCACTTTCGGATTCTGAGCAGGAAAGCACAATCTCGAAGCGTACCGAATCCACCATAGGCCGCTCGCGATACGAATCGTCAGCTAGAGATGTACCCAGAAGTATGGCTCGAAGGGGTTCATCGAGAGCTGGGCAGCCGCCTTCTCTCCAATACTCGTCAACCTGGCCCATGCGGGCACCAGGACTTCACCCAGATGGCGACCAGTCCTCTCATGGACGTCACTACGACAGCACCGAAGACAGCGACTATGACTTCATCAACGACCCGCGGTTTGATCCCGTCACCCACCGGATCATTCGACCAAGCCCTCCGCGTGCGCCTTCACCACCTCGCGCCCCTACCCCTCCTAATATTAGCACTGACGATGAGCCCGAGATCGATGAGTACCCAAGAAGATCACGGGCGCCTCGCGAACCTAAGGAGTCCAGAGGCCCAAGGTTGAAGACAATCCTCAGCAAGGCCAGCCTTAACGCCTTGAACAATGAAACTCGAACGTCCACCGCTACTGATCTCTGTGAAGTCTGGAGAGCTCATCCGGAGGACTGGGAGTCCCCTTATTCTTCCGTCCACCTTGGAAATGCAGGTGATGAGAGACCGGAATCTAACAACGAGCCGATGATGATGTTGGAACTCGAGGACATCGAGGATGAAAAGCCTGGTATGGCGCTGGAACTTGCTTCCAAATTTCCGCCAGCGAAGGAGTCTGAGACTGTCACAAGCGAGCCCACCTATTCGCGTGGCTCATCTCCCGTGTACGGCAGCCAAAATCCGCGGTCCACGACGGATACCATCAACACAGATCTGATGGCATTGAATCTGTCCCCTGCTACGCCTACGCATTCTAGACCACCTTCCAGACCGCCCTCGAGATGGAGCACCACAGGGGCTTACGAGTTCCCATTGACTCCGCCTTCGAGAAGCATGTCGCCATTATTTCACACTTGGAGGAACAGGGATCGGTTGCCTTCTAAGCTCGACGAGAATGTGACATCTGATTACGAGGGCTGGGGCAGCAGTAGGGAGCCGAGGAGTATGTTGACTGCAGATTATCAAAGCAGTGTAGCCAGTGGGTGGTAGAAGGTTGTGCCGCATATATCGGCGCGTCGGCGAGACTGCAACCAGATCATGAGTGAGCATTTCCTTGGAGTTTCATGAGCATTTGGATATTTGCTGCTGGTCAAGGTTGAATATGTCAAACAATTGTCTGTGATCGTTCGTTTACAAGGGCACCGTACGTTACCTAGTCTGCATTTCGGCTACGAGTCTGTCATTCATCGATGAGGTTGGGTGCTTTTGTCCTGTCATCACTCAGTCTACTGTTGAATTTTGAGGTGGCCCGTATTTCCAGAGAATGTCGTTGCGAGATGATATCATACAACAGATTCCACCCATTGTCTGTTGTCTTTCTTTTCCCTGGTCGCCGGCTCGTTCTCCTTTCGTCTTCCGAGTTCCTTGATTTGCTCCCTTCAAATTGCCATGGCCTCTGGGACACTTTGTTTAAGGACCGAATGTCTGCAAAGTTCCATGAGGAAAGATCGGATTGGTATCGAATCGTTGCTCTATCACCGCTGAGTTGCTCTGATAGCACTCGTTTGCAACGCCTTACTTCACAATGCCAATCTCATGATCATACAGCGCTGTTTGTGGGTGAAGATGGGAAAGCTCCTGTTTCTCAAAACTTGCTCCCAGAGAGCACGGTTACGAGACTAGGACAACCGCTCAACCAGCACCTTTGTTGACTCCGAACCTCAGCCGTAATCCCGACGTCGAACGTCCCAGGACGCACCAAATACTGTGCTCTCAGTAATTGCAGTATCTCATCAACCCTTTCCTTCCGCCCTTCTATCCTCGAAATGTCCCACATTTTCCCCATCTCCTCTAAGCCCTCCCACGGCAGCTCTCCTTCCCCCGCCAGCCCGGTGTTAAGCAGGTATTCTGCCGCTTTAACCGATCCCCTCCCGAAGGTGCTCTCAAGTGGGGATTGGATAACGTTGTAATAGGCATAATCCTCCGCTTCCTCTTCCCTGGCTTCCTCATCCATAGCCGCCCAACTCTCACGAGTGTCCTCCCTGGGAAGCTTTGGAAACGGAAAAGAAAATGACGGAACACCCAGCTCTTCAACATAGAACCTGACCGCATCCTTCCTGTTAGCCCATGCCGCTCTTGACAGCAAATCATACCAAAATTTCTGGTCTTCGCCTCCCATAGACGACCACAACATTGGCGGTAGCGGCGTGTCCTCTGCTTCTGGAACAGCAGCGGCAGCAACAACCAGCCCTACCTGTTCTTTAATGAGTCTTTTGAAAACCGAAATCTCCCATTCCATATCACCCGCGGGTCACCGAGAAAATGTCCCACCGTCTATACAATAGCTGCAAGGAATAGTTATCACCTTCACTTTCAAGGTCTCTATTAAGATACCGCGAGCGGAGCCAACGGTACTGAGTCTCCTCTGAAATATTTGGCCACCAATCCTCCTTTGGGTAGGTTCCGTCGGGATGTTCGGGGAATTGCCGCCAGTGGGTGTAGCTTGTTTCCATCTCGTGGTAGGGGAGGGTGTCGTCGGGCCAGTACCAGTCTTCGTAGGTTGTGCCGTCAGGTCTGGTGCGTATACTGGGGGTGTCGCGGATTATTGAGCAAGAGAGGGACTAGGGGAGGAGGGTGAGGGTGAGGAGCATGGTGAGAGGGGTGAGGTGGGAGTGTAGACGCATTTTGGATGTTTATAGTACTCAGGTACTGTGGTCATCGTTGACCTTGTGTTCTTGCGTTCTTGTTGTCCTTGTATTCTTGAGGTTCATGTGTGGTTTCGATGAATGAAGGCTTGCCTGATGTCTCATTTGCATGCATGGTAGCAAAAGAAAAGTCGATTTGTTTTTTCAGATCCAGGACGAAGTAAAATAGTTTTAGCCGAGGTTAATGAAAAATGTAGGCAACAAATAGCATTTACAACCATCTGGACAGCAGATGTCATGATAATTCGTTAGTTCGGATTTCGTGCCGCAGCACACCAACAAGACGACGACGACGCGAGTAGAAATATCCAACCTTGAAGCAATGAAACTCCCGCAGTGTAGAAGAAGAAGACAAGCACCTGTCTAACGGATCAACAAGGGGTTTCAGGGGTTTGTTTATGTTTATGTTTTGACCAAGACTTGAGATGTCATCGCTTGCATCCCAAGCAACGACGACGAGGTTGGAGGGATCCATCTTTTAGTGGGTACAGGTAGGAGGAAGAATACCCGACCGCGGCAGGCAACGGCAAGATGGACCTGAGTGACAGCGGAACGGCACGGGCGCACGCCGCGCACGAGCCTCAGATCCGCCCGTCCAATTTTATCGTTCCTTATCATGGAGAAAACCGGCAGCGGGTTGGGACGAAATTGTGACTTCTGAGGGAGGGCTGTCTAACGTCAAAAATGGAGTGAAAACCCATTCTGCTTGGGCTTTTGAACAACCCAGTAACGATGTCCCTTTCTTCCTACTTCAATTTCTCAATCAACAACGGCCTACGTAGTAGGAAGCCGAAACTCGATTGAGGATCACGAAGTTCTCGACTTCTTTTACTGCGGACTGCGGTAGGCTTTTTTACGGAGCCGTCGTCTTTTACATGCGGTCTTTTCGTTCCTGGACCGACCGACCCCTTTTCCGCCTCCGCTCTTATCTAGCCAGGACCTCCCGGCACTCCGAAGCGGATGCCGGGGCCCGATCGTCAGGGCACTCGTCGTCGCCCACCCACAAAATCCGCCGCTGCCAACTCAAACTCGACTGGCTCCGTCCCACTACTGTAGTCTGTAGTGTTCAAAATAGAGGTAGTCCCGTGATTCTCGTTCAGCTGCCTAGCGACACCGATTTCTTCTCTCTAGCAGAATATATCAGAAAAGGCCGGGCTCCGAAGTACCTGAAGCACCGTGACGGTCGTAACCTGAAGGCCGAAAGAAGAACGGAACCCAGACAGTTGTAGAGGCTCCCGTGCTTGGGGAATTGGAAAAAGAGGACAGGGCTAGGCTTCAACCTTCGGCACAAGCCACAAGCATTTCTTCATGGATAGGTACTCCATCCATGTCCAGTTCGTGTCCAAAACTCCAGACTCCGGCCGACGGTAGGCGGAAAGCGGAGATCACAATCTGAAATTCTTTTCGTTTTCGGTAGTGCTTACCGCTTAGTAAAAAAGGTAATTCGCAATGGAGAAGGAGGAGAGGGATGTTCATCTCCAGACGAGCCAGAGCATGAAAAAGGAAAAGTACACGTGCGACGCAGAAATCTGGGGAGGGCGAGGGATGGATAGGAGCAAGGAAAAGGGCTGAATGGTTTTCCCAATGCGATTGCACTGCACCGCATCTCAGTACCTACCTACTGGACGTATGGAATATGCAGCAGTGCTGTGGGATATCACCGTCACACTTCGAATCTCCAGTGTTCGAGAACGTGATTCCTCAGGTCGCTGCTGATAAAGGGACTCTCATTCAGCTCGGCACTCCCCTTCTTCCCAGTGAGGCTTGATACAAGACATCGGAGCAGGCCGCAAACCGCCAGGCAAAAAACGCAGCGTCGGGTTTCTCCTCCGGCCGGCGTGCGGAATAAAAATGAGATATATGATAAACCTCCCGTTCAGGCAAGTATACGTTGGCATATCATATCAGTTGGTGTTTTGAGATATGAAAATGGTTCCTGATAGGCTGGCTTGGTGTTGCAGGCAACGTTAATTGGGAGATCGACCTCTCGTCGTCGCCTGGGACCGTGCTTGAAGAAAGTCGGCATTCGCCTCATTGCGACACGCTGTGGACGTCACTGTCTCCTTTGATGATGGAGTGCTTCTTTCGCCTTATCAATCCCGTCTTGGTGTTTTGACGGGCTCGTCCCATCGACGACCAATTCTGCAAACCGGCAAGGGCCGCTGACCTGGAGAAGCTGATGCTGTGAGCTTGTGAGTTGCTGTAACCCCCACGGGCTAAACAGGCACTAACGATCCTGCCGCGTGGTGTGGTGTCTCTGGACGCTTTGGTTTGATAGCTACCTTAGGAGGAGCAACAGACACAGCACCGAATCCGACGGGATTTCCCTACGAATTCGATTCTGCACCTACTAACTTTTGTCAGAGCCTCATTTCTCGCGGAGAGGAGTCGTCAACATGCCAATCGGGAAACCGTCGTTGTCCAGATCCAGACCACAGACCGTGACATGTCGTCGAATGCCATCCCACATGGCGTCTGCATGCAGGTCAGCCTTGGCGAAAGATAGGCGGCCCCTCTTCTTTCTTCGAACCCCTGAGGGGACGAGGACGATCGATACCGAGGACGGACGACGAGCTGCCCACTGCCCGGTGGTGTTTTATAACCGGGCAGGTGGTAGTAAAAATGGGATGTGCACACATTGGTGCTGTTAGTACTACGGCTTGCACACCCGATTTTTACTACCACCTGCCGGGCCACGGAGTCTCGAGTCTGAAAAGCGCGCGATGGACCGATGTTATGATAATCCAGCTAAAATAGGGTAAGCCTCACCATGTAACGCTGCTTGTTGAAGCGGGAGCTTTCACCAATGCAGGCTGTTCCTCCTATCTCGAGCGGAATCTCATATCGGTCGGTCGCTGAGAGCCCTGCTAGTCGACGGTTACATGGCCTATTGTAGGGCTCCCGGGGCCAGGTCCCCTAGTGCGCTCTTACATGATATCAAAAGTCAGTTCAATACGCTACCATTGGCGTGAAACAGCTCTGGCGTGTAGGTAGACGAGGCATATCAAAACCGCAATTTCCAGCCTGTGAGGGTTGAAATCGTTGATGGGCAGTCTCCAAACTCATGATATTTTGTACGGGCAAGGTTCCCCTCACGCAGCTGAGATCTTGGCTTCCTGCCCTACACGTGTACCTCGGGACGGTTGTGAGAGATCATCCTCATTGTGAAGATCTGTGACGTTCCAGGTAAAAACGGTCGCTACGGCGTCCCACTGGCGGCGAGCCGGGACTCGGAAGAGAGGCACTGGAGGGCTTGAATTGAAGAGGCGACTTTATGGCCCGTCTTGTCCCCGTCGAGCCCTCGCTGAACTTTTGCTTTGTGCGCGTGCTGTTTGGCTGCATGACATTATGGGACGGACAGGTGGGGAGTCGAGGACAAGGTTATTCCCGTCATCCTGTCTCACTCTCATCTTCATGAGCCTGCAAGGCCCGCAGATTCGGGCCAATGCCGTCCATGCAATTCCACTTCTCGAACATCGCCGGTTCCCACTTCGCCAAGGATCACAACTCCATCGCAACCCACCATCTCCATGCGTAACTGGGCCCGAGTGGCCAGCCATCCCATCTCTTCCCTCTTGGGACGAGAGATAAGAAATTTTTTATCGGGTTTTTCCCGTCCTTTTGGGATTTTTGGCTTCCCACACGCGCGGACTCGTCCCCGGTCGGGCTAGCATGCGCAAGTACTCGTCAGGGCTAGAAGCGCCCATCCCCATCTGGTACCGTACCTCACAGTCTTGATTCATAAAGATGGGCCGCCCACCTCCAGGCCTCGGTCGACTCGTAAGGATTTCTCCTTCCTTCACCAATGCTCTTGCGTCCCTCGCTAGGGTTTGGTGAAAGCTTCGGCAACCGCTCATTGCAAACGTGCTTTGTGCGCCGTTAACAGGTCGACCATCCTCCTCCACTTCAACGACTCTTCAGTCAGTTAAGGGAACCGACCAACATAATCCTCTCTCCGCCATATCGATCTCTCACCGGTCCAAGCTAAAACACCACACGAATCGTCCGTGCTCGCCTCGGCCGATCATCTACATCGTCTCATCGACATCAGCATATACCGTCTTCGAGATTCCGCAGCTCGCCGTAACTTGCAAAGATGGGAAAAGTTGGTGATTGGGTTGACTCGTTCAACCGCAAGGTTGCCACCAGCAAGGTTGGATGGTGGTTCAAGCTGGATGGCTCTGGACATGTGAGCGCCGTTTTTGGGAAATGAGTGGCCGCGTGCCTCTTTGCTAAAACTTCGCCAACAGCCCAGAGAAAGGAAGGGGTCCTACTTCTTCACCGAGATGCGTGCTGGTCTTGCGACCTTCTTCGCCATGTCGTATGTTCCAACACATTCGATATTGATTTATCTGTGGTGCGGTTGTTAACGCTTGTGGCAGGTACATTATTGCCGTCAACGGAAGCATCGTCTCCGACACTGGAGGAACTTGCGTCTGCACGGCAGATCCCAAGGTTGATAGGTGGTGTATCAATGACCCGACCTATGCTATCTGCAAGGCTGAGGTCAAGAGAGATCTCATCACCGCCACCGCTGCCATTGCTGCTTTCGCTACTTTCTTCATGGGTCTCCTCGCCAACCTGTAAGTTATGGTTCTCGATGTGAGTTCAGGTGTTGGCTTGCTGACAATGATACAGGCCTATTGGACTTGCGCCAGGCATGGGTTTGAACGCTTACTTCGCCTACACCGTCGTCGGATTCAACGGACAGGGTCTTGTTCCCTACCAGGTTGCCGTTACTGCCATCTTCGTCGAAGGCTGGGTGTTCTTCGGTCTTGCACTCCTTGGTATGCGTCAGTGGTTGGCTCGGGCTATCCCCCGGTCCATCAAGCTGGCCACCAGTGTCGGTATTGGCTTCTTCCTGACCCTCATCGGCATGACCTATTCCGAGGGTATCGGTCTCGTGGTCGGCGGTACCGACACGCCCCTCGACCTTGCTGGTTGCCACCCCTCCTCTCGCGACAGCGTCACAGGTGAATGCCCGTCCAGTGACAAGATGCGCAACCCTACCATGTGGATCGGCATCTTCTGCGGCGGTGTTCTCACGACCATGCTCCTGATGTATCGCGTCAAGGGTGCCATCATCGCCGGTATCATTCTCGTTTCTGTTATCTCGTGGCCCCGCACCACCGCGGTTACCTACTTTCCCTACACCGATGTCGGCAACGATGCTTTCGACTTCTTCAAGAAGGTTGTCGGCTTCCACCGGATCAAGCACGTCCTCAACGTCCAGCAGTGGGATATTTCGGGCCACGGCGGACAGTTCGGCTTGGCGCTCATCACCTTCCTCTACGTCGACATTCTCGATACCACCGGTACTATGTATGCTATGGCTCGCTATGCCAGCCTTGTCGATGTGGAGACTGGTGACTTTGAGGGTTCCACCATTGCGTACGTACTCACTGCCTTCTGGATTGTACCTTGGTCGTTGATTGTTAACATTTGTATGTACAGTTACATGGTTGACTCCGTCAGTATCGCCATTGGTGCTATTTTCGGTACTCCCCCCGTCACTGCCTTCGTCGAGTCCGGTGCCGGTATTGGTGAGGGCGGCAAGACAGGTCTTACAGCCATGTCGACTGGCTTCTGCTTCTTCATCGCCATCTTCTTTGCCCCCATCTTCGCTTCGATTCCACCGTGGGCCACCGGCTGCGTCCTTATCTTGGTCGGCTCTATGATGGTCCGCGCTGTGACGGATATCAACTGGAAGTATATGGGCGATGCCATTCCCGCCTTTGTGTGCATTGCCCTGATGGCCTTCACCTACTCCATCGCCAACGGTCTTATTGGCGGTATCCTCATGTACGGGCTCATGAACACCCTCGTCTGGATCATCGAGAAGGCTTCTGGCGGTCGCATTGTTCCCCAGAACAAGGAGTTCAAGGACCCATGGGCCCCCAACTTTGGCAGCATCATCCCCACCTGGATGGTCAACGTTGCTAAGGGCAAGGCTCCCTGGCATAGGGATGAGCCTGTCAGGTCGATCGAAGGAACCACTGAGCCGGGGCCGGTGCTGGTTGGAGAGAAGGGTGACAGCTCATCTGGATCGAGGCCAGGCTCCGCGACTGAGTTCCCAGCTGAGGCCGTCAACGAAAAGGGCGCCCATCATTGATGAGAACAACATGAATGAATGGATGATTTGGAGATGTTTGGATATGAAAACATGGATACAAGTATATGAACGTCGTGATGAGGGCGTCTGTAACAGTTAATGGATAGGGGCTGTGAGATAATGGCTGGCGGAAAATGATACGCCCATGATTGAGGTCGGGTGGAAGATACCAAAGATACCTAATAAACAATTCATGAAACTCCTGGGTCTTGAGTTCGTTGCAGTGCTTCAAACTGATTACGTCGACAAGTTGGATGCGGTGAGGACTGGAACTTGGCATGATGGACTCGGAAGGAACAGTCGACCAAAACTCCTAAGGGCATCATCAAGACACATTTTGTATCTTTGCTTCTTCACTTTCGCTCCAAGAACCGGTGGCCTTCACTCACAAGGAAGGTGTTTGTATTACGATGCAGTGAAGATCTGGAAGGCATGTTGTGCAAGTGGTACTTGCCTCTACGTGGCAGCCATGTCTACATGTATACAAGGGATCAAAGACGGAAAGAGCCCCGCAGTATCGATGTCATTTGCGCCCTTTGAGCGACGACTTGTCTCTCTCCTTCCTTGTTTGAAACGGAAGCCGACATAGGGGGAAGCTACAATGCAGCAATCATTGGGATCTCATCAATCTTATGAGGTCAAGCCTCCCATGTATAAGAGTACACCACCCGTCAGAAACTCTTCATAACCGGACAGCACTCTCAACTAAACAATACTCCATCCCACGATATTCGAAGCATAACGCAACATCATTCTACAACTTGATAACAGCTCCCGACCAAGAACTTCAACACTCATTCTCCCCACCTGATTCACAGACAATAAGATGTCTACCAAAGCACGCAGCAATGCCACCATCTCCTGCCTTTGCGGTTCCATCCAACAAACAGTAACCCTCTCTCACGTGGATACCGACATCGTCCTCTGCCATTGTACATCCTGCCGACACCTGAGCGGGCAACTCTTCACATCCTGTGTTGCCCTCTCATCAGCTCCCGCTTCTGTCGACGGCCTCACGACATATCACTCGGACCCGGACCACCCAAACCTTGAAACAACAAGTTACTACTTTTGCTCAACATGTGGTTGTCACGTCTTCCAGCGCTCGAGTTATTACTCCGACAGTGATGACGACGACAACGACGACAGCTACAAAGAACAACCTGAGTGGGCGGTAGCAACAGGCGTGATCACATCATCCAAGAAAGATAATCCAAGCATCAAAATAAACTGGCAGCACCAGAAGGTGGACGACACCAAAGATTGGGGGTTATCTCTCTGGCTTCCAACCATAATCACATCCACATCCGACAACAACAACCAAAAAGCCACCAAGATCCTCCACACCATCACTGCTCCAAGCACCAACAACACAAACGGTCTCGACCACGTCCTCCACGCAGCCTGCCATTGCAAACGCATCTCCTTCTCCCTCTCCCGCCCCTCCGAAGCCAGCACCCTCCCCCACCGCGGCTACCCAGACGTCATGTACTCGTACGCCGTGGAGCCAGAAAGCGTGACTTCGAATCCTCATGACGAGAAGTGGTGGCTTCGCGGGCCTGAACCGCAGTGTACCTCCTCCTCCGCCAGAACCCCTCCGTTAGACGAAAACACCAAATTCACCAGATACTTCACCGCCGCCTGCGTCTGCAAATCCTGCCGCCTGGCCTCTGGCTTCGAAGTTCAGTGCTGGGCTTTTGTGCCGACGTGTAATATCCATTTTGCCTCCGTTGTTGAAGGTGGTCGAGATTTCAATACCCTCCCTCGGGGTCTTCTCAACAGGTACGAATCCTCCCCCGGAGTCTGGAGGGAGTTTTGTCCCACTTGCGGAGCCACGGTGTTTTATCACGCTGAGGAGGCGGAGGATGTGATTGATGTTAGTGTTGGTCTATTTGATAGTGATAAGTGGGATAGGGGAGCTAGGGTGGAGGATTGGTTGGAGTGGGGGAGGGGGAGAGTGTCGTATGCTGAAGGGGTTAGGGAGGGGAGGAGCGGTGGGATGGCCGATTGGGCGGAGAGGGTTCTAAGGGGGCTTGAGGGGGGGATGAGAGGGTGATGAGAGCGGGTTTGAAGGAGGACGAGGAGAAGTGAGAGACGAGTGAGGGATTGTGCTGGGGAAGATGAAGGTGAAGATGGTGAAGGGAAAGACTCGGGATTATCGTCATAGGAACACTGGCAGATGAGAGTATTGTCGGTCCGTTAATTGTAGTACATGATTCATTTGATTAAACACTATGCTATGTGCTCTGCAAACCTCAGCGCGTGGTCCCGTTTCCGTTACAGCTCGTTTCCCCCTTGAACTATTATAGTTTACAAAATCATACAAATGAGTTACCGATCAACCACGCTTCGGCGAAGCCCTCTCAACTCCTCATGCGGGCAATAGCAGAAAGTTGTTGTGCCCATCACACAGGTCAATTACCCCCCTGAATTCGCTTTCAAAACAAAAACACGCGCTCGCGGTCCAGGATATCCCGCTCCGCAGTAAGTAAACAGCACCAACAAAATCACACCGGCTTACAATAATTCGCCGGGAAATTGCCCCTCTTCCCATTCAACTCACCAACCCACCAGTCCTGATCCGTATTCGTCTTCTTGACAATCATGATCCTGTCGCCCTCGTTAAACGCCAGATCTCCCGCGCCCTGCCCAGCAAACGCGTACTGCGCAACCACATACTCAACCAGCTGCTGCTGGCTCGCGATCTTCTTCGGCGGTGGAGGGGGAGGAGGTCTCTTCTTGGCGACCGCTAGAGCAAAGTAATCGTTTCCATTTCCGTTGCCATTGCTATTGCCAGCACTTCGAATAGCCTGGGGGCTATGGGCCCTGTTGATCGACATCGACGGAGTCGACGGAGACCTCGGAAAAGGCCTATTGTTCTCGAGCGTGGTGCGGTCTACCGGGCCTCGGTCGCTCAGGGAAGTAGCCGTGGTGAAGTCGGTAGGCGCCAGGTACTCGAGTCTCCTTGGCTGGCTTTGGCTGCCGGAGTAGCCGGAATAAGAGGAGGCCGGCGGGCTGGAGGCGTACGAGGATCGATCGGATGCCGCGGGCGACGGGGTGCGGGAGGGGTAACCACCTGCAGAGGGGATGCGAAGATTGTTGCGTCCTGGATGACCGCCGCCGCCGCCGTATGTTGACGCACTGGATGTGGATGGCATTGGTGAAGTGACTCGACGCATGTCGTTCCTCCCGGGTATCATGGCCGAAATCCGTCGGCCTGGGCCTTCGGGGGCCTGTAGGGCCATGGGTGAATGGGCTGCCTTGCCGCGGGCGACGATGCTGACGGACTCGAAATCATCCCGAGCGGGAACGAAGGCGGCTTCCCATGCCGCTACCACCTCGGACATGGGAGGCGGAGGTGAGGGGAACCCGGACTCCATGCAGTAGCCGTGAACGGTTGTATAATATAGTCCCAACAGGCGGTTCTGGATCAGAACCAAGGCTGCTTGCAGGCAAGGTACCAGGCTGAAGGAAGCGTTTATGATGGGCGGCAGGGTCGATTGGAGGTGTTCATCTGCAATGGCGAATTCCTACTTGCAGAGTTAGCATGGCCGACATCGAACCAAGTTTAGTTGCCTCGAAGTTGAGTTCTTACATCACCCGCTTGGGCCATCTCCGCCTCAGCCTTTGCCAGAGAAGCTTCCTCCTTTGGAGTCCTTGTATGTTTTTTGTGAAGCTTGCTGACTTTGTCCTGGGCCCTTTCGTAATCCAGCCTCTTGTTCTCTCGCTTCTTGATCGTTTTACGAATTGGCGCGATACAATCCCGTGCTTCCACAGCCGGTCGAACCACTCGCTCTTCGATCGTGCCAATTTCCTCCGCCAGCTCGGACTTGAGTTCGCCATAGGCCTGCTTCAACCTGAATGTCCGCTCGAGTTGTAGCCGGGGGGTAGGGACGGATTCGCGGCCATGGCCATCGGAGGCGCCGACAATGGGATCGTAGAGGCCTTCGAGTTCGACGACAAATTGTAGTTGATGGTGGATGAGCGAGGCCCAGGCATCCCTCCAGGCCCGGGAGTTTTCGAGTAGCTGGATCACGAGGCAAGTCAGCGACAGTACAGTAGGTGGCCGGTTAGGAGAAGAGAACAGCATTGTTGAGCTTACCCTTGCAAGGAGCTGGTCCGCATCTTCGTACTCCTTCAGTAAAACAGAGACCGCAGCATTGTTGCCGGGGCCTTTGCTTCGAAGCTTTGTGAATTGGCGCTGCACAGACTGCATCTTGGTTGTTGGGTAGTGCGAAAGTAGGCGGGCGACTGGGACACCTTTTGTTGTGTACCTCGATTGCTGCCGTCTAAGTCTGGATTGGATGCTTGGCAGCCAAGATGCAAGGCGAAGCCAATGCTGATCCGCCGATCAATGGGTGATAGATCGAGGCTTCTTGGAGAAGAGGTTTTCGATGTAGCTGTCCTTGTCGGAGGATGAATGGGCGTAGGAAAGAGGCCCTGTCGCGGAAATGTTGTTCGCGACAAACCCAGGGTGTTACAGGCAGGACTACCTGTACGTAACGCTTGGCCAGAAAACTCGGTTGATGACTGTCTCAGGGTAGTATCGTTCGTAGAGAAGGTAAGAGCAAGTGTTGAATTGGGTCGAAAGGCTGTCCCTTTGCCCAGAGGGTAGCTCGGAGCAAGTAAATTAGTAACGAAATTGGACATAGGATAAATAGGAAATTAGAGGTGAACACCTATGACTAGTCAGTCGCCCATGGAGACTCTGGACTTCTAGGTAGCAGCAACGGTTAGTACAGTAGGTATCATATACGAGCATCTCAGATGTCCCGTCATCCTGTTCTTCGACATCGATTTGACTGGTGTGGCCCAACACGAGCTGGCAGAAGAGGAAAGAGAGAGGGACCTGAAAGTCATAACGATGCCGGCCGACGGGCCGTGGAAATGAGGGGGCGCCGCCATGCAGTTGCATCAATGGGCTGCGGGCAGCAACATCATGTGTCGAAACTTCCGTCAACAACTTTCCAATGCCTCGAAGCCGTTTGGCTTTCATGCAGTGCTGCCAACGACAGCATAAACACAGCCTCTGCTCCTTGGTAACACAAGACGGGAATAATGAGAAGATCTGGTGAACTTGGGACAGCGCTAACTGGGCCCCAGAATAGCGTCACTGCCATAGCGCGAAACAGGGGGATGCCAGACCGGCATGCGGGGCCCCATCCCCGGCCCTGAATTGTCAGGGCAGTGGCCCGTTCTTGGCAACGGGTGCCTGGAGTGCCCCTTGGGCAGTTTACAGCACTGCACTTTCTGCATCAACAGATTGCAGTCACCTGACTGCGCGCTTGAACGCGCCTTCCTTTGCTGAAGCTACCCGTCGTCGCGCCCACCTGCCTACCTAAGCTGCCTTGCCCCTGTGGAAGCTGCCAGAGGCTAGACGACGCCTGCCTTCAATGACAAAGACCTGATTATTCTGCGCTTCTCCCGAACGGGCTGTTTCTCTCAACCAATCTAGGACTGACAGTCGGGCTATCTGCCACCACTCGACGAACGCCAGACACAATCGGTAATGTGACGATAAGACGATCGTTCCCTTGCGACATGCCCATCGACAGGCACCATGGCATCTGTTGTATCCTCCGGGCGCTCGGCTGCTGGGGCTAACGAGACAGGCAGCACTGCCCCGGTGCTCGAATTCCTCTGCCTTTTCACCCACGACTTGAAAAGGAAGCAAAAGAGATGGCAGGATGGCCGCCTCAAGTACCACACCTTCAACAGGCGCGTCATGGTCCACGATGACCGCGGAAATTATGTGGGTGATATGCACTGGCGTCGCGACTGGGATTTCGACGAGGGGGAAGAGATTGAGCTGGAACGGGGCGGCGTCATCGTCCAAGTTGCCGAATGTGTGGCACGTCAGCAACAAGATCTCTCAGAGTTGATAGACAAACGCGCGAAAGAGAAGGAGCAGCGCCAGGCAATAATAGCGTCACGGCCAGCCCGTCCTACTCCCGCGCATACGCCCCTCCGAGTCACTCCTAGGAACAACGCCCAACAGGATTACTTCCAAACTCGACACCGACCCCTAAACCAGCTTCTTGGCACCCCGACAGGCCATCACGGTCGTGCTCTCGTATCCAACGAATCGCCCTTTGAACAGCGACACAGCGTCGACGAACCCAACGATGGCGCTGACAGCTCTAGACCATCAAAGAGGAGACGGTATGAAGACACACCTCCGAGCAAAATGGGATATGCTCAGAGTTTGTTCGGTGCGCCCTTGACCCTGTCCGGAGCACCTGCGAGCTCGGCACCCTTGCGACGCCCTGCGGTAGCGAAGGTGCAGACTAGACGGGAACCCTCTCCACCACAAGAGCTTGACTCTCGGCAGCAAGAGGAAAGTATTGCGCCCACTCGAACGGCTCACACCATGCGCCCTAACCGCATGACGACTCAAAGAGTTGCGAACGTATTACGACCGACACCAGCGGCTAAAAAGAGCATTTCACCACCTGAAGAGAGTTTGTTCGTGTCACAAGAGGACCACAGTGATCCCGTGCAGGAGACGTCGAATCATGATGATCAGAGACATCACGCAGAGGACAGCAATACCCGGCCTTATGGACGTTCAAGTTTCTTTACTGGATCCACTACGAGTGAAGCAGCATACAGCTCCAAGCCCCCGCAAGTTGCCAAAGGAAAGGGCACATTGCTTTCGAGCATAGGAAAGAGCTCTGCATTGCTAAACAACAATAAGAGTAGTAACTCTACGCGCTCTCGTTTGACGTCGTCCAATAAGAATAAACAGACTATCATCCTGGACGACGACGACGACGACGAAAATGAGGATGGCCGGGAGCAGCGCAGAGATGCCTCTCCACCTCCCAGGCCAGTCATTGGGGCTAGGTCGAAACGTGCCGCTCCTGTTGCAGAGAAGACGCAAGGGAACAAACGCAAAAAGACTACGTCCGTGAAGAAGCCCGTTACCGACAAGGGAGCTCGACAAAAACCACAGAATGAATCAGATCCAGTGACACTTCAAGATGAGCCAATGGTGGAGCTCAAGATCAAATCTCGACAGAAGCGTGGTTTATTAGTACTGTCAGAGAAACCGAAGCGAGCCAAACGTCCAGCAAAAAGCCCTAGTAATGAGGTTGCAACCGAGCCCATGGAGGAGCGTACAAGTGTTAGGACTGTGGGCAAAAACGAAAACTTTGCGGTTAATCAACAGGAAACTTGCCCAAGTGTTCCCGACGACTCGGATGATGACCCCTTCGCTTCCCCGATGCCCGTCATCGACACCAATTCGCCACGAAAAGACAAATCCCGGGATAGTGGACGACCTGAAATCCTCTCCAAGTCCCACAGAGACCGACCCGTCGCAAACCAAGATCGAGGCGAGTCAGCTGCTGCCGCCGCTACGGATTCACGGACAAGCCCAGCAAAGAATAAGAATCAGCAAAAAGGCCAAACTTTAGTGAGCGACTCCGACTCCAGTTCGATATCCCACCACTCCCACGTTGCGCAGAGAAAAGGGAATGCTCAGCCAAAGGAAGTCAATGCCAAAGAGAGCTTTGAACCTCCCGAACCCAAGACGAAAGTACACATCGAAGTGGAGAGTGAAAAAGAAGACGAAGAGATATCAAGATACCCACGAAGGCGTAGAACCACTCGAAGACCAGCCTCGCCCGAGTCTAATGATGGGAGCAAAACCGATGAGCCTGAATCGGCTGCAGAAAGTGCTGACGAAGAGCTACCTCAAGTTCCTGTTGGTCCACGCTTAGCCAAACTCGCCAGGAAAAGCATCAAGAGCAGAGAGGTGATTGGCTTCGTTCCATCCAGCTCTCCGGTCATCAACATACACAAACAAGCCGAACCAGTCCCTGGCCATCCGGCAGCAGAGTCTCGTTTATTGGCCGAAGAAAGCTCAACTTCGCATAGCAACACGAAAAATCACGTTACGCCAAAGAGCCCGAAGGTAACCATGGCGGAAAATAACACAGAACGCACTGAGAAGCCCAAATCGACGCTACCGCTCTCTGTCTTAAGAGATGAGGTTGATACCGCTTCCTTACAACAACCTGAAGTTGTTTCTGAACAGACCTCACATGTAGCTACGAGTCCTGACAGCAACAACGTCACTCCTGAAGACGACCCCACGGCACCGTTCACGGATAAACAAGCGCCTGGCAATGAATTAACCGACCGCAGCTCAAACGTTGTTACCAACAGAAGTGGCAACGTTTCGGCCGATATTGCGGCATCAGCCACAGTCCGCAACCACAAACCACAGCCGGCTCAAGAGATTAAGGAACCCCCTTTACCTGTGCCAGATCAGGCAGGCCGTAGTGACGGGTCAGGAACTAAGGAACCTCAAGCGAAGGGCGATACGGCAATGTCACCGTTTCACAACTCTCGTGTGAAGGACAAACGCCAAACTGACATTGCCGTCAGTGTTCCGGTTCCACTAGATGGTCCTGCAAAAACAATGCCGCCCGTGGACAACTCATCCAACCATGTTGCTCCAGTGCGGATCGTAAACCCGGCTACAAGAGGTCGCAAAGCAGCACTAAAATCTCATGCAGCAGGCCAGGTACCGCAATCTATTCTTCCTGCTGAGCCCCCTCCAGAGCGTATAGTCCCACGAACCCGTGAGCTATCAAGGCGTGAAGCCACAGGATCCGGTCCCGAAGAACGGCCAAAGCGGAAGATGACTTTTCCCGGCTTCACTTCTGCTCGAGCAGGCGGTCCCTGGAGCAGAGAGGCATATGACCTGTTGGAAACGGGGCGACCGGCTTAAATCTGCCGCAATTATCTCTGGCGCGAAGCCAGCGTTAAGCAAAGCTCCATGAGACCAGGCTGCACTATCATATTTCAGGCTCTCTAAATGCTTCCACCCTTTGAGACGCAGGAAGCCTAGTTGGTCGACGACCCTTGTGCCTAGGAATGGACCATTATCCCCGACTGGCACAGCAACATCATTTCAATGGCGAGGAACAAGGACCTGCCCCTGCAATATTGATATTTTTGTCCCTTGTTATCGATACAGTTTCCCTTGGAATCGTGCAAAGTCAGAAGACAACATATGCATCCCAGTTGACCTTTTCATCAAGCGGAACGAGGTAGTCGAGATTGTAGTTAGGACCTCTTTAGTTGGTCGCCCGTACCTGAACTGTCACCCCTTTAATAACCAACCAATGCACGCGACGGCGCATGTCCTACCCCAGAAAAAAGGGCACATATGCGAGCGATACGAGAACAAGTCAATAATCTATGCAGGGAAGATGGATATAACTTCACCGACGAATTTGAAAAGCATCGTCGTGTATGTTGTTCCCAAGCTTGCTAATGACGCGTTTCTATCACCAGGTACCCGGAAGGATCCGGCATTCAGGAACAGGGCTCACAACATCACTAAAGCGTCCAGGTGACACCCTATTGTAACCTCTTGGCAAAGGCAACCTAACTTCTGAAGTCAACTGGAACGTGGGGCGAGCTTATAGATCAGCCCTGGTTTAATTGTTAGCGCGGTTCTTACAACCTCTTTCGATAGGGGAGAAAATACGGGATTCCGGACCTCCCATTGGTCCAAACCACCGCAAAACCACAACACTCGATCATGTCCCGCACATATGCACCAAAACTTGACTCCATTCGCAGCGGGCAATAGCGAACTAGAAAATTCCTAAGTCAGAACTCTCGCCTAGCCAGCCTAAAAAGGTAAAAGAGCCCTCTGGAAGTCCCGCGCTAACAATTAAACCAGGGTTGAACTGTACTTCTCTCGACCTTCTCCCGCCTCAACCTCTGCTCTCCGCATATAATGCACGAAGACGGCGATGGCGTTCATCTGACAATACCAAAGACCAACGACAAACATACCCGTACCTACTACTCGAGCCGGGGTACGACGACAGGTTGAGCATCGAAAAGGAACCGGGCGACCCCCACAGCTGAGCTTGGAATTAAAGTAATTCGTCGCTACCTCGCCAGGTCCCGCCGCATACGCCTCACGGCGATTTGCAAACCAAGCCGACTTGTTCCATGAGCGATCGGAAAATGTCTCATGAACGGCTTGGCTTACCCGTCGGATATATGCTTGCCATGAGGGACCAGGGGACGTCTACCTTGTAGGGCTCGGCCGGTCAACGTTCATAAGGAATACAACGGGGGGCAATCACCATATGAGGGGTAAACATGAACAGCCACGAAGCTGTTCCATGCTCAGCTTGCCCGGTAACTGAGTCTATGTGCAATCCAGGCATGGTCTTGTCAGATTCTGTCATTGTACAGGACAAAGTTGCCCGAAGTTGGGAAATGTCTTTTGGCCTCACTTCCGGGGTGTTTACTGGCCTCTTCCACTGCGCGCTTTACTAACCATTCACCTCGAAAACGCACAGGGATGGTAAAGCCTCTTGTCAAGTGTCCTGGGCAATGGAAGAATGGAAAAGAGGCGAAGGACAGGACAGCATTTTGCGCCAATTGAAAGGGTGGGTTCAAATCCCAATTGGGCAGAATGAGGCTCGAAGCTTTACATCCTACCAATCTAGTCTCCAATTCGAGGTACCAACGACGACTATAAAATGAAGGGACGCTGTCCACGGTGACTATCCAGAGGTATGTGCATCTTCCATGCTTCTCATTCCCTCTACCTTTCATCACTAGGAGCCATTTTTGACCATTTCATTTGTGTTTGTCGCAGTCGCGCGCACTCTCCACGGACGGCCAACAGGCTGGTGTCTGCCTGAGGGTGTGCCTAGCCCCTTGGTTGTTTCGTGTACTGTACGTACTCTCACCGGAAAGGGCTCTCCAAGATATTGAGGAGGCACACACCTATCCATCTGTTGGCACATTTCTTCCTCAACATTTCTTCTTGTCTACTTTTTCACACAAATCTTACCCGTTTCCACTATTCTATCGATATCTCTGTCTTGAAAACCCTTCTTCTCTTCTCCTTGTGGCTTGTTGCTTCCGAGTCTGTTCCCCTCTACTGTGTACACGAATAGCATCAGGTGGGGGACACTTGCGTGTCGCAGCCTTGTGCACTCACACCTCCTTCATCTCCTCACCTATTCATACCAACCTTTCGCCCTTCCGCTAAGCAGTCCGATTGTATAGTCAACAACTGTTCTCGTCATTTCTATTTCAACACGTCTCAACAGCAGAACAAAGTCAAGCTATAACTCATCAGCGCCATGTTCAGGGGCGGTTCATCCAAGCCTGATCAGGGCGCTGAGGGATCACGAAAACCTCCCCAGAGCCCAGAAGCGCAAAGGGCCTACAACCAGATGCGGGATGTTGAGGAAGAATCCAAACGTACGGGGCGCTTAAGCGAAGCTCTACGGCAGCGAGAACGAGACAGACGGAACGTTATCGGTCACAGTCCCTACTTAGAAATTCCAACACCCCAAAGACGACCTAGATCTCGTACTGGTTCAATCGGCAGTACTGGCCCAGCGTCAACACAAGGCTCGGATGGAGGAGTCGAGGACTGTGGGCGCAAGAGGCGAGGCCACCGCACCAAACCTTTGGAAGAACCCCAGAGACTGAGAACGGCATTTATTCGGACATACGTTGGTGCTTGCGGAGAATGTCGCACACGTAAAGTCAAAGTATGTTGTCCCATCCAACAGACAAGCCCATAGTTGATGGCATAGAATGGCTGACTCTTGTTTGTCAAACCGTTAGTGTACACATTTCGATGACGCCGAACTCGAAGCCAACTACCAGGCATTGAGACGGTCAAGACTATCAGTATCCCCAAGTTCACCAAGTCTCCATATCCCCATCAGTCCGCCAGTGTTCTATTCCCCAGTGCAATGTCCGAACGAACTTGTCGGAGTCGGCAGCCACACTGTCGGGTTTCCTAACCAGCCGATCGTGAACCACCACGAACATCTACCTGACGACATCGTGCTTGAAAGTCCAACGCTGGTCAATACTTCCAGGGGAGGTCTCTTCCTGTCCAAAGAAGACGCCCCGACCAATATCAATGCAGCCTATAGCCCAGCCTATAGCCCCTCATATCCTGCCCCTCTTGGCTTTGGTGAGCCATACACACCATTTCCCAACTCTTATCCCGGTTCTCCGATGCTGTCCTCGCCAGCCTCTTCGGTTGGAGATGTTGACAAACCACTTGGTTTACTCACCAACGACCTCATCTGGGAATGCAAACGAGGAGCCATCGATTCATGGGCAGTGGCGCCCACCGATAACGGATCGTATCAATGCCACGCACGCTTCCCGAATCATATCACTTTCCTGGAACACTACAGGACTCAACATGAGCCCTTTGTCAACGAGAAGATAGTACGTAGATGTAAATGCTGCGGCGCCTTCGAAGGACCCTTCGCTCTGAGCTGCACAAAATGCCAAAACGACGCTTGCTTACTCTGCGATGCCTCTGGTCCGTTGGACACATGGTATTACGGTACCATGATGCCTCCTGCTCCCAGTTTGACGTCTGGTACATCGACGATAACTACAGGGCAAGGCTTCGGAAACGGACTGCTGGGTCCTCCATCGTTTTACGGATCCAACTCTTACGGACCTAACTGTCATGGATCTAACCCTTACACATCCAACTCCTACGGCATCTACGGCAGCAGCTACGCCGGCTCTACGAGTAATCAGACTTTTGGAACGGCACCAACACCACGGTCTGAACACTCTTTTCACCAAGTAACCTCAAAACAAGGTTTCACTCGTCATCGCGATGAGAACTCAACCTCCCCCACCACAATTAAGGATCACTCAAAAGGACCTTTCAGAGACCACCACTTTCCCCAAAAGTCATTCGCCAAATGCGCCTCCCCAACGACGTTCTCCCTCATCCTCAAATCAGCAAAGTCCTTCTCCTTCTCGAACCTCAACCTCAACTTCCCCTGTCTCGCATTGGCGCACTATCTCATCCTGCTGCTTTTACTTCCTTTGGGGTCTTCGGATGCGAATACCACCACCGCCCCATCGTCTTCTCTGATCAAACGGGCCGCAGAAGATATGCCGTTGGTATCGGCTGTGTGTATTGCCCTTGGGGTGTTTGGGATGTGGCTGTTTCGATCTGGATCCCAATCTGTCGAAGAGGTTGCTGAGGAGGGAAGGGCAAGTTTGTTGCCGATGTCCTTGATCGCGTAATGAGTGGTCAAAGGCGGAGATCACCCTTGTCTCGACTCAAGAATCTAATTCTCTTTTCCCTCCTGCCTCTTCGGTTCGGTTCGGCGTCCGGTCCTATCGCGGTTGTGTTTGCAACACTGGTTGGTGTCTCGCTCCATCGTCATTTATTCCAAATTTTAATGATGGTTTTTCAACTCCTCGATTTATATAAACGCTTGTTCGATGTCCTGTATCTTCACTTTCAGTACACGCCTCAGGGAGGAGCAGCTCAGCAAGGATGCTGTCGTTTTGGTCCATGGTCTCTATGGTGTTTTTGGTCGCAGCCATTGTCAGCGTCGGACTTTGTGGGCTGATGAACTGAATTAATAGAGTACATAACAACAAGTGGCTTGGTTTACGTAACGAGTCACTCGCTCGGGCAGCCGAGCTTATAATGATTTTATAACATGATGAGGATGGTTTCGAGGAGGCACATGGATCTTTACTCTGTCCAGGCAGGGCATTAGACATTTAGATAACCCAGGTGGCCAATACTAGATGCTAGCTGGAGACCGTTGACAAGACCCGCGTGTTCGTTCCCAAGTTCCAACTAAGAATGGGACTAACAGCCTTACGGGCGATGTTATCCTGGCAGGGCAGTGAGTACCACTATTCCCACACACATGTACATGGGGAGTGGACGATGCTGGACACCAAGCCGACAAGGCTGTTAGTTGTTAGGTAATGGTTGGTAGTTGGCGGTGGCTGTTAGCCGCTGTTATCAATCGGTGGTTTCGAGACCCCCCTCAGTTTTCCTCGTTCTTTGCTGCACTGGAGTGTCAAAGAGTCACACACAGCCACCACTCTCATATGGGTGTGTGTGGGAGTGTATGGACACAGCCCAATTCACAATTCCCATGGCGTCGCATTGATGTGAATTGCAGACTACGGCAATTGGCGGAGATGCTGAAGAGTCATCGATTCAACTAAGCTTTCTTTTGTCCAACCTTATCCGAGCGATGTGAGAGGAATTGTCTTGTCTGGTTGGTTGCTTGGATGGTCGAGGAAGAGAACTGAAAGAGGAAGGATGCTCGTCGGTGCAGGGATTGTGGGTAAGCTCTGGGGGACCCTTGCCCGAAAAGAACCCAGCATTTGGAAGCTTGCAAGCTGTCCAATCATTTCAAGAGGAAAGCGAGGAAATGGAGACAAGCCTGGCTTGGCGCCGCTCCCCACCGTACCCACTCTCTCCACGAAACGGACGAGGGAGATTGAAGTTGTCAACCTCGAGAGATGCCCTGCCAGGCAGATAGGCAGCCTGATTGTGTGAAGCAACATCATCACTCTCAAGTGAAGGAAGCAAAGAACTGGGTGGAAAGATATATTGGAATATTTAAAGTAGGGACAGCGACGCAAAGTCGTCAATTGGATGATACCATCCCATCCCATAGTGAACATCATGTCAGACAGGAAGGTATGAATCATAAAAAAAAGGTGGAGAGCTCCCGTCTGCTGGGTTCCCAACCGCCAAAATGTCTTCTCACAGCATCATCATCATCATCAAAGCCATCTGCTCTCTAAAGATGCTGCGTCGGCTACCTTGAAAACAAGGTTCAATTGACTCATACGCACATGCACATCCCATTGAACCCTTTCGCTCCACATTATTTAGGCACACATCAAGCGTTGCACCCACCTAGAATCGCTCGCCGTGCTCGACCATGCAGGCCGCTGCCACAACCCCCTTGCTGGGTCGATGGAATGCTGGCTGCTGGAATATTTTGTAGCATTGGTGTGGCCGGACCCAACATCAAGATTCAACACATGACCAAGAGATCTTTCACAAACGGATCAAAGTGGTACGTATTCTTCGACATCTTGTAGAAAACGACCTGATTTCAAACTTGAAGCAGACTTCCTCCATGAGTTTTCAACAGGGGAGGACGGTCGTCTTATGTTTGACGCAGCTGCGATGCGGCTCAGACGTACAAGAAAAGAAGATCAAGAAGTAGCTGGCCGAAGCGCGCTAAGCCTAATCAGGCTCGCCGACGGCCGTTCCCTCCCCATGTCTTCGCTGCGCCCTCTCGTGGTCACTTCTTGCTGCTTTCGCATTGTTGGTCCAAGTGAAATATCGGCGTTGACTCCATCGGCCTACTCCTTCTTGCTCTTCTCTTTTCCTCCTTTTTCCATCGATATCGAATTGAGAGCACACAGTCACTCCGGCTTCCCAACCACAGGTGCCCCTGACAAGACAACCCCCTTCGTCTTTCGACACTCAACAAGTGTCCAGTGCACAAGCCGTCGGTGTTAACGAGGCAGTCGTCGTCAGCAGTCGAGGAGCATCCCCGTCGCCGTCAAGCATCACGGAGATCTCCCTACTGCCCTGCCGGCACCCCACCAATCTCAAGTTACCACACCCACGACAAGCAAGCAAACCCATCGGTATCGCTTGGCCAAAAACAACCTTGATTCAACCGTATCATTCAAGCTTTCCAGAAGCTGGCACACATTCTCACCAAAGAACCATTCACCAAAGAAAGCCAATCGACTTGGCCCACCCTGGAGCAGTCACGAGACTTTGCTTACCTTAACTCCGACACGTTGTCATCAACAATTATCCCCGATACCCCCGAGACTCTGGCTCAAATGGCGGGCATGTCTCGAACCAACTCGGCCAACGCCTTCATGGAGGGCTTCTCGGTCTGCCAGGCCAACCTCGGCGAGGCCCTCACCTGGCTCCCTGCCATGGGCACTCCCGAGCTCGACGAGATGATCAACGCCTTCATCCCGGGTCCTGCATCCATCAAGGACAAGCGTGCCCACATCTCCATGGACTTCCTCAGCTACTCGCAGCGCACTGGCTTCAACTTCAAGTTCTACCCCGTCCCCTCGACTTCCTTTGCCTCCGCTAGCACTGCTTCTCCAGCAAGCTCTTCGCAGTTCGTCGACTCTGGCTACGCATCCAGCTTCAACGTCTCCCCAATCATTTCCGACTCGAGCGCATGGACCCAGTCCCCGGCCTCTTTCACTTCCCCAGCCTCCTTCGACGACGCTACCAGGATAGTAAAGGCCCGCTCTTCGACCTCTGCCACCAAGAAGTTGACTGCTCCTAGCTCGCGACAGCAGCCCGTCGACTTTGCTAACCACCCTGGCATGCGGATCATGACCAAGGATGGCCGAGATGTCACCAACTCTGCCTCCCGGGGATGCAAGACCAAGGAGCAGAGGGACCATGCCCACCTCATGCGCATCATCAAGGCCTGCGATGCGTGCAAGAAGAGGAAGGTCCGCTGCGATCCCAGCCACAAGAAGCGGGCTGCCTCGCACACATCTCCCGCTGCGACCGAGCCGAAGCCCACCAAGAAGCAGAAGAAGGAGACAGCAAAAGCACCGCCGCCTGCTCCAGTTGTCGAGACCACTCCCGAGTTGCTCGTCACCGATAACTTTGAGAACTTCGACGCCGCCGCATTCGCCGTGCCCTCTGTTGAAGGAACCGAGAACGTCGATGACCTCTTCTGGAACCAATACTTCAACTTCGACCAGGATGCCTTCCCCGACTTTGCTTCTGGTACCTTCGACCAGTTCGCTCCTTCCCAGGAGCTCTTCTACCAGAGCACCAGCTCCTCATCCGCCGCCTCTCCGTCGCAGGTATTCACTCCGGAGACCCCGGTACACACTCGCCCTTCACCGGCAATTGCCATCGAACCGGTGATTTCGACGGCCGCTCCGGCTCTGCCCTACCTAAACCCGGGCGTTCCTCATGGCACCGAGTATGTCGACTTCAACCTCTACTCGCCACCTGCCGACTTCTCTCTCGACGAGGAGCTCCTCGGCCTTGGCCAGCAGCAGTCCTACGCACCCTTCAACTCTGGATACGCCGATCAGCAATACTTCGGCGATGCCAGCGTCGTTGCCCACAGGACTGAGTCACGCTCCAGTCCATCTTCGCCATCCGTATCCTCCGGAGTAATAACAAGTCACCAACGACTGCCACTTGAGGTATACGGCGGACTCCATGGAAGCGGAGACCTACAGACCTTGAGCAACGTATCGCCAGCTGTACAGACCCCTGGTCAACTGACTGTACGACAACAACAACAACAACGCCGTCGCCAACTCGCATCAGGCAATGAGAGCAGGGTAATCCTACAGAATTCTGATCAACATTTTGTAGTGATTGGCCCAGGAACGCTACCTATTCCAGATTCTCCACCCACACAACGTCCTCTCTCCCCGGCGCTGAATGTTCAAAATGCACCTCATGACGTAAGTCACAAATCTGTGATGAACGCCGGTAGCACGCACCTACAACAGTCGCCGATTGCTTTGCAATCTGTGAATGCCGGTGTACTTGCCACCACCCAACACGCATCATCCGTTGAACAACAGTCTCGCGCCGAGACGGCTGCAAGGTCTTCAAGGTTGAGGTCACCAGTCAAATCCAAGAGCTCTGTTGCTCAACGACAGAAGCAAGGATTTGCTGGTCTCCCGGTAGACCTCCCGACAACATCCCGAGATGTCAGCAGCTGCGGCATTTGCCATAGCGCTGCCTCCAACTCGACCCTCCTGAGGACGACAACGATGGCCTCGTCACCGTCGTCCACAACCACCACCATCCTGCCAGGCCGACGAGAAAGCGGCGACGGAGAAGGATTCGCGAAGATTGGAGAAAAGCTTTCCAGCTACAGTACCTCCGCGTCATCTTCCTCTCAATCCTCCTTTTTCCCGCTAGTCGTACTTGGTCTCGTCTCTTGTCTCGTGGTAACTGCTTTGCGGTCATACTGCAGCAACAACAATAACAGCTGGGGCGGTCATCTTGACCCCCTCAACACTCTGTTCATTGCGAGCATGTCATTGTTCTCACTTTGGCAACGACAATCATCCCGATGGTCAACCGATCCCGACACCGACACCACAAGGTGTTCCTCAGTCCAAGGACTCTTCGGCTCCTCAATTTCACGACAAGCGAAAACGCTTGTTGCGAGGAATTCGGCCCTTGTCCGAATGGTGTCGGGATCACGATCGATCATGGTCTAAATGACCCCGGCTAAGGCTGGAGTTGGCGACAAAGATTGATGTGATCTGATCTGATTTGATTGTTGCCAATTGTCAGATTCTTTTCATGGCATGCAAAGCATATGATTCAGTTTGTTTTTCAGTTGTTTAGCGGTGTGCTGCATTTGCGTTTTTACCACGATACCCCAGAAAGTCTGTTCTTTTCTTTCTTTTCTGAGCTTGAGACATGTTGTCGTTTTTTCTCTTTCTGTCTTTGGAGAGAGAGAGGACGATGGTGCTTTTAAATGACGGCTTGCGAAGCGAGTTGACTTGGGTTGATTGATGTTGAACTGGTGATGAGAGAAGCCCGGACTGGGCGGGATGAGGCAAGGACTTGTTAAAAATGTGTTGGGTTCAATTTCAAGGATATATGTAGTAGTAGTACTGGGCAGTGTTGGTTCTCACTCTCCTCGATCTGGGATGACTTACTCAGTCATCAGTCGATTCATCAATACAAGTCGGTCCTTTGTAGGCCGTCGTAAATTATACTTTGATGTCCCCTTCGTATGGTGAACTGTGATTCTTGAATGCCACAAACTTGCACCTCGTAGCAGTCCGTTTCGGTGCTTCACACATTGAAGGCAAGCCGGACGCAAGCAAGCCAAATCTGGCTCGATTTCAACACGGCAAATCTCGCCAAAAGTTGGTGAAGTCGACTCATGGTCGCTTGACTTGCTGAGTTGTTTCGTTGGTTGTTGTAAATTTCGCCGCAAGATAGGAACTGTCTCATCCGGGAAACCGTTTTGCTCTGGCGGTTCCTAGCCAGATTATCTACGCTCTGAACAAGTCAAGTAAACAAAACAATTCAAACCTGGGTAACACGAGTCAAATTTAACCGCGGTTTCTACAACTGTTATGTTAAAAGTACGATTTTTGACTTGACTTAACTTGACTTGATGAAGCACTGCTTTGTACCGTCGTAGCAGTCACTTCGTGATGTTTGTGACGTCGGACGTGGACGTGGACAAGGGAAACTGTGGTAGCCGCTGATAAGCTGATAAGGATCTGTTTTTATGAAATTGTTAGTGCAAGGGGTGTTTGTAAACGCACAGACATGGATCAGACGAAGAAAGTGGAGTCAGTTCGCCCTTCCATTCAAGGTCTAGCCCAACAAAAGTCTGCAGCACATGCAAAGTCGCAAAGAAGGTACAACATGAACAACGGCAACACAAGTCTGATGTTGGCCCCGTCGTGGCCACTTTTGACTTGAAGTTTGTGTCTGTTTGGTTTTGAAACGTTCTTTTACACTTTTTCTGCCGCTGCCATATCCATCCATCTTTATTTGGCGGCGTTTTGTGGCGTATAAGCGCGGCAACGTCTACCGATCTTTAGCCAGGCATATCATATCGACCTTTCTGAGCGAGAGGTCTTGACAGAAATTGAAGCCAATGTAGGTCCCATTCCTTCCGTTCGCTTTTTTCTACTGCTTCTCTTCCCTTCCCGTTTCCTGCAGTCTGCATTCTGCAAATAGACGTGTTCCTGCAGTGAGTATTGAAGATGGTCTTCTTTGGATGGAGTGAGAGTGAGCAGAGGTACTTGTAAGAGGTTTGATACATCCATCCGGTCATCAGAGTGGGCCTTTTCTTGAAACTCAAAAAGTTCTCGCTCACCAATCCTTGTCCTGTCTGTCTCTCATTTTTTTTTTGGCCTTTTGCATGAGTGAGCGCAAAACAGAAACTAACAACACCAAACGCTTGCAGAGTGTTGTTGTTGGCGACACCTCACTGTCGACTACTGGACGGAGCTGAGCTGTTCTGTTCTGTTGGTGGCCGCAGTTCGCCGTTTACATACATACTAGACAGACATCGATACTTCCACCGACACGGGACGGAAGGAAAAAGTCAGTCGTCCAAAGTTCCCATCGTTGGCCTCACACACACAACCCCAAGACGGGACACAGACACACAGCGGCGTAACGGAGCCCGGACCCGGAACCGCAATATTGGAGATTGGGTCTGATCAACGGGAATCGCGGAGAGTTTGAAAGGGTTTCGCTCCCGAGAAACCTCAAAGGTGTTCGTTCGTTCATCCAGGATTCCAGGTCGCTCCTTCCAACCGCTGCACCAGCAGGCATTATCACCAACAACCAAACGCCGATTAAGCGAGTTGCTGCATTTTTTCCAACAAGAGCATCCATCCACTGCGCCTCAAGCACAGCCGTCAGAGCAAGGTGACAACTTGTCACTCGTGCAAAGCAGCGGTATTATTTGTGCTGCTGTTGAGGCAAACTTGTCGTTCTCTGCGCATCAAGTTTGACTGAGTGTTACCAGCTCGTTGGCGTCACTTGGTGTTCAACAGGTTTACCTGCCTCTCTTTATCCTTAACGGTTAAACATCATTATTACAGGGAGGAAGGAATAGAAGGTGTGGTGGAAATCACGTCGAGAGAAAAATTTGAAGGACGTGCAAGGAACCGTCGGCAAGCGTAGACTTTGGAAAAGACGAAAAGGAAGGAAGGAAGGACTGAAGGAAGTTGAGGGTTGAAACAGGAAGAAGCAGCTTGCACCTTGGTTATTTTTGGCCAACCCATCGTCGTCGAGAAAGTGGTTTGCTACAAGGCATAAAAACGGAAAGAAAGGTCGATTGCGACTGCAGCTGTTGTTGTTCTGCGATTGCTGCTTCCACCTTCCAGGATGGCGTATACTTTCCTGGACGCGGTCGCGGCCACTGGCCAGCGCATTTCCGCTTTTTTCCAGACCCTCACCATTTTCCTCCTCGACCATACTCTCCGACCGGCCTTCAGTTTGTTCTCAGGCAACTTCAACATCCCTCTGCTTGAGGGGCCCCCACCTCAGCAAGCCGCCGCCGGTGAAGAGCAACAAGAACACCCGCGTACCGAACTTGAGCAATCCCAACAACAACAACCACAACCTCAACATCAGCTTGACGTCCAAGATCAGAATTCTGTCACTACCACTCCCGCAACCACATCTCAATCGCAATCCAAGAATCAATCCGAAGACGCTTCTGCTGCCAATTCTGACGCTCTTCCGCAAGCTTCCTTCTTGTCGCTTACGCCCGAACAAGCAAACAGCTCAAAGCTGCCCGACACGGAACCCGACATGGTCCGCACGTCATCGGCCACGGCCACGCTGGCAGCGGAACAGCAGCCGCTCAAGAAGATTCCCATTCCCAACGTCATTCCCGCCCTACCCCTAGTTGCCCCTGCCAAGGAGAATGCGGCCCCCGTCAAGGCCGGCTCTACCGTCGCCGCCTCCGCCGATTCTGAGAACAAGCTCACCGGAGATTTGGAACGTCTAAGCATTGCGACTGACGCCGCTGCTATTGCCGCAACCGGTGCCGTCGGTTCCGGGGATTGGGTCCCTGCGACTCAGCAGCCATCGGAAATCACCCAGGATAACAACACCACACCTGCCGCGGCCGCTGACGGTGCCAGTGATGCGGAACCTCGACAACTCCTCAAGACCAATGTGCTTCATGGCCATGGCCCTAGCACTAGTGTCGGCTGGAATATCGTCGACTCTCTTCCCAGGGCCCCGGTTGTCCGCTCCCCCGCTGTCCCTATCAACCATGAGCTCTCGCAGACTAGTCAGCTGAAGGAGGGCTTCACTGATAGCGCAGCCCAACTCGAGGCGGAACTTGAAACGCCCGAAGAGGCTGCGGAAAGGGCTATGCACGCTGGGTTCATGAGGGAGGCTTTGGATATGGTATGTTCCCGTGCTACTTGAATACCCTCGTCTTCATGTGTTGCGCTTGCTAACTGACTCTGATTGTAGGCCCGACTCGCCCTCAAGACCAACGAGACGCCCGTCGGTTGTGTGCTTGTTTACAAGGACCGAGTCATCGCCAGGGGCATGAACGCAACCAACGTCAGCCGCAATGGCACTCGGCATGCTGAGCTTATGGCCATCTGCGCTCTGCTGTCTTACTCCGGTGACGCTGATCTTGAGCCTAAGAACGCGCAACACCAGTGCAACCACGATGAGCCTAGCGTTTGGGGCGACATTGACCCCGGTGACGGCCATCTCTTCCCCTACGGCCAGAAACTTCACCCCGCCCCCCGCGTCGACCGATCAGTCATTTCCGAGTGCACCCTTTACGTTACCGTCGAGCCTTGCGTCATGTGCGCCTCGCTTCTTCGCCAGCTCCGCATAAAGAAGGTTTACTTTGGTGCTGTCAACGACAAGTTTGGCGGAACTGGTGGTGTTTTCCGCATTCATAAGAACTCTCCTGTCTCGATGGCTTCAGCCCCTCCGTCGCCTGCGCCCCAGAACGGCAAGGGCATCGCGAGACCAGCTTTGGAGCGTCGCCCCGTTTCCGCTCTGAACATCGGCACTGGTGGAGTTGAAGGCCAGGAGCCTGAGCCTGTTGGTGATGAAAACGATGAGTCCAAGCAGAATGAGACGGTGGGCGAGCAGCCTGGCCAGGATACCACATCTCTCTTCGAGCCTGAGCTGCATGGCGATGGTGGTAATGTGGAGCCAGGCTATGAGGTAGAAGGTGGTTGGGGACGCGATGAGGCCGTCACCTTGCTCAGACAGTTCTACGTGCAAGAGAACGGACGGGCTCCCGTTCCCAGAAAGAAGGAAGGTAGAGCGGCGCGCCTGGCGGCCATGATGGAGCGCGACGGCCATGCTGGCGGTCCCATGGCCGACGCTCCTGCGGTTGCGAAGCCCGAGGAGAATGGCGCCTCGGTTGATGGAGATGCTGCGGCGCAGGAAGGGGAAGAGAAGTCGGAGGAGAAGACGGAGGAGAACTCTGGTAACAGCTCAGATGCTTGATCCAGTGAATGGATCAAGGCGCAGTCCTGGTTTCAGGAGTCTGGCGAGCAGAAGCTAGATTCTGGAGAAGTGTCGTGAGTATTGATTTGTGGAGGTATGTCTTCATTCCCTTCCTTTCAACTCACGTTTACTGACTGTTGATTAATAGGTTATATCATAAGCATCAAGGACTGAAAGAGGGTGTACAGTCTTTGCAAAATACTGCATGCATAAGGGCATTAGGCATGGAATGGCATAACACGAGGTACGGCGGGGGAGGCTTTTGTGTTTTTGTATCGATTTTTTTGAGGTGTAGTGTTTGAGCATTGGTTTGCATGTAGAGAGGATCGGTATCACGAGTTCGTGTGGGCTTCAGGTTATGGAAAAGCTATGGATATGTGAGGAAGCAAGGAGAGCCAGGAAAGGCAAGAAACTGGAAAAAGTGAAAGAAGAGATTATGCCTCACGGCTTTACAAAACTTGAGCAGTTTACGCACTTTAGTCTTAGACCGATATCGCGGATTTGAGGTGCGGTCCTGGAGGCCCTTCTGTTCAGGTGGACGAGGGCTTATCATGGCTGATGATCATGACGAGTGGCCTATTTTGAGATTGCGGGCTGCATAACTCCATCCAGCACACTCTGTATGGCTCTTGACATCTTTATATGCTGTAATTGTATGCTCTAAACGTATATAGATCCTTTTATCACCCAAGCTCTAGCACCAGTTTCCAACACTCCGTCTTCTCACACCTTCAAACCTTCCCCAAAACTCACTACTCATCCATACCATCAAACCCTCACATACGCCCCCCTCTCCCTATCCTCATCAACGATAAACCCCCTCAACAACCTCCGCATTCCCCCTCCAATCCACCAACCCCCCCTCCCCCACATCAACAACCATGACCTCCCTAATCCTCTCCACCTCCGCCCTCGTAACACCCAATTTCTCAACCACATACTTCTCCACGCCCCCATACTCCTCATCAATGTACTTGAGCGTAGCCAACATCGATTCTTTGCGGGAGGAAACATGTCTCTCGGCAGCTGCCCGGTCCCCGTCAAAGGCCGGGTCCAGCATCACGTGGTCGACGATGGCGGACTTGCGGTGGGCGAGGCCGAGATCGGTTAAAGAGTACTCGTGGGCGATGACCGGGGGAGGAAGGTGGAGGAGGGAGAGGAGGAGGGCTATGAAGAGGCCTGTTCCTGTTTTTTGGGTAAAGGGGGGAGGGGGTTAGTGAGTTTGTTTGGTGGTGGGGAGTGAGGGAGGTGGGAGGATGGGAGGGGGTAAAAGGGGAGGCAAGTAGCGAGGTGGGAAGATGGAGAGGAAGAGAAAGAGACTTACTGTCTTTGCCGGCACTGCAGTGCACTAGTAGTGGGGAGGGGGTCGTAGACGTAGAGGAGGCTAGATGCTTGAAGATGGTTCGGTAGGGAGCATATTCGTTCTTGGGGTCGGCGGCGCCGGCGAGGATGGTCGAGTAGGCGCGGACAAAACCCTGTGTGACGGTTGTTAGAGGTGGTGGTTGATAGGGGGTGTGGTTTGGCTTGGGGATACCTCGAGAAGAAAAGGATAAAGGAAACAGATAAGGGGGAAAAGGAGGAAAAACAAAGGGAAAAAAAAAAGGAAAGAAGAAGGAAGACAGAACGAAGAAAGGAAGAAGAAGGGCGCTGCTCCGGCCTCCTAGGGCGTTCGTGCAAAAATAACTGGTTATCCAGACAAGTTGCAAAAGGGCAGGTGAAGCATCGTCGGAGAATACACTATCCATCAAGGTTCTTGAAGCAGAGTCGCACATTGTGCCTTGCTTGCTGTTGCATAGCCGCCTTTGCGGATAGAGCGAAGGTGCAAAAGTGACATATGCAGGTCATAAGGGAGGACAGGACGGTAGGAGACGACGGGAAATGAGATGCCACAGACGCCAACACAGCAGTTCAACCTACGTGACGTGCATCATCATCACAGCTTTCATCATGGCTTCATGACAAGTTTGTGTCATCCGCCCAGTGCGTCCTGCCCTCTTTCCTTGGGTTTGCAAACTCCCCTCTACCCTCTGGGTATTACTTGTAGCGTCACACAAGCTTTTCACAAGCTTCACAAAATGTGATGCAAGCCTCGTTGACCCAACTCCAGCCCCAGCTGTGGAAACGATAACTCCAGGCGGCAGGGCAACGTCTACCCCTTTCCCAATTCCCATACCCTCAACCCACCTAAATTCCCTTCCTCCCCCTTTCCCCGAGATCCCACCCACCCTGCCCAGAAAAGAGACGAAAAAGACAAGAAGAAAAAGAAAAGGTCATGAACAGATAAAAAAGACGACTTACCTCCGGCCCATCAGTATAATCCCTAAACCGCCTCATCCTAACCGCCAGCGCTTCCGGACTCAAATCCACCCCCGGAAACACCGGCACATAATGTCTCTGCGCGCCCTCCCACTCCTTCGGCTCCGTCCCGGGTGTCTTGCCAAACTCATGCTTGGACCGAAAATCGTACACGTGCGTGATGCCCAGCTTTTGCATCACGGCCACGCCTTCGTCTGTTAGCTTAGTTGGGTCCGCGGAGCGGAAGACTACACCCTTCCGGACCATCTTTTTCTTTCCGGAGGCAGGGGAAGAGGGGATCTCGTAGCCGCCGATGTCGCGGAGGTTGGCGAGCCCGGGCGCGGAGATGAAGGGGGGCGAGGGGAGGAGGAGGGTGCCGACGGAGGAGGACGGGGTCGGGCCGGGGAGTTGGCTTGGGTGGGGAGAGCCGGAGCCGGACCCGGCGGCGGCGGCGGTTGTGGTGGGGGATGGGACACTCATTTTGTCGGCTGAAGGTGGGGTTGATAAGTGCTGGGTTATATCCTATTTCGAAGCTGGGGTCTTTTGGTGAGTATGACCTCGGAAGTTGATACAGGTAGATATGATGGCGTCCGAGTGGGTGTGTGAGTGTATATGTGTGTTGTTCTTTCCACTTGTGTATGACGGGTGAGGGTCCACTGAGTAGGTGCTGGCGGATCCTTTTGTGTTTGCCAAGACTTGAAGCTAGAGCTGGGTTGAATGCTCCTTTCGTGACTATCCTCCGCTGCAATGTTCGTGATCCTGAACAGTATAGGGTCAGTCGCCTGAAGATTGGATCGCGGTGTCTGTTAGAAGATGAGATCTCGATCCTGTCAGTCAGTATGATGTTGTTTGGTGGTTGTGGTCACACAAAGCTGAATGAATGAGTCCACGCCTCACTTGACAGCTCCACCAAAACCCACACAATCACACCCTACCAAGCTGCACTTTCAGTGATGATGTCGAGCGAATACACTAACAAGTTTGCTAGCATTTTGCACCTAAGTGGGATAGTGCAACGAAGTCCCAAGGAGGCTCAGCTATCAGATGGCCCCCAACCGTCATCTTGGAATCCCTCACTTTGATCGTGCCGGTCATCGTCATTGGAAGCCTTTTCGGGTCCGACTGCCGTTGAGAATCCTCAAGCAGAACAGCGGTGAGTGGAAATGTGCGAATTACCATCATCAATTGCTCCCCTTTGAGAGCTGGGCTCGATCGGTCGTTTTTTGGCTGTTAGGGTGGAAAATGGTCCGCGGACTATCCTCCTTTGTTTTTCGCCTGGCTTCTGCTGTTATTGTTTCCATTCCCAGGAAAATGCCCTAAAGATAGGCCCTAGGTATCCGTTAGCGGACTTCTCGACTAAATTGGCCTATAGGTAGTTCGCCTTCTTCGGTACTTCGGTGCACTGCCCCGGGTACGTATCTTATGAGGCTCAAATCCAGGTCTTGGCGGGTACATCACCACTCTTTTCTTTCTTCTTCCCCATTTCTCCCGCCTTTGTATCTCGATCTTTAGTTTCTGGTTTAAACCAACTGTTTGAAGACGCCATCATGCTTAGAAGGTAGCTAATGCTTGTCAGCCTGCAAAATAGGGACAGTTTTTGTCCTGAGTTCTCCGACCCTTTTGTCTTGAGTTCACTCAGAATGGTGTAGCTTCATCCACTTCTGAGAGTCTGGGGTGTCACAAACCGATCAATCAGAAATCGGTGAAAACAGGGGGCGTGATATGTTTGCCTTGGATGCCTTGGATACTTTGGGGGGCTATGACGCCCACGGATTGACTTCAAGCCGCTCCGATATTCTCCCGAAAACTGCTTTGCGGTCGAGTGCCTGGTGGCTTGTTCCAGTTGTCGTGCGATGTTGAGGGAATGGCGTCCGGCAGGCGCATTTTTGAGGCTCTGAATCCAAATTCTTGTCCGATACCGGTTGTTTGTTCCAATTATCCCATCGATCAGCCCATTGAGCCCAGAGACTTGCCTCAAGATCGCCTCGAGATAGTTAGCCAATGGGTAATGGAAAAGCGTGGTTGCCTTCTTTGCCCTCACCGGAGACCCCTTGTCATTTTGGTTGTGTATGGCCACTCGGAGCTCTTCCTGATGAGTTGATCATCCCTCGATTTGAGCCTGAGCATATCCTGCCAATGTGCCTGACAGTTGGCCTTTAGAAGACAAGTCTGGTAGGGAAAAGAGGCCATGGGGGGGGCTTAATCTGCCGTCAAGGGATGAGAAGATGGCTGGCCGATGTATATAGTGAGCGCCGGCTCCCTGCCCGCCTTGGGCCGGGCCTCCTGCTTAGATGACTCGGCGTCTGAATATTTTTCTCTTGACGGGCTGTCGTCCAGGTGGATAGGATAGGTGTGGTCGCTAAGCTTTGCTGCATCAACTCAGCGAGTGTCTCATAAGCCACACAGATCTTGGCCGATCAAGGTTGGTGACAATCAATACCATCAACCTCCGACGCACCATCTGTGGTGAGTTTGCGTGCTGATAATAGCGACGCCTAAAGTGGCTTGCCATCATCAACAAAGCATGTCGCATTTATTTGGTACGTCTATTGGTAAACACCCAGTTGTGCTTGAGCTTCTGTGTAACTGGCGATTTATGAAGGTCTATTTTGGCGAATTTTGGAAATTGATAATAGGAAAAATGAGTGTCCTGACCACAGTTTCAACGATAATCAGTGTCTGAACCGCAAGTTTTAGTAAAAAGCGCAGCAAGCAAGAAGAGTCGAGGAGCAAAAATGGCGAGAAACCGGACGACAAAGAAAAGTCAGCAGCTAAACACGAAGGCGATAACTGGAGAAATTGAATGCGGTATCGAGTCTAATGCAAATCTAGCGCTGAGGACACAGGCAATTAAACAAATCCGAAGGAAGGGGATAGGAAAAGGGAAAGAAAATCAGGTTGAGCCACCCAGCTGGATGATCGTCATAATCCAAAGCATGAGATTATGAGGAAACAAAACCCGAGGAACACAGGCGAGAACAGAAAAGCCACCAAATACCCCTATTGTAATTAAATTCCTAGCTTAACCGCTTTTTATTCCTCCATGTCAAAACACCGAACTTGCAAAACTCCAAACTTGAATTTGAGCGCCGCCGTGATATCGATGGTTGACGTGAGTCGAAAATGAGATCTAGAGATAGGGAACCTCCATGACTCGAAATATTTAAGGAAATGACTGATGAGAAGCGAGCCTCGGAGGGCGCCGGGTGAGATTTTGAAAGCGTTGGTGACATTGGAGTCGAAACCCTCTGATGAGCCCTGGCCGAGTCGAGTTGCCGCTTAATTTACGTATAAATCGAAGCGGTATCCTCATCATCTCAGGCTTAGCGCCTTGTTGAAGAAGATGAGCAGGAAGGGAATGCCGTATCACGGACAACGTGGTTCTCCTTCTTACAACTCGTGCATTGGACGTGCTGGCAGCCGGGCTCGTAGCATTTCGAAACCCAGGACGAGTTGGGAGCACCACACGAGCAGCAATACCAGTGCTTATACTCCCCGAGATCGGATGAGCCCTAAAGTCGTTTAGTGTCTGGTGTATCGGAGTGATTGGGAAGGTCAAGTCCTACCTTGCTATTGTTGCTGCTACTGTAAGGCATCTTGAGGATGGGAGTTTTTTCTTCGAAGTGAGTGGTGATGGATGATGGAACGAAGATCAATAGACAGACAAGGTCGAGTGGTCTCCATTCCCATCAGCGTCCTGCTTCCTGCTCATATATCCAAATCTCAAGTTGCCCAAGGGGAAGCCTATACAATGGCTTTCTGTTCACGCGACAAGCCAGGTTCCCTCTCTGTCCTCCGTCAAGCTCAAGGCGAGTTGCATGGCCACGATGAATGCCTTGATGGTTCATGGAGTCTTGTCTGAATACCCTGGAATAGGCGTGGTAAAAGCTTCAGGCCGAGTGGGTCATGGCGAAGGGCGTACTGGACAGCGCAGCTTGTGGGAAAAAAAAGCCAGCGTTTGTTGCTCCAGAGGTAAATGAGCTGTTCGGTGAAGCTCAAATTTCCACATTGACTGAAAGCTGTGTTGCAGGAATCGTCGACCTATTCGTTGACGACGGCATCAAACCCGGCCAAGCCTCCCTTCACCGACCGAGAATAGGATACTCGTGAGCATAATTGAGATTAATTGGACCTCTGCTGGAGGTGAGTGACGCATTGATACTCCTCTCTCGCTTCGATCGCCCAGTCGTTGAGAGGACGTGACCGGAGGCTAATGATGGCCTCTCGCCCTGAAATCCAAGCCCCCTTCTCTGTACCACGCTTGTCTTCATCGCTATGATCCATAGCTAGACCGCGGGTATCGAGCACGTTGGATTGAAGCCGGGATGCGCTTAAACTGAAGCGCATTGTGACAAGTCTGACCGAGTCTGTATTTCCATGGAAAAGATTCTGTCCAATCAGATTAAGTCAGTAAAGGTTGTTCTAAAGCAAAAGCGCACCAAACAATGAACACAACAGAAGCAAACTTCGCATATCTGGGAGTCCTACCACCTTTTTTTAAGAGAGAACTGTTGAGATCTTGTGAATTGTAAACTTAGTTTTGTGGTCAGATATTGAAGCAGGGTGCCGTTGATTAAACCTATTGATAGACCTTGTTGTCCACAACCAACACGGGACCAAACTGATAAATGTAACTGCTCAGATGGAGAAATGCCTTTGATCGCGGCGAAGATCGTGTTGAACCATTGAGTGTCTTCAGACGTCTCTTATTCACAACACGAACGGTGTAGGTCAGTCAATCTTATTGTGCTGCTCTATGAATATCCTTGTGTATTCCGGATGCATGTGTACCAGCAGGCGCTTGTATGTCGAATCGGGTAGAATAACCCGTTCATGGAAAACCGTTTGAGACAGTTCTTGATGGGTTATCGGCGCATGCTGTCCATGTTAGGGATCCCAGGCCATGGCTTTTCCATCTGCAGTTTGGTTAGCATGGTAACGCAACCTCTAGATGAGAATAACTCACGTATAAGTGTAGAGCACGTAGTCGTAAAACCACCCCAATTTCCTTCAAATACTACTTATCAAATCTGGAGCGATCGTTCACTTTCCTTCATCACCCTTCGATGTAACCATGATCGTTATCGTCGACATTGCCGTTGAAGATATAGGTTTGTCGGCTATAGCAAAATATTTGAAGATCAAAAACCGGCCACTGAGCCTATCCTGTAAGTGAAGTCAACCATTTCGAGCGAGATGATCTCCCTTTATATAAGATACCAGGTGGTCGTTCCAAGAGCGCCGTCATGCTTGCAGTCCGCAGAGCCTCACACTGCCAATGGAGGGACTTCAAGGGTTTACAACTGCAGTTTTCATGCAGTCAATATCGTCCCGCGGGATTTTGCTCAAAGCCGCAGTTTGTCTGCCAAACACAGCAGCATTCCGATGATGCTGTCAAAGGAAGCCTGACCGACTTCCTAATCGAGCCTCTTGCGCGTCTCACATGAGATAGCTAGCGGTCCTTGTGATCGCAGATGCGGACTGTATCCATCAAGCTGAGACGCCCGTAGCAGAATGGCCGAGTGTGAGCCGGCCGGCTTTGAAAGTGCGAATCTCATGTTGTTGCTGTCGCCAAAGAGGAAATGCGGCGAGCCGAGGCTCCAACAGCAACCCCTCAACTCGAGGCAGAACGTTGAGGCCTGAAGTCGGTAGTAAAACATGCGAACGTTGGGACCTGAACGTGAAGTAGTAGACAGCACGCAAGTTCAGACGGCCGCGATCGCCCATGATGATCTTGTCTCCGATGTCTATCCTGGCGGAGTCTGAAAACATGAGGGAGGATGGGTTGCAGTTGGAATAAGGTTAAACCCCAACCCAGGAGCAACGATCATCTGAAACGTCAAAACGACAATGATGGGATGATGAGATGTTGGGCGATGGCGCGGGAGATGAATGGAAAGAAAAGAAGCCAATTGCAACTGAAAAGGTTTCGGAATCTCGCGACCAACGTCCAAATCATGTTGTGTATGCCGGCACTCGATTCTTCCATTCCGGGCTCCCATCTCTATCAGCCGAGTCCGTCGCATTTGCCAAAAAGCACTGAAACATCCATCATGTTCCAGAAGGTGAGAGCGTCTGCATTCCAGTCGAATTTTAGCGGGCACTTAGCGCTGTGTGAACAACGGAAGGCACAGTCCAGGTGCACTTTGCGGTGCACTTTGCGGTGCACTTTGCGGTGCACTTTGCGGTGCGGCAAGGCAGTGCCTGCCAGAAAAAGAGAGCAAAAGCCGGTAAAAGCCTACTACCTACGTCATAGCTGATAAGGGAAAGAAAGAAAGAAAGACAAAAGCTCTTTCCGCACCACCAAACCTGATCATTGTGGTCTTCCATGTTACCTCTACTTCCAACAAGCTTCATATCTTGTCAATCTCACTGTGTGCAGTTAATTTGATTCCAGATTGGATGACGATTGCATTGGCAAAGCGAGCATATATCCTTTCGAACACGCACTCGTTGGCGATACCAAACTTGAACAATCCACCATCCACCACCGGCTCGAGGATCTACATCTGCACTGCTTCGACAACCAGATTCTCGCATCACCAATACTGCGACCTGCTCGATTGTGTCAGGCCATAAATCGACCTGGGGCTCTTACATACCTAAAGCCATCTCGACCACTTTCCAAGTGGAGTTTCGCCTGGACGAAGCAAGGATTTCCTCATCGACCCTTCGACGACAAACACGAAAAGAAACAGACGCTACTTTCACAACCCTCAACTAACAGCACCGTATCACCGATATCTCCACCAAAATGGCGTTCGGAGCCGGCTTAACGTCGAGCAAAAGCTACCTCTTTTTCTCGACCCTACACTTTCTAGCCTTTGTTATGGCTTTGACTGTCTGTGGCCTCTATGGCGTCGAACTGGATCGCGCAAGGAAGGCCGACAAGTACGCGGATGCGAATTGGGTGTGTCAACATTGAATGTGCCCTCAACAAGTTCGAATTCCACGCTAACAGGGGTAATCCTCAGGTCTTTGCCGTGGTCGTTGGCGGTCTGTCAGCTTTGAGCTCCATTCTGTTCTGCATCCCGTTCATCCTCCGGTTCGCCTTCAAATGGGTGTGGGACTTGATCCTCTTTATCCTTTGGGTCGCCGTCTTTGGCGTTTTCGCGGGCGTACGTTTACCCACCAAATTCTTGCTATCTAAACGTGGTCTAGAAACTAACAGACACCCCACAGATTTACATCCATGAGAAGCCTGAGGGTAATAACGATATTCGTCGGATGAAGCATGCCGTCTGGGTGGACCTCGTCAACATGCTTCTCTGGCTCGTCATCGCTGTTTCTGCATTTGCCTACTGGCTCAAGCACCGGGAGACCAGAAGCCGGTTTACTTCTCGCGCCATTGTTTAGGAAGATAGCTGGACGGTTGTGAAGGACAAGAATTGAGGTTGGCGTTACCGATGGTGAAAGGATACATTAACAGGTTGATACCCGGGGGATAAGGTACATGGCGTTTTGGCACCATATGATTTTGGTACGGGATTTTGATTCAGGATTTTGGTTTCGCGACGTAGGCAGTCTCTTGCGCTCGCATTAATTCATCCATTCTTACTCTCATCACATTGATCATTTCACCAGTAGAAATATCAATCAGCTTTAACAGCAGCCCGTACACTTCCTGTCACCGCCCAAAGCTCAACAAGCTTCCGCTTTTCCCCATCCAGAGATTCGTCTCAAAGCAAACCCATCTTTATGGATCACACAGGCAGGACGCAGATCTGCTTCGTGAGCAGAAGTCATAATCGTACGGTTATGCAGTGACGTCATGCCGAATCGGCTATCTTACCTCTAACACGTTCCCCCGCTCCCTAAAAGCATTCGGGAATGCTGCCCGAAGGCGCCACGGGCAAGGGCTTCAGGGTCAGGGACCACTAGGGTCAACGCCAGGGGCGTCCCTGCAGCAGTCAAGGGAAAAAAGCACAAAAAAGTTCCCAATCCGAACAAACAGCCAGGAAGAGCAACACGTCAAAGGATCTCCGTGTGCTCTAGAATCATTCGTTCAAAAGGATGGATCTCAAAGCTCCCGTCTACCGCTTCACGTCGTCGCCCTCTCAAAAGCCAGAATGGGCAGCGGTAAAGACAAACTTTCTCCACGCAGCGGTCCCTCGAGCGACGGCGACGATGCAGCTTCTGGCGGGGTCAACTTAGCACTTACACGGCAGGCCAGTTCCAGGTTTATAAGGAACCCCGGGGCACCGATCTTCAACTTTTGGGCTTGTTCCAAAACCTCCTCATCAAATGGGGTGCAACCCCGGCCCGAAGCTGTTTCGCAAAGGGCTCGGTCTCACCCATCTCAGATGCGAGATACGCGCTGCCGAGAAAAAGATCAACCAAGACTTGTGAGCCCCGACTCCCCGATCGCTTACATGCCTCCCGGTACCTCCTTTCTTCTATCCCGTAGGGGTCTTCGCATCTTTTTCCAACGCGGTGATAATGATGGTTGGCACACCACAGTCGACAAAGCAACCACGGCACACGCACAACACGCACGCAAGCAACGTTCGGCACGGTCTACGGTCCAAAGCCAACAGGGAAAAAAAGAGGAGGATCAGCGGAAGATCGGCACCCAACTCCCGCCGGCCGTTTCGCCGTCCCATCCGGGGAGGGGCACCAACAAGTTAGGGGTTGTGTACTTGGAAAAACGCGCCTGACGGCCTCCGATCCCCGTGAGGCGATTCGCTGGTTGGGTGTTGTTGGCGATGCAAGCTTGGCGGGTTTGGAAACCTGGGGTTGGAGGCTTGGAGCTAATACCCCCAACGCTATGGTGTGGTGCAGGGCCTGGGAGGCATCACAACGACCCTCGATTATTGTACAGTCTGTATCAGACTGATGTACATACACATTTTCCCCTATGTTTTGTCAGAAGGATGAACTTCTTTGAACAAAGACAAACCCACTGCTAATCATGCTTCAGTAACAGAGAAAGAACCACGCGGGCACCCCACGCAAGGACTATCATTGAAATCGTCGTCTCAACCATGTGAACTGTAGCGCAGTCGCTTACCCAGCGGATGCTGCCGCTGTGGACCACAGCGACAGAGCAGGATCAAGACACTGTACGTATTGTGGACACTGACTGGCTGACTGTCCTACACTAGATCCTTCACGCGGCGAGCTCGTTCACGGCGGCTACCTCCAAAAGGTTGGGAACGAGAGACAACGGGCCCCACGAGACGACATCAGCAGCCTTCTTATTTTACCTCGTGGTCCCGACTCGTGAGTAGGCGTCCAAGCTGCCGAACACTCATACTACCAACTGTCGAAGAGGTACCGTTGTCAAGGCTTCGGATATACTCGCAGGTCATCATAGAAGCGGTTGATCATATTCCATGCAGACGACAGAACAGACGGCCTCGTACAACGTGAATGATAGATAGGGAAAATGGGGTTGCACAGTAATCCACACATTTGAGGTTAGATAACCACCAGTGTACCACACATGTTTTTTCTCACATGTTGCTTAGTCTGGCAAGGTTCGGTCAAAAATAAACCGAACACACGGCCACCCAATCACTATAGGCCCTTCTACTATCAAATCGGTACCACTTTGCGACTCACAACTCACGACTGTTGCTGCTGCTGCGGCTTCTTTCTGCAAGCTTGTCACAAACCGGAAGTGGTGGTTGTGGTTCCCACAGCCTGTCGTACGAGACTTGCAGCGATCAGCATGGTTGGGGAGCAGGGAGGGGTGGAAAAGCGGGAAGATTGATTGAGGTGTGTTCCATTTCCAAAGCTCCCAGAGCGAGATGGTGGTGTACTTATCGTTGGTGGTGTTTCAACGTTGGATCACCTACACTTGTGTACTGTGTGCCCTATACCCAGGTATTAAGCACTGTAATAGTTGGCTACCTCTATGGGAATCCCGGGCTACCACCATCGGATTTTGTAGCAATCCCATCATCCATGTTGACAAGATTTTTTCTTGCGGCCAACAGGCAGCACTTGATTGTCAACGAAGCGTTAGCTTACGCGTCCACAAGAGTCAAGCAGCTTCGCGGATGAAGGCCTGTCTTGGAAGACTCGGTATCCTCGCTGATCGGTTTCTGAACGTCAGCGGGCTCTTCTTTCAAGATCGTCTCAGTTCCACGGGAGCTCGCAAGGATGATGTCTGTCTTTGTCAGGCACTGAATAGTTCCCCTTTTGTCGCCATCTGAGATAAGAACCGGACCCCTTGTCGGGAGAAGGTTTGCAAACAAGGGAATGTGTGATGATCTCTGGAAATTCAGGGTTCAGAATGAAGGGAAGCTTCAAGTAGCGTTTGTTACAGGTGTGATACCTCGACGTTTGGGCAGATCGTTCCCGCTAAAATGAGGGACTTCGCACTCTTCTATCCACTCAGGTCGTCAAGTCGTCCAGTTCAGTGGAGATGCCCCCTTCGCTCCTTCCTTGCAATTGCTCTCAAAGAAAGGGTTAGGTTCCATTTCCACATGATTGACAAGTGGAAGTCTATCGGTTGGTGGGCTGCCCGTTCTCAGGTGGAAGTTATGGGGGATGATCCTCCCAAAAGTTTTGTCAGGGACTCCTCTTTACAAGACGGGAACAACACAAAACCGTCTCATCTGGCTGCCCAACGGCATTTGCCTTCTTTCTCCTCTTCTCTTCGACCTGCGACAGAAAAGAAATCGTTCAGATAACACGTTCCGATCATTTTTGCCGTTGCGCCCGCAAACCAAACCATCCACCGGTTCCATCTCACCACAGGGCATGCAGCAGCCTTCTTCAGCGCTCTCTGAAAGGGTGGTGGTTGTCAGGCCTGGCCTGTTGCAGCTTCGCACAGTTGACGGGCTTGATCCCAGCAAAGGCTGCGTTGCAGCAGTTCACGATACCCTCTAGCGCATTCCGAGGGGCATTCCAGCGACCATCCCACAGCACCCAAGATCCCCCTGAAACACAACCTAAAGTTCGCCATTCCGTCTTTCACTTACACCGGACCTTTCTTTACAGCTACAGCAGCTTACAAAGGAAGCACCAACTGGTAACCGCCCAGACCGAGAGAAAACAAGACCAACAGTACATCATTGCAACCCGTGCATATTTGAGCGTTGGGATTTCGTCATCACGCCTAATTCCACCGACCAGCATTTGCAGGACAGTTTGACGCAAGAGAAGGGAGAATATCAGCTGGCAAACGGAAAGCACACACCTGACAAGGCTACCTTATCTCGACTTTCTTCGCCGTAGCACCCGGACTCGCAAACACCACATTGCGCAACAGCTGGTCCAAGCTTCCACTATCTCCGACCTTACTCCGTTGTAGGTAGCAGGCAACATATTGGCGGCTGTCACTCACCATTCATCTACCCAACGCCTTGCAGTCGGCGAATAACGTATTTCCACAACCTCAAAATCGGGATAAAGCACACGAGCTGCGTACAAAGCCAAATCCGATCTCGAATATATCTCTTACACCCAAAGCAGCACCAGAATTGCTGCCTTTCCGCCATGTCAACTCTTGGAAGCTCGTTGAAATGATCATTCACCCCGTCACAAAATCATGCGGCCCAACATGCCTCGGAGAACGTTGTCCGGTTCCTCACACGGTTCCTGCGCATCTCCCAGCCCCTTGTCTGACGAGCAGTTCGCCTTCTCCGCGGGTAACACGCCCGTGCGGGAGATCCCGCCGTCATATGTGGCGTCTGCCAGAGACGCCCTTCTCTTCGGTACCAGAGGTAAGTTCTGTTGTTCTGGAATATTTCCATCATTCCCTCCGATCCCTACATACATTTTTCCCGAGGTTGGCGACGGAAACGATGCCGCTTCATGCCTTGGTTTTTCACTGGTCGGGTGGGCTGGTTTTAGGGCCCTGAATCCTGTCGTCACGGAGTATTTCAGGCTTCACCTTCAGCGCTGGCTCCATGTCCCTAGTGGGATCGACATGGGTGTGAGCTGGAACTTGCGCGGGAATCTGGGGTCTTAAGCTCACGATGCTCGCGACACTGCAAGGCCGTTGGGCCGTTGGGCACGACGTTAGCGGCTCTTCCACCCTGGAAGTCCCTGCATAACCCTTCCCTTGCTTTAGCAGGTGCCCTGGCATCAGCGCATGACTCGAAAAGTTCGGTCATTTCCCACTGAGGAAATGGTAGTGCGATGGGATGAGTGCCATCGAGCCCAGTATCTGCACTGTTCACCCCATGTAATTCCTGCGTCATAGCGGAGGTTGTGAGAAGGGTGCAGAGAGGTGGTCCATGTCATTAGGGTTCATGGAGCTAACATAATCCTCTCCCTAGAAGTTAACAGTAAATCCCAAACCACTACTTTTATATCAGAGTCCAAGGATGCATCCAAAGTCGTAACTCGGAGCAAGCCTATCGCAATCGAATTACCGCCCACCAGGAGACTTAGTACCGCTCCTGTTGAGACACCGCCATCACCACTTTCCGCTCGAGGGGATATTCAAGGGTATGTCTGTCTTGTAATGAGGCCACTGTTCTCTTTCTGCTGCACTTTCGTTCGGCACTTGGCAAATACGTGCTAATACCCTGCAGAGGTTACTTTCCCAATCACGAGGACCCAGCTACCCGAGTTCATCGAACTCACCCATTCTTTACTCTTGATCCAAGCAAGGCACGCCATAAAGCCTTACATAGAGCGGCAGAAACCACGCACTTGTCTGCCCCCCTCACTGATTCTCGAGTACGGACAATGGCAAACGATCGGTCTTACTCTCCCTTGAGTTCTTCAGTTGGCGCCACGAGGTCAGCTGGTCTGCATACGCCGGTGTCTTCCTACATGCCGTCCGGTATTCACGACAACATTGCCCTTCCGATGGGGAAGTACTACCCTACGAACTACGAAAACCGGATGGCCAGCAACTCGAACCAGCACAGGAGGCCCTCAGCAAGAGCAGATGCCGCGGGGGTTGCTCACTCTGAACCCCAACTAAAATACCTCCGGGAGAACAGCCATCTGCGCACAGGTTCCGAGGCCAAACGCCTAGTTGAACAGTATCAGAGAGACATGGTGGCCCAGGCGTCAATGGCACTTTACTCAAACGCCTCCAGTATGTCACCATCGACCAGGATACCCGATAACGCGGCGTTGAAGAACATCCAACTGGGGGCCACGATGCTCAAGACACATAAGCCGTTGTCTCCCAGACTTGTGCCGCTGGGAAGCCCTGGACCTGTTACGCCTATGGAATTGGACGGCAATGGAGACGGATACTTGAGCAGGGGACGAGCCGTCGGGGGGTTGGATGCCGGATCACAGAACGCGAACATCGCCAGGACCATCAGAGCGGAGGAGAGGCAACGGAGAGAAGCCCAGTCGCCTGGCTGGGACATGAAGTCATCATTTTAGGGCGGATCGTAGTGGACGGTGGGCATGATTGGGTCACCAGTCGTCGTTGGATCGTCAGGTTGGAAGCACTCTGGGTATTGAAGTGAACGGAAGGTCAAGAATGGTTTTCTTTTGTTTTTCATTACCCGTTTCTATCTAGAGGGTGCATGGCACGGCAAGGAAGGCTCAGGCTACCTCTCTTCCCTTTCTCGGTTGAAGGACATTTGTTATTGATACCCCGTTCAATTTTGTCGAATTAGAGCGTATGCACACACACATTTGGGAGTGGAAGGTATATGGATTCTGCTCATAGAGGAGGAAACTGGTTGAGTCCAAAGGACAAAGGGAGAGAATCAAGGATAGGAACCAGACCGGCTGTTGGTTTTACTTTTTGCGTCCCAGTTAATTGGGGCTGTTCTGAACGGGGTAGATATCGGAAGATTGGGATACAGGATTTCAAACTGCGCATTTGATATTGTATCCGTCCGTACGGCCTTCATTCATCCAAGTGTTGTCACCAAGAACATCCGGGGTTAGAATGTGCGGCGGATATTGGGTATGATACAACATCCGTAGGAGCAGCATCCACTTATATCCACAAGAACGAGTTAAAAGGAGCTCTAGTCTGACTGGGCTGGGAGCAGCGGTTGTTCAATGGAGATGGGGACACAAGTTACATACATAGACATGTCCGTGAATGGACAAGGTTAATTCTACAGCGGCAACTGGGTACGTACCTTCTAGGAGGACTCAGGATCGCGGAAGTAATTGTTTTAGAGGGATGAGATCACTTCTTAGTTCTGAGAATGAATGGCATTACCTACTCTAACTGATGAGGCCGCGGAAACCACCTTTGAGTTGTGAAGACTGGTGATTGATTTGCTCGCCGAGGATTTGTTTGTTTCCTGACACTTGGACACACTGTATTCTATTCCCTATGTATGTGCTATGTTTGGCCAATACTACTTACCCCGAAACCTTGACCAAGTCAGTAAGTATGATGAAATGAACTCTCGGCAGATAAGTAGACAGCTGAGATAGATATGGTTAAAATAAAACCATTAGTTGGTTGCTTCCGTCAATACCAATTCTGTTCTTTCTTGTTCTTATCGCTTCGGCAGGTAGGTAGGTGCATTCTCATATGTCATGAAAAGACACTGGTGTCGTCCATTGAACAAGACTAATAATGAAGAGAGCTTGTTGGATGGAGGATGGATAATATCAAGGCCAGGCCATAACGATAACCTACCAACCTACCTACCTGTAGGATGCCATGTCCGTCGTGTTCTTTGATTCACGTGTGGGTGTTCTGAAGTTTGGTGAAGTGGAAGTCCATTTTAAAACTTGAACTTAAGTGGACAGACAGGTTTCGGAATGGAATTTGGGAGACACTCCGACTTGAAGGACTTGTGAGTGTTCTGACAGACATGAGATGAGATGAGTGAGGTAGGAATGTCACATCACGGCATTGCGACGTGAAAGAAAAAGAAATCCCACGTTGCGATGGCTAGGGATATTTACACTAGGCAGGTATCGTTGCTTTTATACATACCATTTCTTTGGTCCGTTCCGTTCTCCATCACTTTGGGCAGTAGGGACATTTGATTACCTTAACTTGGATCTTCAGCTAAAGAGATACAGAAAGGAGGATGATAGATACCCTGAAGTTGCACTGAGAGGCATAAATGAGATGAGGTCCGAATGTCATCCCACATCCCGATGGTTCCGGATAGGAATGATACATACATATTTCCCGGATCTTTGATCGACGCGAGAAGACAAGACAAGCAAGCACTCGAGACAGCAGTGTAAGTTGTTGTTCATGTCCACATGACTGATTATTGAAAGAAAAAGCAAAAAGCAACTGGCTGGCTTGGTATAATGATACAATAAATAGGTCCACACTGCTAAAAAAAACGTCGGTGGCCTTGTGACAGCAATAAGTTTACATGGGAATAACACATAGCACAGACATGATGACCAGTGGACGCTGTGTTTCTCCACCTCAAAAGTCTCTCTGTCTTTATGTGCGTGCATGTCGATCGACCCTCATCGACTTCCCATCATTCATTCAGTTCTCAACGCCCGCAGACTAGTCCCGTTCGTTTCATCACACATCACATGGAACTCAGTGAAGAGCTCGAGTGCTAAGCCCCCAAAAAAAGGCTGCTGTGAATGAACGGGCAACGAAAAACCCCTCACCATCACCATCATATCCCACAACTTGAGACAACATCCACAAAACCAAGAGATCTTACTCCACCTTGGTAGGGATCTTGACCTGGGACCGCTTGCGGTCATGGAAGGGAACACCGTACCTCCAACCAACAGCGTTGCGGTCCCTGCCGTCGTGGCCGACATTCTCCGCGTTGAACTCCTGGAAGCGGAACTCGAACCGGTCCGTCTTGACGCGGGTGATGGCGTCTTCAGCCGCCTGGCGACGCTTGGCCTCGGCCTCGGCGATCCTGGCCTCGCTCGCCGCCGTCGCCTTGAGGAACTTTTGGTTCGCCTCCTGCAGGGGCACCTCCTTGAGCAAATCTTTCTGGAACTCGATGAGTTCGGGAACGCGCAGCTTCTTGTCCACGGGCAGGATGTGGTCGCCAAAGGCCTTGGCGGCGTCCTGGCGCGTGAACTCGCGCGACTCCGAGACCGGAACAAACAGCTGCTGCGTCGTGTAGCTGTGCACGTACACGTCGTTGATGGACTCGTGGGGCTTTTGGTCCGGGCCGCCGAGGACGGTTTGGGGAAGCATCTTCATCACGGCTCTGGCGTAGGGGCGGGCCAGGGGCTTGTACTATATGAGAGCAAACACGGACTGGGTTAGCCGAACATCTCTTTTGCCAACGAGAAAATGTGTGAACAACGATGTGGATGGGATTGCTTCGTTCAGTTGAAAAAGGCTTTGTAACCATGAGGTATGTCTTCAAGACTAATCGAATTTTCTTGTAGTTCATCATATGAAGCAAGGTCCGCCGCCGCCGGCCGGCCGGGCAGCCAGGGAGACGGAGACAGGACGGGGTGTGATATCGTAGCAAGGAGAGGGGGGATGATGAGCTTACCTCCTTAATCCAGCGCTTCTCGATCTCCTTCAACCTAATCACGGCCGCAACCCTGCGCACGTCGACGTTGTACTTGGCCGACACGGCCTTGATAGGCAGACCCAGCTCCATGACATCCTTGTAGATGATCTCGCGCGAGCCCTCGGAGAGGACGGGCTGACTCTTGAAGTAAGGGTTGTTGGGGAAGGGCACATCAAGACCGTCTCGGCCTTTGCTGCCGAGAAGATTCGGTCCCTGCCTGGTGTGTTCCTTGTATTGGCTTCCCTTTTTATCCAACCAAGCGAACATCTTCTGGCGACGGACGGACTGGACGAGCGCCGGCGCGGTCGTGGAGAACGACGAGCATTGCTGCTGATGTGTTGTTGGTTGGGAGGACTGAGGGGAGCTAGATGAGCACGAGGAGGCCCATGTCGGCAACCTGGAAGCTGTACACCTGCTGCTGCTACCGCTGCAGGCGCTGCTCTGGAGGAGGAGAGAGGAGGGAGCGTTGGGTATCCGCGGTGGCATATTGGAAGAATGTGTGGGAGGTGAGGAGGGTTGGGTGGGAGGAAACAAGAGGTTTGTTGTCCCCAGTGAGGGAAAGCGGGAAAAATTTCGGCACAGGTGGATTCAATTGCGCTGGACTCGTCCCATTCGGTCGATGGAAAGCTCCGGTGAAGGCTGGCCCACCCGACCCCTCCTCAGAGCTTGACCAGCCAATGGGCGGGTGCAATTCGCGGTTGCTCTGCGAGTTTTGCGCGATTCACGCTCACTGTTCCCCTTAGGGTTAGGGTCATTGCTACGGGTGTCCCTCGACATCAACATCAGATACGGCTTCATCAACTGCCGCAAGGGCAATATATTAACACGTACACGTTGGAAATTGGGCATCCTTACGACCTAGAGGCAATGTTTTTGATTGGTATTGATAATATACCCACATTGTATATCCTTCGCTACAACTCAAGTTTATGTCTTCACTCCCAACTGTTGTCTTCCATGTTCGACCATCTTGTTTCCCTTCCAATCCTAAGCAAGGCGGACAGACATCCGCTCACTTGCTAGGTGGTTGATGTATCTAGCCGGCGTACATTACTTCTTCTGCTGTTCATCTCGCCACTGTAACAAAGAAAATAACGGTGTTCGGTGCCCAAGGCGAGAGTCCCATAGTAGAAGATGAGAAAAGAAATATAGCAAAAAAGCCAACGCTACCACCGCCAACCTAATCCGCTGCGACGCCTCATATGCATGCCTCGTGTACTTCACGCTACCCCCTGATTTTGAAAACAAAAGCAAACAGGACAGGTAAAGATGAGGAGATATGGACCGCGTCACGGTCCGAATTTGTCTGTTTGTTTGAGCTGGAACTTCCATTTCCTCACTGATTCTTTGCTCCCGCCTTGCACCTCACCCAAGAACCGATGGTCCGAATGGTCTGGCCTCAAGTCTCTTGAGTAGGTTAACCGATCGAAACGGATATTTCCATCATATTACTTCGTTGCGTACCAGCCACTGATGAAGCCAGGATGCTCCTCATTGTCCTTTTGTAATCGAAGTCGTTGTTCCCACCAAAAAAATTCCATCTAGTAAAACGAAACTATAATCCAGAAGAGAGAATAAGATACCGCCAGGTGAAGGGTATATGATACAACCAACCAAAGCCAAAAATGTGTAGTGATGAACGTCAGTCAGGGTCAGCGTCAGGCATCTCACTTATCGTCGCTCGAAATCTGACTCGTCTGGGTGATAGGTGACACCTCTGAGGGCGGCGCCGCTTGTGCTGTGTGATGTGGGCTTGTAAGCTCCTTTTGCATAGTCGGTTTCCTCTTGGGTCTGGCGACGGCTTTCTTAGAGGCTGTTCCGCTGCTGTCCTTAGACGCACTATCCTTCTTGTCCTCGCCATTGCTGGACCCGAAATCTTTCCATTTCCTCCAACCGTCAAAGTCGATAAGGGCTTGCATGCAGCCCCATTCCATGACTTTGCGTTCCAACCAAATATAGGTGATGGGCTATATCACGCCTTCAGTCAGCAACTGTTTGACACTCTCTGCACCAGGGTAGATAAATCGCAACGTGCTCCAGGGTAGGCTTACCTTGGTCAAGAAATCATTGCAACCCGCCGCCAAGGCCTCGTGCCTGTCACTCTGCAGCGAACTGGCCGTGAGAGCTACGATGATGACGGGACTCTTGAATAGCTCAATATTCTCAAGTTTGTCCTCCTCGGGCATTACGTCAGGATCGCCACCAGATTCGCCGCCATTGTTTCCTCCATTGCTGTTGCTGTTGGAAAACACACCGATCGAGTTCATGCGTTCGAGCCTTCGAATCTCCCTAGTCGCTTCCAGGCCACTCATGATAGGCAGCTGAATATCCATCAACACCAAGTGGAAGCCTCCCTTGCGCCACTTGTTGACAGCTTCTCGTCCGTTCATAGCGGTCTGCCACCGGACCTTGAGTCGCTTGACGAAAGCCTCAAGGAGTTTAAGATTAATGATATTGTCTTCCACGATCAAGACATTGATTGGTGGAACGGCACTACTGAGCATCACAGCTGGCAGCGGTGTGTGGTCTGGAGTGGCTTTCTTTTTCTTGAGTCTCGTTGCCATTGCTGTCGTAGGCCGAGGGGAAGCCACTCTTGCTGGGGGAGTAGTGACCGGGTGCTGTGTCGGGATAGCCGGGACCGGCTCTTGCGCAGCAGGTGGCGGAGTAGGCAAGGGTGGTGCCGGAGGAACGTGAGGGACATGCGGAGCTGAGGCCGGGGGACCGGAAACGGCACCGGTCGTAGATTGTTCTGACGAGGCAACGGAATGAGTCCTTGATCGCTGAACCTTGGAAAGAGAGGATTGCTGCATACCATGATTTGCCGATGCCACTGCAATCGTAGCGGCGTGACCTCCGGCTCCAATTACGTTGAGAATCGTGGGCGACGATGTATGTTGCCTACCCAGGCGAGGGCGGTCTGGTCGTTGGAGGTACTGGCGGGGCCGTAGTGTCCCTCCGGGAGAGGGTACCTGGGGTATGTGTCCTGTTCCCAAAACGGATATGGTATGAGGATGTGACTGCGTCGTGCCATTAACAGGGGCAGTCGTGACAGGGCCGCCACCCATGCCGGAGGGTAGATGGGCGAGAGCGCCAGGGCCAAAATAATCGGTACCTCCTTCCGACGGTCTAAGTGTCTCTTCGTAATACGTCGGCAAGCCGTGAGGAACATGCGGAGGGCCGGCCCTGGGTGATTCCTTTGGTGTACGACGGGGCGGGATGTCGATGACGAGGGCTTCATCCACTGTCTGGCCTCCGGGGAAGTATGCATCCAAGGTCCGGGCCATTGGCTCTTCTGGGCCCAAGACACGCTCCTGTCTTGACTCCCTGGGGGCTATCCGCAGGATCAAGTCGGGGGAGTCGAATTGGCGACCTAGGGAGTTGGCGTATTTTCTGAGGATCATATCCCGCACGTCATCGACCAAGTCCTCTTCATTGATAGTGACGAGGGTCGCGGAGCCACCCGGCCGCTTGACCCAGATCTTTCGCGTCACCATAGCGGCGCTTATAGGAAGAAGGTTATGGTTGGTGTTGCCGCCGGTATCGAGTTCATCGGTCTGGTTCGCGTCGAGGAGCGTTCGAATGAGAGTCGTCTGGCGACTGGGCAAAAGACTCTGACGTCTCGGTGGGACCGAGGGCCGCGTGGGAGCGGTCGACGAGGAGCGCGTGGTGGTAGGGCTACCCGGGGTAGCAGTGGGATGTGTAGACGGCGGATTGGAATTAAGATTGGCAGGAGTCGAGGTCGAAAAGGGAAAGGTCGCGTTTGAGGGGGTTTCTGCACTTGGGCTAAGGGGTACGGTACCAGTCGGCGAAAGAGGCGCGACCGAATTGAACGTGACAAGTGGAATGGACGGCGATGCAGCGGCAGGTGTAGCGAGTGGTGCAGGCGTCGGAGGCTGGGAGGACGACAAATTTACAGCCGGGTCAATCAGGCGGATCCTGCGCACAATATCGGAAACAGCGGTGGTAGCAGTGGCAGATTGAGCAGCGGCGCCAGCGGACTGTTGATGATGGGAATTTTCAATGGGATTTGGATTTGTGGTTGTTGGAGTGGTGGCATCAAGGGCGGCAGCATCAATTGGTGTGGAATTTGTGGATGTTGTCGGAGGCGGTAGAGGTTCGTCACCGGCAGCGGTATGCGCAAGTGGAAGGTCATCATCCTCGTGGATGCTGGCAAGGCTGGAAACTCTTGCGCTGCTAATTGAGACCCGCCGCAGATCGCTAGCGGGTGTCCAGTCGGAGCCAGCAGGGGCAGTGCGATTCGTTACAGAGCTTGCAGGTGGCTGGCCGCTGGCAGATTTAGCGTTGGTTGCATTGGTTGCAGCACCTGCCGCGGCAGCATTGTCGGCATTCTGGGCACTTTTCGCGTGGGGGCTTCCTGTGTCGCAATTGCTGTCATTGCTGTCATTGTCAGTGCCACGGGTGCTGCCGCTGTCAATGTGCCCGGACCCAGCACCAGCAGTCGCAGGGGGAAAGACATGGAGATCCGCATCTTCGTCTTTGTCGCCGCCGCCTCTGTTGAGACAGTCGCCATTGGTGTCGTCGGTGTTCGATTCGTGCTGTTTCAGTCTCCCGTCTTCTCCCTGGTCGCCGGTTGTAGCACCTGGCGTCTCGCTTGTAACGCTCTGAATGCTTTGCCGACGTTGTTTCGGAGAGGTGGCTTGTCGCGATCCTGTTTTTGCGCTGTGGCTCGCCCCGGGCAAGAGAGCAAGGAACCGCGATACCCTTTCCTTGTGTTCCCCGGGTGCAGCATTTGCGGCTCCAACTCCCGCTCCTGATCCCGCTCTCGCTCTGCCAGCAGCTTCTCCTCCGCCTCCTACCCGCTTCGGCTCCCGGCCTCCTCTTCCGCTCGCGTCGGTGATGGCATCAACAGATACTGACGATGTTGGTCGCACGCTCTCCAATGCAAGGTTCTTGTCGCTCTTGGCGTCGTCGCTGGGGCTGTTGATGCTGCCATGGTTGCCGGTGCCGTTGTAGCTCTTGCTGGACGGGAGCAAGGGGACGCCAGAATTCCTCCTGAAAAGCCTGGCTTGCAGCTTTGACTTGAGATCAACCATTCCGCCGTGCAGACGCGAGTGTGAAAGCGCAGAGACCCAACGCACTGCTGCAGTCCGTCGAGGCCGCCGAGCCGCAGCAACGCCGTGGGTTTGTGGTAAGGCCGTGGTTTCGACGAGGGCTGTTCCAACTGGGACAGCACAGCACGGCTCCGCACGCAAAAGTCGGTAAGACTGGAGCGAGGGAACTTTGAGGAAAAGGGGAAGGAGAGAGGCGGGGAGGGGAGGAACGAACAGACGGCGTATAATATGCTTCTGTCCAACCAGGCGGATGAGGTGCCCTTCAGTTGTGCCCAACTCGGATGATCTGATTCACAAGCTGCTGCAAGACTAGTAAGCTGCAAGGTGTGAAGCAGATGCGGAGAGGATGCAAGTAGCTAAAGGTAGGTGCTGTTGTAGGGACGTAGTAGGTTCCAGTCAAGTCAATACGGGGCGCGAATAGATAGGATAGAATTGGATTTCAATCCTGTACGGATCTGCCTCTAGCTCGCGGAAGCTCGCAAGCTCGCAAGGTCGCAGTCGGCAATCCGGGGGTGCAGGTGCTGTTGGTCTCGTTCAAATCGATAAGGAGTGGAAATGCTTGGCAACAGGTCGATCGTCGTGGAATCCCCAGATCCAGTGGCAGCAAAGCCGGTTGTGTTGAAGACGGATATACCCCAAGTCTAGGTAACGGTCTGGGCTGCTCATGTCCAGCCCGTCTGGGCTTCGTGCATGTTTTTCACGGCGGGGGGTTTGCAAATCAATGGCACTAAATAGTCGGCACCTAATAATAATACTAGTGACCGTCGGCGGGGACCCATGCCGGCCTGGGTAGACATGCTTGGAATCCGGACAGGGTGTGGAAGTTGCGTTAGGTTACGACTTGCAACGGACAAGGTGAGTGAAATATGTCAGCAGTGTGTAAACCGGTTTGGTAGGCTGGTAGTGGCTGGTAGCATATCTCCTCATATCTCGTCCTCGGTCTGTTGTCTGACGCACCGACGAAATGCCATGAAATGACAGCAGAAATGGAGGATGCATTGGACATACCGATGCAGTGGAAATGCACGTACTGGCGCCGTCGGTCTAGGCTAGCTACAGGCAAGATGTGCATCCCCGCCGCGCAGCAATTGCCATGCCATCCGTCGCCGTCCGCCCTTCATTCGCTGGAAGCCTGAAACCTGAGCGGGCTGCAGCCATGGTCGGGTTGTGATCTGGCATACAATCGGAGGAGTGGGAGCATGAGATAACTCCGCCTATGAACATGTCCCGAACGACCCCCTCAGCTGCTCAGGTAGTCACGGCATAGTCGCGGCAGACTCGTACAAAGCCCAGCCTTGCCGTCACGACGTCGCTGTCTGTCATACCTGCTGTGAGCCGCTGATAGGTAATGGGAATGCAAAGAATGCGCCGCGCGTTGATTTCTGTGGTTGGCGTTGTTGGGGACATCTTCGACGTTCTTCCTCAGATGCGGCCAGCCGGAGGAGGTCTCCTCTCGGGTTGTTGCCCGATTTCACCACAAATGACTAATGGTTCAAATGTCTCATTTCCCCACCGGGCCTCTCTCTGCGCCCGGCCATAGGGCCAAGACGGCCTCAACCGGTGACGGCAGGTGCTTATGGGATTCACTTTCGGCCGGGGACTAGCGTTGCAGATTTCGATAGACTGTAGTGAGCAAAATTGGCTTCGGCCCCTCTCATTTATTGCGTTCCCCTGGGGCCACACCGCAGGTTTGGGCGGACGGGTAATTGATAGTACGGACCGATGAAATCCCAGCCCAGGATTTGCTTCTTGTGGTGTTCGTTCGTTCGTTCGTTCAGAATTATTGTTCTTTCTTCAACCAAGCCGGCAGAGCTGGGACGGTGATCAGCATGAAATGAAAAAGACAAGAAACAACAGAGAATTGCATGTCTGGCACGGATGGTTGTGAGCAACGACCCGTACCCACTTGCCCACCTGATTCAGCCCTGTTTGCAGTGTGCAAGGAACCAGACAACGTCCCGCGACATGGGATGGTGCATAGAACACAGATGAATGTGCCAAAGCTGGAGCGCAACAGCCTTCCGAGTTATGTTTGAGTTCTGGCTTTTTTTTTCTGAATGCCTTCAAGGAGCCCTGTTTGGTTTGATGTGAACCGTTCAATGAAATTATATAGGAAGGTGTACTCATTGCTGCCTGGGAAACCCACCCGGACTCCCGGCATTCCTTCCTCGTGGGGAAAACGTTAGGTCTAGAAGTCGTGACCCCCATGCGGCCACCCCCCACATGCAGCCACATCCACACCGCGTTTTCCCCTCGTTCAACATCACCACCCTGCTTCTAAGAACAACCACTATTTTATCAAATTAAGCCCGATTCCGCTCCTTTTTATTGCAATGACCTCGTTTTTGATTGAGCAAGCGTTTGATGCTATTCGCGATAGACTTTCCTAGCGTGCAGCCTCGAAGAAGTATGGGATTCTTTGGTCCACTATCGCCAGTCGCCCTAAAGGTTGATAAAGTAAGCGCGATTTGAAAGTATACTACTAGAGGCTATTGTTAACCTAAGAAAGTTTCCTATGCGATTGGATCTTGAATGAAGAGAAGGCTAGGCGTGCTCCTAACCACTGTTAAGTTGCTAGCTTCGCGACATCTATCTTTAAACGAGGCGATGATTTCGACCCCCTAGGCGCTAGGTAGATAGATCGATTCTTGAAGAGAAATCCTAATATTAGGATTAAATTTTCGAGCAAGCTCAAGTCCGCTCGAATTCGAGGATTAATTAAGGAAGCTTTTACGAGGTTCTTCGACCTTCTGAAAGCTTAGATTTGAAATAAGGCTATTGTCCTAGCTAATATTGTTAATATAGACGAATATAGATTTTAAGAGTTAGAAAGTAAGGAAGGGAAGGTCCTTGGGAGTACTCTAATAAATAAAATATATATAATAATGACTAATATAATAATTTAAGTATTTATAATCGAGTGCGAGACTACTGAGGGTAAGCGGTTAATTCCTATCGTTATTTTTATTAGTACCAACCTCTAGGGATAATAGTTCCCCGATATAGACGACGAATTTAAGGCTTGGAAGTACGATAATTCTCTTACTAGCTGGAGTAATGCCTAGATAGTTTTGTAATAGTTGAAGGAGGTTTATTTATTTGAAACGAAGTTAAATAACGACGATTGGCGCCTTCTAATCCTCGATAAGTATTCTAACTATTTAATCGACGATTTCTTTATAAAAGCTTTCCGTTATAAAGTCCAATTCCTCTTTTTACCTCCTTATATTTCGTATAAAACCTAACCTCTTAACCAGTTTATATTTACTACTATTAAATTATATTTTAGAGATTTAATAAAAGATTTCGCCTCCCTTTTAATATTTGTATTAGTAAATAAATAATAGTTCTTTAAATATTATTAAGAAGCCTTACGAAGGGAGGTAAGTATTAGGAATTTTTAGTTAAGCTTTAAGAAGATAGGGATATAGTTAATAAATAAATTTATTATTATTAACGACCTTAAAGCTATCTTTAATAACGATGCCCTACCTGCCTAGCTAGTACTACTTAAAATACTACTTAAGGACGAGGTATTAAAGGATAATTACATTTACAAGACTCCCTAAAAGTCTAGGGATATATTGAGAGGTATTTACGTTGGTGATAGGGATATTAGGACTGCTTTTACTAAGGTAGTTAAGGCCCTAGATGATAAGAATATTGTGATAGCTATATAGGATTACTAAATTTAATATTTATAGACTTAATTGGCCTCCTAGAAGCCTAGAATTAAAAGGAAGGTTAAAGAAGGGGGTAATAATAAATTTATACGTATAGATGAGATTATTAAAGCTTAGGAAGTGTTATAGTAACCCCCTAAGCGCTAGAAGGTTGCTAGGGCAATGAAGGAGGTAAACCTAGTATAGGAAGTATATAGAGTATTTGTACAAATACTGCAAGTTATCAAAGAGTATGAAAATGAGTAAATAAACATTTCAAATGGTTAAAATCCTTACAAAAGTGGCCAATTTTCGATATTGTCAGATTTATGGTCATGATGTTATATATAGCTCGTTGAGGGGGGTGGCCGCATGTGGGGTCACGATATCTAGGAGTTCTGCCGCTATTCACCACCCCACAATTGCTCCCAACTACCCCACAACCTCCCCTCACAACACCAATATTTTGTTTGTTGATGTGGGTTCCCTTCTTTCTCTGGCCTCATACATTTCAACCGTCTTTCTCATGCGCCGAGATTACGTTTGTCTTCGCTCACTCACCCGCGGCCTCGTTTTCTTTCATCCAGGCGTCGTTTCATAGCAAAGCATCATCGGCTATATAAAACGGATCACGGTCGTCAGTCGTCAACATGGCTCCCAAACCCCCTCCCACGCATCCTCCCACGCATGCTCAGGCGCAACCCTCCAGCTCAACATCTCCGCTTGACACAGCCTCTGTTCCTTACGCTCCCTCTACTCTTCAGGAGTTTTCATCTTCCGATCAACCTTACAATTCGATCGTGTCGTTTCAACACATTGCAGTTCAACAACCTTACCGGAAGTACTCCACAGAAGAGCTCAGACTGGCAGACTATCAGGCAGGCAGAAGATTCACTGTATCCCTAGGTGGTGCGGGAGTTGCCAGTCCATCTTCTCTTGGATCAAGCACATTCGGAACAACAGACGGCACGGTTGCTGTCTCCAAATCGAAGGAGACTACTGGCAGCGACTCCGGAAGTAACAGTTCTGGTGGTGTTAGTTTATTTGGGACCAACAACACTCCTGTCAGTCTCTTTGGCAATAACAGTGTTGTCAAGACTGGCGTAACTGGGAGCGTCAAGACCAACAACACTACTAGCAGCATCGTTGGAAGCAACAGCACTGGTGGTGGTAGTTTATTTGGGACCAACAAAAATCCTGTCAGTCTCTTCGGAAACAACAGTGTCGTCAACACTGGGGCAACTAGCACCGTCAAGGCCAACAACACTACTCCCAGCATCTTTGGAAGCAACGGTTCTCTGCCCTTGTCTACCGGCTCGTTTTCCTCGACACCTCCGAAGCCGTCCACGCCTACCCCTTCTTCGACTATTTCTGTTCCTACCCCATTTCAATTTTCGTTTGGCACTGTCAGTTCGCCCAAGATGGTGACAACCCAGCAGATAGCTTCTCCCACGTTGTCGGGCCCCAGTACTGCCTCGACTAAGCAACAGCCGACTTCTCAATCTGCCTCAGTCGTGCTTCCTAGTACCAACACGCCTAACAAGGACCGCCGTTCGACATCCGCGACCAGATCAGAATCCAAGAGCGTCAGCACAGATCAGGAAAACAGTAATAATGAAGAAAGCGATGCCACTAGCGATTACGAATCGACAAGTGTGCACGAAGACCATATCCCAAAGGCTCACTTGCGTCTCCTTGAACACCGCTTAGACCTGGATGAGCTCAATGAGATTTCGACCACCCCGCTCTTCACAGAGCCAGTCCGCAAGTACGCCAATGCGATCGCCAAAACCGCCCGTGGTCAGAAACCGTTTACCCAGTATGGTCTGCTTGGTGGAGATATTGGCTCCCTTGAATCAGAGGAGCCAGCCAACCCGGATCCGCGCGTGTTCTGGAATATCGCAGCGCCTTCCAGCTTCTTCATTTGTGGCAGCCAAGGCTCCGGCAAGAGCCACACGCTCTCTTGCCTGCTAGAGAACGCGATGGCGCCATGCGAGGCAAACGTCCTTCCGCATCCGCTGACTGGAATTGTGTTCCATTATGACACTTTCATATCTGACACCGGTGGATCCCCTTGCGAAGTGGCCTGGCTGTCCTCTAATCCAAAGATTCAAGTGCGCGTACTATGCCCACCAACAAACATCCGGACGATGCGCAAGCTATACAGCAGATTCGCCAACGTCATGATCGAGGAGCTTCGCCTCAACCAGTCGGATCTGGACACCAAGCGTATGCTCGACCTGATGGCAGTCAGCTCTGGTGCCTCTATGCCGTTGTACCTCCATGTGGTCAACCGTGTCCTGCGTGATTTGCGCATTGAGCAGCAAGAAAAGGGCGGCTCCTTCGACTATGCCGCTTTCAAGCGCAACATGTTTGCTCAAGAGCTCACAGACCAACAGCTCGCTCCGCTAAAACAGCGGCTTGACACTTTGGAAAGCTTCATGGTTGAGCAACATGCCAAGGCGTACGAAAAAGGCCGTGAAGCAAAATCCAAGAAATCGACCAGAGCAAGTAGAGGCAACGACTGGACCCCTCGTCCTGGTATGCTTACTATTGTCGATCTTTCCTGTCCCTGCGTGACCGCAGAGATGGCCTGTTCATTGTTCAACATCTGCTTGTCTCTGTTTCTTGAACAGGACTGCAACAGCATCGGGCGTGTTATTGCGCTTGATGAGGCTCACAAATACATGAGCTCGGACACTGGTTCCGCTGAGTGTCGCACCTTAACAGACCGCCTCCTTGAGACCATCCGCCTTCAACGCCATCTGGGCACTCGTGTCATCATCTCGACCCAGGAGCCCACAATCTCACCCAAGCTCCTCGACCTATGCAGCGTCACAATTGTGCATCGGTTTACCAGTCCCGACTGGTTGAGGGCTCTGTCCAAGCACTTGGCGGGTGTGAGCAAGGGCGGGAGGATGTTGGAAAAGGCCTTGGCGATGAACCAGAATAGGGCTGATGATGAGGGTATCGATAATGTTGGTGTCAACACATTGGCCTTGGGCTATGACGATCCTGCCATGGAGCTTTTCTCCAAGATTGTGGCTCTGAGAGTCGGCGAGGCGCTGGTGTTTGCACCGAGCGCAATCATGGGAGTGCAGAAGGCCACTCCCCGACCTCCCTCTACATCGACACCTGCAACCAAGCCTGATGGTGGTATTGAAGGTTTACAATCCCAGCTGGAGCTATTTGATTTGGGTCCGCAATCGGCTAGCGACAAGCAACACCAGGAGACCGTAACCTCTGCCACCGCTACCTCGAGTGGAACCGAGAAACCCCCCTCTCCCACTTCGGCGACGTCACATGCGACGGTTAAGAGGCTGGCCCACGGCGTGCTCAAAGTGCGTATCCGCAACAGAACTACCGCCGATGGAGGCCGGAGTATTATGGCTGCCTAGTCTTTGGGCGATTATTAGATGTCGATGTCTGTCTGCGTTGGGCATTGCCAGTGTTTGTTTTTCTTTCTTTGGGCCGGTCAGTTCGTTTTCTCGTTTCTTTTTCTTCCCTTTTTTTTTTCTTCCTTCCCCCTTGTTTTGCTCATTTCTGAGCTGCTCTTAGAGCAGTTGCTGGTCCCAATGATGTTGACTGCACCGTGGTGTTAGTACGACCTCTCCTTGGGAATGGCATAGCTCTCTGGGGATTGATTGTTCTTCTTCATAGGAAACATCAGCCCTAAATGTGAGCTGAAAACAGTCTCGGAATAGTAGACCGTCGGGATCGACAGGTTGAACCTCCTTGACAAAAAGTAGTCTGGGATGGGTAAACTGGCCCAGCGGCCAGGCGAACCTCCTGGGCATGAAATAGCGTCTTGCGAGCAGTAAGTTGGCCTCAGTTGTCAACTGATCCTCGTGCGCATGAATTAAGCTTTGTATCAGTAAGTAGCCCTCGTGGCTAGCTGAACGTACGAGCGATGAATTGGGTTCATGGAGGCTGGTTATCCACTCCAGGATCACAGGAATCACAGATGGCCCTCTGGTATCAGGGCAATGACACTTTACGAAGTACCGTTTTCACCCTCGGCATGCCTTTACTGGACCTTGTCGTTGTTTTCATGTTTTATGATCATGAGTTTACGGTTAGCATATTGGCGTTTATGGGCATTCTATGTTCTGCACTTATGCATGATGATACCCCGCAGCGTTGTTAGATCACAGCGTTGTTTGGACTTGATGGTGGAATCCGAGATGTTGGGTGGAACGAGAACAAGATGGCTAAGCCTTGACTTGGTGGACTTGAACTCTTAGTACGACCTCTTCCTCGACCGCTGAACTTGAAGGGATTGCCTTGTGCTTCCTCTATCAAGTTATCTTGATGATGATGATGATGATCTTTTTTCTGGTGGTGCAGTGTTTCGGATTAAGAAGTGGAATTGGGCGGTGAAGAACAGTCAAGATGTCAAGATGGATGGCTTTGTGTTTGAGAGTGTATGATTTTTCGAACTTTTTCGGAATTTGATGGAACGGAAATTGGGTGCACTGGGGCTTGCTGAGCAAGAGAATCGGAGGAGCCGTGAGGGCGAGTGAGCCAAACAAAAAACGGAGAGAGGGACAGCAGTGGGCGGGAAGGCTTCAATAACAGCGAGGGTCTTGCACATTATGGAAATAGCCAGATCATGTATGGCTTTGTAAATCATATCAGCGAATCAAATGCGAGGGAGTGCTGGCATCATTCGGGTCAATGACCTCCTTTCTGTGATGTTCATATGTCAACCCCCTACAGCTGCTGCTGTCACGCAGATCAGACTTAACCGTGGGTGTGAGCTGGTGGCCTTTGCAAGAGAGTGGGTGTTGCGACAAAACGACCAGTCCAGCTCACACCCACGGTTACTCATGTTGCCGGAAATAGGTATAATTGACAAAAACTGTACACAGTATGGCGGGAGCTGTTCTTTTCAAATTCCAAACACAGGTCCTATTTCCCATCTACTGAATTCGTCTCTGTCTTAAAAAGGTTGTCCAGGTTTGCACATGGCTGGTTGAGTGTTCAGCGCCCTTGGTGATGAACGGAACCCGACCCCACGGCCGTTCGGCCCCACACCGATGGCCCCTCCCGTCGGTCGACGTCACTTCATCATTTTGCATCACTTTCATTTTATCTTCTCTTCAAACACAGACACCACCCGCTGAAAAGACAAGCTGTAAGCGTATCACGGTTGCTCTTCCCATCTGACACAACCCTTCCTTAACTTCTGGCAATCATAAATCGTCAACATAATCTAACTTCACCAACGCTGCCAAATTTTTCCATCCGCGCAGACTTGTCATTGATCTTTCAGTTTTCGGTGAAAGATCGGGTGTTCAAATTCCCAAAGACAGCTATCCTCGGTGAACTTTCTCACTGAATCATCTTTCTCACCACATCATCAACAAATACAACACCGACCTTAACCATGTCACCTCGCTTCGACTCCCCACCGCCGCCCGGCTCGACAGGACATCCAGATACCGATGATGATTCTCTTTTTGCAAAGCCCCGTCCACGGCCGGCCAGGTCTTCGGCGCAAACTCGGGAGATACGAACGCGAAACCGGAGGAGGGAGTACCTAGAACGGAATCCAGGTTACTTCAGATCTACGGAACATGAACTCGCTGGTACGTTTTTTTGTTCGACGTTTCTCCTGTCTTGGAAGCTAGACACCCGTGGATAAGTCGATGACTATCTATCCCTGACTCAAAAGAGGTGGGATGTTCGGTGCCCTCCCGGTGGTCAGCTCTCGTCCATCTTATAGCCTGAACAGTCCGAACTAATATCATCACCGACGAATGACTAACTGACGCTGCTGTTGTACACAGATCCAATCTTATACGACTCCCTCATTCGGCGGTTCCAAACGCCCGCTGAACGAGAAGCAGAAAGCAAGGAGAAAGGCTACGCTCGCGTGTTAGAGGGCTCTCTGCTACGAGGGGAGGAGAAGCTTGCCAGGCTAGCGGCGGCGACAGCAACGGGTGGTAGTTCTGACTCTAACGGCGGTGAGAAAGCATCGACGCCTACGATAACCGAAGGAGAAATGGAATGGCAAAGCCAGACAACAACCGTCACGCAGGCTCCAGTTCAGACAATACCGACATTGGATCAACCACAACCAACACCCCCTTCCACAGCCACCACCTCCACAATGTTCGCCACCTTCACCACCCCAGCACAACAACCACTCCCTCGCTTTGGTTCCGGTTTCGGCGAGCCTTCTTCATCTTCTTCTTCTACGACCAATACCAACACCAACCAGACCACACCGCGTCCTCCTCCTCCCCCTCCAGAAGCGTCAACGACGACAACCAATACAGGTCTAGCAGCAACAACACTAGCACCACTAACAGGAACCGACACCCCCGCCCAAACGCGCGAAGAAGGTCAAGAGCAATGGACCGCCTTCCTCCGCGAGCGGTTCGTCCGCGGTGGAGATGAGGATTTTGATTACGCTGGGCTGGTGGACAACGATGACGAGCTGGATACCCTGGAGAGAAGGGAAGAGGAGGAGGCGTGGTTTGACGAGGAGGAACCTGATTGGGCTAGTGATGATGATGGGGAGGAGGGAAGGAGGGTTGAGAGGGTGTTAGAGGGGGAGACGGGGGTGCAGGATTTTTAGAAGAGCCTCGTGGATGGGATATGGGGAGATTGGGAGGTTGTTGGGAGGTTGTTGGGAGGTTGTTGGGGATGGGGAAGGGGGGCGGAGGGGCTGGCTGGCTGGCTGGCGGTGAAGGCTTTTGGGGGATGATGGATGGGGGTGTGTCCAGTCGTGAGGACCGCTGAGGCTCAACTACTGCTGGTCTATGGAGCCTCATCTCATGAGAGGTTGTCGGAGATTTGCCCCTGGGGGAGTCACAGGCTGACGATGAAGGCTTCGGGGCAATGAGGATGACGGATATGCCATGTCCTGTGCGTCCCTGAGGCGAGCCTCAACTACTGATGGTCGATATTGGGGGTTGTTCGCGCGAGAATCATGACGGGAGTTCTTTCGCACAACATCTCCAATGGGTCTTCACGACGGCCTGTCGCCTCGAATGGTCATCTTTTGGGGAATTGCTCTGGTGTCCTGCCGTGAGAAACGGGATGTGCTCCACGAACATCCCATTGGGTCGCTTGTGGCCTATTGCTACGGTTCACAAGCTCTAACACCTTCGGCGAAAATTTTGCACGATTCTCGTCATTCGGTGAAAAGGATATCAACTGTGAAGGGTGTAAGGGACGGACCATTGATAACCTCGGCATTGTATGGGAGGAGGGCTTGAAGCAGGTGTAACCTGATCGTCAGGCCACCCATCCACGTTCACCGTCCTCAATCAAGACTGCTGCATGGAACATCCAGCTCGATCGATGGTGCTGGGTCCATGACTGACAGACAGAATACCTTTCCATTCTGCCTGCCATACATATGTCGTCCCCACAGAAAGAGGTGCCAAATCTACACTATCTTATCCCGGCCAAACGAATCGTTTGGTCGAAAACCATTCTTGCACTTTGATTCCCCTCTTTCTCTCTGTTCGCCCAGCTGCCCAGCTGTGTCTTGGTCGACGATCTCTTTAGCCTGTTCAAGAAAAGCCTAGGAGGGAGGTGTCTTGCAAGCCTTGCCAAGTGCCCTTGCTAGCTAGCAGGGCACGGCACTTGCATTTGCAGCTTTACTAGTCCCCTTTCCTTCCGCACTATCAAATTGACGAAGGACTACTACATACGATACCGCGCTTCCCTCGTTTCCCTCGCATAGCGTATACTTGAACGATCCCGGTCAGCGTTCATGGCGTCCGTCGGAGTAAATCCTCAGCTGTCATTCGGAATCATCTCGACGGGAACGGTGTGGTGGCGGATGCGTAGGATGACCGAGGGAAAACGTTCGGTTTCGGTTATTGCGCTATTGGTGATATAATTGTCCCTGTACGATCTCACAGCTTATGTTGACTAGCTGACGAGCAATGTGGAAATCTCAACACGGGAGGCGATCGTTGGAAGCCATTGGCTTCTTATAGACATCTTACGAGCTTACCAACAAGTCTCAAGAGTGAGCGTCCAGTTGTTGCGTTGCTCTTCCGTATTATTGGTTGCAGTTTCTTATTGGATGATTCCTTGCGTTCCTTGCGTAATGGTCTGAGCAATGGTGAGGGAACATTGCAGGGAGGCTGTGCACATTGGCCACATACCGCGTATGCCACACTTCGGAAGCAACGGTATTCTAGTGGTGTGATAGTGGATGGAGGATTTGCCCCCATGGAAGCCTCGTCAACATCCTCTGAAGCTGAGCGAGCCGTCGTGTTCAGTTGTGCCGCTATGGAGAAGGATGGAAAACCTTATTGAGGGAGGATGAAGGGGAGGTGAGGAAGTATTCTATGGAAGAAAAGTGACAACCTCACTGAATTGAGACAGGTCGGAGATGTGATAACTAGACATGTGATATGTCTAAAGAAGAAACGCGATCTATTGATAAGAGTGAAGCTGCAACAGTCAAGAAGAAAAGATAACGCAAAGGACAACATAGAAAACAACAAGAGGGGGAAATGCAGTGCTAGCTGTTCGCCATCCGCTGAAGTTGACACATGTCCCAGAGCAATCCCAAGTCGTGGCGAAACAGAAACCAAACTGTAACTGTTGCAAAGAAAAGGAGATTCTTGAGTGGGCCTTGTAAAAACATAACCGTGAAAGTGTAGAGAAGAAAAATAACCAAGGAGCCCAAAGAAAGATCAACCATATACGAGCCAAAGTCGACATCTCTAAGTCCCATTCGACTGCACTTGCTGCTTCACCGGCTCTTTAAAACACGCCTCGAAATAGTACTGATCCAGCTTCTCGTGAAAATCAGGATGCACCCTCCCAATCTTCATCACCTTCAAATCATCCTCCACCGTAAACACCCTACTACAATCCAGTCTCGCCAACGGGCTGATATTCTGCTTCCCCTCCTCCATTATGACCGCGAGCGGCCCAAACACGATGCCCTCCTCGGCGTCCGGCTCCGGTGGCGGCACGCTGGTAGAGTACAGCACAGCCAAGTGCTCGCCTCTCGCTCGGTTCTTGGCTATAGATTTTGCCCCGCCGTTGACGATGGCGAAGCACAGCGAGTGGTGCAGCTGTTTGCGAATGACGACGAACCACCGGAACCGCCCGTAGGGCTTTTCGTTCAAGTTGTTGTACTCGGGGCAGCTCTCGTGGTAGGCGAGCTCGGCGGGTCGGGCGCGGAGGGAGGCCGAGTAGTCGCCGAAGGGCTCGAACCACACGGTTTTGAAGATGCGGCCTTTTGTAAAGAATTTTCGGGGTTTGTCGATTTTGAGGTACTCTGGTGAGGCGAGATGTGTCAGCTTATTCTGCTCACTTGTCCTTGGACGTATGAAGTGGAGTCAGAGGGGTGAAAAATAGGTAGGATGACTTACGTGGTGCTGGGACAGTAAGCGCTGCTGCCTGGTCGTTCGCCGTTGAGGACGAGGGGGGATCGAGCTGAGTGTCCTCCTTCTGGTACTGTGAGTATCGAAGCACTATCCCGTCTGTGGCGACATCATCGCCATGTATTCCCAATCTGCATTGATCACAATTCACCGGGTCCTTCCGATGCACGTAGTCTCGGACGCTCGCGTCTCTCACCCATCGTAGATTGACATAGGCCGTGATAGGCTTCCTATGTTTGACTGTTTTGGGTTGAAGAGCTGATTGTTGTGATAAAGGACGCGGTGATGGCTCCTTGGCAACATCATCATCACCAGGGGCAGTCGGGACTGGGAATGTCGTAACGGCTGATGCTATCTTGTCAGACGATGTTTTGTCCGTGACTTCTACAACTTCTTTGGCTGGTTCTTCTGTATGCTTGTTAGCCGTAAACTCTCTCATTGAAAACAATTGTCATGGGAATAAAAACCTTTGGGCAACGTAGACTCTGACATTGGCGTAGGAGTGTTTGTTTCAGTTCTTGGAACAGACATTTCTGAGACATCGGGACTTAATGGTAGGTGGATCCTAGCTGGGATATCCATCTCTTCCGAGCCTTCAAGGCTTAGTTGATCTCGAGGTATCCTAGTTTGCATATATATATCTGGATGAGGCGAGTTGTCAGAATCCATGTTCGTTCAATTTATTTAACAGAAGCACGTGTGCGGTTGGAAAATGATCATAAGGAGGGTCTCTGGACTAGTATTGTTTGTTTTCAGGCAGTTCAAGGTTTGGAAAGGAGAGGGTCTTCGGCAATTAGGCAATGTGTGCCAAACGTCTGCCTCATCGCGAACTTCAAATCAAAGCAAAAAACTGGGTTTCCCGGAGGCAACTACCTTTAGTTGATGTATCGTGTTGAGGATCTTAAGAACCCCCCATGATGGTGTAGCTCGGCGCCTGATGATGATATCGGTATATGGATGGCGATAACTTTCCGTTTCTCAACCTCCCAAGAATGTAGAAGTTTGGACGACTTATAACTAACGGCGAGAATGATCGCCATTCTCAAGAGCCGGCTGAGAAGAGGGAGTCCTTTTAAGGTGCATATTTTGTGGAAGGTGCAAGTCGGTACGAGGTAGGTACGTATTTCCGAGGTACATGCAGAAAACGGGTTGAAAATGTGGCTTGGCATAAGAGTTGAAACCTAGACAATTGGAGTAGAATTTGCACATCTTTCCAGCTGAAAGTCCATTCATTGAAACCATTCCCAAGTTGCATGGTTGATCAATTCAACTTACTGTACTCAGGGATGTCAATACCTTCCAAAAAGTCCAGGGTACAGACCAAATCGAGCTGCGGGATGTTGTTCAGCCTTCTCTTCCTATAAAATGGCCATCAACCCCTCCTCTGCGGCTTATACATGTAGCCTTCAAGAACTAGTGTAACGGTACTTCCTTAAATCCACAACACCATACCCGTCTTTCAGCGAAACTCTCAACTCGACGTCAAGATAGTTACGCCCTTGACACTTCATAGCTTGGCCAACCATGCGAACCATTAGCGGCAGCATCGATCCAGGATAGCTCAAGAGGCAGCCAGGCTAGCGGTCAGTCGTTGTACAAAATCAACAAACGCGCATATCAACAGTACAGGTATGAGTGACCATACGGATTCATCCCGTGGCATATGATTTATACTATACATACTTTGATCTGAGAGCTCAACGACAACACAACCATTCTCGAGTGGGAATTTGATCGATCAAGACCAAGTTCATTGTTGGTCTCAATCGGTCTTCATAATTATAATCCATCGACTTGCGACATTGCGAGTAATCACTTGTGACTAGATGGTCACAGAACCTTCGATAGAGCCTTGCCAGTTGTCCCATCTGGGTCTTGAGGCGAGCAAACTTATCAACCGGCGTAAGACGCAGCCACGCGGTTTCATCACTTCAGCCACCAGAGTTTCTTGTACACGAAGCTCGCTGTTTTCAGGAACCGGCCTCACCGGCTTGCGGCGATGCATGCGGGCTCCCGATCGGCTTCGGGTCACGGCCCGCCCCATATGTATCATGGGAATCACTTTCCAAATCCCACTATATTTCATATCCCGAATAGCTCAAAAATTCAATACCGACTTCGGAATGCAAGCCTCCAACTGCCAGCTAGGCATATATCTTGCATTTTGGGGTTGTGGCTCTCATATTACTTACAAAATGCAACCCTTCGCCAACTCCGCCTGCCTTGTGCCAAGCGAAGACTTTCGAAGTTCTCTTGAACCACGTCACAAGGGGTTAGAAGGCCAACACACTACAGTCCACCCAAACCTAGACATCAAAAAATCTACCTGGTCACTTTTCCACAAAGAAAGAGGAAAAGAAACAAATCAGAAAGGCAAGTCTTCGGAAGTCTCACCGCCGGAGAAGGACCGGAGCCGGACGAAGCTCAGAAAACTACCTTATTCAACCCGTACGTGTAAGTCAACCTCAACAAATAGAGGTAGTCTTTGCAGTTCCAAAGCAGCCTTCGGAGTCAACACAATATTTTTGTTCAGTCACCGCCGGTCCTCTTACCAGCTGACTGATTCTATTCCCCCAAATCTGAGACATAGCCTAGATCACATAGGTACCTACCTTACCTATAGACTCTTCAACACGGAACTCTGCTTCTGTCAGTTAAAGGCTTTAACCATGAGTTGCTTGTGGAAGAGAGACGAGGTTGGAAATGACTTGGAGCAAGGCTACGCTAATGGTTTGAAAGTGACATATATAAGGTATGCAGGGCGACATCCAATTCTCCCTTCTGTCTCGCCTCTCATGGTCTCTTCTTTGATCTATCTACATCCGCTCCCTTGCCTTCATTGCATGTGTTCAACGCCAATGTGTAAACTCCAGCTGAGCACTTAGGATTCTGATGCGATTGGATGCCTCATCCGACTGGTGAGCTTTCCTCCTCTCCTATTCCCTGTCCCCACCCAACCTTGCCATTTAGCCACGTCACACAGCATTTACCGTGTTTCGCTGCACGAGCGGAAGACATGATCTACATCCTCCAGCCTTATGTCCGGAAGAAATAAAAAGGTTGCAACTTTTGTTCACCGAACGGAGCCTGCTTATTGATGTAACATACCTACAAATTCATGGGTAAGGCTGACTTACGATTCCAACAAGTTAGGTATATTAATGGGGGTCTTAAGACGGCATATCACGGGTCTGTTATAGCATCGTAACCGTGAGGATATCCACACATTATCCATATACTCAGTGTGATTATACTTTTTATAGGCTATGATAAAAGCAATTGAGCATCAAGAAACATGCAATGTGCAAGACGAGGCTGTTCATGACATATGCATTACCAGCCAGCCAGCCATCTTTCTCGATAGACTCCTTTACTTTCATGTTGGCGACAGCGGTAGAGTACAAAGGGAATCAATCAACTCTGGTGTTTATGTGTTTTGCTATGTAAAGAATCAACACAACAAACCTGTGTATCACGAACAACGACCTACATCTCTCCCGAGCCTCCCTCCAACTTTATATACACCAAACACTCCACCTAAAACTCCCTATACTCAGGAGGCGGCTCATCATTCCCCTCCACTTCATCAAGCCCATAGCCACTCCCGTGTCCACCAGGAACAGCAACCGGATGCCCTTCAAGTTCAGCAGCCGGGTGCTGGGATTGCCGTTGCTGTTGGTCTCCGTTGTGAGAAGAAGAACTCCCTGCTGCACCCTCCGACGCACCACCCGCATTTTGTAAGGGCTCTTCTTCTTTCCTACCGTTAAGGCCGCCTTTGGGCTTTCTACCTTTGGAGTCAACGTGCCCTTGTCCGCCTTTAGAGTCCACACCCCAGGCATTCTCGTCCTTCTTAATGAGAGGAAGTTGCGACCTAGTGGATGAGATGGGCGGGATGGGCGGCAAGGACGAATTTCCACCGGCGGCGGCGGCGGCTGAGCTTACGCGGCGTGGGACATGGACTGCAAGGGGGAAACCGGGAGTAAAGTCATTGTTCATGCCGCCGCTGTTGTGTCCGTGTGTGCCAACAGCATGGAAGCCGAATGACTGCTGGGTCTGCTGCTGGAAATGTTGAGCTTGTTGAGCGGCATATCCGCTGTTAGTTCTTCCGGTTCTGGAGGCCATGCGGTCTACTGCTGTCGGTTTTCCGTCTTGTCCGAACGTGGTGAGTTCTTGCGCAGGTACTTGAAACAACTGTTCATCTGAGCCGTGGGAGGGGCCGTCCCAGATACCAGGGTAATAATTGTCGTTGTCAGCTTGCTGCATAGCTCTTCTCAACCTTGCCGTCTTCTGCTTTCTCCGCCGTAGCCAGAACCAGAGAATGGTTGCGAAAGTCGCGCTGACTGTTACGCTGATACCAAGGGCAATGCCGATGTAAGCACCGAGAGAAAGGGCATCGTGGCTGTCGACGGGGTAGTGGACAGAGAAGACCACGTTGTTGACGGCTGACGTAGGTGTTGAATCGTCCTCATTAGGGTCATCATCACCACCATCACCATCACTACCATTAACGCTGCCACTAGTGGTAATCGCATCATATGCAGCCACGGCTCGGGTTAGGGGCGGAACGCTTGCTGCGCTACTGAGAGGGCTCCAGCAAGGCGTTTGGCCACCGATGGCTGATGTGAAGAAGTAGTATCCGCTGTTCATCCTGTTAGAAATCTGAAGAAGATAAAGGGTCAAGGGATACCTACGCAGGGCAGCAACCACCCGAAACAGAATAGTAGTCATCGGGGCAGTCTTTGAATTTCGCCCGATAACCATGAGCCGGTTGAGGATAGTTGTCGCCACGCTTGTGTTCTATCTCAATTTCTGGCTCTACCTCAAGGTTCACCGTGGCAGGAAATGCGTCTGATGCAGAGGTCGCAGCGACTGGCCACGGGCAACACTGAGGCCGGTCGTCGTTACAGCCTTGGAAGCCGGCATAGTACATGGTGTAACCCCCGTCCGCGCTCACAAGAGTGAAATCCGTCGATGTACACTCGCCGGAAAGAAGAGATCCCGATCCTTTATAGATCGGGTCATCGAGAGTAACGAGTGGGTGATCCTGACTGATTGCATATACAACATCAGGCGTGCTATTTCCACACGATGTCAGTAACTCCTGTTCACGTTGAATAGGCCAGGGGGTCTAAATAACTTACGTGAAGCCTACGTTAACGGTTTGTCTAAGAGTTGGTCAGCACAAAGTTAAGAAAATAGCCCACGCCAACAGGAGTACATCGATAAGAAGAGAGATGGTCAAATGAAGATGGAAAGGTAATGGAAAGCCATTAGAGACGGGAGACAGCAAGAATGTAAGGAGAACCTACGGCTGTGACATCTCAGCCATCACGGACGGCGGAGGGGTGTCTCCACACCAGTTATGGTACCAATCCAGTTGCCAACCTGGACGAGTGATGTTAGCTGACATTTCGCGGCTAACATGTTACAAAACTACTCACCGTCGCCGCCATATCCATCATTCCAACAATTGGGGTCGTCATTCTCGGCTTGAGACATGCACTTGAAGAACTTCTTCGCATGCTCGCAGAAGCAACCCCAGGTACCCGCCGTCATTCCCCAGGTATTGACGACGGTGTTGTGTTGGCAAGTTTGATCCCCGCGCATGTAGGGACCAGCGCAGGAATAGAATTGGTTGGCCTAGAGGGAGTTGTTAGATTGTCCAGCGGTATAGAGAGAGAGACTGGACATTCACATACATGACATGGCCTAGATACTGCGCCCCAGCCTTGTCCAATGTCTTGTGCTGGCCAACGATCAGGGGGGAAATCTTCTGGCCAAAAGTCTCCTGGCCGCCAAAAATCTGTCTGACGGGGCTTCAGAGCGGCGTCATGGTGGCTGCCCGGCAAGGTTGACGTTGCCGTTGCCGTTGACGGTGTAGGTGAAGCTGCGGGCAGCAACGCGATGGCAGATGTAACTAACATGGCATGCGAGTTAAGACCTAGATGAGAAGAAAAGACATATCAAAATTGGAGATGTCTGGCATCGTCCAAGTTTTGTAGCGTTGCCGGGGTGAGAGTTGTTTGCAGGTCTCTCAAACTCGTGAAGAACGGACATTGTTCAGTTTTGATATGGAAGCATCCAAACTCCTCGAAACTCAAGTGGTGTGGCTGAGGCAATCTTGACATCGGATGTCAAGCACATCAAACCTGGCACTCGAAAGGCAATGCAGTGTTGCTGTTGGAGTTGGCACGCCACAGTAGACGCGAGGTTGCTGCAGAGGCTACCGCCATTACACCTTTTGCTTCGTCGCGATGAAAAGGAGGTCTCGATATCCGTTCCAAGCATGGTATGAGAGATTGAACCGTCTAAAGACATGGGCACTTGTTAGCCATATGGAAGCCCTTGTATCTGTGCAGACCATGATAGATTCTTTCTCGGGGCTCTGAGCTGGTCAACTCTTTGCTAAACGTGAGCGTGAGAATGAGTACGATGAGCTGGATTTCAACTCGTGAGTCTCGATGGCATGATGGATGCATTTGCTGGCCTGGTGATGTCCAGCACATTAGTGCTTCTGCAAGCCGATCTGCCGATGGCCATAGCATAGCCCTATTCGGATAGGATCGCGAAAGGCACATGTATGTAGTTGTTTGCAGTTCCTTTCAGAAGAGAAACCGAGGGATTCAAGATGTCACGGGGCTATGATCCCAGATGAGGTGCCTTGGGGTTCGAGTACCGTATAAACTCGCGAAATTGAGATCCGGGAAGGCGAGGAATAGGCAGGGTTGAAGGTGTAAAAAGGCATGCAGCCCACAGTTCTTGGTGAGATGTTGTTTGGGAGCATAAGTTGTTTGGAGGAGGAGTTGAGGTAGCGGCAGACATCTCGTGGTCTTTTGATAAGCACTCTGCGGTTGCGGCGCCACTTCCTTTTCTGGGTTGTCTCTCCTTTCGGTTCTTCATTCTTGCCGACGCTTTCCTGCGTTCTTTCCAACTCGTTGTCAGAGACCGCGCTACTGTCGTCACGGTGGCTGTGGCTGGAAGTCAATACGAAAGGCGATGTGACGCCGAGCGGGGACCGAACCGTTCATCACACCACAGAAAGACAAGCTACACTCTCAGTAACTTTCGCTGAGAAACAATCAATTGCGCCTTTTTCACCAGGACATGACCATCTAATGGCCGAAATCACCATGTAAACCCGAAACCCTTCGAGCATACGGTCGTGAGTTGACGAGCCTCATGTAACCTGGCTATGTCCGAATGCAATTTACGATACAAAAGAATATGTACTTATCCAAGCCTGATGACTTTCACCCTCCCAATCACCATTTTAGTACTTCCCCTCCGGTTTCTCCCCATGAATCCTCCCCTCCCCATCAAAGAAGATCTCCTTAACCTTCACACTCCTCAAATGATCCACCCCCTTGCTCAGTTCACAATCATGATGGAACAACCACCACCTATCACTCTTCTCCGGGAACTCCACAATAGAATGATGCGTCGTCCACCCCAGCACCGGCTCCAGGATCCTTCCACCGTAGGTAAACGGCCCATACGGCGAATCTCCCACGGCGTAGCACAGGAAATGCGTGTCGCCCGTCGAGTAAGAAAAGTAGTACTTCCCCCGCCTCTTGTGCATCCACGCGGCCTCGAAGAAGCGGCGCTCGTGGTCGTCCGCATCCAGCGGCTCGCCCGTCTCGGGCGCCAGGATGGTCACCTCGCGCACTCCACCTCCTTCGTCTGACGCAAACTCTAGCATGTCCTGCGTCAGCTTGCCCACGCGAGCTCCCAAGGACTTGACGCCCTTGCCCGTGGGTTCCTTGGGCCCTTGCCACTCTGCGTCAAACACGTTGTTTCCTCTCTGGTAGCACTGCAATTGGCCACCCCACAGTCCACCAAAGTACAGGTACGCTTCACCATCATCATCATCCACAAACGTAGCCGGGTCGATCGAAAAAGACCCCTTGATCGGCTCCGGCTGCGCGGTGAACGGGCCCTCGGGCTTGTCACCCACCGCCACACCGATGCGGAAGATGCCCTGCTTGTCCCGCGCGGGGAAGTAAAGGTAGTATTTGCCGTCTTTAAAAGCGGCGTCGGGAGCCCAGAGCTGCTTGGAGACCCAGGGGATGTCTTCGGTCTTGAGGACGATGCCGTGGTCGGTCACGGGACCCTGGGGGTCGAGGGACGGAGTGGAGAAGACGTGGTAGTCGGCCATGTCGTATTGGTCGCCATTGTCGTTGAACTGGATGTCGGTCTCGCGGTCGTGGGAGGGGTAGATGTACACGCGTCCGTTGAAGACGTGGGCGGAGGGGTCGGCCGTGTAGATGTTTGTGATTAGGGGCGCCATTTTGACTTGTTGTCTTTTTGTTCGTGTGTTTTGGTTGTGATCTTCGCCCGTGTAAGAGGGTGGGGTAGGTAAACAAACGAACGGTTTTGTCGCGGGGGAAAGTTGGGGTAACTCCTTTCTGTGCGGGGTAAGGAAATGCGGGGGGAGAACCGCTGGGGTAAATGGAGTCAAGAAGATGAGTACAAAGTTTGGATGAGATGATGCGAAGGCTGGAGGAGAAAAAGAGGAATATATCTTAACTTGAGCCGGATATTTGGGTGGTCTTCTCCATCATCATCACCACCACCATAACAGGTTGGATCTCGGGCCATGAAGCCGAATGACAAGACCATGTGGGGATGCAGGTTTCATTCCATGTGGAGGGTTACCTTTTTCCTATTTATCCCCATTTAACCGTGACGCCAGTGGCCCGGACAAAGAGCCGGTTCGCCGTGCTAGGCGCGCCGAGCAAGTCCCCTCATTCGCGAATTGGCCGCTCCAAGGCGGAGTCCCACATGGTCCATCTCCGCCATTGTGGTCTGCGTGGTCTGTTCAGTCTGGGAGAAGCGGGAGAAGTTGGTTTTCTGGATGAATTGCGGGTGATCATGAGGGGAAAGTAGCCGAGATTCGTTCGAGAGCTGGGCTGAGCTGGGGTGGAGGAGACACCATCCCCGGATATCTTGTGCGTCTGGAAGTAGCGTGTTAATTTATCATGAACGACCCAGGAAACAAGTCATGTTGAAGCAGCAAAACCCACATCCATTCAACACCCTGAAACACCCTGCAATATCATGTTCCTACTTTATTCTGTTCTGTTTATGTGGGTTATATATGTGTCGTGTCATTCAACAGTCGTGATATATACGCAAAACAATTGATCCGGCCAAAAAAAAAATCATCAAGTCATATCAAGTCATATATCCATCCCATCCCCCAAAACCCTCCAAAATCCCCCTTCTGCAAAAAAAAAACCAAAGATTCAAGCAGCATCCATAACCCCCGCCCTCAATTTATTCAGCGCATCCTCATACTTCCCCGGGCTATGATCCGTCAACATTGACGTCCCAAACCTGACCTCCCTAAACCTGTGCTCCACATCCCTAATATACTTGAGTACAATCCTCTGCGCCGGCCTCCCCAAATGCCCTTCCTCTCCATCCAACAAAAACGCATCCCTTCTCAGCACTCTGGTACTCTCCACCACAAACACCTCCCCTGGGGGCAAAAGTTTATGGCTCATCATACTCGCCCTCAACACTTTTAGGGCGGCGTAGGCCCATTGGTCGTCGTCTGAGAATTCGGGGGCCGTGTTGCGTCCTCTGTCACCGCCGGCACCTGGTGGTGACGATGAGAATGATGCATCACCACCACTGCCAGGATAATACTGCGACGACTGATTCCCCCCGTACCACTTATCCGCAATCCCCGTCTGGAAAGCCTCCCAAATCCGCTGGCGCACTTCGACTTTGGCTTCATTATTATCCGTCTTGAACGCCAGCGCGACCGCCTGGAAATCATGCAGCACTCCAAGAGATAGGTAAGGAACCATGTCGTTTCCATTGACGATGCTGGTGATCAATCCTCTTGTAGCCTTGCACAGCGATGCAGACATGGTACTCGGCGGGCCGTATGCATACACGTGGACGGGCCGGCCCGAGGGTAAGCAGACGTGCCTCGGCGGTTGAGTAGCAGCAAACCCGTTGAGCAAAGAGTCGCCTAGCAGGTGCGTGTGCGGATCAGCTGACGTGACGAACGAGGTCGAGTTGCACCCGGGAGCAGGTTCCGAGAGCATGACGCCCAACAAAGCCGTGACGCCGCCGCCGAGGGAGTGGCCGGTGAGCACGAGGCCGTAGTCGGGGAATTCTTCCAGGGCTTGTTTGAGCGTGTACAGCACGCGGCCGTCGCCGCCATACAGTAAACGCTTGGCCGAGGCGTGGATACCCTTGTGCACTTTGTAGGCCTTGCCGCGCCAGACGAGGTCGTCGTAGTCGCACGTCATGTCGGCCAGGACGTCCTCGAAGCCCAAAGTGCCGCGGCAGGCGAGCACCACGGCTTTGGAGTCGTGGTCGAGACTGATGTAGTGCACTAGGGGCACGCCCGTGTTGGTTGACCCGGTCCCGTCGGATCCGCCTTGAGGGTCGACGAAGGAGGAGAGCAGAATGCTGCCGGCGTCGGATTCGGTGTGGTGCGCGAAGGAGCGAAGTTCGTGGTGGGTCTCGGTGTCTAAGGCGCGCAGGATGGGCATCTCTTTGGCGATGCCGAGCATCTTGAGGAAGTTGGAGCCGTACGAGGCCGAGGCGAAACGCATGAAGCGGGTGATGTTGCGGAGGAGATGGTATTTGGGAAATATGCCTTCCACCATGCCGGCTTGGCGCAGTTCTCGCAGTGCTTCTGTGTTGCTGAACGCGCTTTTGTGCGGATCCCGGTAGGGGATGAGGGACGATGTTGATTCGTGTGGGAGGGTATAGATGCTCGGTGTGTATCTTGACTTTACCCGTCTCGGGTTTCTTGGTGATGGGAGGCCGTACGGGTGGGAGAGGGCAGGATCGGATAATCGAGGGTTGACCAGTGAGCCGACATCTTCGTCGTCAGTTTCGATTGCGCACGGCGAGGAAGGCCTGGAGTGAGAGATGGAGTACGATTCGGTTTGCGAATATACTGAGTCGCGGCGACTCTCATGAACCGAAATATAACTCGTCCGCGATGGAGGCCGTAGGTATGAAGACCTCTCAACGTTTTTCCTCCCGAGGCTACTCGAGCTGCTCTTCGGAGATACCCCAGGTTCCTCTATCCTAGGGATCGAAGCGGAAGACTGGCGGGGAGTTGGACGGGAAGAAGCCGAAGGACGATGAGGAGCAGAAGGCCGGACAGGACTAGGTAAAGCAGACTTGTACTTTGAAGGTTCAGGCTTGGTCAACCTTGTACTGCTAGAACTTTGACTTGACTTCTTCTTGCGTGACGGGGTATCCGAATCGGCATCATCTCTGCTAAAGAACTTCCGAAACCCGCTCTTCTTCTCGACTGGTTTCCTTTTCGACTCGGCATCCTCCCTGCTTCTCGACGACAGAAAGCGACTGCCAGATGCCCGCGATGCTGCCATTTCCTGACGCTTGTTTGACGAGGAGGCTGTGGGTGGTATTCGAGGTCGCTTCTGGTTTGCCGCGTTCTCGCTCCGCTTCTTGGGCATTTGAAGTGACGGGATGCGACTCTTGGAAGAGCTGGAGGCAGCTGACGCGGAAGAGCCAGGACGGGGAATAGCAGAATCTGGCGTGTGTTCTAGCGACTTGGTCGGTACCGGAGGTAAGGCGTCAACTGTTGGCAATGAGGCCTGCGACATGGTGTCGTCAGTGTCGCCCAGCTGCTCGACGTATCCGGTTACTTGGCTGATATCCCCATCCTCCTTGGTGATGGAATACCTTCTCTCCTGGTTGCGATTCAGCCGGTACACAACACGACAGGCATGTGGGCTGTGGTCCGCCGCAACCTGTGTCTGTGGGGAGACTTGACGGGTGTTTCTGCTCTCCTCAATGAGTTCAACTCCAGGTGGCGGGGAGACGGGTATGTCGTGTATCGGTCCTTGAATGTCGACGGTGATTGTTTTTGTGGTGTTTATCTTGGTGGTGATGGAAACCTTGGCGTTGTCGCCGAGTGATTTGATTATTTGGTTTTTGATCCTTTCTTCTGCATCTTCCTCGCTATCGTGTGCGCCGCTGCCGCTAGTGGGAGACAAGTCCTCTGTGAACTCACCGTCATGTACACCATAAACACTCTCCTCGCGGACGTCGACCCGCATACCATCACTGAGAACCACGACATCCCAGATGACCTCTTCGATCTGAAGCGCCCGCGTCTCCTCCTCAAGCGATCGTCGACACCATCTCTGCAAATATGCCATGCCGCAGAGTCCAAGCATCAGATCCAGAACTCCCACTTGTTCGCCTTGTGCGCCAGTAGCTGGATTTTGAAACTCCCTTCGTATAAGCGTGATGATGCTGGCCATGGCGCGAGAAGAGTCAGTCGACCCGAAGAACTGGTCCAAGGTGGAAAGGAGAAGTTGTGAGGACTCGGAGAACATGGCAATGGTTGTTCCCGTCACATGGAAGCCGGTTGTTGTCCAAAAGAGAATCTGACTCATGGTCCGGTGTAGGTTCTCCAAGCTCTTTTCCAGCATATTCTCGGCCTCCTTTCTCCCATGTTCCGAAGAAGAACGTGCAATCGCGTCTCTGCCAGCCCTGCCGAGGATTCCTTCGAGGACAAAACGGCCCATCTCCAAGCTAGATAAGGTGGTCATCTTGGCAGCGTCGAAGCCATAGCCGGTCAAGAGGGTGCCTACCCGGAGGGCAAGACTGGTTGATCTTGTTGCGAAGCTGACGGCCCGGGCCACGGGAGAAGGGAGAAGGGTGCTTCCGGGACTCGAAGGAGCAAGTTCCTGGAGCTGGGACGTGATGGAGTCGTCCGGGACGACAGCCAACCTAGCTCCCTCATAATCTTCGGTGTCTTCAACATCAAACGAAGAGAAATCCATCGTGTATGAGTGTTATCGAGGAGAGGTTTTGGCCGAGTGTTGTGGTGTGCGTATGGATTATCGTGCTCGAGTTTTGTTATCGTGCTATCGGACTCCAACAACCATGGCCGTCACCCAACCAAAGGGGCTAACAAACAAAAATGATGGTTAAACAGACGTGCAGATAGGGATGAATGAATGACAGAACTCTAGGTATATGTGAGCAAGATGGGCTGAATCAACAAGATGTTTTGTTCAGGCATAAAAAGAGATGACATGTCAACGACAAGGCAGTCGATGGGGGGCGAGTACCTGAAACATAGCCAAAAAGCTATGAGTCGAAGGTACCTGCCATCCACATCCTACCCCGGTGACCCCAGGGCCCCATTATACAAGATGGTCGGGTGGCGGCATGGACGAAAGAGTTTCCGTTTGATGGTGGATCAGTCCAATGGATAACAGTGATGGGGATAAAGATGCGGGTACAGGGGAGACTAACAGACGGGAGCGCAGGTTCTAGCATGTGATGCACAGATGGCGGTCATCTGCCTGTTGATAGCATCAGAGGGCATCAATGGTCATCGACCTTGAACCCTCCAATTCTTTCTTCTAACCAGTAGTAAGGCAGCTGCAACTGTCAAGCGAGGCCTAACCCCGCGCTGCACGACATCAGAGTAACCTGTTCCTGGAAGTTGGGCAGCTTTTGATATTAGACCATGTTAGTCATTGTTACGGTAGGGTTTGTCATGTCTGGGGCGAGCATGCGAGGACCCCTGGCACGTTGAATATAGATGTTAGTCGAAGCATCAGAAACACTGCTACGTGAACAGTTGGAGCCTGGAGGGAAGTCGAACAGAGTAGAGGTAGATCTGAGCCAAGCAATAACTGAAAGCTGAGGCTTTTCTTTGTTTTGGGCACCCCTTTTGCCCCTCAGTCCTTTCCCAACAGTTTAGCTGTCAGCCCACTTACTCGTCAGGGCTACAAAATCGCCGTCTGGCTAGTGGCGACGAGTATACCATTGTCGAAGTTGTGACGTGACGTTCAACGTTGAAGAGGAGAATGACGGGAGTTCGAGATAACACACACCGCTCATCTGCACTCTGCAACTGTCCCGTATGGGATGAAAATAATCTGCAGTCCCCCTGCTTGGTTTTACCTCTTATGTATTTCTGTGTTCAGTCGCATGTCTTAAGAGACTCCCGTTAGCATGGCCGGCCCGTAGAGCTGCTGTTGTGGCCATTGATCCGAAGAAATTATTGGTGGCATGAAACAGGGCTGAAGTATGCCCCATCAATTGAGAAGGCGGGGGCCGCGGGGCAGCTACAGGCCAACCGCCAAGCAGGTCAGCTCCCGATACCTCTAGCGGTCCATCGCGACTGTACAGCTGAGTGAGGTGCATTGGCAGGTGAGAACCCAAAGCTTCAACATCCCATTGCGCCGCCGACTTGATTTCTTTGTTGGCGCTTGCGATACTACTTACCTTTTACTCATTCAGACGACGATTGTAAAGATTGCCGGGTTTGCAATTGCTGGTGTCAGTCCCGTGCCTCGTGTTGTTGTTGTTGTTGTTGTTGTTGTTGTTGTTGTTGTTGTTGTTGTTGTTGTTGTTGTTGTTGTTGTTGTTGAGTCCATCCCCACCACTGCCTGCTTCGGCTACTCCCGCCCGCTGAACATCATCAAATAAGCGAATAGCGAGAGGACAAGTCAACAATCCACCACCTGTTGTTCTCTCTCTCGTCGAGCTCCCAATCGTTTCGCCAACTTGCGAGAACCAACAACAGACCGACGACATCCAAACGAAACGACTTCCAAACATCATCATACCTCCGCAATGGCCGAACAAAAAGAACTGTTCTCTGCCGATCTCCTCTCTCCCGAGGTGCAATCGGCCCTGCCCGAGGGCTACAAGCTGCGCGCGCTTCGCCCGTCCGACTATGACACGGGTTTCCTCGACTGCCTTCGCGTCCTGACCACGGTGGGCGACATCACAAAGGAGCAGTTCCAGGACCGCTACGACTGGATCTCGCGACAGGACGGTGGCTACTTCATCCTCGTCATTGAGGACACCAACAGCAGCCCACCCAGAGTGGTCGGCACCGGCGCGCTGTTGGTTGAGCGCAAGTTGTGAGTTTGCCCTGTCTTTCTGAATCAGCAGTTGACTGACATGTTCGGTAAAACAGCATCCACAATCTCGCGTCAGTCGGACATATCGAGGACATCGCCATCGCCAAGGATCAGCAGGGCAAGAAGCTTGGTCTCCGTATGATCCAGGCGCTGGACTTCATCGCCCAGAAGACGGGCTGCTACAAGGCCATTCTCGACTGCAGCGAAGCCAACGAGGGCTTCTACGTCAAGTGCGGCTTCAAGAGAGCGGGTCTGGAAATGGCACATTACTATCAGAGCACAAAGAGCAAAGCTTAGGATGCCCTTACCTGTTGAAATTCGAAATCATCATCTTCTTTTGTTCCCGACTACAGTATGGAATGCTGACCTCTTTGCGGATGCGGCTTGGAGTGTGATTCGTTTGTTGTCGAAGCTTCCTTCAGCTGTACTCGGATCCGGCACAAACGACGTCGGCTGATGACGCCACCCGAGACATGGTGAATCTTTGGCCGTCGCTATGTTGACGATGACATAGGTAGTAGCTCTGAGGATCTCGAAAGGGATCGCATTACGTCCACATTACCGCTCTTGTAAGACCTCGTGGACCTCTTATATCCACTGACCCTCAAGTAGGTGTGTATACGGCGTACAGGTGGTGGGTGAAGTTGGGCACTTCGGCTGCCTTGGCCATGGCGGCAGCAGTCAAAGTCAATCGGGCATCCTTTAATCGGCACATGGGCGGCGGTTCGGTTTATGCAACAATAACAGAAGCTCCAGATATCTTGACCTTCGATCAACAGCAACAGCACCTCTACATTTCCTCTTGGGATGTGAGACCCTTTTACGTCCCCATTTGTTGATGAATTGCAACCTTGTCTCTTCATTTCGGATGTGCCCCTGGTTTGTAGGCGGTGTTCCTGGATCCTCACAGACGGCTTCATCCAGGGCTGCCAGGGAATGCGATCCGGGGTGGGTAACGGGGGGCACCAAAAAGGTCCGTGCATACTCCACTTTTCTTAAGCCGAAAGTACCGGCTGTACAGACCTAATAGGCACGTTCATAAATATAAATTACAATTACGCATCCGTCACGCATATTACGTATATATGTAAACGGAAAGAATATTTATACATTGTCTTATATATATATAATATGTGATAATGTTTATAATATTCTAACGAAACGATACAAACCAACGCGATATAAAGTATAAGACAACGCACGCAATATTAGCTATAAAACAACGCAATCCCATTTCCTAGTCTAAATCCTCTATTCTCTCCGCTCTCCCCTAATTCTCTCCGCTCTCTCCCAATTCCCTATCCGGTCCCTCTCTATTCTTCTACTATTATATATAGAATATATAATTAATAATTACCAATAATTCCCTCCCTTTCCCCTTACTTCTTTATAAGTAATAAGTTAATATTCCTATTAAACGTAGCTCTCTTATTATTACTTTTCGTTTACCTAGGTTTATAAATAGTAGGGACCTAAATACTATTAATATATATTCCCTATATTATTTTTAATAATAAATAAAAACTTACCTTATATTTCTTAACCCTTAGAATATATTAAGTAATGTTTTTAGCTTTATTGAACGTTTATTAGAGAGAGAGGGGGAAGAATAACTATTTTATTTTAACTACCCTCTTTATACCTAATAATTAAGGAAGCAATTTTCTCCTTTAAAATATAAAATTTAATAGGGGTAACTAAATTTTTTTCTAGCGCTTAACCTTTACCCTCCTTTCCCTATTCCTTTTACTCCTCCTCCTAATTCTAATTAATTTAAGGGAACAGAAGGGGGAAGTTAGGTTAAAAGGGCAGAAAGGGGAAATTAGGCTAAAGTAGAAGAGAGCGGTTAATTTAAAGTAAATTAGGGGGATTTTATTATAAATTAATATATATATTAATTATATATACGAATTAAGAGGATTTATAATAATTTTAGGATTAATGTAATTATATAAGGGACAGGTGTTTAAGAGGGGTTTACTTAATAGGATAAGGGCAAATTCGTTATAATATAAGCCCTTGCTATATTCCGTCTATAAATAGGAAGTATTAATATTATATATATATATATAGTAGGTATAGGAAGGGACTTATATAATATCAAAAAAGTATATTATAAATATTTTTAAAAATTTAATTACGCTAAATAATCTTTTTTATTTTTTAAGCAATCCCCTATATAGTTTAAGCGGATTTTAGAGCGCGGTAAAAGACTACGGTACGCTATTATCGGGTTAAAACATATCGAATTAAAGTACTAAGAGCGCTTACTATTAATAGAATTAATATATAAGGAATATAAGTAAAAATATATATATTTACAGCCTAGTTGAATTTTACCTAAAGTATAGGGGCCTCTATCGGTTTTAGCTATAAATCCGTAATATTATATATAAAGATGCCAGCGGAATTAAAAGAAAATTAATAAAATTCTTAAATATATTTTAATATATATTTACTATATTGTAATTTATATTGTAGGGCTCTTGGTAAAAGAATATCCGTATTATTTATGACTATTAATAATAACCGGGTAAATACTATTATTAATTTTCGAAATAATATACTTCGGATTCAAGGCTACATCTGTATCTTCTTACGTTAATTCGAATTTCTTACTGGCTAAAACTTATTAATATATATTCAATATATATAAAGGAAAAAAACTTTACTAGCATTAACTTTAACCGGGTTCCAACCCGGATTAGAATATTACGCCAGGTTATAAAAGTATCCGAATTAATCGTATAGGTTTACTATGTTAAAAATATTTCGGTATACTATTATTATAATATTAGTATATATTTCGTATATAAGAGTGAAATATTAAGTAGAAAGAGGTTAATACTTACAACTTTCATTAATAATAAGGCTCCTTAGCTACTCGTTGATACGCTCTATTCCTCCTATTTTAATTCGCTTACTATATCCTATATTTAAATTAAAATTAGTTTTAATTCAAAGTAAAAGAAAAAAAACGTATAGAATATTAAGGATTATATTAATATAAATAATATAGTTACTTTAATACTAATAATTGATTATTTACGTTAGGGTTTAGAAAGCAATTTGTAATATTATTATAATAATTATATTAAAGGTTAGAAAAAACGTCCTTAAAGGAGGGAAGTTAAATACCTTACCGATTATAATATAGGAAATAATTAAAAGGAAAGGAAAGTAAAAGAAATAAATTTATAAATAGAAATTAGTAAATAACTCAACGATCTACTCCGTTTTTATCCTAACTATCGTAAATTTACGTATTTATATTATATACTGACCTTATATTTCGTATAAACTAATAAATAAATAAAAATAAAGCTATTAAATTTCATCTCAAATATTGAAACAATATATATTTCTAATCTACTTTACTTTAATATTACTATTCTTTTGATATCTTATAAATTCTAATCCGCTGTACTTCAATTTTACTATTTCTTCAATATTTTCTAAATTCTTTATAGTATAATAATAAATAATAATATTTATACATTTATATTAACTTTATATATAAACCTTTAAATAATATAAATACCTCTATATATATATCTTATATATAGCCATATATATAAAAGGTCAAATCCAACCCAATTGAGGTTATACTTAATTAGGACTAAACTCACCTCTCGAATTAGATTTAATTAACTTAGATTTAGTAATAGCAAGTCCTAAGAGTAAATAAATAGATTTAACCTCTAGTAAATCCAAATTAGTCCGATAATAATATATAAATCGGACTCGGGACAATCCTCCTACGTAACTAATTTCTTATAATGATTATCATTAGGTTAATTATTAATCTAATATTACTTTTACTATATTAAACTTAAATTTCCATTATCTAACAATATAAAATATTTTATATATATACCTCATATATACTTATATATAAAGCACATATATAATTCTATTATCTATATACTTTAAATAAAATAATTAATTTACTATAATATATTTTATATATAATATAAGAATTTATAATAATTTTAATCCTTATTTTTCAATATTACCAAGATCTATTACAAACTTACAAATGTAGATACTATTATATCTATATATAAATATATATAAGAGCATATATATACTATATATATATTACATATATAACTTACGTATTAAATTTTAATATTTATATACTTTAAATAATATAATTTATTATTCCTACTTATTTATATAACTTATATACAATATAAAAATTAAAAATAATTCCAATAGTAATTCTTTTATTATAATTAAAATCTATTTTAAATTTATTATTCTAAATACTCTTATACATATATGTAAATATATACAGGGGAATATATATACTATATATGTAATATATATATATATAATATATATATTTATATAAATAAGGAAAAAATCGTAAATTTCCTAAATATATTAGGCTTTTACTATTTACACTCATATTAAATTATAAGGACGCAAAGTTATTTTATATACTACTAATATATATTTGAACTTTTTTAGAAAGTAATAACTTATTTTTTATAATAACGATTTTATTATTAATTCTCGCCAAATTCAATCGAAAATTTTACTTCAAAATAGTTTTTATTAAAATTAATTCAAAATTCCACCTCCCAAAAACTTCTATTCAAATTCATTTCCAATTTCACTTCTAATTCCCTATTAATACCAATCTATTTAATAATTTAAAACTCCATCCCGAAACTACCCTTCACTCAACCACCTAAAAACTTTCACATATAAATAATATATATTTAAAAATTAAAAAACGAAAATAATTTTACATCCAATTCGGACTCGTCCTCAATAATAGCCTATATAGCTTAAACGGATTCTATAATAACCGCAACATATTTTACAATATAGGTATCTTTCTACTAAATTTCCTATTCTATACAACGGAAAGCGGGGCCAGCATACAATACAATATTAATCTCTATATAAATAAAAACATCAGTACTAAAACCTTATCGAAATATTTTTTATTATTTAATAAATTAAAATATATATACAAAGGGGGCTATATAACTTTCTATAAAAGGGAGGCCTATAATAATAACCTTAATAGCACACCACTCCTTCTTCTATACTCTAATACGTAAGTAGAGAAATGCATTCTAAACGCAATAAACTATAATAAAGAAGGCAAAGGCCAGGTAATAATTATTATAATAGCCAGAATTTTAATACTGGTTACAAACGGCAAAAAGAATAATATAAATACAATCGGCACTACACTTTATACATAGTATATACTTAATAACTATAGCCAGAGTAAGGACTTCGTCGGCCTTATTCTATATATTAAATATATATTAATATGATAATAATAAAAATTATAAAGGGAACTTACTACCACCTCCAAAGATTTAATTTTAACCTCGGCTAAATCGGACTTCTTCTATTAATAAAATTTATAATAATTTTAATACTTATTATAAATGTTTTATAAACGCCTATTACTGTCACGCGTGGCCAGGGATGGGTACGGGTGCAAGGA